AAAGGGCCTCAAGAAAATGTGTATAATTACTGAGGATAAAATTCATCAAATGATAAATTTACCATTCGGTCTTAAAAATGCTACTAGTGCGTTCGCGCGAATAATGGATCATGTACTTACTGGACTTGAAAATGTGATTGCTTATGTTGATGATATATTAATTTTCACTAAGTCTGAAAATTTTGATGAGCATATTAAGGCCCTCAGAAGTGTTTTTGAAAGATGTAGGCGTTTTAATTTAAAATTAAGCCCCAAAAAGTGTACCTTTGCTTCGGCATTTATCAGGAATTGTTATTTACTCTTCGGCGGCTGCACGGAATTAATTACTGACAATGCTTTGGCATTTACTTCAGAGTTTTTCAAAAGTCTGTGCAATGTTGTACATTAATAAAACGTATGCCATACCTCATTGGAGCAAAGGCAATGCAGTGACTGTGAGGTCATTCAGAAAATTCCACGATATTCTCGCTAAGTGTATTACTAAAGACCAGCCAGATTTCGATGAACATCTTGAATTCGCCAACTTTTGTTATAACACCTCGGTCCACCATTCAACAAATGAAACCCCATTCCTTTTGATATACGGCAGAGATCCAATCTTTTGCGTTGATTTAATTCTTGATCCTAAAATTAGAGATCCTATAGCATCAAATGATACACAAGAAATTAAACAAAAATTAATAGTTTCTTTGCGAAGCGCTTGGAAATATGCAGCGGAAGCCAATTTTGAGGCACAGCAAAGGTCAAAAACAGATAGATTAGGAATCCCACTGTAACAATCGGCGATAGAGTGCTTCTTCGGAATTATGCTGGTAAAATAGGCTCATCCAATTTAATCAGCTTAAGAAATGTATAGAGCCACTCCCGACTGAACCGGTTTGCACAACTCCTAGGTTAGAAGCAGAAGAGTTGGAAGCGTTAGAAGAATCTGGTGCAGAATAAATAGTTAACACGCCAGGATTCTCGCAAAGTAAAGTAGCTGAGCCAAATTCAGAAGTAGCAGAAGGTAGTCAGGTTGAAGTAGTAGTTCGCCAGGGACTAAGTAGATACAATTTAAGAAAAAGCCCAAAAAACAGATAATACTTATAATTGCTTCGGCTATCAAATGGATTTAAAATTTAAATTTAATATAAAAAATATATAAAAAAATATATAATATTCCTTTAATTAAACAAATTTCCTAGATTTTCAATAGTTTTGAGATGTGCTTCAACAAAGTACCGGATCCTGAATTATGGAAGAAAGATGAAATGGAAGAAGAAAATATTATTAATGAGGAAGAAGAAGAGCCCAGGAATATTGAAAATGACGAAGAACCAAGGGTCAACATCTTCAGAGATTGGATTGAAGTTGTTGAAGAAGATTGGCCAGAAGAAATGGAAATGAATGAGGTTGACGAAATGGGTAAAGAGGATGAAGGAGAAAAGAAAGAAGAAAATAATGAGGATAAAGAAGAAAAAGACGAAGAGGAAGAAGATGATGATGAAGAGATTGAGCTGGGAATTGAGGTGACAGAAGCTATTTGGAATTGAGGTGACTGAAGCCCATTTTGCAGTGAGAGTTGTTAAAAAGATAAATCTTTCCCAAGTTCAGTCCTTCGGGAATAAAAAGTTTGATTTTTGGAAAAGTGTTAAGGTTATTAATGTTCAAAAGCGGAAGAACAGGGATGTTGAGCAGGAACTCGAAGACGCGAAAGATGGCGGTTTTATTGTTTGTCATCCACTAATATTCAAAGGTCTTGAGAGTCGACGTGATTGTTTTGAACAACACTAACCGTCGATGTTGTCAGCCAGAGTACGAATCAAGGTGAACTCCTCCTCGCCTTAGTAGCTCGTGAATTTGAAACAGATTTTGATGATGAAGAACCAAATGCCTCGGCAGTCCTCATTGTTCACCCACTAATGAATATGTTAAACGGAAAACAGCAGAAGACCGCTAAAATTCTCTTGGAAGATGATTTCAAGTTTGTTTTCCAATAGGCGCCACCAGGCGTTTGAAAGACTCATTTGGATTCAGTTATGATTCCTTTTTGAACAATGTGAAGGTTGCAGTTGTAGCTGCAGCTAATTTGCCTTTGGCAAAGCTAGCCAAGAAGTTGGAGGAGGTCCTCTGATGTCATGCGATGGCGGATTCCAACGCAATAGCATTTTTCTCTGGCTATTTGATATTCTTGAAACTTGTAGACAGGACAACACTTCTCACTCTTTGTGCAATGATGAACATTCGGCTTCTGCCATTAAATTGATTTCTGCGTTGTACGACAAAATTTCCACCGATTTCTCTGGCTGTTATTTGTTTATGTACTTTTCAGAAAGAGTCTCTCCAAAAAGAGTTTGAGGATTTGGGTTGGAATGTTTTGGCCATACTGTGTAACAACTAGGTCTTCGAGTAGAGCTGATGGCCTTGGAGACTCTTCGGAGTTTCTCAAGGATGACACGGTGGCGTGAGTCGTGCTAAGCATGCTCTCCTCGTTATAGCTGACGTTGAAATACTTCGATGTAGAATTATCTGGAATCGGTTCATCTGTTGTGCAACTGAGTTCACTCAAATTGTCGGTCCGGAATATCTTCAAGTCCTCCAGTCGGGTAGTTGTATGCGAGATAGGTTCGGTCAATTGTTGTCTTCGTCGGGTCGGATGGTCGGTGACTTTGTGGATGAGCAGTATCCCCCTCAACAGCAACAACAACAGCCTTCAACATCTTCATATGGTTTCGGCCGCACTTCTGGATCAACTAATAATTGGAGCAGAAATGATAGGAATTCTAGAGATAATGAGTGGTTTGAAAAAGACTTAAATTTTAATAAAAATAATATAAATACTAATTTATCAAATTACAGGAAAAGACCAGCTGAACAAACCTGGAAAGAATATGCTAATACAAATTTGAGAGGAGCAGGACATGTTTAGGACATTTTTTTTACATGTTACATGTTTCAACTGTGGGCGCACTGGACATATTGCTCGAAATTGTAATTGGAATACTTGAAGGAAGAATGAGAGTTGGAGAGGCAGAGGAGGAAAATATTAAATTTGTGTTTTTAATCAATTAAATTTTTTTTTGTACTTTAAATCACATTCTCACTTCCTTTTAATTATTTTAAACTGAATTTTATTCATTAATGTAATGTCATTTACAAATCTTTCCCATTATTTGTTTTGGTTTTATTAATCTTAAATTTTTTTATAACATGCCTTACCTGTAATTTCAATTCCTTCACTTAATCAAAATTATTTAAATTTATTAATTCAATTTTAATCATAGTTCATTTATTTATACATTTTAAATGTCAATCAAAATGTTTTCCCAATATTTCTTACCTATTGCTAATATATACTTAAATTTTTTTTTAACTTATGCCAATTTGTATTATTCCACTTATAATTACATTTTGTCATTTTTTTTACAAAATTTTTACCCTCACTTAAATACATTTTATAATTATATTTTTAAGCTTAAACTCTCACTGATTACATTAAATTTAATACATTTATTAGTTTCATATTTTAAATGTTTAAATTCTCAAATTTCACTTAATTTGTTACAAATTTTTACAATTATATTTATAAGACTTACTCCCTCACAAATTATTTACATTTACTCTATTAATTTTTAAAGAATCTTTCACAATTACATTTAAAAATATCCCAAATTTTTTTTTAAATTACTATTTATGCTCTTCTATTATATAATTCCCAACTTCAAAATTATTGTTTTTGCAAACTTTTAAAATATACCCATTTATACCCACAAATCAAATGTTATTTATGTCAAAACTTTTACATTAATTTTAAATGTTTATTCAAAATACTTAAAACTTTTTCTATTAACCTTTCAACCAAACCATTTATACCCAAATTTATTTTGTACGTTATTTTTAGAATATTCCTTTTCCAATTCTCTAAATATTTTCTATTACAAGTTTTACTCCACTCATTTGTACCCAATTTTTTTTTGTCACATTTCACAAACACTTCGGTAGTTTTCTGGATATTTTTAAATTTTATTTCACACAATTGATTTATGAATTTATATTTTTATTCAAAGCGTTACCCGTTTAATTTATTTTATAATTTCACAAACATTTCAATGTCACAATTTATCCTTATTTTTAATTTTTGAAATTTATATGCATTTTTACTCGTACCCATATTTTAATACAAAAGGAAACATACTCACCTGAAACCTGAAGAAATTTTAGGAATACAACCCCAACTAGACTAAACAGACTCTGAAACTCTTACAATTACAATTATATCAAACCCCACTACTTAATAATATCAAGTGAAATTTCTCATGAAATAATCGATAAGCACTAAAAATGGACCAGGGTCGGTCCAAAAAAGGAAAAAGGAGAGATATGCTCGAAGAGCACAAAAAGAAATGTGATAAATAAAGAAGAAATTTAAATTAGGTTCGCCATCTCACCAGAGTGCTTATCGATTGAGAAAATAAATGTGAATGGTCATTATTTAAGTAGTTTGGGAAACGATGAAAAATTAAATTTTGAAAAATAAAATAAAGTCTGTTAAGTCTAGATTAAGACCAGGGACGGTCTTGATGGGGAAGGGACGTGTAAGGGTCAAAGGTATTCTCGGAGTTTGTTTCCTATAGTTTATAGTCATTTCATTATTATTCATTTCCCTCCCACTTTTCTCACACATTTAAAAGGATTTGTAATCACCTTACAAGTGTCTTATTGTTCATTCACTTTAATGAAATAAATAATGTTTTAATAAAGCTTTTAATATTTGGATTTAATAAATATATAAATTGTGTTCAATTGTGTATGCCTGGTGCAGGAGATCGACCGGGGGCCTGATCAACCCTTTGGTTCCTCTTAGGAAGTCCCGGGCATATCCCCTCCCGTATTCCATCATTCTGGGGTTTGGGCCCACCGCATGGTAATATCTTATTCCGGGGGTCCCACCTCTACTTTTTTTTAATTTGTTTTGTGATCTGTTTTTGTTTTCTAGTTAGTGTTACTATAAATTCTTAAAATTTTTATAGAAAATCTAAATTTATCAAAAAGTATGAAGTGTCCTCAAACAGAATATTTTCATCGAATAAGTATATTTCTAATAATATTATCTTCTTTATCAATTTACCAAGCGAACTCTGAAGGTCTACCTTTGATGTAAGTTTTTAAAAATTTCTTAACTTTCTATTCCTTTCTGCAAATACCCCCTTTATAACTAGAACCTTTAGAGACAAAAAACTGTACCTTATAGACTGAGGAGTTTCTTAATTTGGGGGTATCGTTTAGAGACCTTCCCAAACCAGCCAATATTGAGGGCATCTTATCAAGAGGTCCTACTTAACTTTAAATTCAAAAAACAGACTTTAATGGACCTGTTCTATAGGTTTCTCTTTACTCAGCATCTCCACATGGGCAACTAAAGACTTCCAATCGGCCGCTCTTAAAGGTTGATGCTTATATGATTTTAAATTAAAATTAAATTTCTTAGCTTTTGAAACGCTCATTTCGACATCTAAAAATGCAAATGGATCCTTTCGACGTTTAAATGCTTTGGTTGAAGGTTTATTTTCTTTTTTATAGATCCAAAGTCTTAAAGAAGATCGGGCTGATTTCTTAAAATTTAATTTTTGGGGTCTGTTGGAGTCTAGAACTCATTTTTAGATTAAATTTCGATCCCTAAATAAGTTATTGGTTTAATTGACTTGGGCGGCTTGCATGGGTCTTGATACGGGGGAACCCGGCCTCGTGCTGGCTGCGAAACTTTTCTCTTCCCCTTTCATTTTTAAAATTTTTGTTTTTAGGTCTTTCTGAATGTGAAAATCGCCAATGTGACCATACTGTTGGTTTTGGCGGTTCTCCTGATGAAAATGGAGAAACCACTCTTGATTCTCTTTTGATAGATGGATCTGGACATAGAAGTGGAGCTGTAGCGGCGCTTCGGTATTTTTTATTTAACATAGGGAGGCCAAAAACTTCGTTTTCAATTAACGTTTTGTTTGCAATTTTGCGGTTTTCAGTCTGAAATTTTCAAATTTTCGTTCCGAACATTTTGGGGCAAAAATTGCGGACATTCTTCCCTTAAATTTTTAGTCGGAAATTTTTGAGACCTTTTCCGTTGATTGTACAGGTATTCTGATAAAATTCCCAAACTTGAGACTTAAATATCTAAAAAACAACTTTATGTTCAATTTTTATTAGGAATGTTAAGTCAGCTGCACGTGTGGCTTGGGCAGTAATGAACTATACAGAACATTCACTTTTGGTTGGAGAAAAAGGTTTGGAAGGGATTTTTTTATTGAGGTCGGGAAATCTCAATTCAATGTCCCATGATGGATTATGGTCGACTTGGACAGGATCCATTGGGAATCACAAAAATTGTACAAAAACCGCGATTTTTAGACGGCATCCTGAAAAATCCCTTGCGACCCCGTCGCCCCAATCAGGCCCGTAACTAGGTGTGGGACCTACAGCCTTCCAAGATTCAAAAGATTTTCGTCTGCGGCGCTAAAAACCAAAGCGCCGAAAATTATCCCCTCCCCCCTCCCAGAAAAGATTCCTGGTTATGGGCCTGGTCCCAATTTTTAATTTTATAAAATTCCCTAAATTTTTAAACTTTTCCAGCAACAAAATTTGCCCAATCTATGGGGTTTAAACTTAAATCATTGTCAACTCCAGAATCTATAAAAATGCATGAACAATGGCTTGTTGATAAATGTCAGCCTAATTTTTGGAAGGTTTAAATTTTTAAAAATTGGCAAAATAAATTTTTCTTTTTAAGAACGTCTTTCCAGACCCTAAAACAACTTGTGGTCCTTACAAACCAAAATGGAAATTTTCAATTAATTCAAAAAAGGTTTGGTTTACATTTTTATAGTTTGAGATCCTTAAATTGCCTGGTCCGGCAATCCTTGTTTCTTTGTTCAAATTGAACGGGCCTTTGTTTCTGGGCTAAAATTCCAAAAAACTGGATTTTACAAAGTGCTGCTGTACCCATTTTTTAAAATGTTCTCAACAGAGCTGCGTCGAAATTTCGATTTCCGATTTTCGAAGATCTTTTTTCGACGCAGTTTTGGTCCGTAATCGGGATTTTAATTCCTTTTTCTGTTTTTGAAATTCTTTTGAATATTTGAGCGTGTGTTTCGATTTCTTTACACTTTCTATTGCTCCGATCCACCTATAATTCGTTGAAAATTTTTTTATTTTAAAATACCCAAATTTAGGATCGATTCTCCTCATTTAACAAAGGCAATCATGATACCATCGGAATGATACTAGTTGATGAGAATGGAAATGTGGCTGCTGGAACATCCTCAAATGGAGCAAGAAATAAAATACCCGGGTTTATTTTCCTCTAAAATAATCTTTAAAAAATTAATTTTTTTAAGCCGTGTAGGTGATTCGCCTATTGTAGGGGCTGGGGCATATGTTGATAATTATGTTGGTGGTGCTGCAGCTACTGGAGATGGGGATGTAATGATGAGATTTGTGCCTAGGTAAAAAATAATATTTACGGTACATTTTTGCTGCGGTATCGCTTAGGCAACTTCCCCACCCAGTGACCAACCAAATTAGGTTTTTCAGCTAGTCTCATCGCTGATATACTACACACCCTTTTTTTCTGTGTGCTGTGCTGGCTGGCTCCGGCCCTTTTCAGCTCTTGACTCTTCGTGGTTTTCAAAATTTTAGCTCCGGAGCTAGCTCACGGGGCTACATCTATCCCACTGGTGTGAACCACCCTTTTTTAGACCCCTTTATGCTTTCCCCTTTTCCATCCCTTCCCCCTCTTACAAGCTGTCGAAGCCTCTTCTTTTTTTCATTTTATCAACACATTAACCAAAAATTTATTTTAAAGTTTTCTGGTGGTAGAATTAATGCGTCAAGGCAAAAGTCCATTTGAAGCAATTAGAGAAGCAATTTTAAGAATTAAAAAGTTTTACCCAAACTTTTTTGGAGGAATAATAGCAACAACAATTGAAGGAAATTTTGGAGCAGCTTGTTCTGGAATGGAAGAATTTCGTTATTCTGTGGTTAAGAATAGTGGAGAACGGAGGGTCGAGGTTATGAAGGTTGTTTGTGAGTGAAGAATATTAGGTGGAAAAATTGAAAAAAAAAAATATTTTTTGATTGAATTTTTGTCCAAAATATAAGCCTTCCTGAAACGTGGGAGGTAATAAAATAGGATATCGGACAACCGATAAATACCGAAAAGTACCGTCTGTACTACAAATTTTCAACTATTCTGGAAGGTTTTTTTGTCCTGTTTTTAACATTTTTTGGCATTTATTTGGTTTTTTTGTAAAATCATGCTTTTATTAATATAAATATTATTCTAAAAAATTTTTTAGCTTACAGTAATTCTTTTTTTAAAAAATTTTTTGTAATTACACAATATTAATTTTTTCAAAAATTTTTTTCTAATAATTCTCATTTTTCTTCTTTTTAAAATATTCACTTATTTTATAAATAAATGTTATATACATATTAGCATATAAAAGGAACACAGTGGCATTTCATGTGTGCGTTACTTTACAGCCGAGTGAAGCTTTTTAGAACTCTTTGGCCTAACAAATATTAGAAAAAGAGGAGAGAAAGGGCGAACATGTAAAATAAAAGAATATATGAAAATGTTCGGCACAGTCCCGCAGAAATTTTTTGGAAAAATATAAAATAAGGAAAGAAGAAAGAAAAGGAGATAGAGGAATGAAATAAAAAACAAAAAAAATTTTTTTTAATATTAAAGCTGGTAGAATTGTATTTACGCTTGCGGGATAAAGACAAATACGAGGCAGAGACAGGAGATAAAAATTGTACTGGTACTCGGTAGATGAGGGGCAAAACACCGTCCGACAAGTTACCGTCCTTACATTAACATTAAGAGGCATGTTATAGTGAGGTTAGAATAGTCTTCAGACCCTACGGTTGTTAGGCCTTGGTTAGTTCTATTGTCATATCCCTAAAAATTATATTTTAAAATTGTCTTCTCGACGCGAAATTGACGGTATTTCTACTCAATTGTGCCGACTGTGTATTAATCGGACGGTGTTTCGTCCCAACCTGAAATTGTAGTGTTAGCTAATGCCATCGACTGCCTTTGGCAATGCTTGCTTATATTCTCCCTTCTCGTCTTTATTCTCACAAAACCTACTGTTTGGCACGAGAAAATATTTCTTCAGCCTTATAGCGTTGGAAAGACAACAAATTTATATATTAAATTTCCTTGTTGAAGATGACGACATTTTTTGCCAAATCTTTATCGATTTTAAATTGAATGGCAAAAAAAGCTGTCCCCCTCCTTCCCCTATCTTCCATCTTCATTCCATGTGAATAAATAAAACATCTTCCCATAGAAACATCTTTCACAGTCAAATCTCGTTATAATTCACCCCTTTGGAGCTGAAATTTTCTCTTATAATGAAGGGTAGCTTAAATTGGGAGTATCATTTGTACCAGGGATGTCACGGGTCGAAGTTGCGGGTTTGCGGGTTTGTAATTTTGCCCATTTTCTTATATCCGAAATTATTTGAAAAAGTGTATACGGAGTAATTTTCGTCAAATTTTTATAAATTTTTTGCGTACTTTTTGAACAGAAGTTAAAATTTTTTGACCAATTCTTGGCAGTTTGTCTGCCAAGCATAAGGCTATATAAATTGAAAATTATCTGAAAATAGGACCAAAAATAAAGGCTCAGGGTTCTGTTTAACCTACTCCATATATACTTTTTCAAATTGATTCCATATATAAGAAAATGAGAAAAATCTCAACTCGCAAACCCGCAATCGTCGACCCGTGACATCTCTGATTTGTACATCTCTCCCCCGACCCAGTAGATAGTTATTTAAAAGTTGTATCTTAAATTGAGTGTAACCCCTCTATTTTATGTACACCTCAATATAAGGCACTTTTTTTTATTAGTGATTGACCACTGTGTGGAGGAGAGAGGTCTAAACGATCCCTTCAGTTTAAGATACATCTCATTATAGGGTAGGATTTTTCAGACCAGTCGAGTGTCTTATAATGAGATTCCTTATATCGAAGGTTGACTGGTAAAATTTTCTGATTAAATTATAGGGATGTCCAATGTCTCTTTATCTTTATTATTGGCCTTTATCCTAGCACATGGCCAAGTGCTGTTGGGAGGTACAATTCCTGAATTCTATGACAATTCGTGGGCTGAATTGTTTCAACAGGGCAATCTCGGCAATGAAGGCATTAAAATTTTTAATTTAAAGACAAATCTAAGCCTTTAAGAAACCCTAAGTCGAGTTGGAGCAGCTTTAGCTCAACTCCAAAACAACCAACATAAACAAATCCCATTTGAAGAGAAAACAGAGAATGAATTGGAACAGGCTGAAGGAATTGATGAATTGAAGGATGAGGTTAGACACACACAATTGACCTTGTTATTAGATACCCTCTATATTGGGTACTGCTCATTATTAGATACCCCCTCTATTTTATAAATACCTTTATTTAGGCTTTTCAAAGTTAGTTTACTTCTGGGTGGTTGTGGAGCTCCCTAAGCGATACTCTCTATTTAATTAACCCTCATTATGAAGTACAATCTTTTCACTAATTTAGTTCATTCCCTTATAATTCCCCAGGGGGTATCTAAAAGTGGGTCTTGAGGTTATATTTTATTTATTTGGTCAATTTAAAAGGAGAGTTTTGTGTTACAACTTCCTCCAAACATTGGGCAAGCTCCGGGTATTGCATTGGATCCATTGAATCGACTTGTTCTTTTTCACCGATCTGACAGAGTTTGGGATGAATTGTAAGTAGTAATCCTTGGAAAATTAAAAAAAAACATTATTAATTTAAAGTTCATTTGATGAGAACAACCACCTAAACAGGTTTTTACAATGAAATTTGATAGAGCGACATTTGCGAACAAACGACATTTGCTGAATAAGCTTACGGAAAATTTTATAAATGTTTTCCGGAGTGCTTATAAGTTTTCGGTGAATAAAACTTTTCCGGAAAATTATAACTTTATTCTGTAGTTTATCACATAATACAAAGGTACTGTAGGCTTATAGTGTTTACGCAAATGTCGTTTGTTCACAAATGTCGTTCCACCTTCAGCACTCATTTGCAGATCCCTGGGCATCATTCCAAACACAACAATTGCTGTTATAGACACAGAATCAGGGGCAGTCTTGGAAGAACACGGAAAAAGCATGTTTTACATGCCTCATGGACTGACAATCGATGCCCACGGCAATAGCTGGGTTACTGACGTTGGAAGTCATCAAGTCCACAAACTTGACAAGGACTTTAAAGTTAGCGGGGGGGGGGGGTTTCCACTGATGAAATCACTCAAAATTATTTTCAGTTGATTATGAGTTTGGGAGAGAAACTTGTTCCAGGGGCAGATGACAAACATTTTTGCAAACCTACAGACGTTGCTATTGCCAGTACAGGAGAGTTCTTCGTGGCAGATGGTTACTGTAATAGTCGAATAATGAAGTTTGACAAGGATGGGAAATTGCTCAGTCAATTTGGGAAGCCTGACTGTAATGATTTATTATTTGTAGAACCTCTCTATAAGAAACTCTCAATATTAGATACACCTCTATTTAAGGCACTTTCATTATAAGGGAGGCTTTTCTAGAACCTCTCTATAAGAAACTCTCAATATTAGATACACCTCTATTTAAGGCACTTTCATCATAAGGGAGGCTTTTCTAGAACCTCTCTATAAGAGACTCTCAATAGTAGATACACCTCTATTTAAGGCACCCTCATTATAAGGTACAAGGTTTTCTAAACCTTTCTATAAGAGACTCCCAATATTAGTTACACCTCTATTTAAGGCTCTCTCATTATAAGGTACGGGTTTTCTAGACCTTCTCTATAAGAGACTCTCAATATTAGATACACCTCTATTTAGGATACTTTCATTATAAGGTACGGGTTTTCAGCCCAAGGGTTATCTTATAGTGAAGTCTCATTCCCTATAAAAATAATAATAATTTGTATTGTTTTTAGCCAGTGAAACACCCAAAAATGGAGAATTCCTTGTACCACACTCTCTAACCCTAATTGAGGATCTCAACTTACTCTGTGTTGCTGACCGTGAAAATGAACGGTAGACAAGCCTTCCTCTTTTGAATTTTTAATTTTATCCCTTTAAAGTATTCAATGCTTTTCTGCTGGATTAGAAGGCGCTCAACACCAACATAGACGTGCTTACGTCCCCACCGGCACTTTCTTCACAAAGGCTGAAAATATTGGTCGAGTCTTTGCTATCCGAGAGAAAGGCAAGATTTTTGTTCTTTCTGAATAGGGTCCAGCGGTGCGCGTTTTACGTTGATTTGTGAATTTTGCGTTGCGTTTAACTTATCTCTTGCGCACACCCCTGATATTTTATAACATAGGAGTTGTTCCGGAAAGTGTTTACGGGAATGTTTTATAAAAAAGTTTTCCGGAAAACTTTTCCGGAAACTTTATAAAATTATTTTCCAGAAAGTGCTTTCCGGAATTTAAATTAAATACTTTCCGGAAAAGTATCCAATTCCAGAGTTATAATAATTCCGGAAACCTTTTATTAAATTATCTTCATTTTAAGAACACTTCCTCGTCGGCGTCACCAATCAAGATCAAGGCAGTCAATTAGAATCCCAAGTTTTCGTAATGGATATGAACACAGGAAGGGCTAATAGCTTTGCTAAGGTAAATAGAAAAATTCGAAAAAATTCAAGAAAAAAATTTTTCTCAATTTTTAGGGTCTCGAAAACGCCCATGCCCTTGCAATCAGCGATAATGGAGATATTTATGTTTCACAAATAGAACCTAACCAAATTGTAAAATTTAGTATTTCGACAAACGAAAATTGAAAAAAGACGAAAAAAGCTCAGAAACGGGACGAATTTTCAGAAAAAAATTTTTTTTACCAAACAAAAAACCTCCAATTCATATCTCTCCCTTCTTTCATTTTTCTTCCCCCTTCTCCCCAAAAATTACAAAAAAAATTATTGTGCAAAAAAAAAAATGGCGGGCGAATGGCTGGCAAAGGATGGCGATAAATCTTTTAATTTTTGTTTTTATTTGATTACAATTTTTATTTTTAATTTACAATTAGAGGTGTTAGAAAAATTAGAAAAGTTTGAGAATTAAAGAAAAGAGTAAGAAAGAAATAGTACTAGTTATAAATAGACATATTTTCCGGAAAGTTTTAGAAAATTAAGGATGTTCCGGAAAAGTTTATAACTTTTCCGAAAATATAACTTTCCGGAAAAGTCTATAATTTTCCGGAAACCTATTCCATGGTTATATAAATTCCGGAATAGAGAGCTTTTTCCGGAAAAAATATAACTTTTCCGGAAAGTATATAAATATAACTTTTCCGGAAAGTCTATAACTATTCCGGAAAGTCTATAATTTTCCGGAAATTTTCATAGTTATTCCATAGCTATATAAATTCCGGAATATATAACTTTTTCGGAACGTTTAAATATAATAGTTTTCCGGAAAAGTTATAACTTGATTCTATAGTTATACAAATTCCGGAAAAGATTATTCACAGAAAGTTTGCGATAGAAGTTGAAAATATTCTTCCGGAAGGTTCTATAATTGTTCCGGAAAGAAAGTTATTAATAAAATACATTCCGGAAGTATTCTGGAAATGTCAAACGAGGTAGAGAAAAGAGAGAATGTTACACATAATACAATACTTAACACTCCACAGACACCTATATATCTTTATCATCCTCTTTTCATTTTGATATTTGTGGCATTGAATTGACGCGTTTTGGACCATTATAATTATTTACTAAATTATTTCCAGTTGGATTAATTTTAGCAATATTTGTTTTTGGAGGTATAGCCATAACAAATTTATTTTTCTTTTCTTTTCTGCAACAAATCATAAGTAGAAAACGTTCACGAAATTGGACATTTAAAGCCAAGTAAAGGAAGGGATTTACTCCACAAATAAGCATCTAAATTGGATTTTTATTTTTGGTTATAATATCAGAATATTCTGATTTTTATTCTGATTCTTTTAAAGTCAGAATTCTGATTTTTCTGGTTTTTATAATTCTGGTTTTTCAGAATATTCTGATTTTTATTCTGATTCTTTTAAAGTCAGAATTCTGATTTTTCTGGTTTTTATAATTCTGGTTTTTCAGAATATTCTGATTTTTATTCTGATTCTTTTAAAGTCAGAATTCTGATTTTTCTGGTTTTTATAATTCTGGTTTTTCAGAATATTCTGATTTTTATTCTGATTCTTTTAAAGTCAGAATTCTGATTTTTCTGGTTTTTATAATTCTGGAAAACCAGAAAAATCGGTTATTCATAATATTCTGATTTTTTAGAGTTATAATTCCGAATTTCTGATTTTTTAATTCTGGTTCCTTCAGAATTCTGATTTTTATTCTGATTTTTTAAAATCAGAATTCTGTTTTTTTTCAGAACATTTTGATATTTTAACAAAAAATTTTTTATCACCGATCCAATATTAAGAAAAGCAATCAAGTCTAAAGAAGCATTATTGGGTAATAAATAACCACAAATCATTAAAAGACTTAATGGCAAAAACTGTGAACTTGTCTAAAAATTATTAGAAATCATTAAAAATTAAAAGTTACTTAAAAATACCTGAAGCAAAATACGTCTTTCTTGGCGGCTTAGAATTTCACCAGTATTTTGATTCCCACGTCTCTTAGAATAAAAGTTTTTAACAAATAATTTTAGATTATTTTTCACAGATCAGAATTCTGATTTTTAATTCTGATTTTTTTATTCTGATTCTTTTAGATTTGATTAATAAATTCTGAGTTGTTTTAATTTTCAGAAATTCTGATTATTATAATTAATTTCCATAATATTCTGATATATTTTTATAGTCAGAATTCTGGTTTTTATTCTGATTTTTAAAAAATCAGAATTCTGGTTATTACTCTGATTTTAAAAAATCAGAATTCTGGTTTTTATTCTGATTTTTAAAAAATCAGAATTCTGATTTTTCTGATTTTTATAATTCTTATTCGCAGAAAATTCTGAATTCGAAGTTAGAAAATCTGATTTTCTGGTCCTTCTGATTCTGGTTTCCAGAATATTCTGATAATCAAAACCAGAATTTTGAATTATTTCAGAACAGGATTCTGAGTTGTTCTGATTTTCTTACTGATCAATTCTGATTTTTATTAGCTCACAAATTCTGATTTTTACTTACCCATTTAAGTATACAAACAATAGATATATAAGCAATAAAAGTAATTAACGGCAAAAACCCAGTAGATTTATATTCAATATCCCTCACAGTTTCAGTCCAAGGATACTGATTAGCATAACTCCAATAAAATTTTCGTGTAAAGTGAATACCGCAATATGGACTGACAAATACCCAAACAATTCCAACACAGATTACGCTTTAAATTTTTTAATAAAAAATATTTTTATTGGGAAATATAGATAAGCTTACAAACTGAGTAGTAGCAAAAACTGAAAAAAGAAAAATTCTGTTTTTTTAAATTGAAAGTTTTTAATTCTGATTTTTAAATTCTGATTTACTGAAAATTATGATTTAAGTTCTGAATTTAATTCTGATTTCTGATAATTCTGATTTTAAATTCTGATTTTATTAAATTCTGTTTTTAAAAATTCTGATTTTATTAAATTCTGGTTTTAAAAATTCTGATCTTAAATTCTGAATTTAATTCTGATTTCTGAGAATTCTGATTATTATTTAGTTCTGATTTTAAATTCTGATTTTATTAAATTCTGGTTTTAAAAATTCTGATCTCTATGTAAAATTCTGTTTTTAAAAATTCTGATTTCTGGAATTCTGATTATTATTTAATTCTGATTTTAAATTCTGTTTCTGAGAATTCTGATTATTATTCAATTCTGATTTTATTAAATTATGTTTTTAAAATTCTGATTTCTGAAATTTTGTTTTTAAAATTCTGATCTCAAATTCTGATTCTAAAATTCTGATTTTTAAATCTGAATTTAGATTCTGATTCGCCTATTCTGATTTTTATTTGTTAAGATTCTGATTTTTTCTCCTTTATATTACATTGAATAATCGACGCTCCCATGGCAGTTCCTGCTCTTTTATTGAAATCAAAAAGCAATTTTTAAGTACAACACTGCAACGATTCAATGCCAATAGTAATTGTAAAAAGAACAGAATATTCCAACTTGCAGCGTTTATACCACCTCCCCACTAAAAATAAGTATGAAAATAAAATGTGAAACAATTATCTGAAGCATGTTTCAAAAATGCTGAAGCATGCTTCAGATAACCTAAAGCATGTTTCAAAAATGCTGAAGCATGCTTCAGATAACCTAAAGCATGTTTCAAAAATGCTGAAGCATGCTTCAGATAACCTAAAGCATGTTTCAAAAATGCTGAAGCATGCTTCAGATAACCTAAAGCATGTTTCAAAAATGCTGAAGCACATTTGAGAAACCCTGAAACACGCTGAAGCATGCTTCAGTAAATCAGAAGCATGTTTCAAGGACTCAAAAGAATGCTTCAAAAAATCTGAACCATGTTTCAAAAAAGCTGAAACATGATCCAAAATTCCAACCTTTTCAAACTCTTCAGAAAAATCAAAATTAAGGAGTCCAAGCAAAATAAAAAGTCCATTTGCTAATAATTGAAAAATATCCGCTATACAGACTCCAAACATAATTCTGTAACAGCTATTTTGACGGTAATCTTTGTAGAGCATAAAAAGCTTGAAAAATGAAGCAAATTAGGTTTAATTCTGATTTTAAATTCTGATTTTTCAAAATTCTGATTTTCAAAAATTCTGATTTTTCAAAATTCTGATTTTTCAAAATTCTGATTTTTAAAATTCTGATTTTCTTAAATTCTGATTTTTCAAAATTCTGATTTTTGAAATTCTGATTTTCTTAAATTCTGATTTTTCAGAATTCTGATTTTTAAAATTCTGATTTTTAAAATTCCTGATTTACCGGCAAAATCGCAATTTGCATAAATAAAAATACAAAAGCAAGTACTAATCGAATTAATGCGTAAATTATAGTTGTATTCATGATTATGGTAAGGTTTAGAAATTAATTCTGAAATCTAAGCAAACTTTAATAATTTATTAATTAAAAAATATTTTTTGAAATTAATTCTTGACTATTATTCCTCTCTTTATCTATTAATGTAGCGTCTTGGTCGATCGACTATAAAATCGTCCAAAAAGCTCATAGAAAGCTAAAATTTTGTATAGATATCCTCAATACTTTTATTCATTTTCTCATAAAATTTCAGAATTTTTGGTTATCTATCAAGAAAGTTACAGTCAAAAATGTCGATTTTTGGGGAAAATACTACCTTTTTGCTACTTCTTTGACCAGAACTTGAGAATTATTTGACAGAAAATTCTGAAATTTTCAGAGAAACTGGATAACAGTATTGAGAATATCCCTGCAAAATTTCAGCTTTTTTGGGTTTCAAAAAAATATTTTATGAGTGCTAAACCAACGTCGCATCACCGATACTTTTCTCTCTTAACACCACCTCACCCCACTTTCTATCGTTTAGGGAGGTTTGGAAATATTTTTATTTTATTTCTAAGAATTTTTTAAAGTCAAGCATTCGACGGAATATTTTTTAAAAATGCCGAAGCTAAAAAATATTATTTTTTTATTAAATTAATTTTTAATGGTTCATTAATGTGTGTGTTTCTATTAATATCCCTTTATTAAATTAACTAAAAATTAATTTAATTTAATAATCTTGATGTTTTTGTACATTTTTAATTTGATAAAATTTATTTAATTTAAATAAGGAACGGAAAAAGGAGTGCCGATATACCAATTAATTTTCTAGAATATTTTTTATAAATGGGGAAATAAGAATCACAAAGTTTTAGAAGATTTGAAGCAAGTTTCATAGATCTGATTCAAAAAATAAGTCTCAGAAAATAATTGAAGCATGCTTAAAAAAGTCTGAAGCAAGTTTTAAAAATATGAGGCACCCTACAAAAATATGAAGCATGCTTCAGAAAATCTGAAGCATGCTTCAAAAATATGTGAAGCAAGTTTCAACGTCCTTAAGCATGCTTCATAAATAAATTTGAAGCATCTTCAAAAAAAATCTGAAGCATGCATCAGACATCAGAACATCAAAAAACGTCAGAAGCAAGTTTCAAAAACTTGAAGCATGCTACAAAAATAAACATGAAGCATGTTTCAAAAAAAAAGTTTCGAGATAACTCAAGTTGTTTCAAAAATATGTGAAGCAAAGTTTCAACAAATCTGAAACAAATTTCATAAATAAATCTGAAGCAAGCTTAAAATTAGTAGAAACAAGTTTCAAGAAATTTTAGAAATATACAAAATAAAATCAGAAATAAATTTAGTAAATAGAAACATGCTTCAAGAAACATGCTTAAATAGAAACATGCTTCAACCTTGACAATATACTTTGACAAATTATATGGTAGTATTATTAAATTATACAAAAAAAATTTTTCTGTTTCTTTTTTAAGCTTCAAGTTAATCAGATTATTTTTAATTTATATGTATGATTAATTTAAATATATTAACACCTGAACCAAAAACTATTTTTCAGTCTAAAACTGCGCATAAAGTAGGTACATTATGGGAATCAAAATTGTTTCTATACAAAAAATATTAGAAAATCAGACATCAAAAAAGGGGTAAAAATTTTTAAAATTGAAAATCTCACTAAAAAGTTGACAGTCTGAGTTCACTCTTAAAACAGAAAAAAATTTGTATAATACAAATTTTTAACCAGAAAACTTTAAAATATTTTCCCATAAACAAGGAAAAAAGTAGTAGTTATTAAAATTAAAAATTCAAATGTCAAATTTAATATTTTCTCACTCAAGTTCGACAATGTTACGGTTGAGGGAAAATAATTCTGAACTTTGCTTCAATGATGTAATAATTCTGATAGTATTTTAAAATTCTGATTTTATAGAAATTCTGTTTCTGAAAATTTTTTATTTTAAAAATTCTGATTTTCGAAAATAAAAATTTTATAAATTTTGCTTTTTTAAAATTTTGCTTTTTGAAATTTCTGGTTTTTAAATTTCTGATTTTAAAAATTCTTTTTTTTTATAAATTCAACTTTCAAAAATTCTGATTTATTGAAAATTCTGATTTCTGAAAATTTTGATTTTTTTAAATTTCTGGTTTTAAATTTCTGATTTTTAAATTATGTTTATTTAAATTCTGATTTTTATATAAAAATTCTGATTTTTGGAAATTCTGATTTTTAAAAATTCTGATCACCAAAAGTTCTGATTTTTATAAACTTTAATTTTCAAAATTCTGATTTTCTTTAAATTTTAATTTTTAATTTTCTGATTTCATAAAAATTCTGATTTTTGGAAATTCTGGTTTTATTAAAATTCTGACACTTAACAAATATACATATTTCTTCTTCTTATTGTTATTTTAATAAACAAAACACGGATTATTAATTAAATCTATCCCTCAAGGCTTAAAATAAAAATAATTTTTTTTTATTTTCTGATTTTATCTAAAAAGCATTTATTTATTACTTTTTTGGTCATTAATCCTCTCTTTTAATGTTCTAACGTTTTTTTATTTTTTTTATTTTATTCAAGTAAATTCCTGAATTTTTAGAGAGATTTTCCCCAAAACTTGCTATTTTATAGAAGGAAAAATAAAAAAATAAAAAATATATAAAATGGTTAAAAATAAATATACACACACATTAGCACTTTTAATTTAAAAATAAAAATATAATTTTTATAAAAATATTTTTTTAAAAACATTTTTCTACCTAAAAAAGTGCTAATCCAATTACTAGAAACTTTTTATGCTTTTATTTTAGTTTTTCCGTTGCTTCAAGTTTATTTATTTAATCAGAAGAAAAAAAGTTTTATTTTAAAAGCGTACACACCTTTAATCAGAATTTAATTAAAACTTGCTTAAAACAGAATTAAAACAGAAGTAACTAATCAGAATTAAAACTTAATCAGAATAACTAACGAATTAGCTAAACCAGAATTTAAATCAGAATTAAATTAAAACTTACTTAAAACCAGAATTAAATTAAAACTTTTTTTAATCAGAACAGAAATAAAACTTTTTTTAGAAAATCAGAATTAAATTCGAACATTTTAAATCAGCCTGAGAAATGTTTTAACAAACTTCAATATTTTTGTTGTGCGCAAAACATTTTGTAATCAGTAAAAACGCCATAACTAATTTTTTAATTAATTTTTTGTTTCTTTTTTGTTTTCTAAATGATTTTCGTTTTTTTTTAAATTTTTTTCTCCTTTCAAACTGTAGAGATTAATTAATTAATGTAAAAAATACTTTCTCTAATTTCCTTCCCTTTTTAATAAAATAAAAAAGGCCAGTTAAGCCGGCTATAACAAAATCATTAATTAGTAACTATCACAATGGGTGTCCGTCCCTCAAAATTTTTTATATGAGTAGAAAGGAGAGAAAAAACAATCCATTTTCCTTGTTTTGTTCGTGTTCACTCATTTTCTTGTTGTTTTTGTCCGCATTCCATCTTCACGGAATTAAAGAAAAATAAGAAAAGGAAGATGGGAATGAGCTTCTTCTCTCCTCATTTAATTTTCCCTCAAATCACTCCCTCAGTTGCTTGTCGACGTAGTCGGCGATTCGCGCTAATATTCACCGAAATCTTTGCTGTGCGCAAAAACTTCTTATTTAAAATTCTGATTTTTAAATAAACTTGAGTTTTTGATTTCAAGTTTATTTAGAGTAAAAATTCTGATTTATTCAAGTTTGCTAAATTCTGATTTTAATAATTCAAGTTTATTTATTAACATTTAAACTTGAAGCAAGTTTGTTTCTGAGATAATTCAAGTTTGTAAACTTGAATTTATTCAAGTTTCTGATTCAAGTTTATTTAATAATTTATTTAATAATTCTGGACTGCCAATTTTTGACCAAATCTCCTCATTCAGAATATTAATTTGGCTGGCCGAATCAACGATCATTTCAACTAATTTTTCATTTAATTTCAATTTTTGTGTGATCCATTTTTGTTTCAACAGAATAGAATTTGGATTCACAATATCCGTAATACCACAAAAGGTGCCCGACGAATCTGGATCAATTGAAACATGATTAATCTGTGGACGATTGAATCGGTTTAACCAACCTTTAGGCTTACGACAATCACGTCCGTAATGTCCAAAACGACCACAATTGTAGCACTGAATGTCTCTGAATTTGTTTTGGCTCTCTGAATAATCCGAATAATTGTTGAATCGTTGATTTCCCGAATTGTAGTTGAACTTCTTTTGATAATTACTTCCTCTGAATCTATCTTCTGAATTTTCATTCTTCATTTTAGAATTTTGAATAGATTGAGCCTGAATAGGATTTTTACTCACATTATTTACTTCGAATGAATAATCTGGCTCAAATTTTACCTTTTCTTGAATATTCTCAAAAACCTTGGCATCTGCCTTTGTTGCTAAATAACTGCGACATTCTTCTAACAATTGCTTGAATGTACATTGATCCGAATTGGAATGTCGTTCAACGAATCGCAGGCAAATTTGGCGCAAATCATTGGCTTCCTCGGGAATCCCTGCAATGAAAATAAGAATTTTCGAATCTTCGACCGTTAGCGCCATCTCTGCTTTTTCACATTCAGAATTAACCACTGCCCCAAAATCTAACACTTTCTCAACACAGGGGCATCTTAATTTGATGACTTCGAATCGTTTCACAATTTTGGACCGAGGGTCTCCGAATTCATTTTCTAACTCCTGAATCAGAATATCGAATCTCATCGAATCTAACTTCTGGGGCATCAACTTCTGTGAAATTTTAGCATATTCACTACCCCCTAACTTGGCGACTAATAATCGGACTTTAACATTTTCGGCTAAAGAATTACCTTCGTTCTCAAAGAATGATTTATGCTTCTCGAACCACGAAGCAAATGTTTTGCCCTTGTCCAAATCGAACTCGAATTCTTGAATCACAGAATTTAATTTGCAATATAGCTCGGCTGACTTTTCTTCTGAATCTTCTTTTTCCTTTGTTTTGCCGAATTCCTTCATGAAATCTTGCGTTGACTTCAGAATTTCGCCTAACATTTTTACTGCCTCTGTGTCCATTTTTAACTAGAATATACAATTAGAATTGAATAATATCCGAATAAGAATAATACCTTTTGAATCAGGTTCGAATACAACTGCGACCGCGCCACTGTTATGTACGTGACTTGTATGTCTACGTACTAACAAGAATAACAACAAGATAAGACAGTGACTAACAAACTGTGCTTTATCTACAATACTAAATACAATAGGTTGCGAACAATAGAATATGGCTAAACGCCGAATACGTGGAGACAGAATAGAATAACAGAATAACACTGCGACAATAAGACTAAGACCGCGACTGAATAATAGGAAGGCTTTTATACTAAGCCAATACCCAACAGTTTCTGATTATTATTCCTAGGTTTCTGATTTTTGCTTCAAGTTTATTCAAGTTTCTGAAATTTGTTCATCTAAAAATCCCCCACAAACTTTTTTGCGCACATCCATCTTCTAGCACTGCTTTTCACCTCTTCTTCTTCCCCAATTTTCCTTATATTCCTCATTAATGCTCGATCGTTATAAAGCAGATTCGATGAGCACTTCCTGAGTTATATATCCATCCTTTTGCTTATTTTACTTTCTTTCTCCCCCATTCCTTTCCCAAAATTCCCGCTTCTACACAAACTCGTTCACTTTCTAATAAAATTAGTGACCGTAAAAATCGAGAAAAATAGAACATAAAAATTATCTGAATATATTCTTATTTTCAGCCAATGGCTACTCAAATAGATAAGACAAAAGCTGGAGAATTCAGTGAGAATGATCTGAGGTATAAAAATTCTGATTCCAAGTTTATTTTTAGAAAAATTCTGATTTTTTATTTAGAAGCGTAAACTTGAAACTTACCAGAATTTCTATTAAATATAAAACAGAATTTTTATTAAAACTTTAAAATAAACTTGGAAACTTGGAAATAAACTTGAAATTCTGATTTGTAATTATTCTGAAAGTAATTCAAGTTTATTAAAACAAGTTTGTTTCTGAAACATGTTTATTTTTAAAATTCTGATTTCTCAAGTTTATTAAATAAGCTTAAACTTAAGTTTATTAAAATTCTGAAACAAGTTTTTTAAAAATAAAATTCTGGTTTCTCAAGTTTACCAACTTTTTCCTAGGCATTTTCGCCGGATCGCTTTTGTCGCCGTTGCACTTTCTACAGTATCTATGTTATCCTGTGTATTATTAATGCCAATAGCTTGCCAATATATTCAGCGGGTCCAGTCTTCTATTAGCAACGATATAGACTTTTGCCGAGTTTGCAGAATTAAAAATTTTTTTTAAATTTTTTAACACTTAAAGAGCAGTAATCGACATATATTATCAGAAGTTGTTGGTGTCCAAACAAATAAAGGCCAAATGGAACACGTTCACCGACTTAAACGAGGCAGTAACTCTGCTAACGGCAATGGTAGATGGCTTTTCGGGCATTTTATTCAAGACGGCGATAATAATAATAATATTCCTCTACAAGGGAGGGAAATTAGAAGACAACAACCATCTTCGTATAATGCACCTAGTGAAGCTGTTGAGTTAATTAAAAAATATTTTTAACTTAAATTTAACTGTAAAATTCTAAATTTTTTAATCCTGTTTTATTCTGAAATTCTGATTTTTCCGAAATTCTGATTTTTCCGAAATTCTGATTTTTCTGAAATTCTGATTTTTCCGAAATTCTGATTTTTATTTTAAATTATGATTTTTCCGAAATTCTGATTTTTATTTTAAATTATGATTTTTCTGAAATTCTGATCTTTTTTAATTCTGATTTTTTCTGAAATTCTGATCTTTTTTAATTCTGATTTTTTCTGAAATTCTGATTTCTTTTTTAATTCTGATTTTTTCTGAAATTCTGATTTAAAGTTTATTTTTAAAATTCTGATTCAAGTTCAACTCAAATTAATTAAAGGCAGAATCCTCAAGTGCAGCTTATGCCCCAGCACCCTCTGCCCCAGTAGCTTCAGCGCCTGTTGCTTCTAGTGGTGGAGAGGAATGTAAAATACAAATAAATAAATAAGACAAAAATCTAATCTTTAAAGGTTGTGGCTGTCAAGTTGGACCTGCCGGTCCTCCCGGTGATCCAGGCGTGGATGGAACACCGGGGAAAGGTGGAAACTTAAATAAAAAAAATTCTGATTTTTTCAGAAAAAATCAGAAAATTTTTTTTTTATTTTTAGACGGAAGTCCTGGACAGAATGGACAGCCAGGACAAGGTTCCTCCAAAAAAATAATTTTTAATTAATTAAAAATTGTTTTTAGACGCCCCACCAGCAGCCCCAGCAACTCCTTGCGTCCGCGAATGCCCTCAAGGCCCACCTGGTCCGCCTGGAAGTCAAGGAGACAAAGGACCCAAGGGATATCCTGGAGAGCAGGGAGAGCCTGGAGCAGCTGGAAAGCCTGGTCCGAGAGGCCCTGCTGGCAAACAAGGTCCGCAGGGACCGCCTGGAATGCCTGGAAGGCCTGGGGACAAAGTAAAAGATTTTTCAGAAAATTTCTATAAAAAATTTTTGAAAATTTTCAGGGAGAGCCTGGCAAGCATGTACCTGGAGTTGCACCACCCGGACCACCAGGAAGACCTGGTGAAATGGTGAGTTTATATGAAATAATAAAAATTTTTTGATAAAAAATCCTCTGTGCCTATGATTCTTAATTTAAAAAAATTTATTTCAAAAAAATTTTTAGGGCCCTCCAGGACTACCTGGACCTCCAGGAGAAAAAGGTTATTTAATATTTTTGATTTTATGTTTTAAATTTTTGAAATTTTATTTCAGGCAAACCAGGAGAACCTGGACCACAAGGACCTCAAGGCGATCAAGGTAAAATAAAATGGAGTTGGAAATAAAATCATATATAGCACTCCGTTTCTATATAACTAAAATAAGCATTCCATCAGTTTAAGATATGTTTTTTATATTCTGATGTGAGGAGGGTTGTCGGCAGTAACCGAACAGAAGAATCAAGCATCTTGTTAAGTACCGACAAAACTATTTTGAAGGTCGCTGGGTGGAGGTAGGACACCTGTTGGGAGGCCACTAACCTCTACTTAAGGGACCGCTCATTATAAGGTCGGTTTTTTCAGTCCCAAGGGAGCATTTAAAAATAATGTTAAATTTTAATAAATGTATAATTTACAGGCAATCCCGGGCCTTATGGAAAGCCAGGTCAACACGGCCCTCAAGGTCCTCCCGGTCCAAATGGATCTGTTGGATCATGCGGTGAGTCAATATTAGAAATATTCTGGAGAAAAAAAAATTTAATTTAGATCATTGTCCAAAACCAAGAACTCCACCAGGCTATTAAACATACTATATATTTTTTGTTGGAAAACTACAAGCCAATAATAATAAAAAAATTTTTTAATTAGTCCAAAAATGCATTATTTTTTAAAATAATTAGAATTTAATTAAAAAATTTATTTAAGTAAAATTGGTATTTTTGTGTGATTTGATTAACCAAAATTTCTAATTTATTTCTAGTTAGTGAAAAAATTAAATTCTGATTTTATACATAAAACTTATTTCCTACAACTACTAAATTCTGATTTGTAAACTTTTATGTTGAATTTAAAAATTCTGGTTGAAAATTCTGATTTTTAAAATTCTGATTTTTAAAATTCTGATTTCTAAAATTCTGATTTTTAAAATTCTGATTTTTAAAATTCTGATTTTTAAAATTCTGATTTTTAAAATTCTGATATTCTGAAATTTTTAAGTTCTGATTTTTAATTCTCACCTAAGTATTCTGATTATTCTAATTTTCATTTTCTGATTTAATATTCTGATTAAAATTCTGAATTATTTTTTTGTTTGTTAAACCTGAAGCAAGATTTTGAAAAATTCTGAAGCAAGTTTAAAAGGAAAAGATGTTTCAGAAACACTATAAAAACCCCTCAAAATTTGTTCAAAACAATTTCTCTTCCAAACACCTATCAACACAACAACATCAACATGTTTTACAAACAAAATTTAATTTGCTTCATTTTTATTCTCCTTTCCAAGCTTCAACAAAACGTCTACAATGCTGCTAATGTTCAAATGGTTAATAGAGGCAACAATAATGGCCGTCAACATAGAAAAGCAACAGGAGGGGACGACGACTACAAGAGGTGAACCTCGTTTTAAGATACCCTCAGTAGTAGAGACCCCCTAATTATGGTATTTTGATTGGCCATTGGGTGGGGGAGCTCTCTCTAAGCGATACCCTATATTTAGGATACCCTCCATAATCATTTTTCAGTCATAAGGTTTTAAACGCAAATCTCTCATTTTTTAAGGTACATGACATCAGAAGATGATCCTCAACATGTAAACTGGCTCAGAACTTTAAACTGGACTCGATTTGCAGTTATAGCTTCAGTTTATCTTATAATGTACGAGCTTTTTAAACCCTTAAAAATTTAAAGTATTAGAAAAGCTTCTTTTCTTTTTAAGCACTCTTCTGTTTTACCTCATCAGTCGTTATCTCATCCGAATAAGAAAACGGCAGGAAGAGGATTTGGCATTGCTAGAAGAAACTATTGGGTTGGGCAAAACAAACAAGGAAGCTGAGAAAAGGAAGAGAGATGAAGAGGAAATGAAGAAGAGGAAGAGGGAGGAAGAGAAGAAGAAGAGGGAGGAGGAAATGATGGGAAGGATGAAGAGAGTGAAGAAATGCCCCTCTTCCCTTTCGAAAGAGGATTCGTCTACTCTTGAAGATAAGTCAGAAAATACAGCTATTGAGGTGAAGGAAGATGGGAAAAAGAAGAAGGAAGAGATGGGAGGAGGAAGAAAATATCTTGATGAAATACAGCAAAAAGTGAAAGAATCTTTGGAGAAGAGCTTGAAAATCGACGACCGGGTTCGAATGAAAACGGTGAAGGAAGAAACTAGTCAAACGGTAGGCTTTTTTAAATTGGGAAAATTGAAAAAGTTCAAAATGTCGAAAATTCAAAAAAATTTCAAAATGGTAAACCCCCAGAATTCAAAACGCCAAGCCCCCAAAAACTTTCAAAACGCCAAAAACCCATAAAACATTTAAATGTCAAAATTTATCTTTTTTCAGAGTTTGGCAAGCAGCGTTTTCTCGGATTCTTCTTTAATAACCTCCAGCACTGGTAACGAAGACACTCAATCATCTTCAATAACAGAGAAAGAAGAGACTACCGAAGGGACAAGTAAAGACGAAACGAAGGAAGAAACAATTACGAATGACACAACAAGTATAGATGAAGAAGAAAGTTATTCTTCCGACTCATCTTCCGATACGCTTTCTCCAGAAAATGAAGAGAAGGAGGGGGAAAAGGAAGAGAAAAAAGAGGGGAAGGAGGTGAAGGAAGAGAAGAAAGAAGCAAAGGAGGGGAAGGAAGAAAACGAGGAAAAGAAGAATGAAGAGAAGAAGGTAAAGGAAGAAAGAGAAATTTTTGATGATGAAGATGAAAATTATGAAGAATATGAGGAAGAAAAGGAAGATAATGATGAAGAGAAAAAAGTGGAAGAGGAAGAAGATAATTTTAGTAATTAATTTGTAGTTTGTGGTTGTTGTGTATTTAATTTAAATAGTGTATTTTTTGTGTGCGCAATAAACTTTTTTTAGTGGAAGGAAAACGCCAAACTTTAAATTTGCGTTTGTAAGCGTTATGGCGTTCACAGTTAATTTTCTAAATTTAATTTTTAAAATTCTTTCTTCCCCCAAATTTTCCACCAAATTTGTTCTCTTATCTTTTAAAGAATGGAATTTAATTATAAAATATACATATTAAGCAAACAATATGGAGATGTTAATAATACCTTTTATAATACTCTCACATTTTTTTGGAAGACAAGTAATTTAAAAAGATAAGCCAGAAACTCTTAAAAATTATTTTTCCCATAAACACAAAAATTTTAAAAAATTAAAATTCGAATATCACACAAATTTTTAAATATTTTCTCATCTATTCCAAAAAATGCTACTGGCAAAATGTGAAAATAATGCTGAATATCTCTTTCTAGTTTCCTTGATTTGTACTTTGGGTAACTAATTTTCTTGATTAATAAAAGCCCCCATGTTCCCTTTATCCTACGTTCCCTGTGGGTTCTCTTCGGACTACTAATGTTACCTATGTTCCCTCGACTACTTATGTTCCCTTCACCCCATGTTCCCTTCGGACTACTTATGTTCCATTCACCCCATGTTCCCTTCGGACTACATATGTTCCCTTCAGACTACCTATGTTCCCTTCACACCATGTTCCCTTCAGACTACTGGTGTTCCCTTCACACCATGTTCCCTTCAGACTACTGGTGTTCCCTTCACACCATGTTCCCTTCAGACTACTGGTGTTCCCTTCACACCATGTTCCCTTCAGACTACTGGTGTTCCCTTCACACCATGTTCCCTTCAGACTACTGGTGTTCCCTTCACACCATGTTCCCTTCAGACTACTGGTGTTCCCATCACCCCATGTTCCCTTCAGACTATTGATGCTCCCTTCACTCCATGTTCCCTTCGGATTACTTATGTTCTCTTCACCCCATGTTACCTTCAGAGCCTTCACTCCCTAATCTCTTCAATAACGTCACCTCCACCTCGTGTTCCCGTCACCCTTGTTTCCTTCAGACCTCTAGTTCCTTTCACACTATATTATGCCTTTAAGTCCTAGAAATTTCTCTCAAAAATTTAAAAATTTTCAAAGGTGGCCTTCTCTTCGGTTATTCTACTGGTGTAACTAATGGTGCTTCAAGCTTTATTCAACTAGATCTCCAACTTAAACCTGTAGAGGTTGGGTATATAACGGGTTCTTTACTTGTTGGCGCTGCTTTTGGTGCTTTAATTGGGGGGCATTTGGCGGGTAAATTACTCAAAGTATTTCGAAATCTTCTCACAATTCTTCGCATTTTCAAGACAAATTTGGCCGTCGTCTTGTAACTCTTGCTAACAGTTTTGTATTTATTTTGGGAACTCTTGCTTCTTCTCTTTCACCTAATTTAATGGTTTCTTTATTTTACATCATGCTTCTAAAAACCTGAAGCATGCTTCTAAAAATCTGAAGCATGTTTCAAAAACCTGAAGCATGCTTCTAAAAATATGAAGCATGTTTTAAAAAACCTGAAGCATGCTTCTGAAAACATGAACCATCTTTCAAAAAATCTGAAGCATGTTTCTAAAAACCTGAAGCTTGTTTCTAGAATCCTGAAGTATGCTTCTAAAAAATTTGAAACTTGTTTCATAAAACCTGAAATAATTTAATAGTTTTTCCAATTTTGGGATCAATTGTTTCAATTTTTAAATTTTTAGTTTATGCTTTTTGCAAAATTATTGTTAGGATTAGCTGTTGGTTGTGCCTCTGCAGTTGTTCCTATTTTACTTGCAGAATTGGCTCCATCTGAGAAAAGAGGGCAAATGGTTACTCGTAATGAATTGATGATTGTTCTAGGGCAATTTGTTGCCTTCCTTAGTAATGCTATACTTGGAACTATTTGGGCAGATGAGTTAGTTGAAATTTTTAATTAACTCAGCATCCTATGTTCCCTTCGAATTACTTGTGTTCCTTTCTGACTACTATGTTCCCTTCGGACTACCTATGTTCCTTTCGGACTACCTATGTTCCCTTCGAATTACCTGTGTTCCGTTCGGACTATCTATGTTCCCTTCGAATTACCTGTGTTCCGTTCGGACTATCTATGTTCCCTTCGGACTACCTATGTTCCGTTCGGACTATCTATGTTCCCTTCGGACTACCTATTTTCCGTTCGGACTACCTATGTTCCCTTCGGACTACCTATGTTCCTTTCGGACTACCTATGTTCCCTTCGGACTGCCAATGTTCCCTTCGGACTACATATGTTCCTACTCATTTTGTCAAAATATTATTTTGTCACAAAACAAAATAAACTCATTTTAGTCCACAAATATGGCGTTGGATGCTTGTACTAGGAATTATACCAGCTTTAGGATTAATGTTTGGGACGTGGCTAGTAGTTCCAGAAAGCCCCCGTTGGCTAATATCAACCTCAAACACAAAACAAGCATTAGAAGTGCTTAAACAAGTAAGAGAGAGTGAAATACAGGCAATTAATGAATTGGAGGAAGTTGAGAAATTAGTAGAGTATGCTAGAAAAATAAATGAAGAAAAGGTGGATATTCTAACGATGCTTTTGAATGAAAGGTGGGGGCTTATTTTTTAGTTATTTTTTAGTTGGACCTCATTATAAGAGTGAATAATGTGCATAAATGAATAATGCCTCTATTTAATATACCCCTCGTTATAGGGTATCAGTAACAAAGATTCATCCATGTTCCATTCGGACACGTAGACTATGTTCCTTTCGGACTACATGTACTCCTTTAATACCCTTTTAGTATGCTACCGTTATCTGCCTAGTAGTTACTCCACTGGGAGAGTTGCCTGGTAGTTCCTCCACTAAGAGACCTCTATTTAATATACCCCTCGTTATAGGGTAGCAGTCACAAGGATTCTTCCATGTTCCATTCGGACTACGTAGATGTTCCTTTCGGACTACATGTACTCTTTCAATACCCTTTCAGTATGCTACCTTTATCTGCCTAGTAGTTCCTCCACTGGGGGAGTTGTCTAAGTGATCTAACCTCTATTTAATATACCCCTCGTTATAAGGTACAATTTTCAGCCCCAAGAGTGTATCTTATAATGAGATCCAGTAACCCGAAAAAAAATAATTTTTAATTAGATGGATATATCGCTGTTTGTTAGTTGGAATTGGGATTGCTTTGTGTAATCAAGTGACTGGTTAATTCTTTTAATTAAAAAATATTTTGTAAATAAATTTGTGTAGGTGTCAATTCAATAATGTTTTATGGAACGGAAATTCTTAGAGAAACAGGCTTTTCAAATCAAATTGCTTTAATGGCTAATATTGCTAATGGGGTAAAGCAAGCTTTTTTTCTCAACTTAGACCTTCCCCGATGTTTCCTTCGGGCAATATAACTTTTAGATTTTGAAACATAACTAAAGCGTGCTTCGAAAAAAAACTAAAGCAATTTTCAGAAAATCTGAAGCATGTTTCTAAAAATCTGAAGCATGCTTCAGAAAACCTGAAACATGTTTCAGAAAACCCGAAGCATGCTTCCAAAAAATCAGAAGCATCTTTCTAAAAATTTGAAGCATGCTTCAAAAAATCAGAAGCATGATCCCTTCCACCTTGTTTTCTTCACTCCATGTTTTCTTCACTCCATGTTCTCATCACTTTACTCATCCCCAAAATTCCCTCAACGCCATAATTACTTCCCAACACTTCCTCCATTCCCTCATCCATAAAAAAAATAACTTTTTTTTCTCCCAATTAAGCTAATTTCTGTTTTGGCTACTTCAACTAGCATTTGGCTACTTGGAAAAATTTCTCGTCGCAAAATGTTTATAATTGCTCAATTCTGTATAATAATCGTTCACTTATTAATTGGCCTAAGTGAATTGTTTCTTAATAATGGGACATCAAAAGGAATCCTGGTGCTCTGCCTAAGCGTTATCTTTTTGGCTTTTCAACAAGTTAGAAAACACATTAAAATATTTTATAAAAGTTGAAGCATGCTTCAAGAAAATGTGAAGCATCAGAAACAAGTTTCAAGAAATATGAAGCATGTTTCAAAGAATTTGAAGCATGCTTCTAAAGATCTGAAGCATGTTTCAAAAAAGCAGAAACAAGTTTTAAAAAATCAGAAACATGTTTTAAAAATTCAGAAGCTGCTTCAAACTATCAGAAAATGCTTCAAATGTTTTAAAAACGAAATTTAAAAAATCTGAAGCATGTTACAAAAACTTTCAAAAAAATCTGAAACACGTATCGAGAAATCTAAAACACGTATCAAAAATTCAGAAACATGTTTCACAAAAAACCTGAAGCATGCTTCTTCATAAATTTTTCTTTAAAAGGGCTCCATTTCACCTATAACATGGCTTCTACTCTCAGAAATTTTTCCACTAAAAATTCGTGGATTAGCTGTCAGTATCAGCACATTTATATTGTGGATATCAAATGCTCTAGTTGGAATATTTTTCCCTATTTCTTCAAGTAATTTTGGAATTGGGCCGACATTTTTAGCTTTCTCTGCTCTAAATATTTTTGCTTTAATATTTTCTTTATTGTGGCTACCAGAAACTAAAGACAAATCTTTGGAAGAATTGGAGCAACAATTTATTAATCAAAATTGGAAATTAATTAGAAGGCCGGGGAAACAATAATAGAAGCAAAAAAAAATGATTTTTTAATAATTTATTTTTTAAAATTCAAAAAAAATTTTTTTATAAATATTTAGATAGTTTGTCTCTATACCAGGAACTTCGCGAAAAAAAAATCAGAATTTGTTAAAAATCAGACTTATAACTATTTTCCCACATTGCTCTCATAACCCATCCACAATCTACCCACATCCCCACATTCATTACACTCCTACAACTTAAATCAAACCGACAAATTTAGAGGGCTACACAAGTGCCCTCTTACAAAAATAAACTATTATCGATGTGATGAGCACCATCGATTGGACAAAATTGAAACATACAAATAAGCAACAATAATAAAATTTCCATGGTGTTTAAAATATAGGAAATTTTAAAGAAGAAAGGAGATAGACTAGTAATTTTGATACACTCCTTTTTTCTTTTCTCTTCTCTGCTTTCTACAGTACTCCTTTACGTTTTTTAAAGTGTCCCAACAAATAAAATATACAATATCTCTAAAATGCATTGCATGACAAAATGGTCAGAAAGGGAAAAAATTTAAAATCGTAGAAGAGAATTTAAACAAATTTTTCTTTTGTAAATTTACGAAAATATGGAAATCTTTTTCAAGTCGTCCTCATTTTTTTCATATATTTTTTTCCTTATACAAGCACTTGTATAGTTGTTTATACAATGTTCGGAAGCTCGTATCAAAATTCAATCCCTCCTTATGCTCGAATACGAGAAAAAAGCCAACGTAGTCGAGTAACTTAAAGCGAGTAATCCTTTTACGTTATGATTTTATTTTTGAAATAAAAGTGAATGAAATATTTTAATTTTCTTATAAATTTATCACGAGAAGTGTGAAAACATAGTTAGATAAATTGTTGTTACGAGAAGTGTGAAAATTGTTGTTGCTCAATTTGTTGTTGGCATAGAATGGAAATGAGATTTATTTTTTCCTTAAAAATTATTAAAACGTGAAAAAATCGAGTTATTTAATTGAATTATTGTTTGATCCCATCGGAATAACTTAGGTGCTTCGAAATTTCAGATTTGCCCGTCTCTCCTATTTTGGCCTCTTAGCTAATCAAATATGTGTTAAAATTTAAAAAATCTTTATAAAATTTTAAAAAAATAATTTATTTATTCATCAAATATAAATCCAGAAATTCAAATCAATTTTTAAAACTTGTAGCATTTTGTGAATTTCCATCATAAATTAAACTATTATCTACAGGAATATATTGATTTGTACAAAGTTTTATTGCTTCTTGTGCAGCAACCCCTCCTATAATAGCTGAAATAACATGCAATTCTGAAGCAACAAAACGACAAATTTCTTCAATTATTTGATCAGGGAATAATTGTTCTTGTTTTTTGATTAGTTCCGAGTCCTGAAAGAAGAGAAAATTTTTTTGAAATTTTAAAAAAGATAATAAAAAGAGCATAATTTAATTTTGCGGACAATTTCTAAACTTGCGGATATTTTTCAAAATTGCGGACAAAATTTTGCGGACATTTTTTAGATTTGCAGACAATTTTGAAACTTGCAGATATTTTTTAAATTTGCAGAGAAATACTTGCGGACATTTTTTAAAATTGCGGACAAAATTTACGGACAATTTTTAGATTTGCGGATTAATTTTGCAGACAAATTTTTTAGATGTTACGGTCTACTTTTTAAATATTTTTAAAGGTTGGTTAAAATTCCTTTATGTTATTAAAAACACAAAAGGACCCTCTTCTAGCGGACATTCTTAAAATACAATTTAATTTCCTTCCCCCCCCCTCCTCTCCACTATTAGAAATAAAAAATCCAAACCTTAGTTTCTCCCACCAATTCACCCAAAATTCTTTTCATTTCTCGTAGATCACCTTCTTCTTTAGGAACACGTCCATTTGCTTCTTGAAATCGATCAACAACTCTCAAAAGTATATACCAAGTTAAAGGGTCAACAACTGGGGGAAGTTCGTCTAGTCTGGGCTGTTCAATTTTTTGTAGTAATGACTGGAAATGGAAGGGAATTTTGAAGTTTTTTTGTTAGAAAAAAATTATAAAATGACAAAATTAGAAGTAAAAATGAAAAATCAGCTAGGCGTATGGTTAGAAAAAAATTTCAAAAAAAAATTATTTTTGGTTAAGTGGGTTAGAACAAAGTTCGTATGGTGAATGGACGAGGGTTCGATGCCGCTAAGGGAAAAAAATTAAAAAACAATCTGTATAACTAAAAATAATACTTTTGAAGTTTTAAAGGAAAAAATTATGAAAAAATAAAATATTTTGATTTTATAAAAAGAGGAAAACTTAAAAATTAAAAAAGACATTTCATCCCAAAAAAATTTTTTAAAAAACCTTTAAAATATTTCCATTGAATTCCGAGCTAAGCGAAGTCCCATATTGAACAGCAATTTTTGAAGCATTTTTACAAAAATTTTTGCATTGTTCTAATGTAATTTTAGGTAAATGTTCCTCACTAAATTCTTTTGAAGTTTCCATTAATGAATGGGCTGTAGAGAAGTCTTCTCTAAAAATTAAGAAAAAAATTTTCTTAGAAAAAAATTTTTTTTTATTTAATAATTTTTTATTAAATAAAGGTCCGCAAGGTTTTGTCCGCTAGAAACAATTTTCCATAGAAAATTTTGTCCGCAAAAATTTTTGCGGACAAAATTTTTTCTTACGGACAAAACTTGCGGACATTTTTTCAAAAAAGAAAAAAAGTTTCCCAAAATAGTATTAGATAAAATTTACAAAAATATAAAATATACCCATAAGAACCATTTCCTCCTCCTTCTACTTCATTATCATCATCATCATAATCGTCCATACTTTCCATAGATACGCTAATTCTTTTTTTAAGTAAATTATTATCAATTTGTTGTTGTTCATTAAATTCTGAAGTTGACATTCTAGATAATTCTTCTTCATCTGTTGTTACATTTGAATTTTCTTCATTATCTCCTCCCCCCTCCTCCCCATTATTTTCTTCTTCTTCAGTCATTTCTTTAATTATATTATAAAATAATTGAGCATCTTCGAATGATTTTTCTCTGAAAAAATTTATTTATTAAATCATTTTGGGCTCAAAAAAATTTTTTTTAATTTTATTTTGAGTTAAAAAAATATTTAAGAGTTCAAGAGAAAAGAAACAGAAAAGCACGAACAAGAAGGATTCGAAACAAGAGGCAGTAGAAACAACAACAAAAGACCTTGCCTCCACCCTACCAAAATTCCAGTCATTGATTTTTGGATCATCCAAAAAAACCAAAATAAATATTGGAGTCTTTACTAGATGAATTTGATTTTTTTCCTACCAAGGTTCAGGAGCCCGCAAAAATTTTACAGACTTTTCCCTTATAGAAAGGCAACTATGTATTAATTTATTTTGAAGGAAAACTTTTATTTCCAACTCATGTCCGCAAACATATTTTTGCGGATAAATTATGTCCGCAAAAATATCTGTCGATTCAATGACAAAAACTTGCAAACATTTTTTCCTTTCCTTACATTTTTAAAAAATTTAATTTAAACAAAAAAAACCTGTAAATCCCCAATAATTGAGCATATCTTTTAGAATCACTAGTCATATCAGGAAGTTGTCCAGATATAGGCATATGGCCATATTTCGAAATAAATTTATTTAAAGCTGAGCAGAAAAGCCAAAATAAATTAAAAGTAGAAGATTTGGAATATTTGGAGACATTACAAGATGAATTGATTTTTGGGTCATCCAAAACTTTGGAAACATTTAAAGGTACCTAAAATTTGGAAAAAGTATTTTAAAAGATATATGAATGAGGCGAAGCAATTTGTGAAAGAATCGAAAAAATTTAAGCCAAGTCCTCAAAAAAATTCAAAATTGTGTAAATATAAAAAATTGCAGATTATCCGCAAAAAATACGACATTCGACTATAGACCTAAATAGTTTAGAGACCAAAAATTTTGAACTGGGCTCGAATCCTTCATTAATCTGTAGTCAAGGAAAACCTCAATTTTGAAAAAACAAAAAGCCAAAAAATGTCAAAAAACCAAAAACATTAATGCTAGAGACACCGAATCAGAGCTGTCCGCAATTGAAAAAAATTTTCTTCAGATGCAATTTTAATTTTAAAATCCGCAAACGCAATCCGCAAGTCAAAAACACGCAATTTCACGCTATTCCGGACAGCTCTGATCAGAATGCCTCACAACTTTCAAAAAAATTAGAAAAAAAACCTTAGTCCTTCCCAAACTTTTTAACAAATTCCTCGTTGCTTCCATAAAATTTTCTTCATCCAAACGTCCTTTATCGTCTGGTTGTCTCATTTCCAACAAAATTTTTTCAATTTCTTTTCGAGTTTTGTAGTCTTTAATATTTGGGAAGAATGAAAGTTTGTTTCCTCCTTCCTCCATTTCTTCGACATTTTGGTCAATTGAATGTCTAAAATTAATTTTTAAAAAATGTTTTTGATTTTTTTGAGTGTTTTTAAAATAAAACAAGAAGCAACGATCATGATTAGAGTTGCCGTTTTCGAGTTGGGCCGACGTTCGAGGAATTTTTTTCGTGCTTGTTTTTATCGAGTCGGCCGGTACGAGTCACTTTCGGGTCAAAATATCTTAGGCCCGACTCAATATTACGGCCCGAGTCGGTCCATTTTGACAACCCTAATCATGATTTGGAGAAGACCTAGAGGAGAAATTTTATTTTATAAACACACTGGACATCAGTTAAGAATAGAGATTTGTAGAATTTGTCCAAAAAACTGCTCGGATTAGTTATGAGACCAATAGAGGCTTACGAGTCCAAATAAAAAGTTTCTAATTGTAAGTCCAAAGAAAACGTATGACTCTGAACTAGTCTAATTAAAATATAAAAAGGCCTAAAGCTTGAATGAACTCATAAACTAGACAAGAGCCCAAAACCCAAGAATCGATTAAAAAAAAGTTTCAAAATTAATTTTAAAGTATATCCCCGCTAAAATAGTCAGTCTCAATAAAAATTTAAAAAAACCTCTCTTTCCAAATTTCAATAGCTTTAAAATATAACAAAACATAAGGTGTATGTGAATGTTGTTCATGAGTCATTGAATTGAGATCTGTTTCGTTTGCAAGTTTTAACAATTCTGGGAATGGAGAATCGATTCTAAAAATAATTAGGAAAATATTGGCGTGAAAATTGGCAAAAACTAAAGTTTTGGTTAAGTGGTTTAGTAGTTAGTTCGCGTAAGTGGGGGATACGGGTTCGATGCCGCTTAACGAAAAATAATTTTTATAAACTAAAAAATAAGTTCTTATGCATAAATAATAAAACAATCACGTATAAAAAATTCAGAAAAAATTTTTTGATTAGTTTAGCTGTCTTAAAAGGTAAAAATGAGCATTCGAAACCCAATCCTTTAAAATTCCATTTAAACTTATAGTCTTAAAATACGCCCAAAATTCCCTCAGAATTAAACAAAAATTGGTAACAGTGTTGTTATCAGGCCCCCATTTTCACCTTAAGTTCTTTCATATACACTCTGTCCCAAAATTATACATCCACCTATATTTTTGGCATAAGTCCGTAAGTTGTTAACGGATTTGAATGAAAATTTAAAAGATAATGCAGAAAGACATTTTGAAAGTATATATAAAATTTGAAAAAATTCTAATTATGCACTCAATATTTACAACTATTTATTTGTAAAATAGGTGTCCCATAAATATACATCCACCTTCCAAAAAAGTTATTTCCGATTATAGGAAAAATCTACAAAAATTCCAGTAAACTTACACATTGATATTATAAAAAAGTAAAAAGAAAGTAGGTCAATATCTTAACCCGAAGCCGAGATCCTGAGACCTCGAAAATCAACGTAAAACAGGGGTTTTCAAATTCAAAAAATATTTTCGACCCCTTATGGATTACTGTAAATTTTGATTTCGGGCTCATTCGAAAGCCCTTATAATTTGCTACAAAATAGCAACAATCTTATTTTCCAGAAAAATTTTTAATGAGAGAAGCAGGCATTTAAACTTTTTATGCAGAAAAAAGCGCCTAAATGCCCCATAAAATTAGCGTCGGGAAATTAACGACCTACATCTGTCTATCAAATTTTTTCTCAAATACTAGATCAAATTTATCTTATAGTAAATTTTAATGGCTTTCGAATGAGCCTAAAATGAGAATTTAAAAACAACCATAAGGGGTCGAAAATATTTTTTGAATTTGAAAACCCCTGTTTTACGTTGATTTTCGAGGTCTCAGGATCTCGGCTTCGGGTTAAGATATTGACCTACTTTCTTTTTACTTTTTTATAATATCAATGTGTAAGTTTACTGGAATTTTTGTAGATTTTTCCTATAATCGGAAATAACTTTTTTGGAAGGTGGATGTATATTTATGGGACACCTATTCTACAAATAAATAGTTGTAAATATTGAGTGCATAATTAGAATTTTTTCAAATTTTATATATACTTTCAAAATGTCTTTCTGCATTATCTTTTAAATTTTCATTCAAATCCGTTAACAACTTACGGACTTATGCCAAAAATATAGGTGGATGTATAATTTTGGGACAGAGTGTATATACAGAATGGTCAGAATTTTTCTTTTGACGAATTTAAAGCCGTTTGGTTGGCAATTGGATGGAAGAAGAGAAAAGGCTGACCATATAGGGTGAAAAAATGGGGGCCCGGTAACGACACTGTTACCCAAAAATTAAGTAAAATTAACAAAAAAATAAACCTCAAATCATAACAATCATTAACACTTCTATTATTCCAAATAATATGTTCATTAAAAGATAACCGCAAATACCCCAACATTCCAACAGATTTTACGAACAAAAAAGGAATATTATTTTCAAACAAAAATTTGTCCAATTTTATAGCTTCATTTGCCAACATATTTGTTCCAATAACCAAAGAAAAATTTAAAAGCATAAACATTTCGTGTTTAGAAAATTCTCCAAAAGGGACTGGGGAATGTTGACCGTGAACTGATGGATTTAATTCCTAGGAAAAAAATAAAAAATGTTTAAAAGAGAAATAAAGGGGTCGAGGGCCCAAACTTTAAATTTAAAGAACATCCGCCTAGCCTCTGTGTACGGTCAAAAAAAATTTTCAAAAAAATCACTTTGGTTAAGTGGCTTGACGTTAGACTCACCTAGAAAAAGGTTCGATGCCGCTATAAGGAAAGCAATTTGTATAAATAAAAAATGATTGTTTTCAAATGTTTAAGGAGAAAAATAAATTATTTTGGGATTGAGAATTGGATTTAATTCCTAGAAAAAAAATGTTTAAAAGTACAATGAGGACTAAACTTCCAATTCAACAAGAACAAATAATTTAATTGAGGTGTCCAGTCAAAAAATTTATCAGAAAAATCACTCTTTAGTTAAGTGGCTTAGAGTTAGTTTTAACTAATAAATGGACTCGGGTTCGATGCCGCTAGGGAAAAAAATAATTTGTCTAACTCTAAAAAATATTTTTGAAATTTTTATAGGGCAAAAAATGGGGAAAATCAAACTAAAACAGATTCACTAGACAACTATAAATTAGAAAAAAATAGAGAAAAACTTTAATAAAATCAAAAGAGAAAGCAAAACACACCAGAAATGTAATGAGGTGAGAAGAAAGTTAAGTCAGATTTCGTAATCGGTTTTAAAATATTTCATGGATCGCCTTTCGGATTTCAGGTCGGAAAAGGCCCGGTTTTTAACTCACAGATTTACACTCCTTGCTACACACCCCCCCCCTTCCTACCAAAAAATTCATGGATCGTGTTTCGAATTTAAGGCTGGAAAAAGGCCTGGTTTTTAACTCACAGATTTCGGATAACCCGTACCCTCCTTACTATATCCTCCCACTCCAACCAAAAAAATCAATAAAAATCAAACAAACCGTCAATAATTTAACCAAGCATTCTCCTCTCAATTTCCCAACAGAATCAACATCCAAAAAAAAGTTTTGTCCCAAATCTGACGTCTTTACAATTGAATTATTAATAATATGAAAATATCCAACACCCGCCAAAACTAAACTTTTTAATATTTCAGCAGCTAAAGCACTAGAACCAAAAACACAAATTTTTGCTTTTTGAATAGTTTTTTGTCCTTCATCTCCCCACAAACGAATTTGGCGGTCATAACGAATTTGTTGTTGTTGTTGCTGTAATTCTATATCCATTCCTTCTTATAAAATTTAGTAAAATTAAAAATTCAAAGGGTTTTTTAGAGACTACTTTGCCCAACCAGGACACGCCCAAAACGGTTCGGGCCAAAACGGCGCGACCGAAACGGCGCAGGCTAAAACAACGGCGCGACTGTTTAGGTTGCATCGTTTTGGTCCGTGCCGTTTTGGTCTGTACATTGCCCAACCAAACAGAAATAAAATTTATTCAGCACGTTTCGAAAAAAAAATAAATTTTCAAAAATCTCGATCTCTATTGGAAACCTCTATTTATTTTTCAACAGTTTGGTATTTTGAAGGTTTTGGAGGCTTTTGGTATACAACAATGTAGTATTGATTCGAAAAAAATTCAAAAAAACTTTAAGGAATTTTTAAAAATTAAGAAGGTTTTGAGTGAAAATAACCAAGAAAAAATAAAAAAATAAATATACAAAGAAAAATGTATCAATCAAAAAAACAAAAAAATCACACAAAAAAAGTTTATCAAATAAGACAAATCACAGCTTTAACATATACCTATATATACATACAAACAACACTATAATATACCTCTACATTTTTAAATATCAACACAATATAATATATATCAGGGATGTCACAGGTTGAGAAAAAAAAGAAAAGTTTGACCTGTTTCGAATCGAAAAAATCAAAACAAGAAGGTCCTTTCCGACCGGGTCAGACAAGAGGATTAAAAGGTTCACGTTTCGAGTTGAAAAAAATTTTCGTGTCCCGGGGCGGATTTTTTTGAAAAAAATTTTTTTGGAGTTTAGGATAACCCGTATATACATCCCTGTAACCGACATAAATACAACAATATAATATACAATAATACCTATCACAACATAAAATACCTCCCAACACAAATTATATCTAAACAAAACCTCTCTTCTCTCTTCTCTTCCAATCAATTAATCTTTTCAACTTCAATATCAATTCCTCCTTCGGTAGTATTTTGCTTCTGACAAATAGAAAACTTCATTTTTGGATTATATTTATTGGAAAGTTGGAATTTTTTAGTTCCTAATTGCACATTTTCTTCAATATTTTCAGCCTTTTCAGGTAATTGATGACCAATATCACTTTCAGCAATCCCCAACAAATTAATTTTTTTGACCATTTTTGAAAGATTTTTTGATGTTTCAATATTCTAAAATATAAAAATTCAGAATTTACATAAAAATAATTTAATTGACCCGAGTCCCGAAAAATCAAAAAAAATTTCAAAAATTTCCGAAAATTTCCAAAAAAAAATTTTTTTAATCCTCGAGTTCCAAAATTCCAAAAAAAAATTCGGCTGGAATTTTCGACCTTTTTGAAAAGAAAATTCTGATTCCAAAAATCGGGATTTAAAAATTTCTTGTCCCCCAATTTTCTTAAAAAAACGAAAATTTTAGACAATTTTTCCAAAAACAAAAATCTATTGAGGAAACCCCCTAATTTTTACAAAAAAATTAATTTAACAAACAGACCTCTATAATCATGTTGTAGATATTCGGAAGATTCTGATACATCGGCAACACAGGAAAGTTCGGTCTTGCCCGAGTAAAAAGTGCCCAATAGCTTCGATAAACAACTTTAGAAAATTTGTTTCCTCCATTAGCCAAAATGTTGAAAGCAATGTTGATATTTCTTCGAATATTGTCAGACGGCAGTTGAACAAAAAATTGATCAGAAATCAGATGATTCAAAGCAAATGAAGAAAAATTTTCGTCTTGAAGACTTCCAGCCAGAGAAAATTTGATCTTTTTGGAAACCAATTCTTTCTTCTCTCAAACAAAATTTGAAGCAATTTTGGATTGAAGATTACATTGTTGTTCATATAAATAATTTCGAAGCAGCAGGCAAAAAGTTGTTGGAGAAAACAAAAAACAATTTTCATTTCTTCAATACTTTTTGGAATTTTTGGAAGTTGGAAATAAAAATTTTCTAAAAAAATAAAAATTTTTTAGAATTAAAAAATTCTTAAAGAGTTGAGAGACCCTCCCCTCCTCTCACCAAAAAATCTTAGTTATGGGCCTGACACCAAAGATGGGATAAAAACCAGATAATTTGGACATTCTTCGATCCAAAAAAGTTGAGGAACTTTCAACCACAGAACAGAAATGCCTCGTTACTCAAAACCTAATTTTTTAGAGACCCGATTCTCGATCCGAAAAATTTTCCAATTCCTCAGACCCAACATGTCTCCCTTTTAATTTCGCTGACTGGTGACCCAACCCCAAGCCGATAACTTGAACTTCGAACAAAAAAAGCAATTAGAAAATTTTTTGAAAATCCGATCAGAACCCCCCATCCTACTTATTCCCCCCATCCCCTTCTATCCACTATTTTCCCCTCTCAAAGTAAATTCTAAAGACTCTAATAAAAATTACGAAACTGTTTTGCAGAGCATCCACCAAACAAATAACTTCAACTTTGTAATCATCCATTCCTGTAAATGCACACAAAAACGTAGGAATTGAATCTTCTATTGCACATTTCCACTAAAAAAAATTTTTTTTAATTATAGTCCTGTCCAGTTTATGCGCCATAACACACCTCTGGGTTTTTCCAAGTCCAAACATATTTCAACAGTTACTCAGAACCATGCTAGAACCTGGAGATCAGACCAAGACGGGATCTCTTGTTAAAATCTATGGTCCCAGTTATTTTGCGTGTGTAGCATAACTCTGGGTAATTAAGCTCTATTTCCCAAAAATCTTTCCCCACAAATTTTGTTTGGACACACAAAGGCGCGTTTAAAACGCATAAACTGGACAAGAGCCAAAAAATTAAAAAAAATTTTTTTAACCTTTTTCTCAAGCTGTTGACTCAATTCGAACTTGAAAGGTTCAACAAGTTTGAAGTCCTTGATATTGTTTTTGTTGTCGACATAGAACTAAAAAAAAGTCCGAGTAGAATTAATTTGTAAAGAAAATTTTTTTCTTACGAGTCCAAGTTCATCGAATTTCTTCTTTGCCAAATCGTCTTTGTATTGCCTAACAAAATTTTTGAAATATTTGTTGACATGTTGAACAGAGAATAATTGATTGAAATTGAGGCATTTAAGAATGTCATGTTTGACTTCATGTGGAATAGAAAGAAGCGAAGGCATTTTGTCGAATAATTTTTTTAGAAAGAAAAATTTTTTAGGTCTGAAAAAGAAAGGAAATTAGTCACAAGTCTTAAAATGAAATTGAGTATCTACTTAAAAAACCGCCAAATACCAAACTCCCCAAAAGACTTTCCGAAATACAAAAATGTGGATTCTTGAAACAATCTTCCATTTGTTCGAACATACCTCTCTGTATGTTTGTATATTTCCACAATTTGGTATTTTGGCCGCCTTTGGAGAGTTTGGTATTTCGGCGGTTGACGCGCTTTCTTAAAAAGAGTAACTCGAATAAAAAGACAAATACGCACAATTGCTCCTAAATGGAAAGCAAAGGATAAAATACAAATAATGCGCAGCGGTTGGCTAAGGAGTAGATTAAGACTGAACTTAAGCGGCTGCTTTTATACTAAAACAGATACCCACAAAATTCTTCTTTGGTAGATTTGTGGGACACGTAATCTTTTGAGTTTCTTGGTGTCCCATTTAAATTTGTTCGCTCTGCCGAATGGCACAATTGTTTCCCAATTATTTTGGCACTTTACATTACCCCCTTGTCTCCTCCTAGAACTGCATGCTTTTCAAACAGCGGAAGAAAACTCCAAAAAAATCTAATTTTCCAACCTTAAGTTCCTCGTCATTTCGCAAAGCAAGTAGTAAATCAACCCATCCTTCTTGTCCAATAATTTTTAACTTTGGATGGTCTCTAGAAATTAAAAAAACATTGGTTAATTCTTCTACAAACATTCTACTTTAACCACTTTGTGACAAACTGGCCTGTGACAAAATGTCCATGTCCCAAAAATTTTCTCTTAATTTTATATGAAATTCCCTAGTTTGTATATTTCACCAATAACACATTTTGCCAATAAGGCTAAAAATTCTCGTTTTGTCAACTAAGCATATTGGCAAAATGTAAATTTTTAGCCTTATTGGCAAAATGTGGTATTGGTGAAATATGTGGGAGCCGAAATTTTCTTGAATTTTTTTCTATAATTTTTCCCAAATTTTAATTTTCTACATTTAGACCCTCTAACCCTTAAATTTTATTTTTTTAAAGAGAAAAAATGTTTGGAACAGCTTTAAGAAGACTTTCAGCCTTTCCACTACACAAAATTACTTCGCCTTTTTTTCCACGAAATTTATCTTTTTCAAATTTATTAAAATCTGGTGATTATGAATATGAAGATCCAAAATGTGAAGATGAAGTTGTTAATGTTACTTATGTTACTAGAGATGGGCAAGCTAAAAAAGTTAGAGGAAAAGTTGGGGATAACGCTATGTATTTGGCACACAGGTTTTTTTTGGAAAATTTTATTTTGAGGGTTCCCAAACTCTTGAGGGACTTGGTCTATTGACAGTGTGCATGTGTCTAAAATAGGGATGGGCCGGGCTACCTGGAACCCGGACTTTTTCGGCCAAAACCGCACCTCGATTTTTTCTTCAGTCCGATCCATTTCCGTTTTAGAGTTCATGAAAAGCCCAGGGCCCTTCAGGAAGCTTGAAAATGCCCCTTTATATGAAATCATGATAAGGAAAGAATCCCATGCCTGGGCTTTACATCACATGCCAACCAGCGATTGAGTTCTGTCGACACAGTTCGTGAGCCAAATCGAAAGGCAGAAATTCAATCCTTTCTACCGGTTTAAGACTAGGCCGCTGCTGGTGATGACTGATATGTTGACCAGAACACCGGCCATAACAAAATCCTTGTGACGTCAACTTTATAAAATGGGCAAAAATCTTTTTTGACGTAACCATAAGAAAAGGGGAATTGAAGGAAGAGTTCCTCCCTCTTTCCCCCAAAAACAAAATTTAAAATAACTTTCTCTCCTTTTAAGATATAATATAGAAATTGAAGGAGCCTGTGAAGCTTCTTTAGCTTGTTGTACTTGCCATGTTTATGTTGATGACAAATTTTATGATAAATTGCCTGCTCCGGTTGAAGACGAGGAAGACATGTATTTATTTATTACTTAATTTTTTAATCTAAAACCAACTTTTTTCCGTTAAAATTGACAAATCACGCGATAAACCATGTAAATTTACGATTCTAGTAAGCAAAAATATATTTCCGTTAAACATGACTTGTGGTCAAATTGGTAGTGCTCTTGATTTGTGGGGGGTAATAATGCGGGTTCGATTCCCGCCGTTTGTGGAAGCTTTATAACTCAATTTTTGAGTAAAATTTTTTATAAAATGTTAAAATTAACTCCAAAAAATTTCTAAAAATTTTTTTTAATCAAAACACACCCCCTACAAATAGACAAAAATTATTCCCGAAAAATAAAAATGTCCGCAAATTTTGTCCGCAAAATTTTTTATTTAATTTTTTTACAGGTTAGATATGGCCCCATTATTAAAACCAAATTCAAGGCTTTCTTGTCAAATAATTTTAAATAAAGAATTGGAAGGAATTATTTTAACATTGCCAAAAATTACAAGAAATTTTTATGTTGATGGACATGTGCCTGAACCTCATTAAATTTAGTTGTTTTTTTTTAATTTTATTTTTAAAATATATTTAAATAATATTTATTTTTAATTATAAAAATAAATCGGTGTAAAATTTTATTTTTTATAGACCCAAATTTTTATGCAAATTTTTCATTTATTTTAGTGAGAAAATATAGAGGGTCCATTGTTTCTTTAACGTCTTTTCTTTGGGGGCAAAATAACTTTATTTTTTAGAGGTCTCGGTAATAGGTTAAAAAATAGAATTTGGACCGAGACAAGATCTCTAATAAAAATCCCAGTTCTTGTACAGCCCTCAATGTAGGCCCGTAGCCAAGTGGGAGTAGTGGCGAATTCTCCACGAAATGCGGAAAAGGGAAAAATTTGGGGAGGAGATTGGGCAAAAAACCCTGGCTACGGAACTGCCTACATGTCCGGGCAGATACATTAGAGGTTTACCTATTTCCGCAAAAAATCCCTCAACTTACATGCATATTTGAATTGGAGGAAGTAAATAAATAAAAAATTTTTTAAATAAATGTCCGCAACTTTTGTCCGCAAAATTAAAAAAAATTTTAATAAAAAATCCTAACACCGAAAAAAATTTTTTTCCAATTAAATTTTAAAAAATAAACCTCTTTTAATCAGTTCAACAATAAAAATTAATATTCATATTTCTTTTATTAATTCCATAATTTTCTTCTTCTTCATCATCCCTCTCTTCCATAATATCCTCTTTATTTTTAATTAAATTACTTAAAATAATTCCAATTAATATTGTTATTCCAATAAATTTATTTGAATTAAACTTCTTTAAACAATCAGAATTATTGTCTATTTTTAATGTTTTTATTTGCCAAATTAAATGTGAAGATGAAACTGGAAAGAAGAAAAAAATTTAATTTGGGATTGGTGACTGGTGTACTAGGCAAATTTTTGTCAGCAACCTATTTCTGTAGATTCGTCCGCAAAAAAATTTTTTTTAATTTAAAATTTAGTTTTTAAAAGGGGTTTAGGCATTGCCCTAGTCAGAGACATTTTCCGTATTAAAAAGTATCGGGATAATTTCAGTTTATGACTCAGAGTTGGCAGAATAGAGAGATGACCGGTGCTGGGTATTTTGGCCTTGACTGGGACCTTTTTCAAATCTTACAATTAGCCTTGGATGTCGCCGGCTCCAGAGCTAGTCTCAAGAGCCACACAAGATGACTAGGAGATGAGAAAACCCTATTTCCTTTCCCAAGAAAAAAATTCCTTTCTTGAGAGCAAAAACACAGATTAAAAAAATACAAAAAATCCAAAAAAAACCTAAAAGCGAAACAAAAAAGGGCCAAGGCAATCCTTGCATATATCCAGAATATAACAAATTTAACATCATTGTTAATCCAAAAAAGCTTAGCCAAGCTTCTCTATTTTTGCCAAAAGTAATTGCTGTTGATCCCAATCCTATTAGGATATCCTCTTCTTGATCCTAAAAATTTTGATAGAATTATGGATTTATAAAGCTTTTAGGCTGCCAACAGAGCACCTTTTAGTTTGGAAGGAGAAGAATTTTTAAGGGGAAAATTATAGAGAAATTAATCAATAACCTCCAATTTAAAGATAACACTGGTGCCCAAAAATCAAAGAACATCAACTTTAGGATATGGAAGGTGGTGGTATATCAGGGATGTCCCATTGAGCCTTCCGTCTTTTGCCAATTGACTTTCGCTTACTCGAGGTTATCAATTAGTTAGCTCACACCTTCACCCAGTGGCCAACCAAACGTTTAAAAAAACGTATGAACACTCGAGGAATTCCATTGTCTATTATAGTTAAGTTGGGGAAAAAATTGGAAAAAGTTTTGGATCGGGTTTTCAAATTTTCTCCGAGTTGAGGTTCAGTTCGAAAAAAAATTTTTTCACAAAAAAGAATTTAAAAGAACCTGAAATGCATAAATAGTATCATAAATCATTGTCCAAGAAATACAAGCCAAATAGAGGGGAATACAAATTTCTGGCACAAATTTTCCAGTGACTGCTGTGCATCCTAGAAGAGCTCCCCAGTTGAATGTTGCACCTAAAAAATGTTTTTGATGGCTGATAAGATAAAATTAAGTCTTCAAACACCCACAGGCTTAAAAAATTGTCCCTTATAATGAGGTATCTTAAATAGAGGTAATGTGAAAATCATCAAAAAACCCGTCTTATAATGACTTATTTTAAAATAAGGATATTGTCTAGACAACATTCCCCAAAAATTCTGAAGCTTGCTTCAAGAATTTGCTTCAACGATTTTAGAAGCACGCTTTAAATTTAATGAAGCCAATTTCTATTTAGTAAAATTATGAAAAAAAACCAAGAACAAGTTGAGGCCAGTTAGTAAAACGTTTTGCTAGAGGGTAGACGACAACCAGCCAAAGTGAAGAAGCACCGAGAATTATACTAAAAATGTTTTAAAAAACTTTTATTTAATTAAAAAAAATTTATTTTCCATTTTTAATTACTTAAAGTTTATTAAAAATTATTTTATTTTCAAAAAGAAAATTATTTACTTAAGCAGAACTCGAACCCACCCCATTAAAAAAAATCCCCAAGACAAATCAAACTACACCACAAATGCAACAATTAAAATATTCAAATAAACATCCAAGTAACTTAACAAAAATTAATATAAACCTAAGCGAGTTGAGTTGCAGCAAAACAGCTAATGAAGCAGAAAGTAGACCACCAAGAAGAAGAACAGCTTCTTTTTCAGTAAGTTCGCCGTTTGCTAAAGGTCTGGATTTTGTACGAGCAACCTAAAAAAATTTTTTTTCAAGTTGTTCAAAAACTGAAACAAGTTTCAAAAAAATTCGAAACTGAAGCAAGGTGCTTCTGAAGCAATTTTTAATATAAAGCAAATTGCTACTGAAACAGGTTCAAAAATTTTTTTGAAACTGAAGCAACTTGTTTCTGAAGCAAAATTCAAAAAATTTTAGACGAAGCAAAATGCTTCTGAAGCAAGTTTGTGAAGCAAGTTTCAAAAATTTTCTAAGGTTGAAGCAAAATTTGCTTCTGGAGCAAACAAAAAATAATTAACCTTCTTATCAATATCCTGGTCCCAGAGATCATTAAGTATACAACCAGAACTTCTCATAAGAAAAGATCCAACACCAAAAAGCCCCAACAAATAAGCATCAGGTAAACATCCAGGAGAAGCACTCAATGCAATAGACCAGGCGCCAGGCCAATAAAGAAGCCAAGTACCTAAAATTGACTAAAAAGGATTTTGAGAAGCTGAAGAAAGTTTTAAAAGTATTTTGAAGCAAGTTTCGGAATCAAGTTTAAAAATTTTTGAAGCATCAGGCCCGTAACCAGGGGGGGGGGTGGGGGGGGGGGAATTCCCCCCCCCCCCCCCGAAATGGGAAAAAGGAAAAAATTTGGGGAAGGGCTGGGGCAAAAAAGTGAATTTTTTTGGCCTACGGCCTTCGAAATTTTCAAAATTTTCGCCTGCGGCGCTAAAAAAGGACGAAATCTGGCTTCTTGAGGTCCAAAATTCAAAAAATTTTCGCCTGCGGCGCTGAAAATCAAATTTTTGGCGCCTGCGGCGCCGAAAAAGTGAATTTTTTGGCCTACGGTCTTCTAAAATTAAAAAAATTTTCGCCTGCGGCGCTGAAAATAAAAATTTTTGGCGCCTTCGGCGCCAAAAATTTGGCGCAATAAAATTTCCCCCCCCCCCCCCCGAAAAAAAATCCTAGTTACGGGCCTGTGAAGCATGCTTCAGATTTTGTGAAACATGTTTCAAATTTTAAAGTTTTTGAAGCAAGTTTCAGGTTTTGTGAAACATGTTTCAAATTTTTTGAAGCAAGTTTCAGATTTTGTGAAACATGTTTCAAATTTTAAAGTTTTTGAAGCAAGTTTCAGGTTTTGTGAAACATGTTTCAAATTTTTTGAAGCAAGTTTCAGATTTTGTGAAACATGTTTCAAATTTTAAAGTTTTTGAAGCAAGTTTCAGGTTTTGTGAAACATGTTTCAAATTTTTTGAAGCAAGTTTCAGGTTTTGTGAAACATGTTTCAAATTTTTTGAAGCAAGTTTCAGATTTTGTGAAACATGTTTCAAATTTTTTGAAGCAAGTTTCAGATTTTGTGAAACATGTTTCAACTCTTTAGAAGCATGCTTCATATTTGTGAAGCATGCTTCGACTTTCTAGAAGCATGCTTCATGTATTTTTTGAAACTGATTTTTAGTAAAAAAATTAAAAATATTTAACCTATTGGTTTGTCAGCTCTCATCAATTTTAGACAAGAAATTAATTTATTTGTTGTCTTCTTTTCTGGTAATTTTGAAATTTCATTTGTTGTTGAATAAAATCGAAGAAATTTAGAATTTATTAATCGTTTAAGTTGGAATAATCGAGTAATTGACAAATTTGATTGAAATTGAAGCAAAGAGAAGCAAGTTTTCAACATTTTTTCTGTTTTAAAAAACTTGAAACAAATTTAGGGGAAAAATAAAAATTTTGTGACAAAATTTAATTTTTTACCCTTCTGGACGTTTTGAAAATTTGAGATTTTAACTATACAAATTTACATTAATTTATAAACTGCTAAACAAACACAAGGAAGATAGAGAAAAACAAAACTTTTAGTGTTATTTAGTTAGAGAAAAATAGACGAACAATTATTTAAGCTAAAATAGGGGATGTTTGAGTCCCGCCGGTAAAGTCCCGGAGCCATACTCTGGGCCATAACTTTTTGAGTTTTTAACCAATCGGAATAATTCTTTTACCATTCGAAAGCCCTGGATGTGAGGATTATTTTCGTCAACTAGAATGATTTGATTAAATCATTATACAAAAAGTTACATCTCGATAAGTGCGCGCAATCGTGGTTTTTGATATTTATTAGGCTATAACTTTTTGTATGTTGGTCTGATCACATCGATCCTTTTAGACTAAATAATCCTTACATTAATAGCTTTCTAATAACATATAAATTGTCAAAAGTTATAGCCCAAAATAGGGCTCAAAAACTCAACCAGCGGGACTCAACTGGTACTTTTCGTTTAAACTGTCAAACAAATAACCGCCCCATATATTCGCGGCCATATATTCGCAGCGGTTTTTTACATTTTCTTCCATTTTGAATCGGCTTTTTCTATCTTTTCATTTTAAATTTTGGGGAGAGGTGTTGTTGACACTTTCCAACTACCCCCAACACAACACTTTTTTTGTATACATTTTCCCACAAAAAAGAAGAAAAATTAATTTATTCACAAAAAGAGGAAGGGTCATTTTTAACAGGGAAGAGAATGTGTGTGTCCATCTCTCTCTCTCCCGTACTTTTTTAACCACTTTTTACGGTCATTTTCGATCAAAAAAAAATTTTTTTTCTTGATTTAATATAACTGATATCTTTGTAAAAATATACCCGAAAAAAAGACAAATAAATATATTTTTATTATTATTTTTTGGCCAAATATTTATTTACCTTGCCCCTCTTTATTTTCTCCCTCTCATTTTCCCTATTTAAAAAGACTTTGGTTTTCTTGATAAAAAAAGAAAAATTATTTTTATGATAAAAACAAAATTTATTTTACAGTCAAACCTCATTCTTAATACCCTCTCGAAGCTGAAAAATATTGTTCCTTATAATGAGGTGTTTCTTAAATAGAGGGTAATGCAAAAATTGTCAAATTAGTTTTTAAAAACAGCATTTTTCCAACCTATTGTTATATTAGGAGGGAGTAAACTAAGAAAAAAATGTACCGTATACTTAGAAAAATTATTTTGATCCATTTTGTCGTCTGTACTTTTTGTCGTATGTACAATTTTGTCGGTTATGTTCGAAACTAGGGTTGCGCCCCGACCCCGACCCCGACCCCGAACCCCGACACTTTTTGACCTAAAACCCCGACCCCGACCCCGACATTCCCAACCCCGAAAACCCCGACCCCCGAAAGTTCGACCCCGACGACCCCGAACCCCGAAAAATTTTTATGACCCCGACTCAAACTGCATTAATTAACTAGAGATCGGAACGGGATCGGGACTTTGATGTTAAATATATGAAGGAAAAGGGAAATGAATATTTATATTTTCTCCTATTTCCTTTTGTTGGTCGGTGGGCGAGTGGTTAGGTTAACTGACTTCACCCATCTAGCTATTTTGATAGGTATGGTGTTCGAATACATCGATTGAAATGAGACTGAGAAAATTTTTCTTCTCAAAAATAAATATTTTTAAACTTTGATCTTGATTTTAAATATGCAAATTTATTTTTTTTAATATTTTAAACCTGAAAAAATTTTAGAAATTTTAAACTAGTCATGAATTTTCCAAAATTTTCACCTGTTGCGTAGAAAATGGAAGAAATCTGTCTCTTGGCCTTCCTAAATTCTAAAAATTTTCGCCTGCGGCGCAGAAAATGGAAGAGATCTGGCTCTTGACCTTCCAAAATTCTCAAAATTTTTGCCTGCGGCGCTAAACTCAATGAAGGGATACAGAGGCTTTAGGAGAAATTGATGGATAGATGGATTTCTCCAGTTATACTTGCAAATCCCCGATATCTCTTCAAATCCCTCTAAATCCCATTATATCCATCTTAATCCTCTGATATGCCTTCATATCCCCTCACTCCCTTTAAGAGGGGGAGTAAGAGTTACCTTGTGGGTTTGGGGATTATGAAGGATAACTTGGATAAAGTACTTCTTGCGCCTTCAACTAATAACGAATTAGATTTAGAAAGTGAAGATAATGAAGATTAAGTTGATTTTTTAATAAAAATGTTGATTTTGCACAGTAATATTGGATAAAAATGCTGGATTTTGTAAATTTTCACTTCAACCCCGACCCCCGACCCCGACCCCGAACCCCGACATGATTTTCAGCCCCGACCCCGACCCCGAACAATTTGAGCAACCCCGACCCCGACCCCGACTTTGTCAACCCCGAAAACCCCGACCCCCGACTTTTTCAACCCCGAAGGCTCGGGGCGCAACCCTATTCGAAACTATCGCTTCGGCAACTTCCCCATCCAGTGGCCTACCAAATCTTGATAACTTTGTCTATAACGTAGGTTTATTTAATTTTGGAGGTGTCTTATGGCCCGTGACCCCCTCTCCCTCTACATTAGAGATCGGACTGTGTCTTACGAGAATCGAGATCTCGAAAAATTCTCAGTCTCGATAACCAAGATTTTCGATCGAGATCTCGTCCCGGTCCCTCTCTCCCTCTACATTCTTTTTAAGGAAACTTCCTTTTTCCCTATAAAATTCTTTGATCTCTGTTGTTTGCTAAAAAAATTCTAAAGTTTTTTGTCCAAATCCTTTCCATTTTAGAAATAATTTTACCTTATAATCCCCTTTTAAATAATTTTTTTAAATTTCTCTCCAATTAAAAAAAATTTCCTCCACCCCTTTTAATCATTTACAAAATTACTCCTCTCTTCTAATCTCTGATTTTTTAGTTGCATTTTCTATATAAAAACTTATTGAGGAACGCAGTTTAGAAACATTCTTTACAGCAAAATTTTATAAATTACCCAAATACTAGATAGACCCTTTTGTCAAATGTACCCTTTTGTCGTGTGTACCCTTTTGTCTTTTGTACCATTTTGTTGTTTGTACACTTTTGTCTTTTGTACCATTTTGTCGTTTGTTTTCTTTTGTACCATTTTGTCGTTTGTTTTCTTTTGTACCATTTTGTCGTTTGTACCCTTTTGTCGGTATATCCCTTTGCCCACCCTACAAAAATAATATTTTTTTTCGTAACTCGTAATGTAGGAAAAAAAATATTTTTGGCGTCCCTATTTGGCGTACACCCTTTCTCAAATACAAGTGGTTGATTAAATGGGTTTTTGTTTTTGATCCGATTCCTTCACCTTTTTACACAATTCAACATTTATAGAGGTGTTGTTATTATTCATTCCAATGCTTAAAAATAATAAAAAATAATAAAATTCCATAGGTGGAGAGGGCCATAAAAGCTTTTTTATTAAAAAAAATACCAGCTTCTCTACCCTTTAAAAAATAAAAAAAAAGCATTAAAAAAGCATGGAATTTTTTTTTGAATTTAATTATTATTTTAAATGAAAAAAGGAACGATTTTAATTTTTGTATTTTAGTAAATTTTCCGGAAAACACAAAAATAAATAATAAATTAATTATATTTGTTCCGGAAAAATAAATTCATAGTTATACTTGTTCCGGAAAAAATTCAGAGTTATATTCTTTCCAGAAAAATAAATAATTCTGTTCCGGAAAAAATAAATTCTGAGTTATATTCGTTCCGGAAAAATAAATAAATTCTGTTCCGGAAAAATAAACTCAGAGTTATATTCGTTCCGGAAAAATAAATAAATTGTGTTCCGGAAAAAATAAATTCAGAGTTATATGTAGTCGTTCCGGAAAAATAAAAAATTCCGTTCCGGAAAAATAAATTCAGAGTTATATTCTTTCCGGAAAAATAAATTCAGAGTTATATTCTTTCCGGAAAAATAAATAATTCTGTTCCGGAAAAATAAAATCAGAGTTATACTTGTTCCGGAAAAATAAATAAATTCTGTTCCGGAAAAATAAAATCAGAGTTATACTTGTTCCGGAAAAATAAATAAATTCTGTTCCGGAAAAATAAAATCAGAGTTATACTTGTTCCGGAAAAATAAATAAATTCTGTTCCGATACTGAACATTTAATTTACTACAACTCATCTTTAATCTCACATTTTTAAAAAATCTTTTTTTATTCCTTAAAGAACACGAGTACATATTCTCACTTGTCCAATGATCAGCTCTTTCCTTATTTAAAAAATATTTTTTTTCAACACATTTTTATTTTTCACGTGTCCCTTAATCCTTATTCCCCAACCCATTAACGATTACTAATACAAAAATATTTATATATCTTTCCGGAATGCAAAAACGGAACAATAAAATAAACAACATTCCCTTCATTTTTTGCCCTTTTAAAAGAATTATTAATAAAAAAAATTTTTGTTGAAAAATAAACAAACAAAAAAAAATTTTAAAAATTCACAAAACAGTTGAGTAAACAAAAAATATTTTTTTAATAATATTCTTATTTTTATTTTTGGACAGAAAAAAATTTTAAATAATATTTTTATTTTTGGGTGAAAAAAAATTTTTTAAGAAGAAAAAAAAAGAAAAATCTTAGCCATATCAGACACTTCATTTTAACACCCCCAAAATTAAATACACCTTTATTTAATAAATACACCTTTATTTTTTTAATTTGGTATCTTTTTAGTGGGTGATGGGTGATAGACTACCTAAAAGCGATACTCCCTATTTAATCAACCCTCTTTATAAACCACACCTACAGACAAATAAGACAAGAATAAAAATTTTAGATTAAAAAATAAAAAAGTTGTAGGCAAAAAACCTCAAAAATTGGTCATTTTTTACCTGAAAAAAAAAATTTTTTTCTTTTTTTTCCAGAAAAATAAATTTTAATGAACAATTTTACCACAACTACAGACAAAAAAAGAAAATCACTTTTTGGTTTTAGCATTAAATTAAAACCATTTTCCTCATCAACTAACAATGAATTAATACTACGCAACAAACGACACAACAGTGTTAATTATTCAAATTTTGCATTTTCATTAATAAATAACGAGGAAATAGAGACAATAGAAAATGAAAGAGACGGCGAGAATTTCCGGTCAGATTCCGGAAATGAATTTATAACACATCAGGAAAATATAAGAGAAATAGAACCGGAAGACAAGCAGAGAAATAATAATAAACCTTTCCGGTTAGCTTCCGGAAAATACAACAACAAAGAGAAAAAGGGAGAAGAAACCGGAAAAGAAAACGGATTAAAGAAACAGAAAAATAACAACAATAATTATTATACACAAAGTTTCCGGTCGATTTCCGGAAATAAAAATAATTCCCACCACAATCATGGTTCAGTGCAAAATTTAGTTATTAGACGACAAAGGGCTGCCGCAGCAACTAAACGTTTTCTTCCACAAGGGCTTACACAATTGTCTCGACGACCTTCAGTGCCTTCATCATCTCCTTTGTCTATTGTTGGACGTCTACGGAAAAGTAACTAAAAAATTTTAACAGAAAATAGTCAAAATGCCCAAAAGTCAAAACGCCACCGACTCAAAACGCCCAAATTTAAAAATGTCCAAAAACCCAAAATGCCCAAAAGTCGAAACCCAAACCCCAAAAATGCCCATAACCAAACTTTCCTTAAAATTTAGGCTTTTCAACAGCTTCATTAGACGAAGAAGAAGATTCAGCCTTTTGCTCAGCTGAATCATCCCCTTCCTGTTCTATCACCTCCTCCTCTATTGAATCATCCCCAAACAAAACAATTAATGAAAAAACACAACAAATAGCCTTTGAATGGAAATGGACAGAATTACAAAAAGAAAAAATTGAGGGTATTTTTTGGGGGAAATTTTCAAAAAAAAATTTTTTTTAGCAGAATTAGAACACCAATGTATTCACTCATTTGGACACAAATTAGTAAACAACCCAAAATTAGCATTTACAAATCTCTCAAACAGTCATCAGATCATGCTTGGGGAAATAGATAATAATGTTTTGTGTGCTGAAGGGTGAGAAAAAAAATTTAAAAAATATTATTTGACATTTTGAAAATTGGCATTTTGAAAATTTCAAAATGTCGACTTTTAAAAATATCAAATTTCAAAATGTCAAATTCTAAAAATGCCCAAATTTCAAAATGGTAAATCCCAAATGCCTGCTTTCCAAAATGTCGATTTTTCAAAACGTCCACTTACAAAATGCCAATTTCCCGAAATGTCAAATACTCAAAATCCCAAATTTCAGTAATGTTCAATTCCACCTACTTTCAATGATTGCACCTCCAAATAAAAAAGTTGTCAATATCGGAAGTCCAAGTATTAACGACGATAACAACAACAACCATCATCACTGGTTTCACCTTTCCCCTTCATTTAGGCCTTATTCAAAAAATAATTTGGAAATATCTAGATAATATATAAAATATAATTTATATTTAATTTTTCTCATAATGGGAATTTAATTATTTTTCTAAATAAATAGCTCAAAACTTGAATAATAAAGAAAAATTTGATTAAGAATACCAATGACGGGTTTTTGAAGGGTTATTCATTCACTCAAGATGTCTCAAAAAATCAGATATTTTGTTTGAGACTTCGTCTCGGTCCGGGGTCTTTAATTTAAAACACACCTACTAATTTGTATTAAAAAAATTTTTTCAGAAAAAAATTTTTTTCTAAAACCAAAAAATAAAATTGCCTATTTTCTTGACTTTTTTTAGCTAAAATTTATTTTGATATTTTTTTTTATTTACAAAAAAAAATAATTTAATTTTTAACACAAACTTTTTAAAAATCAAGTTCTCCCTCATCCCCCTACCCTTTTACCCCCAACTTTATTTTGTATGTTGTTGTTGTTCATTTGCTTCTTTTGTGTATTCATTCCAAACACAACGTTCACGTTGACACTTTATAGAAAATATTTTTAGTTAAGGGAACCCCTATAAATTTCTTTCTAAAAATCTAACCTTTCCATCCTGTGAAAGCAATACTAAACTTGTATCACAATTAAATTGTACAGCAGATTTTTGATTTCGAAAACGGATTGGATAAGGGTTGTAAATGCCTGCTGTAAAGTTGTCTTCATACTTGAAAATTAAAAAAAAATTTTTTTTTAACTTTTCTTTGGTCAATAACAAAGGGATTTTATTAAAAAATATTTATGAGGAAGCAAGTTAAAAGACCAAAGAAGATTGTTTTTTGGTTGTCTTTAATCTCATGGCACCTGATTTTTTAAAGTACATGTCCCGAACTACACAAACTACCAAAATTTAAACCCCCGTACATTACTCCAAAAAATGCTTAATCATTAAATTGAGGTTGTGTTTTACTGAACTCTGTCAAGGTTTTTCGGTCCTACTCTCTTTCTGAAGAAAAATCGAACTTGCTTGATGATCGCGCTTTTTGAACGATTTTTCGGCTAATACTCAAACCAACCAAAATTTATTTTCAAATTCTCCTTGACCTGTTCTCCTATCACATATTGGAGACAATTTCCCACTTAAACAATCTTTCTAGGCCTTTACTTTTCCCCCCAATTAATGTTTATTCAACTCACTTGAACATGCTCAAACAAGGAAGGTTCTGTTGTACACCCTCTCCCATCAATAATTAAATAAGGTTTTTGGCCAGGAGCATCAGTTGTTACAGAACAGTTACTAACTCTCAAACAGTATCCTTTAACAGGTTCACAACTTATTTTGTAATAAAGTTCTTGATCGAGCGTCACGTCTTTAAAAAATAATTTTTTTGAATTTTCGAAAAAAATTTTTAAACACACACCTTTAACTTCCGCACCATTTGGCCCTTTCACATGTACCGGAAAAAAATATTTTTTTATAATTATAAAATTTTTTTAAAATAAAAAATTTACCCGAAAAGAACATTTTGCTTCAGGCTCCCTTCCATGTCCACTAGCCTTTAAAAATATAAAGGAATAATTAAATTTAATAATTATACAAAATTACTTGTTCTATTGGTAAATCATTTCCGGTTACACATTCATTTTGATTAATAAAACAGAAAAATATTAAATGGGAGAAAATTAGGGAAACAATAAACATTTTATTCGAAAAGCTTGTCATTATTATTTTTCATTATTCTGAAATAGAAACTTTTCCGGAAAACACAAATTAATTCTGATTTGCAAAAAGAAAACACAAAATAAATTCTGATTTTTACAACAGAAAGAACACAAAAAATTCTGACTGCTAAAAATACAAATAATTCTGATTTTTCAGAAAACACAAAAATATCAGAAAATACATTCAGCATAAATTCTGATTTTTTATTATAGAAAACACAAATAAATTCTGATTTATCTAGCTATCTAATTATCCCTCCAAAAATTAATTTAAAATATATTCCGGAAAACACATAAAATTCTGAAACTTCTGTAATATTTAAAAACACAAAATACAGATAAAATAAAAACACAACAAAATACATATTTCTTTAATTAAAAGCAGAATCAATGAATGTTTTAATGAAAAAAACACACAAAATAATGTATGTACATTTTTCTCCATCTCTCCACTACTAGTACAATCGGGTCAGAACCAGATATAAAAATATATTAATTTTTGGTGGTTGAAAAAAAAGAAGATATATTTTAGACAAGTTTTTTTTCTCTCTCTTGCGGGATATTATAAAACTTTTTTTATCCCCGCAGAGAATAGACCTAAAAATGAGAACGAAAAAAAAAAGAAATCAAAAAAATTAATAATTAATGTCTTTAAGATTTATAAGTAATCAAAAAATTAAATTATAAAATTTATCAAAAAAATTTTAAATTAAATAAAATACTCAAAAAAATTTTTAACAACTAAATTGGTGATTCTAAATCTAAACTTTTTTTTGTTTACCTTCCAAATTTAAAATGATTTACTACGTTTATTGTAAATGAGAAATCAAAAATAGGAAGGATAAATGTGTGATTTCAATAGACACATTTTTTAAAATGATTTTTAGGAATCACCTAAATTTATTTATTAAGTCCATATTAAGAGGGATTCAGTTTTGGGATATACTTTTACTTGTCGTGTTGTATCTTCAGGCATTTCCCTCATTTAATACGTGATGGAAAGGGAAGAGAAAGGGACTCAAATACCAATTTTGCATGTTTAGCAAATCCTTGTTAATAATCATAAAAGCTGCATTTACCTTTTCCAGTTCCGCATCACTCTCATCTTCATTATTATTATTATTATTTCCACCCTTAAAAAATGAAGTTATGATTTTTTATAAAATAAAATTCAAACTTCAAGATTGTGTGTTTTATTTGCCAGTTCAAATATTTTGACAATTCTTGGAAGATTATAAAATGTTTTCTTCATCCATTGTTCACATTTTTGGTGACGAATGCAAACATAAAATGCCGAAAGCTCGCCATTAACATCTTCCGGATACATATATTTCCAGTAAGCACCGTTCTTCATCCACCAGTTAACGAATTAATTGGATTGTTGAATTGAAACTTAATCTGTGATTTGAAACTTAATCCTTCTACTCTTTAAATCCGAAATTTTTTTCTTTTAGATTTTTAATTTCTTCAATTTTATCTATCAACATGTCTAAATGGCAAGAAATATTGAATTCAACAATCTTTCGTTAACTGGTGGATGAAGAACGGTGCTTACTGGAAATATATGTATCCGGAAGATGTTAATGGCGAGCTTTCGGCATTTTATGTTTGCATTCGTCACCAAAAATGTGAACAATGGATGAAGAAAACATTTTATAATCTTCCAAGAATTGTCAAAATATTTGAACTGGCAAATAAAACACACAATCTTGAAGTTTGAATTTTATTTTATAAAAAATCATAACTTCATTTTTTAAGGGTGGAAATAATAATAATAATAATGAAGATGAGAGTGATGCGGAACTGGAAAAGGTAAATGCAGCTTTTATGATTATTAACAAGGATTTGCTAAACATGCAAAATTGGTATTTGAGTCCCTTTCTCTTCCCTTTCCATCACGTATTAAATGAGGGAAATGCCTGAAGATACAACACGACAAGTAAAAGTATATCCCAAAACTGAATCCCTCATAATATGGACTTAATGTAAATAAATTTAGGCGATTCCTAAAAATCATTTTAAAAAATGAGTCTATTGAAAACACCCATTTATCCTTCCTATAATGACAGAAAAATACCGGGAAGTGTCTTTACCGTAACGGTAAGACTTTGTAAAATTTCGGTAATCATCGATATCGGTACCGGAAAATCCATTTGCCTAGCACTAGAAAAGACTGAAACCATCTCATGACAAACGTCGGAATCTATTTCAAATTTAGAAGGTAAACAAAAAATTAGGAATATTGAGCAAATGCAAAAATCCAATCAAAAAAATTTTTTTAAATTAAATTTCTATTTTTAAAATAAAATATACCCTCTCCTTCTCTAAGCTTTAGTAGGCATTGAATAACAAGCATCCAAATATAGATGAGCAACATCTTCAATAATTGATTTATCAGGTATTTGTGCAGCCATTCCATAAAGTGCTGCCGTTTTTGAAGTTGTTCCTTTGTCCGGAAGTTGACAAACTTGTTTACAACATTCACGCAAATCATTCAAAAATTTAATAATGACGTCTCCTTTAGATTGATTATATGTCAGACAAAAGTGAATACTGTGAAAGAAAAAAAAGTTGATATTTTTCTAATATTTTTTCCAAAAAATTTTTTTATAAAAAAGATAATTACACCTCAAAAGTGCTGTCTTGTACCCTTTAAATACAAAAATAGAAAAGGTAAAAGTTTAACCCCATGGCAGTTATTGCTAGGCTCATTCGCTCACCACAAATTGTACAGGTGTTTTACCGATAGAGCCCCCCCCCCTCTTTTAAAATAAATCTTAAACCCTCACCTAGTAAGCCTTTTTTTAATGAAAGTCAAATGAAGTCACGGCTTTAGAGCTACGTTTAATTTTTTTAAACCGTTCAATCCCTTCATATTTTTAAAAATTAATTAAAAAACTAACGCATCAGGTAAATGTAATGAATTTAGATTCCAACCAAGTTTATGTAGAAAGTCCCCAACAGCAAAAATGTTGAATTTTTTAGAAGAAAATGCTACCTTAATAAGAATTAAATTTTTTATTTAAAATTCTAGTTCAAATAAATTATACATAATAGGGACTCAATTAATCAAGGAAGTCAGAAATTAGTCAGGAAAGCCCAATGATCCCAATGTTAATTTTAGAAACGTTCAAATTTTTGAGTCTCGTAAAAGCTATACTTCTACACCTATTCACTTCAAAAATGCCAAGCTCCGTAAAGAAAAAACCAAAAAATTTGTATATCAGGCAAGTGACCGCTAGAGATCGAGATTTTTGAAAAGCCTGGGCCTGTTCCCGGGTTTGATTTATTGACCTGGGCCTGTAGTCCAGGAAAGACCCAGGCCCAAGAAAAACCCAGGAAGATGAAAAAATGCTTGGGCCTGGCCTCTGCGTAAAGGAAGACCCCAGGCATTGATCCAGGCCCAGCTCGATCTCTAGTGACCACACAAAAAGACCAAAAACACATTAGATTATTAAACAAAGTTTGGGAAGTCCCTGTTGGTTCACTGATCCCTCTACCCATTTAACCCTAATATGTTAAAAAATCAAAAAAAAACTAACTACAGAAACGTCTGGTTTTCCAACAATAAATAATCCAGGAATCTATAAAAGTTTCCAAAAATATTATAAATAAGAAAAATTGAAAAAAAACCTTATATAAACCATCTGCTAATTGTGCAGTTCTCGTTGCAATTAAATTTGCCCTTTCAATATAACCTTGACGTCCAAAATATAATAAGGTTGACCAAGTTAATGCAATATTTAATCCAGCACGACTTCCTGATAAAAGAAAATTTTTTTGTTGCCAAATCATTTTAATCAAAAGAGAAATAATTTAGCGCCCATGTGGTTCAAACCAACAAAATAAAATGAGAAATCCTCGAGCTCTAAAGAAAATCCACCCCATTTCAAATAATTACCCCCAAATTAAAACAAAAATTTTATTTCAAATAAAAACCAGGCAAAGTAGGAGTTGCATAAATTCCACCAGGCCACTCTGTTACAGCAAAGTATTGATGATGCAAAAGCTCTGTTGAACGATATATTATTGTTGAAGTTCCTTTAGGTGCATAGCCATACTTAAAAAATTTTTTTTAATAAAAAAAAGGCAACCTCATACTTTGCCAATAAGGCTAAAAACGATGTTTTACCAATAAACTTGCTGTCAAAACGTGGCTTTTACCCTTATTGGCAAAATATGATGTCGGCAAATTCTGGAAACATTAAAATAAAAACCTTGTGTGTATCACAAGAAATTGAAGTAACTCCAGGAAGACGAAAATCAAAAATTGGAATGTGTGACAATGCTGGAGAATCTTGTGAGAATGCAATTACAAAACCTCCAAGACAAGCATCAACATGTACGGGTATAGAATAGTCCAAACCAAATTGAGCAATTGAAGGAATATCGTCTATAGTGCCATAAGGAAAATTTGGAGCAGATCCAACTAACTTTAAAAAAAATAAAATTGGAATAGGATTCTTAAAATTGTGCTTTGTGCAGGGCTCCAGGAGTTCTGGTTTCGGAGCCGGTTCCGGAGGCAAAAATAAACTTCCAATGTTTTTAATTCTTAAAAATCCTTTTGAGCCACTACAGTCGACATTTAAACCACTACAGTCAAAATTAACCAGTCTTGGACAACCCTAAATCAATTCACAGATTGCCAAAATAAAGTAACACGACCCTCAAGTTATGGAATGAAAGGTGAACAAATTTAAAAAAAAAAAAGAAAAACAAACCAAACAAGTTTTTCTATTTATTGCACGTTTCATCGCTTTTAAATCAACCCGCATAGTAATTGGATCACAAGGAATGTGTTTGATTCCAATTTGCAGTAGAGAACAAGCTTTGTCAAAAGCTGCATGAGCTGTTACAGGAACTATAATTATTGGATCACCAATTCCTTTTGAAAAAGCAAAATTTCTGGCAGCTAAACAAGCCAAAATAATTGATTCAGTTCCTCCCGTTGTTACCTTTAAAAGAAAAAATTCATTTATCAAAAGTTTAATAAAAAGGGATATTTACATAAAATAGGGTTCTCGTAAGCTCTAAAATATGTTCTAATTTTTGACTTTGCTTTGGTCCTCAATAAACCCAAAAGTTTCAAGCCCAAAGATATTGAGTCCCCTCCAATGTCCCTAAAAACATTCTCCAGAACAAACAAAAAAAAACTACTCAAACTACAAGCATTAATTTTGTACTTTTTTTTTGGCTTTTTTCCCGTGCAAAGTCATTTTCGGGTAGTTATTTTAAATCCATATAACTTGAAATATATAATTTTCAATTATAAAGTCTGCACTAAAAAAGCCAAAAAAATGACAAAAGACCTTAAAAGACCCGAAACTGCCCTTAAAAGATCCAGAAATATTTTTAAAATAAAAACCGTTCCAACAGCATCTTCAGGACCATGAAACAAAGACGCCACGATTTTAATAATTTCTGCTTCCATTTTACGGACCGCTGGGAAGACATCTTTAAAATTTATTTTATTATCGGAAAAAAAATTAAAAAAACCTGGATGTAAAGGATTTGAATAAGCAAATTTGTGAAAAACTTCTCCAAGAATCGCCATATGAGATGGATCAATATTTGTGTAAACTGTTCCAGAAACTCTTCCCTTAAAAATTATTTTGTATGAAAAAAGAAACAAAAAAACATGAAGAACTATAGCTCATTGTAAAGGTTTAAATAATTAGATTTTTAGAAATTAAAAAAATGTTAAAGGGTCTCAAAGTTTTCTTAACCAGTCGTAAGAACGAACAGTCAGAACTACCAATAACTTTTCAATTTCGAAATAAGTACCAAAAAAAAGACAAAAATTAGCAGCAGGGTTATGACTAGGAGGTGTTGGCGAACGGTTATTAACCGAAATGTACAGATGTATCACCTGTTTTCGGTTATAATCGGATTTGGACACCAGATTATCGGTTCGAGTAAATGACCGCCAACAGCCTCCAGTTTTGACGATTAACAAACAACTTTTCCCTCCAAAAACTTTGAAACTAATCACTCTAAAACCAACCAAAGAACCCCGAAAAACATCCCCCTCCAAAAAAACAACAAACCTTAATATAATCAAAAGTTCCTTCCATTTCTTGATAATATTCAATTCGTTTAAGTATAGATTCATGATTTATTGCTTTTAAAGGCATTTCTCTAATAAAATCTAAACCTTTATCATATTGATGAATTGAATGTATAAGTTCTTCTTTTGTTTTATTTAAAGCTTCTTCAATTTGTTTGTTAATGCTTGGAACAAATTTACGTAAAATTGAGAAACAAGAAGCTTTGAATCTTGAAAATTTAAATTAGAAAAATAAAAATGAATTTCACAAAAACATAACAAACCAATCCCTGCCCCCCCCCTCACTCAAAAAAAATAACGGCTCCGGAGATAAACGAAGCTAGAGCTCAAATGGAGCGACCTAAACTGCGCTTATTTTGCTAACGATAAAAGAACGTCTAAAGGTTAACCCCCGTTCCGCCGTGGACCTAAAATTGGGTCGACCTTCTAGATCTGGAATTTGACATTTATAAAATTTTTTTAAAAAATTCTATTAGAAACCCAATTTCCAGCTAGACCAAAAAGGACAAATTTTAAGCAATTATTCAAGAAATCAAAAGCCCTAATCCTAAAATCAAAACCCAAAAAATTAAAAAAACCTTTTAATCAACGGCTTCGGAGAACGAGTAACTAATTCATGAAGGTAAATAACAAACCAAGTCCCAGCAATTGAAACACCAACAAGCATAAAATTAATTTTTGAAGCTTTATCAATTGAAACATCCGGAAATAAATTATTATTAAATTGCATTGTTTTTAATTTTAAAAGAGAAATAAAAGCTGAAAAATATTTTAAATAAAATTTAAAAATATATATGTATAAAAATGATTAAAAATAAATTAAAAAAATTTTTTTAATTAATAAAATTTTATTTAATGTTCAAATAAAATAAATAAACAAAAAATTTCAAAAAATAAGCCTCCCATCCTAAAAATTTTCTAGCAGATTAACTGAAAATTTAGGTCAAAAATAAAAAAGTTTAATTTACAAATACACCTTTTAGGGAAAAAACTTAATTGAGAAAATACTATCTAATTAAAATATATAAGTAATATTCTAGAAATTTCTAAATCAAGTAATAAAAATTAAAGAAAATTTTTGATTGAGAATAAAAAAGGTATTTTTCGAAAGATTTTGGAACCAGCTCACGGCTAAAGTACAGCTAGCACTAGAATATTTATTTAATTCTTATTTAACATTTTTCAGACTTTGGTCAATTTAACAAATACTATCTACGAACCAAACGATCCATTAGAAATTGACAAATAAAATTTTTTAATTCATAAATTAAATGTTTTTTTAGGACATGCCAAATATTCTGCCTGTTTAATTGGCTTTTCAAAAGTATTAACCTGGGACCATATTAAGCAATGTTATTTTGGCAATAATCCAGCTTACACTGTTTTAGGTATTCAGGATCAAAATACTATCAGTACAGGATCAAAATATCAGTTAAATTTCCAAGAGGTTGAAAAAGGTGAATTAGTTATCTATTCTAATATTAGCTATACATTAGCTATACTTTAGCCGGTGACTGGATTCAAAGTCTTTCAAAAATGCGTTTCAACTGAATTATAAATCCGAAAATTGATCTTTTTTGGGGTCAAACATGCAAACGTTTGGGGCTAGAGCAGTTAGAAAACTAGTCAAGTTGCCTTTTTTCCTATTGTAGAAAAGCTTTTTTTCCTAAGTTAGAAAAAAGTCGTATTTTAGTCAAAGCATATTAACCACCGGCTAAAGTTAAATTCTATTTAATGTCATACAATGTTTGAATGATGAACGTTTTGTAAATACCAGATTTCAATAATAAAGTCGGTGATGTTTTGGACTTTCTTCATACGGAAAAAACAATTAGGATGCTCCGCACAATCGTAGTCAACTGGATCAAAAATTTTATCAATTAAATTCAAGGTTATGCAAAAACCTTTTTGCGATCAATGTTTTTGTATTCCGCCCCTCCAAATAACGAATCAATTTCAATGCTAAAATCAACAGTTAATCAATGAAATAAATTTTAAAAAACCTCGCTTGGTTGCAAATTTTAAAATTGGTCATCTGCTTTACCGAAAACAACAACTTGTGAGGTTTGATTCAATCGTGAACAATCGTGAGGTTTGATTTCAATTTGGTGTTTTAATTAAAAGTATTTTTAGGTGGATTATCGGGAATTTGTCAAAAAATATGGGAAAAATTTTAAAATCAAACCCGATACTCTCAAGTTGTTGTTTTCGGTAAAGCAGATGACCAATTTTAAAATTTGCAACCAAGCGAGGTTTTTTAAAATTTATTTCATTGATTAACTGTTGATTTTAGCATTGAAATTGATTCGTTATTTGGAGGGGCGGAATACAAAAACATTGATCGCAAAAAGGTTTTTGCATAACCTTGAATTTAATTGATAAAATTTTTGATCCAGTTGACTACGATTGTGCGGAGCATCCTAATTGTTTTTTCCGTATGAAGAAAGTCCAAAACATCACCGACTTTATTATTGAAATCTGGTATTTACAAAACGTTCATCATTCAAACATTGTATGACATTAAATAGAATTTAACTTTAGCCGGTGGTTAATATGCTTTGACTAAAATACGACTTTTTTCTAACTTAGGAAAAAAAGCTTTTCTACAATAGGAAAAAAGGCAACTTGACTAGTTTTCTAACTGCTCTAGCCCCAAACGTTTGCATGTTTGACCCCAAAAAAGATCAATTTTCGGATTTATAATTCAGTTGAAACGCATTTTTGAAAGACTTTGAATCCAGTCACCGGCTAAAGTATAGCTAATGTATAGCTAATATTAGAATAGATAACTAATTCACCTTTTTCAACCTCTTGGAAATTTAACTGATATTTTGATCCTGTACTGATAGTATTTTGATCCTGAATACCTAAAACAGTGTAAGCTGGATTATTGCCAAAATAACATTGCTTAATATGGTCCCAGGTTAATACTTTTGAAAAGCCAATTAAACAGGCAGAATATTTGGCATGTCCTAAAAAAACATTTAATTTATGAATTAAAAAATTTTATTTGTCAATTTCTGAAGGATTGTTTGGTTCATAGATAGTGTCGATTGAATTGCCCAAAGTCTGAAAAAGGTTAAATAAGAATTAGACAAATATTATAGTGCTAGCTGTACTTTAACCGGTGGCTGGTTCCAAAGTCTTTCGAAAACGCCTTTTTTTATTCTCGATCGAAAATTTTCTCTAATTTTTATTACTTGATTTAAAATTTCTAGAATATTAATATAACATGGGGATTGCGTCAAAAGTTTGGCGTTTACTTTGGTGTTCCGAACTCAAATCTTTTGTACAAATTTTTACCTTTTTAGCGCCGCAGGTGAAAATTTTGAGAATTTTAGAGCTCAAGAAGCCAGATTTTTACCCTTTTAGCGTCGCAAGCAAAAATCATTATAAACCTGTTTGTTGGTCAAGTCTTTACAAATAATGCTTTACTACTTGAGGGTATAATTCTTAATTAAACCCTTTTTATTTTCTTGTCACCCTCTAACTTTTGGGTTTTCTCAAAGTTAGGGATGAGAGTGCTTATTTAATGTATCTAAAAAATAAACAAACAAACAAACAAAAATCCAAAAAATTAAGCTTCCCATCCCAAAAATTTTCTAACAACAGGATCATCAAGATTCCGAAGAGTTTCTTTTAGATCTTCCAATTGAGGATCCGGTATGTACCTTTAAAAATAGATTTATTAATTTTATAAAAACTTTTCAAAAACTTTTACTTTTTTAGAATTGTTGGCGATCGGTTACTAACATATACTCTCCCATGTCGGGCTAACTCAAGGAACAGACAAGTCAAGGAACGACAAGTCAAGGAACGACAAGTCAAAGAACATACCAACCCCTGTCTTTTCCTTGACTTGTCTGTTCCTTGAGTTGGTATTCCTTGAGTTAGCCCCCACCCTACTCTCCGTCGTCGGTTAATCCCAATTTTAAAAAGTTGGTTTTGAATTTGAGTTAAAAACCGGTTTAATTTTGGTGGGAAAAAAAATTGCTTATTTACAAAAATATAAGTTTAAGATCGGTCGTGAAACTCACAAAATGTCAGATCCCAAATTTAGACCCAAAAAAGAAGATTAATTGAAAAAAACAGGTCCCAAGCCTATTTTTAACCCAATACATTTCCCCAAAAAATTCCCTTCCAAAGCTAATTCAAAAAAAACCTTTCAACTTCATCACTAGCTTCATGTTCTTTAATGATCATTTGCACGCCAATTGGAGCATTTGCTTGAACCATCATAACAAATAAAGGAAGCTGTATTGCTGGAACAGGCCCAATTCTAACAACTCTTGCATATGTTTTCATTTCATATTCGGTAGAAATTGTAACTGAATTGGGTTTGAATTCTTTAATTTTTTCACATTTATGAGCCAATGGATAACTAGAAAATAAAATATTGAATAGCTGAAATATTTATTAAAGGTCAGAGGATGGGGCAGGTTGAGAAAGAAAAAAGTCGGACTAGGTTTCATTTTGGGGGTTTATCTAAAATTTTTTTCAGATCGAGTCTCAAATAACAATAAAATTGGAGCAAAAAATTCATTGTCAGTCTAAATGGAACGGAAAAACCACCCGAAAAAAATATGTAGTTGCTGAAAAAACATAACTCGGCATCAGGGCTGCACGCAATTGCTTGTTGTGAAATCTTTTTTTCAATTGCGTACAGCCCCGGTCGGCACATTAATTTTCCAAAATTAAAAAAAATATGCTTGCTTGTTCCAAGGATGTGCCAATCGTTGCTTTTTCAAAAAAGAAGACAGAAGACAACGAAAAATAAAATTCCAAACCGAAATTAAAATTGAATTCGGATAAAAATGGGAGAAACAATACATCTAACTCGTAACCCAAAAATCAAATTTTCCCAAAAAAAATTAAAATAAAAAAACCATTCAACAACATCAAAACCAAAATTTTCAGCTGTCCAATGAATAAAACTTTGAAACTTTTCCAACATTTGGAAGTCGAATGCCTTCAATTTGACATTAATCAATTGTAGATCCGGGTAATGGCGCTTGACCTCAAACCTTTCAAAAAAAAATCAAAAAATTTCTCAAAATTTTATCTTCAAAAAAAACCTTGGTTCATATAAATCTTCTGATTTAGGCACATTAACTTTTTCTTTTAATGTTGATAATTGACGAAGTTGAAGAAAATATTTGTTGTTAAAATTTCTTTGGCAATTTTTAAATAAAATTTTGATTAACATTATTTATTTAGAAAAGGCTATAAAAACAAAATTAAGGCTTGGATACTTGAGTAGGCGGACAATTCGTCCAAATATTTGCCGTGTTTCGATTAATTTAAATTTCAAGAGAGGGGGATGATTAAGGACCCACTCACGAGTATCAATATTAAATTTAAAAAAAAAATTTTTAAAATGAAAAATAAAGAAAAAATGAAAAGAAAAAAAAAGTAAAAATATAGTTAATTGACAAATTAAACAAAAATTTAATATAAAAAATGTAAATTTATTGAAAAAAATTTACCGAAAAAAAAATTTTTATTGAAGAAATTTAAATTAAATAAAAAAGCTCAAAGAATTTAATGGCTAAATTGGTTTTTCTGTCGTTAATAAATCTTTCAGATGTTTTTTATAAACAAAAATACCAAAAACAGAATTATTGGAGTGATTAATCGAATCATCATTTTACAAATTACCCACCCAAAATAGTATAACGCGATACCTTCCCACGACAAACCATTTTTGGGAAAAAGAATATCCAGGGGTGGAATTTTTGGAATCCCCTAAAAACACATTTAATTCATAAATTAAAAATTTTTAGCATACAATTTCTTGATTGTCATTTGGATCAAAAATTGTATCCGTTAAATTATCAAAGTCTGAAAAAAGTTTCCATCACGAATAAAATAATTGGGAAGGAAAATGACTGCCTGAAGGCTGTCTGCAAAAGGAAATAAAATCAAATTAACGGCTTTGCATGTTTTGTGAGCCCCTAGTTATATTTAATTTTCCAGAACTTGCCAAATTTGAAATCAATGGACCTTCTATTTCCACAATTTTACTAAAGAAAATTTTATTTGTTTTTAAGCAACTGCCTATTTTGATGTTGTTTTTTTGGTGTTGAAGGATTCAAAAACCATGTCCAACATTCACCATTCAAGGTTATCCCTTCTCCTTGGATATACAATGGTTGAATGTGGCACTTTGTCTAGAAAAAAATTTTTGGTGATTTTGTCGATTTTGAAGAAGATTTTTTTCATTTTCATCACGCAATTTTGGTGTAAGCAACAAGAGTATTTAATTATATATTGTGTGTTCCCCTCTCGATATTCAGCATGATTCCACTTCCACAAAAAATAGGTTCCTTGTGGAATCCACCACTCACAATAATCATACGCAGACTTAAATTCCCTATCAAACACCCAAGATTCTACCATTTTGTTTTTGTAATTAAATTCAAAGAAATATCTGAAAAAAAGGAAGAAATGTAAAAATATAAAATAATATCCTTTAAACACTAAAAATTAAACAATAAAAAGATAACAAGAATTTAAAAATCTAAGACTTTTCAGATATTTCTTTGAATTTAATTACAAAAACAAAATGGTATAATTAACACAATATATAATTAAATACTCTTGTTGCTTACACCAAAATTGCGTGATGAAAATGAAAAAAATCTTCTTCAAAATCGACAAAATCACCAAAAATTTTTTTCTAGACAAAGTGCCACATTCAACCATTGTATATCCAAGGAGAAGGGATAACCTTGAATGGTGAATGTTGGACATGGTTTTTGAATCCTTCAACACCAAAAAAACAACATCAAAATAGGCAGTTGCTTAAAAACAAATAAAATTTTCTTTAGTAAAATTGTGGAAATAGAAGGTCCATTGATTTCAAATTTGGCAAGTTCTGGAAAATTAAATATAACTAGGGGCTCACAAAACATGCAAAGCCGTTAATTTGATTTTATTTCCTTTTGCAGACAGCCTTCAGGCAGTCATTTTCCTTCCCAATTATTTTATTCGTGATGGAAACTTTTTTCAGACTTTGATAATTTAACGGATACAATTTTTGATCCAAATGACAATCAAGAAATTGTATGCTAAAAATTTTTAATTTATGAATTAAATGTGTTTTTAGGGGATTCCAAAAATTCCACCCCTGGATATTCTTTTTCCCCAAAGTTGGTTTGTCGTGGGAAGGTATCGCGTTACATTATTTTGGGTGGGTAATTTGTAAAATGATGATTCGATTAATCCCTCCAATAATTCTGTTTTTGGTATTTTTGTTTATAAAAAACAACGGAAAGAGATTTCAACTAAAATATCTAAAGGGTTCATTACTAAATCCATGGGTTCGGTTTTTTCAATTTTCTTCAATTCAATCCCCATTTACCCATTTTACAATAACCTAATCAACTTAGAAGTTGGTATATAACCATCAAACCCAAGTGGAGTACATATCCCCATGAAAAAAATCGACCCAGATTTTTTAATTTAAATTTCTTTTAAAAAATAACAAAAAGTTGTTAAAATAAAAAACTTAAAATCTTCCCTCTTTTCTTTTTGTGATGATGGAGCAGATTCCATACCCAAGAAAGATGGCTAAAATTAACAAATTATTTTCAGGAAAAAGAGATTAAAAGAAACCTGGAAGAGAGATTCTGGGCAACGGAAGCGCTCGTTTCCAACAGTAATAACTTGACCGTCAAGCAATTCGCAGCTATTTTCCAAAGAAGTAGACGAAGCAGCTGAAGCCATCTTTTGCTCAAAGTCCAAAGCAACTTGATGTCACAAACAATCTCACGTTCGGCGGTTGTGGTGAAGGAATAACCACGTTCAGTGAGGATCTAAAATGAAAAAAGTTTCAGAATTATTTATTAAAAAGTCTAAAAAACCTTCATCAAGTAGTCGGTCAAATCACGGCCCGCTAGATTGCGTGTGGCAAAGCATAACCTTCATAAATTGGAACTGTGAAGAAAAGAACACTTGAAGAAAAAGAAAATTTTTCAAAGGCTTTTAAAAGTTTAAATTGTTTTTACCATCTCCAGAGTCAAGAACAATTCCAGTAGTACGTCCAGAAGCATACAAAGAAAGAACGGCTTGGATGGCAACATACCTGTAAAAGAATTAAAAGATTAATTGAAATCTTTTCTTTTAAACATACATGGCAGGCGTGTTGAATGTCTCAAACATGATTTGAGTCATCTTTTCACGGGTAGCCTTTGGGTTGAGTGGAGTTGAAGATGTTGAAGAAAAACTTTAAAAAAATGATTTTGGTGGACAAACGACGCGCGGCCTAAACGGCGCAAAGCCATAACTTGCTTCAACGTTTCCGAATCTTACCAAATTTAGTAATGAACGACTCCGCTCATCGAGCCAAAGAAATTGATACCAAAATTGATAAGGGCCAGAAATTTCCCAGCAAGTTATAGCTTTGCGCCGTTATGGCCGCGCGCCGTTTTGGGCTGTACTCCCATTAGACAACAGAGCGAAAAGGATTAGGGAACAACTTGTACTATGTATTGTTAACAAAAATCAAAAACCTTTTCTTAACTTTTCCCGTACGTTTGAGTATACCCTCAAGTGACTTATAAGAAGGGAAAGTCCTATACTCATTTTTGAAGACAACAGTCCCTCTCCACTTTTCAATGTGTTAAGGCTATCGAGAATCGAGATTTTTTGAGATATTAATCTCAATTCTCGTACAACACTCCCATTCTAATATCTAATTATAACTAAGGAGTAGTACTACATCAAGATTTCCCAACCCTTCCCAAAATAATTTTTTAAGATACTAATAAAGATGTTGTGTTGTTGTTGTTGTCCCAAGATTGTTGTTCCTCCTCCACCACCACCACCTTGCTGAAGAGAAAAGGTTGCGGAAAGAGTGTACTATTTCCCTTAGGCTTTTATAGTAAGATTTTACAAAAAAAAAAGACAGAACGCCAAAATATAATATTTTATCGCAGAAATTCAAATATTAAAAAGAATATCCTCTCTTCCAACAATGCTACTTTCCTAAACTTACAAGGGTTAATTCTGCTAGAGTTACTCGACTAAAAAAATTTTTTTTAAACTACATATGTACTACTGAATGTGATTTTGTTGCAATTAACATTCAAAATTTAATTGGAAAATAAAAAAAAATAGAAAATTAATTTAAATAATTCGGGATTTATTTAGCAACATGAAAGGTTAGGGATGCAAATTGTAAGGCCGGCAAAAGTTTTCTTTCAGCCCAAAAAATGAACAGACTATTGACTATTGAGCAGTAACAACAACCTTGCATTAGAGAGCTCTCAGTATTTCAAGTCTCAACTAATCTTTGGCTATATTTTCAAGAATGGGTTCGGTCAAATTAAAATCCACCAAAAAGAAACAGTAAAGCAGCTGGGCTATAGCTATTTTTCTCCTTTTAGCTAGTGCAAAAGGTTATTCGACGGCTGGGAGCGAACTAGCATCTTCAGTAGACCCGACTGATGTGTTAGCCATTACACCACGTCGCGTCTTCTGCTTGTACACCACGTCTTCTGCTTGAACAATTTTATACATATTTGGGTATTATCGTGCATGGTTTTTAATTTTTAAAAAATGCTGCTATCCTTTATAATTTATACAACTCTTTAAACTAGGAGAAAATTTTTGCAGCATCAAAGAGGGTTACAAGAAGGAAATCACGAATCAAAAAACATACTTTAAAAAAATTTATTTTTTTATTACATTTTATACAATAGGAATTAATGTACAAATAACAACAGAACAACTAATAATACTTCCCATTAAAGGTTTTAAATAAACTGCCAAAGCAAATTGTGTTTTAGAATGAGAATTTTGTTGTAATTTTAGACGTAATAAAGATTCTATAATTTGTTTTTTGTTAATAAAAGGAAGGCAAAATGAAATTAAACAAATTTTAAATGATGAAAGAAGAGGTTTTAAATGTTGTTCAATTAAATAATTTTCTGATAATTTTTGTTGTTGTTGAATATTTTCATCATCAAAAAAATTGGATGCAAACAAATCGGACAAAAATTCCCGAAGATTTCTTTAAAATAAAAAAAATATAAAAGGAAATTCTGATTTTATTTATTTTTAAAAACACATTTAAATTCTGATTTTTATGTATTTTCGATTCTGATTTTTAAAGTTTTGTATTTTGTTAAATAAATTCTGATTTGTAAAATACAAAGAAAATACAAATAATTCTGATTTGTGAAATACAAAGAAAATACAAATAATTCTGATTTTCTGTTTTTAAATAATTCTGATTTTTAAAATTAATAAAAACACAACAAATTCTGATTTTTGAAATTTTGTATTTTTTAAATAAAAATTCTGATAAAGTAAAATACAAAAATACAACATTTGATTTAAAAAAAACCAGAATTGTATTTTTAGAAAATACAAAAAATATTCTGACTTTCATTTCTAAAATACAAAAATTTATTTTTATTAATTCTGATTTTTAGTGTCTTTCTCTAATTTGTATTTTTCTGACTAAAAAGTTTTTTTGTGTTTTTATACAAAAATTCTGATTATCAAAAAATACAAAAAAAAACACAAAATAATTCTGATTTTTAATTTATTTTTAATTTATGAAACACAAACACACTTTCTCGCCCTTACCTAGAAGCCAACAAATTCCACTGAGGGATAGCAAAAGGTCTTGTTTCATCAAATGCTAAGCGTAATTCTCTTTCTAAACTTGTTCTCAATTCCAATAAAAAACTTGAACTAATTTCTTTCAAAGGTTCATATTGTAAATATTCGGACTTTAAAAAAATATTTTTAATTAAAAAAAATTTTTTTCTACTTGAATAGAAACCAAAGCTTGACTAGTAGTAGTAGTTGACAATTTTTCAAAACAAAAAATATTTTCCCAATTATTCTTCTTTGTAAAATCAAAATTTAATTGAGAAGGATGTTCATCATTTTGTATATTAATAAATATATTTTTATTGTTAAATATTGTACCAATTGATAATTGTGGACAGTTGGGATTTGTTGGAGAATAATGGTGACCTATATTAAAAATAAATCAGAATTCTGATTTTTTTACAGTCTCGTTTGATTAAACAAAATTCTATTTCCTTTGAAAAAAAATTTTTTTTAATTTGAAAATTTTTTTCTCAAAAAAATTTTTGGAAAATTTTTTTCTCAAAAAAATTAATCAGAAAATTTTTTTGAGAAAAAAAATTTTCTGATTAAATTTCTGACTGATTCTGCTTTCTTTTCTTAAAAATTGTGGTTTTTTAAAATCAGAATTTCTAAATTATTCCTATCTTGCCCCTTCTAAATATTCATAAAACAGACCAGTAGTTGGATCAATTATCCACTGTTCTTCATTATTAAATTGAACTAAAACAAAAGAACTATTTGGTCCATTAGATAATGTTGATCCAAGCAAAATATAACAATTTAATTTAAGCCCTAAAAGCCAACAACATAAAACTAGTGCTAATTCATCTGCACAGGCAAAACCAATACGGATAACCTGTCAAGTAAAAAAATCTTGAAATTATATAAATCAGAATTCTGGTTATTTAATAATAATTAATTTTCTAATTTATTCTGATTTTGGTTTTTATTTAAAAATCAGAATTCTGACACTAAATAATTCTGATTTAAAAAAGAAAATAAATCGAAATTCTGATTTTTTCAGAATAATGATTTTTTTAGAATACTGATTTTTTCAGAATTTTGATTTTTTTTCAGAATTTCAGAATTCCGATTTTACTAAAAATCAGAATCCTGATTCTTTTAAAAATCAGAATTCTGATACTTTCTAATAAAATTCTGATCCTCACAATTTTGTTCTGATTTTATTTTTAAAAAAATTCTGATTATTAAATTCTTATTAATATTAAATTCTGATTCATTCTGCTTTACCTCCTCAACAGTTAACCAAATAGGTAATACAAATTCTTTCAATTTCTCCATCCTTTCATTAATTAACGGAATTAAGGCTATCATCTTGCAAGCCAATTTAACAGCTTTTTTATTTTGACCAGAATTGAATAAATTAATTATTTGAATTGGTGGATTTATTTCTCTCAAATATTTACATATTGCAATTCTTCTCCCACTTGAATTAATAGCCAAAGAAATTATCCTTCTATTCGGGAACCGTTGACGTAATTTTGATTCTAATTTAAGACATTCTGTTGTAATTAACTGAAAAATAAATATTTTTTAAATATCAGAATTCTGATTCTTTCAGAATTTTCAAAAATAATTCTGATTTAATTTTTCTGATTCAAACCAGAATTCTGATTCTCTGATGTGAATCAGAATCAAAAAATTCTGATTTTTTTATATAAATCAGAATTATGATTTTCTGATTCAAACCAGGATCAAATAAAATTCTGATTCATCAGAATTTTTTAAAAATTTTACAATTCGATTTTATTAAAATATACAAACATCAGTTTCACCAAGCGTATTTTCTTGTAATTGTTCAGAGGCACTTAATCGGGTAATAAATGATTGGCGTTCAACACTTAAACGTATACGAAGGGTTGTAGGAAGTCCTTCTTCATTTGATGACAAACTTTAAAATTTTTTTTAATTAAAATTCTGATTTTTTCTGATTTTTAAAATCAGAATTCGCCACAATTCTGATTTAAAAAAATCAGAAAAATTTTTTAACAAAATTTCTCACTTATAACCAGTATAAAAAAGAGGTGTTTGTAAAGATAAATATCCATCCAATTTTGTCTTTGTCCAATAGTTGAGAGCTTTTGAATTTAATAAAATTTGTCCAAAACCAAGCCATCGATTCTCTACACGTTCGTGCCTTTAAAAAATAAATTTTGAAAAATCAGAATTTCTGAAAATCAGAATTTTTATTAAATCATAAAATTCTGATTTCTAAATCAGAATTCTGACCAGAATTTTGTTTTATTCTGGTCAAGTCAGAAAATTCTGATTTTTAAAAATCAGAATTTAGGGGAATAATCAGAACAATTCCAGAAAAGGAAAATCAGAATTTCTGATTAAATCAGAAAATATCAGAACAAATTCTGAAAAAATTAGAAAAGCACCTTATATCTACTTCTCTATCATCCCCCTCAAAAGGTTTTATTTCTCTATCAAATAATTCAACTGTCAAAATCGTTTCTTCATCTTCCTCCTCATTTAATTGAATATCAAAAATTAAAGTTTCATGCCAGTTAGGTTGATGACCATCACTTATAGAGGTTATTTGGGTTTGACCCTTTAAAAAATTAAAATTCTGATTTTTTAAAGTTAAATTCTGATCTAAATTCTGATTTTAATTAAAAAATTCTGATTTTTCTAAAAAATAATTCTGAAAAATTCTGATTTATTCAGAAATTCTGATTTTTCTGAAAATAATTCTGAAAAATTCTGATTTATTCAGAAATTCTGATTTTTCTGAAAATAATTCTGAAAAATTCTGATTTATTCAGAAATTCTGATTTTTCTAAAAAATAATTCTGAAAAATTCTGATTTATTCAGAAATTCTGATTTTTCTAAAAAATAATTCTGAAAAATTCTGATTTATTCAGAAATTCTAATTTAAATTCTGGAATAAATTCTTGATTAATATCAGAAAATTCTGATTTAATTTTATAATTCTGAAATTTAATTCTGAAAATAATTCTGATTTTCTAACCTAATTTCTGATAAATCTGATCACACCCCAAAACGAGTATTCTATCAATAACCGACCTTTAATGAACAAACCAAATAAATTTGCATTGGTTCATTATTTATACGTTGAGGCACAGCATTTGCGCTTTGTATATTAAGTAAAATTTTTGTCCAATTTAAAGATTTTTTATCTTGCTAAAAAAATAAATTTTGAAATATAAATATGTAATTTATTCAATTTTGGTATTTACGGACTGACATTTGCGGTCAAAACTGAAACGAGTAAAATTATGATTGGAATTACCCCTCCTCTAGTCCCGAAATGGGAAAAAGAAAAAAATTTGGGGAGGAGATTGATCAAGAAAGTGAATTTTTTGGCCTATAAAAATTTTCAAAATTGCCGAAAATCAGAACTATTTCTCCCGTTGACCTCCTTTTAAAAAATCATGGTTACAGGCGTGCACAAAATTATGATTTTCGAAATTTTGAAAATTAGTTGGACGTGTCTCCTCAAATTTTGTTCAGCCTAAAAAACTCCCCACCCTAATCACCCTTTTAAAATTAAAATTAATTCGTTACGTTAAAGCCACGTTCCAAAACACCAACATTTCCTCCTTCTCCTCTAAAAGGTTTTAAACGTCTACTTAAATCAACTTGGCGTCCATTAAGTAAAAAAGTAAGTAATCCAAATGATAATTTAGGTAATGGTTCTTCTCTTACATATTGTGACAAATCTTTTAATTTGCGTTGTTGTTCACCACTTTGACGCAAATTTTCTCTAAAAAATTAAAAAAAAATTTTTTTTTTGAAATTTCGACAGCTTTTTGGTATTTTGACAAGCTTTTAATATTAAGACATTATACTTTAAGGAGGCAGTGGCAGAAAAAAAATTACTTTCAGAATATTGGATAAATAATCCAATTTAAAATTTATTTTCGACCGGAAAAATCTCATAATTTTTTTAAATATGCTCCGAAAAAATAATAATTTTTCAACAAAATTTTCAACATTTTAAGGGTGACTTAGGGAATTACCATTTTTTCACCCATTCCTTTCCGCTCTCAAAAAAAAATTCCCAAACCTCAATTTTAACACAAATTCTTTCCCAAGTCTTAAATGCCTTTCCAATTCATTTTCTTCTTCCTCCTCTTCCATTTTTCTTCTTCTTCTTCCCTCGTCAAATTTAGTTTCTTCTTCCTCCTCCTCCTCTTTCTTCAAATCCATTTTTTCAATTTTTATTGGTATTCTTTTAGTAAGTTTTTCTGAAAAAAAATTGAATTCTCATTCATCAATAAAGAATATTAGGGTCCCTCTATAAAATTAGCTGAAAATTCCATTTTTTACTTATAGGAAGAAAAAATTTTCATTTTCTAACAAAAAAAAATAGGTAGGCATTTTTAGAGACAAATCAAAGAAGTTGGTCGTAAATGGCTGGAAGAACGATCAAAAATCAGAAATGGCTCTCAAAAAATCGGAACTCGGAATTCCAACACACCCCGGGGACCCCCATTTGTCTTTTATGTTAATCTAAATTTAACCTCCTCCTCCTCTTCCTTCACTTTTTTCTTCATTCCAACGCCTTTCTAATTTCAACAAACGTGAATCTTTTTGTAAATTTTCTTCTGGGCATAAAATACTTGGTTGATACAAAATTGAAGATTTTATTGTTGTTTTTGTTGTTCTTCCTCTTCTTTTTATTTTTTGAAAATTTCTTTTCCCTCCAATATTTTCATCTTCAAAACCTTTCCATTTTAATGAACAAAAAAGACGTCCTTGAGTAAATGGTAATAAACCTCCTTGTCCACAACCTAGACTTCCTTTGTAACTGAAAAAAAGAATTTTTCTAGTAACTCTTCCTGTAGTTTAGTTCACTACTTGCTAATTTAACCCTCAAGTATATATTAGAGAACGGCCTGGGTCTTGACCAAAGCCTTGGGGTTTTCCTGCACCCAGCGTCCAGGCCCAGACATTTTTTACCACTGGATTTTTCCTGGGCCTAGGTTCACATGCCTAGGATCCGGCCCAGGCCAATAGATAAAACCCAGAGTCCAGGAACAAGCCCAACAAGCTTTTCAAAAATACTGATCTTATTCTTATCAAAAGATATTTTTCAAAAAAAATTTTTTCCGGAAAATTATAATTTTTAAAAAAATTAGTATTCTCTGAAAAAATCAGAATATTACCTTCCCCTAACAATAGTACTAGCAAATTGTATTCCAGTTTTTGACATCCATTTATTTTTAATAATTTCTTCATCTTCCTCCTCCTCCACTTCCTCCCCTTCCAATATTTTAGGTAAAGGAATAAAAATTTCAGCTAATAATTGCCAATTTCCTCCTCCAAATTTTTCTTTTAATAAAATAGACAATTGTTTAGGCTTTTCAAAAACACGAAGTGAAATAATTTCTCCAAAAGGAACGGAAAATGAAGGCCATTCTAATTTGTGTTCTTCTGAAGAACAAACTAATAAATTGTTGAAGAATATTTGAACCTGTGAAAGAAATTAATTCTGGTTTTTAAAAAATAATTCTGATCTTGAAAAAATTCTGATTTTTCGGAAATTCTGATTTTCCAGAATTTTCTGATTTTCCAGAATTTTCTGATTTTTCAATAAAAATTCTGGTTTTTAAAAAATAATTCTGATTTTTCGGAAAATTCTAATTTCTGATAAAATTCTTATTTGCAAAAAATCTGATTTTTCAGAAAATTCTGACTTAAGGAAATTATGATTTGCCAAAAAAAATCAGAATTTTTTTGAAAATCAGAAAATTCTGATTAACCAGAAAAATTCTCATTTTTAAAAAATAATTCTGATAACCTGATAACGACAATCAGAAACAGCTTGGCGCCTTTGCCTCTCTATTTCAGGAAGTTTTACTTGTTGTTGTTTTTCTTCATCTACCTCTTTTTCACTTAACACAAAAAGTGGAGAACGGAAGAAAACGCCCAATTGTGGAGGTAATTCGTCTTTTGAATCTCTTGAAAAAATAAATTCTGATTTTTTCATAAATTCTGATTTTTAATTCTGATTCTTAAAAGTTCTGATTTCTTAAAATTCTGATTTCCTGAAAGTTCTGATTTTTAAATTCTGATTTCTTTAAAATTCTGATTTTTTTAAATTCTGATTTCTTGAAAATTCTGGTTTCCAAAAGTTTTTTCAGAAATTCTGATTTAAAAATTCTGATATCAAAAAAACTCACTGCTCAAAAACCTCCAAACTTCCTTTAATTCTTTCCATAGAAAAACGTCCTCTAGTTTGATCTGCACTTGCCCAAGCTCTTTCCAACGCCGCTCTTTTAAAAATTTATCAATTACAGGTATTTGTTTTAATTAAATTATTCCCTAGATATGAAGGAAAAATATAAAGTATAATCTGCGAATATATGGGAGGTCTGCATAACAAAGAGGGAAAAATACATGGCTGACACGAATGTTTTTTTCTCTTCTTTCTTTCTTATCTTTTCTCTCCTGTAGTTTTTTTCTTTTCTTTTGTAGTAGTTTCGTAATTTAAAAAATTGTTTTCTTAATTCTAATTTTCTATTCAGGTTTATTTCTGATTTTAGAAATTCTGATTTTATTTTTACAAATTCTGATTTGTTTTAATTAAATTCTGATTTGTTTTAATTAAATTCTGATTTGTTTTAATTATATTCTGATTTGTTTTAATTATATTCTGGTTCAACATTTTTGTTTTGTTTCAAGTTTATTTTTGCTTTTAAGGTTAGTTTAAAATTTTAGTTAGATTTTTTGAAAATTCATATTTCGAGTTTGGTGTGTCAGATCGAGAATCTGTGTGTCATAAATTTAGAGTTACAAATATAGTATAACTAAACAAAAAATTGGAAATTTTTTCTTTATTTTGACTTTTTTTTCTTTAGATGCGTGATAACGTGGTTATATGCCAGAAATGTCGAGAAGGAAAGCAGAGGAAAAAAGAATCAAATACAAAAAGGACTGCAAGTGCAAGAATGGCTTCATTAGATTCAAGAAAAAAACAAAAACAACTCTCCGCTTCCACCTCACAGCATGGATCGATTGCTCAGCAAACAATAGCTTCAAATGAAGGTAATTGAAAAATAGTTTCTGGAATTTTTTAAAAATTATTTCAAGGTCTTCCCCAACAAAATCCAGTTGCGTCTACTTCTATCCAACAACAACAACGTAAAGACCAAGAAGAAGAAATTGTAAATCAAGAAGAAGATTTAATGCAAGGATGTTCTCATTTTTATGATAATTTGGCTAGCAGAGAGATTACTCCAATAGGTAGATTAATTAATGGATGTTAACTAGGGATAGAAAAATGCTGAGTAGGGAAAAAGAAGGGAAAAAGTTTTGAGTTAAATCGAAATTTTATTAATTAAAAATTTTTAAGAAAAGAAAATTGATATATCAACACAAACAGACACACCTCCTTCATCTACCTCAATTGTGGAAAATAACTGTGTGGGCTATTGCCCTTTTTGCTTGACAAAGTTACACAGGAACAACAGAAGACATTTTTTTTCAAAAAACTGTAAACATTTAATGTTCTACAACAAAATTTCAAACTGGAGTAACGTTTTTGAAACAATTCAAAATATCAACATTGACACAACACCATTCATAAAAACTTTAACAAAAAAAAGAGGAAGGAGTTCAGTATATCTTATTCGGGATGGAATACAATTACAAAATTTAATTTACATTGGCGTCAGTAAAGACGTAAAAAGAAGATTCAGCGAGGGACATGAAGCTCGTAAACAATTTGAGTTGCTTGAAAATTTGGAAAAAGCAACCTTATTTGAACAAATAGAAAGTGACAAAGCTTTATTATTAGGTAGAGATCTTCAATATATTTTTTATTTTACTTTTTAGAATCTTTGTTAATACTCTCCGACAACAATACAAATTTAATCAATAGCCATCAAGAATACAACAATTTCCTCAGATTTGTACAATTCAAACCCTCTGGAATAACAGAACAAGTTTTTTAAATACAAACTAATTTTTTATTTTTATTCAAGGTCGATCGTCTACACAAATTAGCAGTCAGAGTTTTGTATGAAAAATGGAATATTTTAACTTGGTTGCCTTTTAATAAAAATTGATATTAATTTATTTTGTGTATATAGAAATAAAAAATATTTTTTTAATTGAGAGTTTGGGCAGGCTTTTGCTTAGTGTAAGAAAGTTAGTCAACAGCTATAGTCCGTTCAATGAAAGCAAAAATTATTAAAAAATAAAATTATACCTACAGCGTTCTAATGTTGTTTGACGTTCAACAATTTGATTAAATAATAATTTAAGTTCCTCCTCTGTTCTAAAAAATATTTTTTAATTGAAAGTCTGGTCAGGTTTGAGGGGTAGGCTGGCATTGGAGGTGGCATTCTCCTCCTACGTGGGCAAGAAGTAAGCTACCCTCACCCATACCTTTATTAAACTATCCCAATATTATACAAGAATAGGAGAAGGGGTAAAAGTTTGCCCAAAGTAGGTTCTGATTTTCCCAGAGATTCTAATTCTCTCTTAAAATTCAGATACTTAATGATTTCTTCATTTTCCTAAATATCAGAACTTTTGACTAAAAATCTATCGACTGCTAAAAGAGGCCTATTGAAGTGATGCTTTCACATTTTCTTCATAAATCTTTAACCCAGCCTAATAAAACGTTCAAAATGTTAGCTTAACCTCCATACCTTATACTAGTTTTTCAAGCCGATTTTTGAGAAAAAAATAAAATAATGTTACTTTGTTGTCGCTTCAAATATTTCTTCTTCTTCCCCTTCCACTTCGTCTTTTTGTTCTCTCAACAGCAACCATTTTTTGATTAAATTCAAAACTTGTTGATGTACTTCTACCCAAGCATCATAAGCCGAAACTAATTCTCTTTCTGCTGATTCTGATTTTGTAAAAAGCCAATGATGATCAAACTCGAGATCCTTTAAGAATAGAAAAAAAATTTTTTCAATTATTTGATCCTCTAAAAGGTTTCTAATCAAGTGTTGTTCCTCTCTTTTATCTTTATGCCAAGGGATGAAAAAGTTACTCATAATCCTCCTCCCCCTGTTCTCCCCGCCCTATTCCTGTCATATAGAAAATGAGAGGAATAGTTTGGTTAGTCTGTAAAAATGATGGGTAGTTTTGAAAAAAGTCAGATCGGGTTTCGAGACAAAGTTTCGAAAATCTTTTAGGCCAGATTTCGAGTAACCTACCCCTTCTTAATCTGTTTCTAGTAGGACGCTCTACCCATACATAATCTTAACAAACTAGAATAATCTTTAATAAAAACCTGTAAATCAATCCAAAGCCCTGTTGGCTGTTTATTAGCCCAAAGCCTATTTTCACTCAATTTTAACCATTCATAACTTTTTACTGAATTTCTCCAAATTATTTTATTATTTAAATTTTGTTGGAAAAAATTATTTTTAAGAATTGATGATGCTGTAGTTTTTCCATCTTCCGTTAAATTTTGAATTTTGTCGTCCTTAAATTTTTAAAAAAATATTTTATGTGTAGACGTCGTTCTTGAAATAAGAAATGAAAGGGGGAATGATAAAAAAATGTGTGAGAATTGTAAAATAATTGTAGGAATGAAAAAGTATTCGGAAATTTTAAAGAATGAGAAGAGGAAAGGATGAAAAGTTGTGTCCAACCAATGCTGGCCTCTCAGGCCAATCAACTGCCAAAGGTAACTGAATAGCAGAGGTAGGTCGGAAAGTCAGAGGTGACGGAAATCGGAACTGTCGGAAATCGGAAATGGCTCAAAAGTCGGAACACGGAAATCAAAATTTTTTGCGGAAATCGGAAGAAAAAAAAACGCCGGAAATCGTAAGTCGAAAATCGGAAGTACGACCCACCTCTGCTGAATAGGTAGTGATGACAAAAAAGTAGGATGAAACGAGATGGAAAAGAGATTCGGTTCTCTATTCAGATTTAAAAATTTTTTGGTTTTCATAAATACTGTTAGTCTACGAAGAAGCAAAATCCAAGAAAAAAAATTCCCCCAAAAAAATCTTACTCCTAAAATTATTTTTTAGAAACCAAAAACCTCTACTTTTCCACTTTCCAAATCATTTTTTAATGTTGTCAAAATTTTATTTTCTTCGCAACATTTCCATTTTATTAAATGTTTAAATTTAACAACATTTTTAAAAGTTGTTGGTATTGCTGGTGTATAAATTAAAAGTTGTCGTTTATTTTGATAATCTTTTAATTTTTTAAATTCTGTTGTTGAAGTAAATTCATCTTCTAATTGTTTTTCCCAATGGAGTTGGCTGTTCACGTATTTGGTGCCAATCTGAAAAAAAATTTTTAATAATAAAGGAAGGCTGTTTATAGGACACAAAGGGACCTTTTTTCTTTTCTGTTCTCACGATTGGGGGATTCTAGAACCGTTAATGAGACAGGGATTTTGTAGGGGAAAGGAATATACGAGAAGCATCATCTCCTCATTTTAGGAGGAGAATATACTTGGGAAACACTGTCTTTTCTATTCCATTCCGAATAGGGCGAGCTTCGATTTTTGTCCCGAAAAAGACTCGACCGGTCCGATAAAAAGACTCGGCCGGTAAAATGACTCGAACGTCGGCCCGATTCAAAGACGACAACCCTAATTCAGATATTAGGAAACTAAACAGGTGCGGGCGTCAAAATACCAATACTATCCCCCTTTCCGAGGAAGTCTCTCGATTCCCAAATCTTTTGAAAAAAAAAGCTGCCCTTGGTTGATGTTCGTTAAATAGAATACTTGAGAAGATTAAAAAAAGAAAAAATTAAAAACCTGAATGCTTTGCTCTATTTTTTTATCACTACTAGAAAGTTCTTCAAGACGTTTTACTTTTTCCTCCTCTTCACCATTTTCTTCTGTTGTTGCTGCTTTAGGAACTGTTTCAATCCAGCCTCGAGAAGAATTTTGTTTCTTGACCAAAGCCATATAAGTTGAAGATTTGGAGTTGTTTAATATACTAAAAATAGAATTTTTAAACGAAAATAGAAGCTTTTTCTATTTATTTTAATTTGGAAGAAATGGGAGGGTGGACACTTATTTCGAAAAAATTACTAGGGAAACCAAATTGAATCCATAGAAACCAAACTTTAAATATTCTTATGGGTTATACGGACAGCTTTAGGCTCCCCTTTATTTCTTTCATATCTTTTTGGACGAAAATTTTGTCATAAATGCGATGAGGTTAAACAGAAATTCCCCATGGAAACGACTATCTTAAATACATTTTAATTTAGTTACAGGGAGATACAGAATTTAGTTCCTTATTTTTCCCTTTTTTTATGCTCCTGTAAATAATTGTAAGAAAAAATGATTAGTGGTTCCCCAAGGAGTTGCTCGATCTCAATAATAAAGACAGAATCGTCTTTAAGTAATTAATTCAAAACGGAGGGTTTAATGGATTTAAAGGCCGTGAAAATAGGGAAAAAATTTAAGATTTGACAAACCTTCACGGATAACCATTAAGAATGTCTAGTCGGAAAAGATGCTTGAAGTCCCTAACATAAGTTCAAACCCAAGCAAATCCATAAACAGTTCCAAAGACCCCACTTATTCCACCATTTTCCCCCATATTAAAAAAAAATAAACCTTAAAGTAAAAGAAGAAACTCCGCCTTCACAGTACCAAATATTGAGAAGTTGTTGAGAAGTTGTTGAAAATGTTTACAAAGGCAGCAAATATACAGAGAATAGGCAGCGAAAAGAGGCAATCAAGTTTAAAAAAGACGACTTGAATAGTGTCGCGTTGGACTCTAAAAAAGAAAAAACAAATAAAATTATCAAAAATAAATATCAAAAATAAAATTTAATTAAAAAATAATCCTAGAAAAAATATTTCTTCGCAAATGGACTCGAACCTTTAACATTTTTGGGGGTGAAACAAAGAATCTTTCCACTTGACCAAAAAAATTAAGGTCTCCATTAATTTGTATTTTTCTCTAAATAGGAGAAATAGTGTAGATATAAACTGTCATTTATCAAAACATTATGCCAAACATTTAAATTTTGGAAAAATGAGCAGCGTAACCCTCCTACCCTAGAAAAATACCAAAAACATTTTTAAAAGCCCGTCGGCTTATTTTTGCTATTTATCGTTAAAAAACCTTGCTAACCAGTTTTTTCTGATGACCACTCACTTCATTGGTTGTTTCTCCACCAGTTGCTCCAGTTCCATGCTGCCCAAACAAAATCTGTTCTTTAAAAAATCCAAAAAAAGATTAGAAAAATGAAAACACAAAAGTCGAACAAGACAAAAACGATAGAAAGATAAAGAGGAGGAGAGGGAAGGAAAAGCCGCGCTTCGCATTTTTGGCGTGCAAATTTATTTTTTCAATTTTTTGGAAACTTACAATTTCCATGAAGGGCAATGAGATCCACCACCAAGTCCACCATAAGCAACACCAGTAGAAGAACCAGTACCTGAAAGAGAAAAAGCTGTAGAATATTCCTTTTAAAAAAACATAAGGCTAAACAAACTGAAGAAGCAAAACCACCAACAGAAGCAAAGCCACCACCATTTGTAGAGCATCACCTGAAACGAAAAAAGAGTTGAAACTTCTATTTTAAAAAAACATAAGTTTAAACAACCAGAAGAAGCATGCCACCAGCAACGGTACAAGAGCCATCACCTGAAATGAAAAAAAAACCTGAGAACAATTCTTTTTTAAAAAAACATAAGGTTAAACAAACTGAAGCATGGCCACCAACCAAAAGCAAGAAAGCCAGTAGACCACACCAGCACAAAACTAAAGAGGGAAGCCCTCCCGCCTCCCGAAAATTTTTAAAAAATTAAAACCGCACCACCACCAAAATGCATTTTCTTCCAATGTCCATGTTGAACACTCCAGAGAGTTGAGCACATCCTGAATTTCAAAAAAATTTCAAATCATAAAAATCAGAAAAAAATACTCAACAGCAATTGAAGCATCCACGGCTGTCCACCATGAGCAGCAGCCACAAGCACCTATCTTAAAAGAGGAAGCCCTCCCGCCTCCCAAATTTTTTTAAAAACAAAACCACACCAGAATCCATGTAGAGCACATCGGACGACACTGAATTAAAAAAAAAGTTCAAATAAAAAATTTCAGAAAAAAATACTCAACAGCAATTGAAGCCTCCACAAGCATGAGGAGCATGAAGAGCAAAGCATATTAAACAGGCCACCATGTTGAGAACAGAAGGCCAAGTAGAGCACCACAAACAGGCCATGTAGAGCACCATAACAGGCCACCATGTAGAGCAAGCACCACAGCTACAAAAAACAAAAAATTAAATTATATCCGAAAAACTTTTTAAAAATAATAAAAAACGGTTAAACTGCTCCCGTACTAGATGTAGAAGAGAGTCGGCGGAACTAGAAAGAAAAAAACAGTTAAATTTTGAAAAATAAAATTTCAATTTTTTAAAGTTTTTTTTAATTTTTTCGCCGCGCGCTGAGTGAAGGAAAGAGATAGGAACACGAAATGAGTAAAGAAACACATATAGAAACAAAAAAAACAAACAAAAACAACGAAAAACTACCTAGGTGCACCTTAGGCTCGAAGAAAATTTTAGACAAGAAAAAACAAGTTGGGACAAAGTTGCGAATAAACATTATGCCAAAGTTTGGCACAGAAAATAATAGTACTGTAGGCGTAAATTTAAATTTGGACGTTAGAGTATTATGCTCTTTTGAACTAGAGATCGGAAGGAAACAGGAAATTGTAGCGGAGGAAACCCGGTCGGGACCTGGAACTGGGAAAGCGGGAATTCCCGATCCCGGTTTCATCCCGGCATCTTCAAAAAAGACGGGACCGGGCCCCGTTCCGGTCTCTACTTTGAACGGAGTTTTTGGAGCATTTTCGTGTCTTTTCTTGAAGAGGCACAAAGTCTCTTAATTTCAAAAATTTGCCCCTTGATTTTGATTACTTTTTACAGTTAAATTGAATAATTATTCTCTTTTTTAGATGACATTTTCACGTCCTCTTCATTGGGCGTTTTAACTCTAAAAGTTCCTTAAGATGTGCGTCGTTCGGCTTTGATGTCTTCACTTATTCTTGGCTATCTCTTTTGCTTCTTATATTTTATTCAACTCATAATTTTCTACGTTTATTTCCTATTTTTTTAATTAAATTTTTATTTATTTTTATAAGATTTTTAGTTGTCAATGAATTTTAAAATGAAGATGAAAGACGTTCAAGCAAGCATATTGTTCTTGCCACTAAAGCTAGTTGGATGGAATTTGTTTTAAAGGTTTTTAGTTTTTTTAAGTTCTTAAATTGTGAGATTTTTCTTCTCCACTTGGGAGCCTGTAGATAGAAAAAATCCAAGACCAGTTTTAATCCGGCTAAAACAATGCCTGGACACTCGCTCTTATTTTTAGTAGAGACGAGATCTCGAACAAAAATCTTGTTTATTGTTGTCCCCAGTCGATTTCTAGTCTATAGTAGAAAGGCTTTCAAGTAGGGTTGTTGGTTCTCGACCGAACTGTAGAACCTTGGATTTTTCAGATCGGTTCTTCGGCTCGTTTAGATTATCCGAATAATTTCCAGGAATCGACAGCACTACTTTCAAGCTTTTCGGATATTTTTTATTCTTATCAGATTATTTTGGAGTCATTTTCTCATAGTTATTCATACAATCTTTTATTAGAATCCTACTTAAAACATCAAAATAGGATAAAAGTTTTCTATAAATATTTTTAAACTTTTATTTTCTTAATTTAGTCTAAATTTATTTGATTAATTTCAGGCTTCAGTGGCACCGCTTGAACTTCTTCATCTTCAGGTTTTCATTGGAAAATAACCTTTTTTGGGGTCGGGCAAAATTTGTTATAACCCCGTGGCTTTCCCATCCCTGATTTTCTCTACACGAGCAATTTTGAACTCTAGAAACCTTTAAATAAGATTATTTGGAGGATTCTTCTGAAATGGAACATGTGTTGAGCCATGTCCTTTTTTAGTATAATTTTCATAGTAAAAGAGCATGAAAAAATTCTTTTGTGATTTTGTTAAGTTCTAGTTTTTGTGGACCGAATTTTAAAGAAAAGCGAGACTGTTTCCAATTCCTCCTATTCAAAGAAACATACAAATTTGAATTTAAGTTTAAAATTTTTTTCATTCCTCTGGTTATTTTTTCCAATCTTTTCTGTTCATTTCTGTTTATCTTAAAAGTTATCCGCAAATTTTGTCCGCAAAAATTAGAATTTGACAAAATTTTTATTTTTCTGTCAATTTTACTCTCAAAACAACAATATGTATAAAAATGACCTTGCCTCACCACAGGTTCTATTTATTTCTTCTAAATATTTTGGCATCAATTTCCCTTTGCATTCCTTCATCTACCCAAAATTTTTTAATTCATTTATTCATCCAATTTTATTTATCGTTCTTGACCTAAATTTTTTTCTTCTTCCGTCGGAATCCGTCTCTCCTCTTCATTTCCCCGTTCATTTTCATATATTTCATTTTCAACGAAAATTATATAAAATCTCCAACATAGTGCAACTAATAAATATTTAATTTAATTAGGTAACCCAAAAGATCGAAAATACAATAGACGAAACTGTCGTATTTTCTGTTGTATTTTCTTTTAATTGTGTGTTGTGTTTTCCGGAAACTTTAATTCTCTCCTCCTATTTATGTTAAAATTCTGATTTTTCCGGAAAAAGTTTATTTTGTATTTTTCTGTGTTTTCTCTTTCTGTGTTTTCTTTTTCTGATTCTGGTTTTATAATAATACACAGATTAAATTCTGATATTTATATTTTGTATTTTCCGGAAACTAATTAATTTCCTTTTCCGGAAAAAGTTTAATTTTCTTTGTATATTTTTATTTCTTTATTTGTTATTTTGTGTTTTCCGGAAAAACACAACCAACCTTCTCTTTATTTTATATTTCTGATTTTTCTTTTCTGATTCTGGTTTTTAACACAAATTAAATTCTGATATTTGTTATTTTGTATTTTCCGGAAAACTGTTTTAATTATCTTACCCATTATACTGTTTTATATTCAACAATTTAATAATTCTGGTTTCTCCGGAAAGTTTCAACTTTTGTGTTTTCCGGAAATTCTTTTTTATAAAGCTTCGCGCCAATTATTTTTGCGCCCCAATGTCCCCTTTTTCGACCAAAGTCCATTTATTTATATTTTTCTCTTATATCGTTTTGTCCTTTCCTTTTTGGCCTCTCAAATCTCAGCCATTCATCACAAAAATTTTTTTAAAAGTCATTTTGCTCCTCTGGGACCATTTTCCTCCCTTCATTTTTCCTTCATTTTTTCTTCCGTTTTTGACTGTGTTGTGTCATATATTTTATGCGCGCATCATTTTCGATTTTCTTCTTCCCTTTTAGCGTCGCTTAAACATCTTTTCTAAGCCAATATACATATATTCATTTCTTCCTCCAATCTTTTTTATTAAAAACACATCCCCCACTGCGCAAATAAGCAGTAAAAAATATTTTTATTTTTACTGAACACATTTTGAAATATATGGTTTGGGGAAGTGTAGTTAGTCTAGGTTTTACAGAGACTAAAAATCAAAAAAAATTTTTTTTGCTCTGTCTAGAATTAATTATTTTGATGTATTTGTGATTATTCACTGTTATATTATTTCTGAATACACTGTAGTATCAGTTTTCCGGAAAATATACAACTTTTCCGGAAATGCTAACGTTCTCTTTATTTTTGTGTTTTTCTGTATTTTAGGCGTTTTTTTGTATTTTCCTAAAATACAATTCTTTCCGGAAATTCTGACGTTCTTTTTATTCTTGTGTTTTTCTTTATTTTCCGGAAAATATAACTTTTCCGGAAATTATAACGTTCTTTTTATTCTTGTGTTTTTCTGTATTTTCCTAAAATACAACTACATATATTTTCCGGAAAACTTTTATTCTCTTTCCTTTTTAAAATTCTGGTTTCTCCAAAATGTTGTAAATTCTGTATTTTCCGGAAACTATAACTCTGACGGATATATTAATTTTTTTCCAACATTTGTGTTTTCCGGAAAATAATATTCTTATAAAATGTATGTATTATTTAATGTTGATCTTTTGGGCTTTTTAATATGAACATTATATTTTAAAAATATAAGGGAGGCTTTACAATTTTAAATCCTAATCAAGCAAATTGACACTCGGATTATCTAAAATTCTGTTTGAAAGCTTTTGTTGTTGTTATGGATTCTCTAATATTTTACACACTTTTTTAAACTGGCGAAAATCCTAAAAATCCTTTTTTTTATAAATCCTTTTGACAGTAGTTAATATTTTTGTTTTATCTAAAATTTATTTATTTTTTTTAAATTTTTTTGAGGCAATCAAATCATCCAAAATAATAAATAATATAAGTCAGCTTTAAATATCATTTTTCCGGAAATTATATTCCGGAAAAATATCAACTGATATTGTAAAGCCCAATTTTCTGGAAAATTAATTATTTTAAGTATCCGGAAAATTAAGAGTTTAAGTTTTCCGGAGTATTTTAAATATTCTAGACACCCAAAAAAATTTTTAATTTTAATTCGTCCAAAACACACAAATTTTACCCCTCTCATTTTTAAAATTTTCATTGACCTTTTTTTTTAAAACATTTTGTGTAGTAATGATGCGTTTTTCAATTTTAAAAGAAAATGATTAATCAGCTCTCTAATATTTTGCTATAATGTTTTAAAAGCAATTCGGTAAAATTCCTGGGAGCGAAAGGAAAAAGATAGGAATGAACAGCAATTTTGTTGACTGTATATATTTTAGTTTATCCAAAAGATCAATCAGAATATAGAAGTATTATATTTTTGAAATAATAATGTGTTTTCCAGAAAATATAATTAATTTTTTTAGTTTCCGGAAATTGTATTTTTCCAGAATTTGTTAGTTATCTTCTATATTCTGATCTTTGTATTTTGTAAATTCTGAAATTTGTATTTTTCCGTAAATTCTGAAATTTGTGTTTTCCTTAAATTCTGAAATTTGTATTTTCTGTTAATTCTGAAACTTGTTTTTTTGAATATTCTGATATTTTGTATTTTTCTAATAATTCTGATATTTGTATTCTCGTAAATTCTGAACTTTGTATTTTTGAATATTCTGAAATTTTGTATTTTCCTTAAATTCTGATATTCTTATTTTTGTTTTATTTTTTCCGGAAAATAAACAATTTCCGGAAAACACTTTTCATATCATTTAAATGTTGATCTTTTGGACCTAATTTATCTTTAATATATTAAAATATGCGTTCTCGTTCGCAATGAGTCATAGTAAAAAATTGTCGATGATGAAAGTCTTATAGGGTGAGTGTGTAATAAAAAAAACGTTTTAAAGGCCAAAAAAAGCAAACACATAAATATATTCACAATAAATAAATTCAAACATTCAAGACAAGACGAGAAAAAAAATTTTTTTTCCTTCCTTCAAATTCAATATATATTTTATTCATATCTTCCCCATTTTCTTCTCCCTTTTCTCTCTCAAAAATCACACATTCTTGGAGGTCTTCATCATCAGCATTAAAAAATAAAAAATTTTTCTCGTCTTATCATTAAAAGCAATCCGTCTTTTAAAAAATTTTTTTCACCTTTTCCTTCCCCCCTTACTTTTTAAAAAAAATATTCCGGATCGTTTTCTGATTATTTCTAATAAATTTCTTATAAATTTATTTTTTTTATTTTATTAATATTTCTCTGAAAATATCCGGACACTCTTTTTTCTAATTAATTCTTCCTTCATTATTTTCCTCCCACATTTTTTATCCACCAAAAAATTATTTTTTTTTTCTCAACTTTTTTTTGTCTTAAAAATATTATATTATCCTCCTCCTTCCCTCAGCTCACAACTGTTTCTTTTCATCTTCCCCTGTCTTCTTTTTCCTTGTATTTATTGTCTTATCAAATCCACTTTCTTTTAAAAAAATTTTCTCTCTTCTTCCACTTTTCTTTTAAAAACTTCAGTTAGATCTGTGAGCTAAAAAACGCCAACAAAGCTCTTGAATTATAATAAGAAAAGTATCTCTAAAAATAAAATTTTTAAAAAAAGCTATTAGGCAACAGCAGTCTTTTGAAGAAAGAAAAAAATTTTTTTAACAAGAAAGTTTTTTTGTTGTTGGATGCTATTGTTGCGTGGATTTCTTGGGAGATAGAGAATGAATTGTTGAAAAAAAAAGAAAAAAAATAAATTTTTGTGTGTGTGTGTGTGTGGCAATTTTTGTAAAATCGCTTTACTACTAGTATGTATAACAAAAGAAAATGAATAAATGAATGAAAAATTACGTGTTGAAAATCTTGTTATAGTAGGGATGGTGGTGGTGGTGATATTGTTTTTATTTTTTGTGTGTGTGTGCTTGAAAAAAAAAAGGAAAAAATTTTTGTTTCTATAATTCAAGGTGTAAGGAGGATGTGCGCACCATCAAGAGAAAAAATTAATTCTTCGGAAAAATAAACAAAAGAATATCAGAATTTTCGGAAAATACAAAATATCAGAATTTACAGAAAAAATACAAATTTCAGAATTTACGGAAAAATACAAATATCAGAATTATCAGAAAAACACAAATATCAGAATTTTCGGAAAATACAAAATATCAGAATTCAAAAAAATACAAATTTCAGAATTTACGGAAAAATACAAATGTCAGAATTTACGGGAAAATACAAATGTCAGAATTAATTTTTAATTTTTGGAATAAGTTTTTGGTTTGGTTGGCGCACACTTGAAAAACAATCTTTTTTTGATTTTCCAGCATTGTTCCTTTTTATTCTCTCAAATCTTCTTTCTTCCTTATTTTCAAAAATTCATATACATATCTTCTTCCCCTTTATTTTATAAATAATTTTATACATTAATCTATCTCTCTCCATATCTCTCCCCCGCTTTTTTCCTTTCTTCTTCTTCACTTTTGATTGTTGCTTTGCTTAGATTGTTGTACACTTTTAAAACTAAAAATGAGAATATGTTGAGCTAACTTTAGAGCTACTGAGAATTTGCGACATGTGTTGTTTAGTTAGTTTTTATTGTTTTTGTGTGTCTTGTATATTTTTACTTTTTGGTTTCGTGAAGTGGATGGAGAGATAAATAAAAGTGATTCGAAGAAAAGAGAAAATTTTTAAAAAAAATTGTAGTTAGTAGAAAGGCTTGGAGAGGAAGGAAGATTTTCTGGTGAAGAGGCTTTTCTTCGAAACTCTTAAGTTGATATATTTTAGCTCTCTATCTTTATTGTTTAGTTTTACTAGGAAAAAGGGGAAGAAAGACAAAAATTGTGGGTCAGATCATTGACAGCTGCTTAGATATATATTTTCTTGTAAAAGAGAGACTATGTGCTGTAGTATATAGTAAAAAATGTTTTAAGCCTAAAGGATTGGAATTTTTAAGATTAAGCTTGTTGGTGGGGGAAAAGAGAGTATCGGGAGGACTTATGTTTGTGTATGTGATTAAGAAGAGGAAAAATCAAAGAGAAATGTAGAGGAATGGGGAAAATAGGGGGGAAATACTGGGAAAATGAGCTAACCGGCTAACCGGATCATCACTTTCTTTCTGTCTTATTGCAAAAAGATTTTAGTTGGCTTTAAGAAAAAAAGTTTTTTTTAAGGAGAAAGATAGGAGAGATAAAAGGAAAAGCTTGTGAGCTTGTGTTGTTTAAGAGAGAAATTCTTCTCTTTCCCGCCTTTAAACACTAACAACAAATCCAAATCAACCAACTACTAACTTAACCGCCCTCTCATTTTCTCTTCTCTCACTACTATAAACTAAAATATCTTCTTCTTAATACTTGCTAAAAACATTAAAAAAGGGGGGAGAAGAACAAATGTTGTGTTACTTTTAATTTTATCCTCGTTTCTTTTTTGGCCAAACCCTCCCATCCCCCCATTCTCCTCTCATCAGTATAAATATATAAATACAATTAGAAATAAGATTATTACTTTACCAAAAACTTTTATTTTAATGTTCTAAAATAATAATGAAATTGACCTAAAAATTATTTAATATTCAAGCATTTTAAAAAAATAATTTGGCTTTAAATGTTTTCATTTTTCCCTTTTTTGGCTAAATGCTTTAATTAAAATATTAAATGTCTCCTTTAATTTACCTTATAATTAGAGAAAAATAAGCAGAACATTCCGGAAAAGAATAGAGAACTTTATTTGTCTAATTTTCCGGAAAAATAGGGTTAGATGAATAAATGCCTCTGATAATTAGAGAAATTTTTCCGGAAAAAATAGTATTTTCGATTAAGTATTTTCCGGATTAAGAACAAGACTATAACAGTTTATTTGACGTGTAATTATAGAAAAATAACACATATACTTTCCGGAAAATGATGTAGTATTTTATTTCTCTATCTTCCGGAAAACAATAGAGTATTTAATTCAATTCCGGAAAGTATTTTCCGGATTAGAGAACAAAACTAACAATTTATTTAACGTGAAATTAGAGAAAAATAATTAAACATTTCCGGAAAACAATAGGGTATTTTATTTCTCTATTTTCCGGAAAGTAATAGAGAATTTAATTCAATTCCGGAAAGTATTTATGTATTTTCCGGATTAGAGAACAAAGCCAACATTCAAATTGGTTAAATTTTAGCATAAATTACCCCATTTTGGCGAAGTGTTTCCTTAAAAAATGTTCTAGAACAAACAATTAAAAATAGAGAAAAATAGTGTTAAAATAGCTTTTAGTTAGAGAAAAATACATTTTTTAATACAATTTCTCTCTTTCTTTTCTTTTGGTCACTTACTTTTTCTCTTATTGTTTATACAACAAAACTGCACTATTTTTACATTTTTTTGTAGTGTAATTTTATACTATTTAAGGGGAGCGATTTTTCTAGTTTTATCTTGTAATTCTATCAACACAACATAACTATCGACCATTTTTTCTTCCTACATTTTTGTTATTTATCGTCCCTTTTTTCGCTTGTTTTATTGTTTTTCATCACTTTTTTGGGGGTTTTAACCGTTCTAAACTCAACTTTTTTTGGTTTTTGGTTGTGGGGACGTTTTGGGGTTGAATTCCGTTGGGTGACTTGTGTTGGTTTCGGAAACTGAAAAAGTCAAACCGATCTTGACTATAAAAACCTCTTGTTACTTGATTTTTGAGATAGTGCCCTTTTTTGCTTCTTCCCAAGTACTTAATTTTCCGCTTTTTCTCCCATTCTGAAATTTTCCTTTTCTTCAATCTTTTCCTTTCGCGTTCATTTTTCAACTTGTGCTTTAAATTTTTAATATTTTTTTGTTTTTTTAGAGAAAACTCTTATTAAATATTTTTATTTTCTTCAAACCAACGATCAATAAACAATAAAGATGGACGAAGAGGTCGCCGCACTTGTTGTTGATAACGGCAGTGGAATGTGCAAGGTTAGTTAAAAATGCCACTTTTCGATTAAAAGTTTTGTTGTTTTTTCAAGGCTGGATTTGCTGGTGATGATGCTCCTCGTGCCGTATTTCCTTCAATTGTTGGACGCCCTCGACACCAGGGTGTCATGGTTGGAATGGGTCAAAAGGATTCGTATGTGGGAGATGAGGCTCAAAGCAAAAGAGGTATCTTGACTTTGAAATACCCGATTGAGCACGGCATTGTCACGAACTGGGACGACATGGAGAAGATCTGGCATCACACTTTCTACAACGAACTTCGTGTTGCTCCTGAAGAACATCCAGTGCTTTTAACTGAGGCTCCTCTCAACCCAAAGGCTAACCGTGAAAAGATGACTCAAATCATGTTTGAGACATTCAACACGCCTGCCATGTATGTTTAGAAGAAAAAAGATTTTTTTAATCAATCTTTTAATTCTTTTCTAGGTATGTTGCCATCCAAGCTGTTCTTTCTTTGTATGCTTCTGGACGTACTACTGGAATTGTTCTTGACTCTGGAGATGGTAAAAACAATTTGGACTTTAAAAGCCTTTGAAAAATTTTCTTTTTCTTTCAGGTGTCACCCACACAGTTCCAATCTATGAAGGTTATGCTTTGCCACACGCAATCTTGCGTCTTGACTTAGCGGGACGTGATTTGACGGACTACTTGATGAAGGTTTTTTGGACTCATTTTTGAGGATAATTCGGAAAATTTGTTCATTTTAGATCCTCACTGAACGTGGTTATTCTTTCACCACAACCGCCGAACGTGAGATTGTACGTGACATTAAAGAGAAGCTTTGCTATGTTGCTTTGGACTTTGAGCAAGAGATGGCTACAGCTGCTTCGTCTTCTTCTTTGGAAAAGAGCTACGAATTGCCTGACGGTCAAGTTATTACTGTTGGAAACGAGCGCTTCCGTTGCCCAGAATCTCTCTTCCAGGTTTATTCTTAAGCTTTAACCCTCTTTCCCTTTTAAAAAAGTTTCAATTTTAGCCATCTTTCTTGGGTATGGAATCTGCTGGTATTCACGAGACCTCTTACAACTCAATCATGAAGTGCGACATTGACATCCGTAAAGGTATAGAAATGGAACTTTTTGATAATTTGGCTTTGGTGCCCCCTTTGGCTTGAAAAGCTCTCATTTGGGCAAAATCTGGGGACTGGTAAGGGTGAGAAGCTTTGGAAAAATTATTTTCTTCATGGAGGCCGGTTGAATAACCCAGAGCGGGTCCCAGGAAACGGATCACAATCCCTTAGTCCAGCCTAGGCTTTTCTCCATTCAATTCTCTTCAACAATCATTTTTAACCTTTTTTCTTTTTTCAGACCTTTACGCCAACACTGTCCTTTCTGGAGGTACAACCATGTATCCAGGCATTGCTGATCGTATGCAGAAGGAAATTACTGCTTTGGCACCATCAACAATGAAGATTAAGATTATTGCACCTCCTGAGCGTAAATACTCTGTTTGGATTGGAGGATCTATCCTTGCTTCATTGTCTACCTTCCAGCAAATGTAAGCGAAAAGGATTTTAAGGGTCATAAGAAAATTTTTTTTAATTTTTCAAGGTGGATCAGCAAGCAAGAGTATGACGAATCTGGTCCATCTATTGTTCACCGTAAATGCTTCTAAGCGCAAAAGAGGAAAAGGAGGAAGAAAAAATGGTTGGAAAACAAGAAAAAAGAGGGAAAATTTAATAATAAAAAAAGAAGAGAAGAGCAAGAAAGTATAAAAAATTTTCTCGATGACCCCCATCTCTCTCTATTATTTTTTTCTAAAAAAAAATGTATCCCCCCTTATATGTCTCTCTCCTATTAAAAAAAAAATTTTTTTTTGTTTGGATATATAATGTTTTCGAAGAGAAAAATGTTTAAAAAAATATCCATTTTTGAAAATTTTTGAAAAAAAATTAATTTTCGAATTTTCGTCACTCTTCTAAATTTTTTTTTAAATTTTTCTCTCTTGGCTTTAATAAAGAAAAAATTTTTAAAAAAAGTTACAAAAAAGCCATTTTATATAATGTTTGTCTTTTATTTTTTGCCGTCACCTTTGGACTCGTTGGTTAAAAAAAGGAATAAAATAAAATTAAAAAAAATAAATTGTTTTAAATTGTTTGAGTTTTTAGTTATTTTTTTAAAGCGATTCTAGTAGAAATTTTTAAAATTTTATTTTGAAAAATTTGGGCTTAAAAATGAGATTCTTAATTATAATAGGGTTTTTTCTTTTAATTGTCTTAAGGATTTAGTGAAAAGTTTTTTGTTTGTTGATTATAGCAGGTGTGGCCGAGTGGTTTAAGGCGCGGGCAGAAAAGGCAATTTTTTAAAAATATGGGAAAAGTTCGATGCCTTTAGGTGGAAAATGAATTAAATGAAATGAAAAGAGGGAGATTTTGGTTTTTAGAATTTTTTAGATGTATTTTAACGATTTAAAATTTTTTTTCAAAGAAACAAGGACGGGATGAATTAAAAAAATAATTTTTTGTTTAATAGTCATCTTTGAACACTTTAAAATGTCAAAGAAAAAATATTCAAAAATGCTCCTCTATTTAGAATTAATCCCCTTTTAATTTCTCTTGTTACTTACTTGACTATTTTCCAACAAAAATGGATGTAGAAAAAAATAAAGGTAAGAAAAATGCTCCTTGCTTGCTACATTAATATTGCATTAATCCCCCCTTTTATTTTTTGCAACTTTGTTAGACACAGTTTAACTGCAGTAAATAAATTTCTCTCTCTTCTTTTTAAATCTCTTCATTCTCTATAGTCTTTTTCTTTTCTCTAATTTTCGTGTCCGGACAAAATATCGAATCGTTAAAATATGGAATAGGCTAAAAAAGGGTTAAAATCTCGAATCGGGTAAAAATGGGTTAAAATCGCGAATAGGCTAAAAAGGGGTTAAAATGTGGAATCGTTAAAATATGGAATGGTAAAAATATCGAATCGGCTAAAAAAGGGTTAAAATATGGAATCGTTAAAATATCGAATTGATAAAATGTCGACACGGCCAAAATAGGTCAAAATGTCGAATTTTTTTAAAGATGCGCCAAAACCTTGAATCCGGGCGTTACCGTAATACCGACGGTATTTTTCGGTATTCCGTGTCGGTTGTACGGTACGGAATGCCGACCGATAAAATTTAAAAGCTGACCGTTATTTTTCGGTATTCCGTACCGTATACGGTAAGGTCAAACTTTAGGTCTTAACTAAAAACTAATGCATACCACTCTAATTTTTCCATATCAGGATCGCGTTATGTTTTCCGGATCCGTACGATCATGCCGGACCGGATCCGGTCGATTATGCTTGATTTATCCGGTCCGGTTTTACTCGGTAAAGTACAGTGAACTCAGACAGAAAAGATTACGACGGACTACGACTTACCAAACTTATCAATCAACTTATCATCAATAAACTGATGTTGATAAAATTATCAACAATCAACGTATGGCACAAATCTGACCCGTTTTTAAAAGAATTCGACATTTTGACCCATTTTGGCCGTGTCGACATTTTTACCATTCCATATTTTTACGATTCCATATTTTAACCCAGGGCTCTCATTCGTGCTTTATTTGAAAGTATTATACTTTGAAACCGACCTCCATACTTAAGAAATTGAATTTATACTTTATTGAAAGTATATACTTTAAAATCAACATTTTGGATTGAAAATGAAATTGGGGAAGGGATTGGGCAAAAAAGTGAATTTTTTAGCCTTGGGCCTTCTAAAATTTCAAAAAATTTTCGCCTGCGGCGCTGAAAAAGAAAGAAATCTGGCTTCTTGGGCTCCAAATTTCAAAAAATTTTCGACTGCGGTGCTGAAAAAGTGAATTTTTTTGCCTACGGCCTTCTAAAATTTCAAAAAATTTTCGCCTGCGGCGCTGAAAATGGACGAAAGTAATTTGCTTGAGGTTAAGACTGTCAGGGCTTTATTTCTTGTATCAGCGAATTTCGACATGTCATGCGTTGAAATGCACAAAATGCTCAGTGGAAGCAAGAAATTATTAGAAAAGATTCATTTAAGAGAGAAATATAAAAGATTTGAGCACGAACAAATATTTTCCAATTTAATTTTGAGTATACTTTAAATTTGGAAATTTTCTCCCTATATACTTTTTTATCAAGATTTTGATACTTTTGAGTGGCATTTTGTCGATGAGAGCCCTGTTTTAACCCTTTTTTACCCGATTCGATATTTTAACGATTCCATATTTTAACGATTCGGTATTTTAACCCCTTTTTAGCCTATTCGCGATTTTAACCATTCCATATTTTAACGATTCCATATTTTGTACCGGAGCCCTAATTTTAATGGCTGACCTTTTGTATTATTTGTGTCTAACATTTAAAAATGTCTGACGTTTTATTTATTGATGTCTATCGTTGTGTTATTAAATGGCGTCTTCTACTAGAAGATTAAAAGACTATTAGAGTCTCATTTTTGTGGAGAGACAATTTTCTTTCCCTTATATTTTCATACTCTAATGGTCTCTTTATTTAAGTAGGGGTGATTTTATGGGTAATTTTTCCTTTACGTTTTAATGTCTTTTTCTTTTTGAGGTTTTGCCGGCATTTCTTTTTTGTAGTTTTTTTTTAATCTTATTTTTTTTAAAATACTTTTTTAGAGGTGTATACTACCAAAACTTTTTAGTATTTTTTTGGATTTTTGCAAATTTTTTGGTTCAATTTATTAATCATCAACAGAAAATATTTACTTCTTTTTGTCGTCATAATTGAATTAAATCAAAACAACAACAATTTCAACAGTTCTTCTGCAAAACTTGCTGCTACCTACTACTATTACGACGCTGACGAGTCAACCGTCCCAGTTTTCGCCGATTTCTTTCAAGTATATTTTTTTATTTATTTTTTTATTTAAAGGGAAGGGGATAAGTAAAGTCAAAAATCTTTTCTATATTTGGGCGTTACAGTCGGAGTTCGATAATACGTTACCCTACTAGGACGATTATCAGGCCCGTAGCCAGGATTTTTTTTCGGGGGGGGGAAAATTTTTTGGCGCCGAAGGCGCCAAAAATTTTTATTTTCAGCGCCGCAGGCGAAAATTTTGAGAATTTTATAAGGCCGTAGGCCAAAAAAATTCAATTTTTCGGCGCCGCAGGCGCCAAAAATTTGATTTTCAGCGCCGCAGGCGAAAATTTTTTGAATTTTGGACCTCAAGAAGCTAGATTTCTTCCTTTTTTAGCGCCGCAGGCGAAAATTTTTTAAATTTCAGAGGCCGTAGGCCAAAAAAATTCACTTTTTTTGCCCCAGCCCTTCCCCAAATTTTTTCCTTTTTCCCATTTCGGGGGGGGGGGGGGGGAATTCCCCCCCTCACCCCCCCCTGGCTACGGGCCTGACGATTATTTTCATGATACGTTCCTGCACAACTCAGTCCATAGGGATGTTTGTTTTTGGCGAGATTTGACCCCCGCTAACATGTCCCTTGAATAGATATAGGCTTTTAAGTTTGATCCAGAACGTGACGGATATATTATCGAGCGCTGACTGTCTTGTCTTCTTTCCTGGTCAGCCAAACTCAAAATTTTTATTTAAGTATTGATCGATATATAAATATATTAGAGTCTAGTGAGACATTTTTCGGGGTATTTTTCTTTTTTTCCTTCTAGAATTGTTGGGGTCTCCGTTTATCATTAGAGCTTTTGCCAGTTCACCGGTCCCTATTTTCCTGATCTCGGTAGACGAAAGATGTCTAGGTAACAGTTTAAGTCGGGAAGAAAATTATGGGAAAGTGACGTTGGTGAGCTTGAATGACCTTCCCTCCATCAATTTTGTCTTGTTTTTAACCTTGTGTTCGGGAAATCCATACCCTTAAGCTTTGTTTCTTTGATTATTTTTTGTTCATTTTGAGGGGTTTTTGCCTATTTTTTAAAATTTTTTTAAAAAGTTTGCCAAGCTGGATCCTCAACAGCATAGGCAGCCGCCTCAAGCTCCGCCACAAGGAGGCCAACAGCAACAACAACAATATTCACAGCATCCATTTCAACAATTTATAAGCGGTTCACAACAACACCAACAACCTCAGCAACAACAAGTTTCATCATTTCAACACCAACAACACCAAACAATGCAAATTCCACAGCAACAACAGCAACAGCAGCAAATGACTTCTATAGATCAACAAGCAGTTTTGAGTATATTAGGTTCAATTTTTTGGGGTTTGGGGGTTTTATGCTTGATATGTGGAGGTCGTGGGTTCGAACCCGCTTGAGGGAAATGATTTTCTAAATAATCAAAAAATGATTGTAATTCCAGTTTTTGACCAATTATATCTATTTTCGGCCTCTCTTTATTTTTTATAATAAAAGAATACATGTTTCTTTTGGTCATATTTTTGGATTCACTTGAGGGAATGCTTCGTCTACCTATAATTTGGGGTCGTAGGTTCGAACCCGCTCGAGGGGATTGAATTTTTTAATATCTGAAAATGATTATACTTCCAAGTTTTGACCAATTTTATTGATTTTCGGCTTCCTTATTTTTTTCAGTGATGTTTTTTGCTTCCTTCACATTTTATTTTGGGTCGTGGGTTCGAACCCGCTCGAGGGGATTGAATTTTTAAATAATCGAAGATGATTTTAATTCTAATTTTTGATCAATTTTATTAATTCCGGCCTCTCCTTATTTTTATTATTTAATTTTAGAAGCCTTAACGGTTAATGAATCTGGTGGAATGCCGCCTACTTTTGTCCCACAAATGACAGGAATGATTGGTGGTGGACCTTTTGGTGGAGGTATTACTGGAGGTGTTTCTTCCCAATTTTCTTTGGGCTCACAATCAGTGCAGCAAGGTGCTCCACCATTTTCGCAGCAGCCACCTCAGGTTTTTTCTTTAATAAATTTCTGAAATTTTTGGAATTCTTTGAAGTTTGTTGGGCTTTCGTTTTTTATTTTCTCCTATTTCCTTTGTATATTCGAGGAGCTTGGGTTTGGTTCTGTTGTAGAAAATCCGAAACCTGTCTTAATTGTGGTGATTTAGCGTGGGTGCAACTACATGTTATTAATATGGGTCTTTGTTATAAAGATGGATGGAGACTCTTGAGGTTCTCAGCCCAAAACTAATCTTTTTTATATATTTATTGGGCAAAAATGTAAGATAAGGGAAGATAAGGCGAATAAAGATGAGACAGATACAGTTTAAAAAGTTCCCAAAATAATTTTTTAAATTTTCTTTTTCGTTTTCAGTACCCTGAATCTTCATTTTTCATGCCACCACACCTTTTATCCTCAGGAAGTCAAATGGTCCACGGTAGTGGTGGCATAAGTAGTGGTGGAGGAGGTTCTGCATTTACTAGTGCTACAACTCCAATGCTTTATGAACGTCAACCACAGCAACCCCAACAACAACAACCACAGCAACAACCATCCACAATATCTTCGCAGCAAGGACAACAAATTGCCTTGGCTGCTACAACAGAAATAAGTGGAGGAGGAATGCACCAACCACCTCCTGGACAACAACCACCAATAGGACAACAACCGCAACAACAAAGATCTTTAGTTCCAGTGCAGCATGTAAATATAAATATTTTTTAGATTTTTTTTATCTTGGAAATTATTCTGGGAAGAATTAGGGGCATTGGTTTTCCTGGGTTGGCCAAAAATTGTCAAACCTTGCCAATTTTTTAGTTATAATTAGAGTTGGTCCGATACCTGTTTGTGTAGAACTTTCTCGGGGAAAAGTGTTGTCAGTTATGAACTTTCTGGGACGAGATTTTGGACGATTCATGGTTATGGAAATCCTAAAAATCATTGTCAGATGAGGCCGGAGAATCGTGTTCGTGTATCAACTCTTTAGTTGTTATCGGACTTGTGATGTCGGAACGGCGATGTCTGAGCTTTCGGGTTGGGGGAAAATATTTTGTCAAGCATTGTATCGTTGAAGAATATCATAAAAATCACTGTTGGACGGGGAGTGAGTTTCTGGTTTCGGGGACTTAACACATTTCTTTTTTGAGATTTTAAATACCTCGTTATGTTTAAAAAAGATTTTTTTTCTATTTTTTAGGGTCAATTATCTTTACCTCCTTCCACAATACAATTTCAATGTCCGCCACGTCCAAATCATGGAACTGAAGGGCGTCCAATTCTTTTGCGTGCTAATCACTTCAAAGTTACTAATTCTGGTGGTTATGTCCATTTTTATGCTGTTGAAATTCAGTTTGTTTTTTTTAATTTTTCAAGTTGGGATTAGGGATTGTGATATTTGAGAAAAGGGCTCAAAGGAGAATTATTTAACAAGGTCAGATCCTGGGACTCCATGAATTTCTAAAAAGTCTCTATTTTCAGTTTAGGTAATGAAAAACCTCAAACCACATCCCGGGTCAAAGCCCCAATTTTTATTTGGGTTTTTTTTTCTGGCCTATATCAAAGCCCCAATTTTTATTTGGGGCTTTGAAAACGACCGATTAAACCTTAAAAGAAATGTTTTGATTTTTGATTAGCTGTATTTCTCTGTCGTGTTTATGTTAAATTTAAAAAAATTTTTTTTTTAAGACCAGACAAATGCCCTCGTAAAGTCAACAGAGAAATAATAAATACAATGGTTGATTCATGTAAATTATTTAATAATTTCAAACCTGTATATGATGGAAAAAAGAATTTATATACAAAAGAAGCTTTGCCTTTTGGACAAGAAAGAGTTGAATTGGATGTTGTTATGCCTGGTGATTCTGCTGTTGATAGAAAATTTAGAGTTGCTTTAAAGGTTTTTTATTTAATATTTTTTTTTCTGGCCTATATGGTTTGTAAGGGTATTTTTTATGGGCATGTTCTTTCACGGTTATTTCGAGGTTTTCATGAGTATTTTGCGTTATGGCCGTCTTCTCCGTTTCCGCCAATATCCGTATCTTTTTTCAGATGTCATATCCGTATGTCTCCCATGTCTGATAGTCTTTGTCATTTTGATTAGTTAAACCATAAATTAGAAAAAAACTCGAACTTAAAGCTCATTAAGAGGCTCTGGTGGACTTTTAGTCTTTAATATGACTAACAATAGGCAGGAATGTCTCTGCTAGCAGTCACGACTATTTTTTTATAAATGCAAGAATGTTATGGACTCTTGATTTCTTCTGGTTTAGGCCATAAATATTTTTCTAAATCATTGGATTTCCCTTTTTTGTGACCTTTTTCCCACTAATGTTTAATGATGTTTTTTCCCTATCGGTTAAAGAGGGCCTAAAAATTTTCTTAAATATTGTTTTTTCAGTTAGTAAGCCGTGTTTCTTTACAAGCTTTGGAAGATGCGATGGCTGGCCGTATTAGACAAATCCCACCAGAATCAGTGCAAGCAATGGATGTCATTCTTCGACATCTTCCAAGCATGAAATATACTCCAGGTTTTCTTTTAAAAATTTTTTTAGAAAAATTTTCAAAAAAATTTTTTAGTTGGTCGTTCATTTTTCTCCTCACCTCCGGTAGCTTTAGGCGCTCAACACATTACCGTTTCTGGTGGTCCTGGAGGCGGTGGAGGTGGCGGAGGAGGAGGTGGAGGTCCTCAAGGTGTTGATAAACTTGGTGGACTTGGTGGTGGAAGAGAAGTTTGGTTTGGATTTCACCAAAGTGTACGCCCAAGCCAGTGGAAAATGATGCTCAATATTGACGGTTTTTTTTTAATTTAAAGAATTTTTTGTTGGAAAATGAGGGAGTGTTTTAGGCTCGCCCTTCCGAGCATTTCTTTGTTTACTTGGATTTTTAAGAGCAGTTTTTCTTTAAACTTAGATTTCGCTTATGGTTTGCCCTTAAGCTGTGGCATCCTTCGAGTTTCTCGAGTTTGAGAGTTTGCTTGATCAACTCGAACTCCGAGCTTTTTTTCGACCCGAAACTCGATCTGAAGAAAAAATTTAAAAGTCCGATCCGAAACTGGACTCACTTGACCTTATTCTTTGGCAGCCCTTTTATGGATAAAGCATAAAAAGTGAACAAGAAAGGGTTGTCTGACCTTTCCCTATTTTTCACTTTTTTAAATTTTATTATTTTTTTTTCATATAAAAATTTATTATTATTTTTCAAGTTTCTGCAACTGCCTTTTATCGTAAAATGCCTGTGATAAATTTTATGGCTGAAGTTTTGGAATTACCAATGCAGGCACTTAATGATAGAAGAAATTTATCTGATCCTCAACGTGTTAAATTTACAAAAGAAATAAGAGGACTTAAAATTGAAATTACTCATTGTGGACAAATGAGAAGAAAATATCGTGTTTGTAATGTTACTAGAAAACCAGCTCAATCACAAACGTTTGTTTTTTAGAAATTATTATTTTTGATTAATATTATTGTTGGGTATAGGTTTGAAAAAAGAAAACGTCGATTGAGAAATCTATGTCCTTAATCTCAAGCCCCAGGAGTTTGAGGGTGATTTTGGGTTGACTACCCGAAGCCCCGTCCTTTTTTTCGTTCGGAAACCCGATCTGGAGATAATTGTGGAAACCCAGCCTGAAGACTTTTCAACCACGACCGATTCTTGTTCGGCCCTTCTTTGGTATTTGTACTTTCGAAATACCAAAATTTGGAATCTGAGGAAGGTACTTGAAAAGTCTAAGACTTTAAAGTCTATATCCCCAACTCAAATCCTCAGAGTATGAGGGTGGTTTTGGGTTCTTACCCGAAGCTCCGTCCTTTTTTAGTTTCTGAACCCCGATCTGGAGGAAATTGTGAAAACTCATCCCGAAGATTTTTCTCAACACAACCGATTTTTTTTCGACGCTTCTCTGCTTCCTCCATTACCGAAATACCAAACTTTGGAAACGAGGGAAGGTAGTTTCTGGGTGGGTATAAAATGAAAAAATTTGTTCCAAGAACGGGTAAAAATGGTTCCAACATTGTGGAAGGTTAAGTTCCCCATGTTTTAGTCGACCTCATTTTTGCCACTTTTTATTACTTAATTTTTTAAATTTTTTAAATTAAAAATATTTTCTTTTTTCTTTCCATTTAGATTCCCTTTATTACTTGAAAATGGTTTATCTATTGACTGTACTGTTCTCAAATATTTTAATGACAAATATCACATGCAATTAAAATATCCACATCTTCCTTGTTTACAAGTTGGCCAAGAACAAAAACATACTTATTTACCTTTGGAAGTTTGTGAAATTGTTTCTGGACAGAGATGTATTAAAAAATTGTCTGATACTCAAACGTCTACAATGATTAAGGTTTGTGTTTATTTGTGTTTTTGTTTTAAGTCAGAAAATGTATTTTGTTAAAAAGAAAATCAGAATTTTTTGTATTTTTTGTGTTTTTGTTGATCAGAATTTTTTATTGTTAGTGTTTCTGTTTATCAGAATTTTTTGTGTTTTCTTTTAAAGGATTAGTATTTTCGTCATAATTAAAAACCAGAATTCTGTGTTTTTCTTTTATAATATTTGTGTTCTTACCAGAATAATTAAGGCAGAATTTGTATTTTTAAAATGAAAATCAGAATTATTTTGTATTTTTTTATATTTTTCTACCAATTAATTTTCAATTGGTAGAAGAATGTGTTGTTGTTAAATCAGAATTTTGTGTGTTCTTTTTAGTATTTGTATTTTTTATCAGAATTTAAAATCAGAATTTTGTATTTTTTAAAAAGAAAATCAGAATTTTTTTACCAATTAATTGTTAATTGATAGAAAAATGTGTTTTTGTTAAATCAGAATTTTGTGTGTTTTTATCAGAATTTAAAATCAGAATTTTCTTTGTTTTAACAGAATATTTAAATCAGAATTTTGTGTGTTTTTATCAGAATTTAAAATCAGAATTTTCTTTGTTTTAACAGAATATTTAAATCAGAATTTTGTGTTTTCTTTTTAGGATTTGTATTTTTATCAGAATTAAAAATCAGAATTTTTTTGTGTTTTTGAATCAGAATTTTGTGTATTTTTTTAGAAAATTTGTATTTTTATTTCTATGCTGTATTTTTTCTTCATTTTTTAAATATTTTTCTTTAAATTAAATTCTGATATATTTATAAATTAATTTCTATATTTTTTAGGTCACAGCACGTAATGCTCCAGATAGAGAAAAGGAAATTTCTGCACTTGTTAGACGTGCTGAAATTGTTCATGATCCTTTTGCTCAAGAATTTGGAATTTCAATTAATTCTGTAAGAAATTTTTTTGAAATTTTCAAAAAAATTTTCTAATGGTTTTCTAGACTATGACAGAAGTTAAAGGACGTGTTTTAAATGCCCCAAAACTTTTGTATGGAGGAAGAACAAAAGCTACAGCATTACCAAATCAAGGAGTTTGGGATATGCGAGGAAAACAATTTCATACAGGTATTGAAGTTAAGACTTGGGCAATTGCTTGTTTTGCACAACAAAATCATGTTAAAGAAAATGATCTCAGGTTTCTTAAATAATTTTGTGATAAATTTGGGGAATCTGGTTTGTAAACTTATAATATTTTTGAGAAAATAGATCTGGGGTAGCTTATATGTCCAATAAAGCTGTACGAATTCAGTGAAAAATTATGATTGAACTCATAAACTATAGCTAGCTTTGAATCCTGGACTTTTTTCTTACAAAATCAGACCCGATTTTTTCCTCTCCCAGCCCATTTCTAATTCATATTTGGCTCGTGTGAATTGACTAAATGTCCGTTATTTTGACTAATAAGCTGGCAGTTTATTTACTGGAGCATGTCCTGGACCAGAACAATTTCTTTTGAATTTATAAAATTTTTTTTCATATTTTTCAGAAATTTCACTGGCCATTTACAAAAAATATCCGCAGATGCAGGAATGCCAATTCAAGGTCAACCCTGTTTTTGCAAATATGCTGTAGGTGTTGATCAAGTCGAACCAATGTTTAAATACTTGAAACAAAATTTTCCTGGATTACAATTAGTTTGTGTTGTACTTCCTGGCAAAACTCCTGTTTATGGTTTCTTGTCGTAAATTTTCAGAAATTTTTTTTCTTTCCAGCTGAAGTTAAACGTGTTGGAGACACAGTTTTGGGTATAGCTACTCAATGTGTTCAGGCAAAAAATGTTACAAAAACAACTCCACAAACTCTTTCAAATTTATGCCTAAAAATGAATGTTAAACTTGGTGGTGTTAACAGGTTTTTTTAAACGTTAAAAATTTTTTTTTGAATTTTGTTTGCTTGGTATCCCTACGATTTTTAATTTTTTGAAACCTAAAACTAGGTCCATAATCATTTTTCTGGAATAGTGAGTGGGTCAATTCGAACTCCGCTACCGAGATGAATCGAATGACATTTCTCTCGATTAAAATTTTATCACAGCTATACTTACTACAACCGAGAAAATTCTTGACTTTAATTGATGGTGTTGTGCCGGGGGAAAATTCTTGGCTGCTCTCACTACAGCCGAGAATTTGTTTTCAAAATTTTTCTTAACTTAAAAATATTTTTTTATTTTTAAAGTATTTTACTTCCTGCCGTCCGTCCACGTATCTTTAACGAACCAATAATTTTTCTTGGTGCTGACATAACACATCCACCTGCAGGGGATTCTCGTAAGCCTTCAATTGCTGGTGTTGTTGGAAGTATGGATGCACATCCTTCACGTTATGCTGCAACAGTTAGAGTACAACAACACAGACATGTTTGTTTGATTTTTAAAAAGATTTTTAAAAATTTTAATTTTTAATTTTTAAAGGAAATAATTTCTGAACTTACATTTATGGTTAGAGAGCTGTTAATTCAATTTTATCGAAATACTCGGTTTAAACCTACTAGAATTATTGTTTATCGTGATGGTGTTAGTGAAGGACAATTTCTTAATGTTTGTTTATTTTTTTTATTTTTTTTTCTGTCTTATCGGGTATCTAGTTTTATATTTACTGCAACTTCTATGGACAGTATTCCAGCTGTAAAAATTGTTTTGTAAATCATTTTTGGCCCCTTTTTTAGTCAAATCATTTTTGGTCTAATTTAGCCCCCCAAACTTTATCTGACAACGAAGGCCCAATGTCATTTGACAAGAAAACGGATAACACTATCCAATAGAAATTCGGGGGTCCTCTATCGAATGATATCAAAAAAATATCAAATTCGTGTTAACGTAACATAGGTTCCTAGTGATTCATTAGTAGAGCAAACTTATACACGTGTGGTGATCATAGCGCCTAGCTAAAAAATGTCAGTAAGTTGTAGGATCGTTGTTGCCTGTTAGGGATAATTTTTACCTTTTTCACTGGTTAAAGAGTGATTCAAGACCAAGGAGTTGTTTTTCCCCTAAAATTGAGGATTAAAAAATTATTTTTAAGGTTCTTCAAAGTGAACTTCGTTCAATGCGTGAAGCTTGTATGATGCTTGAAAGAGGTTATCAACCAGGAATAACATTTATTGCTTTACAAAAACGTCATCATACAAGGTTTATTTTTTAATTATGGAAAATAAAAAATAAATTTTTTTAAAGACTTTTTGCTGTTGATAAAAAGGATCAAGTCGGCAAAGCTTTCAATATCCCGCCCGGTACAACTGTTGATGTTGGTATTACACATCCAACAGAATTTGATTTTTATTTGTGTTCTCATGCTGGAATTCAGGTTTTTTTTCTTTACTTGGAAAGACATTGTGTTAGGCGTTTCCAATTCTGAAGGATTTTTTCCGTCGGTTTCCTTCAATTTTTTAGAAATTTCCTTTTAATTTATTTTAGAAAGATGGAGTTTTATTTGTTTCGATTAATAAATATATGTTTTTAATCATTGACAAGCATTTTAATAGTTTTTTAGTTAAAATTAAAAAAATTTCCGCAGTGAGGTTCGAACCATGGTACTTTATTACTAAGAACCTAACACTTTCCCACTACACCAAAAAAATATTTTTGATAAAAATTTTTTTTCTTCATTTTAATGGGTAAACTTCATTGTCAGAAAGTTTAATTTTTAATTTTATTTTCCCTAAAGGGAACTTCACGTCCTTCACATTATCATGTTCTCTGGGATGACAATAATCTTTCTGCCGATGAACTTCAACAACTTACTTATCAACTTTGCCATACTTATGTTCGTTGTACACGCTCAGTTTCTGTACCGGCGCCTGCTTATTATGCTCATTTGGTTGCTTTTAGAGCTCGTTATCATTTGGTTGATAGAGAACATGACAGGTTTTCTTTTATTTGTTTGGAAATTTAATGAATTGAGGAGGGGAAGAGGGGGACTTTGAATAGTTTGGGAAGGAAAATGATTATTTTACTGACAAGGGAACATCGGATAATGTGTACAAAAATTCGTTAAGAAAACCCGCACACTACTAAAGTAAATCGATGGTCCTCCTCTCTCGATTGGTACCAAAAAATATCGAATCGAATTTTTGTAGTATCGGATGTTCCCTTGTGAGTTCCTCAAATTCGTCAAAATTTGAATAAATTTATTTTCCCAACTTTTTTTCGATTTTTTTAAATTCCCTTTTTTTTGGAATTTTCTTTCAGATTTTTCCATTTCTTTTGGGTATTTTTTATTTTTTTATTAATTTTTTCAAAAAATCTTTTTTTTTTCTAGCGGTGAAGGAAGTCAACCTTCTGGAACTAGTGAAGATACAACTTTGAGTAATATGGCTAGAGCTGTACAGGTTCATCCTGATGCTAATTCGGTTTTTCTTTTTTTTTTCTGTCAAAATTTTTATTTAAAAAATTTTTTAAAGGTGATGTACTTTGCTTGACACTCAAAAATTTGTCAAAAATTTTTAAAAGGATGAGGTTTTTTTTGATTGACACAACAGACACTCTCAATATGGACAACAACCAACAGCAACATTCAGTTTGTTTTTTTTTTGAGGGAAGTATTTTTTATTAAAGTAAAAATTTTGTTTCTTCAATCTTCTTCTTACTTAAATCTATTTTTCTCTCTCTCTCTAGTCGAGTGGATTTTCTTCCTTTCCTTCTCTATTTTTTTTTAATTTTTCAATTTTTTCTAAAAAGTTCTCTCCAATTTTTAAATAAGTATGTATTTTCGTTCTTTCAATTTATTTTTTTTAGTTTAATTTTACTCGAAAAATGAATAATTTTCTTTTTTTTCTGTTATTTTTTCACTTTTTTAAAAAATATTTTTTTAAGTAAGGATATATAAATATAAATATTTTTTTGCCATTTTTCTATTTTTCAATATATTTCAGTCTTTTATGGTCATTTAAATATTTTTTTTTGTTTGGTTGTTCTCTGGATTCTCATTTATTTAAAAAATGTTTTTTTTATCTTTCATTTTATTCAATTATTAAAAAAAATTTTTTTTTGATGAATCAAGCACTTATTTTAGCAAAAATAATTATTTAAAACAATCTCGGGTTTTTTACACTCGTGGAGATAATTTGTCTCCCGTTCTGATTTTTAATATTATAATTAGTTGGAAACCAAATTGGGGAACCGAAGATTTTGGATTTGATATTGAATTAACACAAAAAGATTTTCTCAAAAAGAAACCCTCAACAAAATATTTTAACAAATATATTAAAAATTTATTAAGATGATTTTTAACTTTTCTTTTCCTTTCTTTGATGGTATTTCTTAATTGGTGGGGGGAGGGGGTATTTCCCAAGTACTTGATTAGAAAAAAAAATTTTTTTTTCATTGATCTTGTCTTGATACATATTTTTTTCAAAATAAAATTTAAAAAATTAAATAATAATTGTGGTTAAAAAAATAAGCTCTCTATCACATACACACATACACTTCTTGCTTAATATAGAGTTTTTTTTTGTTGTTCGTAAGGGTAGGGAGAGATGTTAAATTAAGAATAGAATATAAGGGAAGTCAAGGAGGTCCTGAATGGTACCAAAAAAAATTTCAACTTCCTTGTCAGTTTTACATATAATTGTTTTTTTATCCAAATAAAGGTGTATATACGTACACTTGAAATTCGAAAAAAAAATTTTTTTTAACATACATACTGTGTTGGAGGTAATGATTAAAGAGATCTCTCTCTCTCTTTTTAACTACTATTCTTATTTTAAGCTCTCTCCTCCTTCTTTTTATTTTTTTAAATTTTTTTATCTCCTACCTAATTTTTGTTTATAAACTGCCCTCTTTTTACATATAAATTTACAAAAAAAAAATAAGCACATACATAAAACTTTAACAAATAATTTTTAAAAAATAATAAATAAACGAAATATATACGTCCATTTTCTAAAACCTATTAAAAAAATAATTAATTCATATAAGCTTTTGTTGATATCTTTTTTAATCATTTTCTCTTCAGAAAAAAATTTTCTTTCTAACCTCTTGCTATAATCATTATAAATTTAATTAATCAATTAAATCTCCAGCCATTTTTATATTTAAAAAAAATAATTTGATATATTACGTATTTAATTGTTGCAGTTTTTTAAAGTCTTATATGATATCTATATACTATTTTTTTAAAAATCATCTGCTTGAATTTTTTTTTTAATTTTATTAAAAAAAAAGAATTTTTTCATATATTGTTACTCATTAGAATTTAATTTCAAACTAAAGTTCAAGCAGTTCAAAAAATTCAAGTTTAAAAAATTCAAGCAGTTTTCAAGCAGCCATTTTCAAAAGTAGTTTTTTAAACTTCGGTTTTTGAGTAATAATCGAGAGGAGGGGTATGGGAATTTATTTAAAACCGAGGTCCAAACTGATTGTTTTTTTAAATATTTTTTACAGCATTTTTATTATGACAATAATAATATTTTCACAGCCAATATATCAATTAATTAATTAATTTTTTTTTCTAAAAAAAACTCTGGAAGAAGCACAAAAATAAATCTACAAAAGAAAAATTTCAATTAGAATTATTAATCAAAAAAAACAAAATTTCACACACAATTTATTGTATGGCTAATCTAAAATATATCAAAAATTATGTTTATGTGTTTGTTGTGCAAAAAATTTAATTGTCGGTAGCTTTTTTAATTTTTTTAAATTAAAATATAATTTTTTGTTCGTTAAAAAATTATTTTTCGGGAGAAAATAAATTTTTTTTTAATTTTGGGGAAGAAAAAAAAATAGAAAAAAAAATTAAATTTTGAATTATTAAAGGAATTTTTTGGATTAATAAAAAAATAACAAAAATGATAAGAATGATTTTTTAAAAAAATTTTATTTTTATTAAAAAGTGCAAGCATATAAAATAACATTAATGGAATATTAATATATTTTTTAGGACAATTGAACTCTTTTTGAAAATCCAAAAAACAATTTTTTAAATATTTTTAATATTTAAAGAGATCGTCAGACTTTCTAAAAATTTTTTTGAAAGTATTGAAGTGTGTGTGAATTTTGTTGTGATCATAGAGTGTTGTTGTTGTTTTTTTTTTACATTAATAGTGACCTTTAAAATTAATAATTTTTTTCTGAGATATTCTGACTTGTTATTCTGATTTTTTTAAATTCTTTCTTAGTTCTGTTTTTGTATTCTGGTTTTATTTTGATTGATTATTCTGATTTTTTAAACATTCTGATATGATATTCTGATTTATTATTCTGATTTAATTCTGATTTAATTCTGATTTTTATTCTGATTTCTATTCTGATTTTTATTCTGGTTTTTATTCTGATTTTTTATTCTGATTTTTATTCTGGTTTTTATTCTGATTTTTATTCTGGTTTTTATTCTGATTTCTGTTCTGATTTTTATTCTGATATGATATTCTGGTTTTTATTCTGATTTTTATTCTAATTTTTATTCTGATTTTTTATTCTGGTTTTTATTCTGGTTTTCTGTTCTGATTTTTATTCTGATATGATATTCTGGTTTTTATTCTGATTTTTATTCTAATTTTTATTCTGATTTTTTATTCTGCTTTTTTATTCTGGTTTTCTGATTTTTCATCTCAATCCATTCTCTACCTTTTTTGCATTCCAACAAAATCATCTCCCTCTAAAATATCCAAAGCTCTTTTTCTCAACATATTTGATCTCTTCTTCAATCCAATAAAATCATCCCCTTCCATCATATCCAAAGCTCTTCTTTTTCTATCAAAACCTCCACCAAACCCATCTCCCTCCATTAAATCTAAAGCTCTTTTCCTTTGCATTCCAATAAAATCATCTCCTTCTAACATATCTAAAGCTCTTTTAATTAATGTATTTTTTGGATGAAAGGAATTGAAGAAAGTTGTTAGTTCTGAAAAATTAAAAATAAATTCTGATTTTTATTTTCTGATTTTTTACGATATTCTGATCCATTCTGGTTTATATTCTGGTTTTTATTCTGATTTATTATTTTCTGATTTTTCTGATCTGAATTATTCTGGTTTTTTACAATATTCTGATTTTTTGTTCTGACTTTCTGATATGATATTCTGATTTGTTCTGATTATTTTTAATATTCTGATATAGTATTTCAATAGTTATTCTGATTTTTTCCGATTATTCTGATTGTTATTCTGATTTCATTTCTGATTTTTTTATTTATGTTTCTTTCCTTTTCGCGGGACTTTTTAATCACCCTTACCTTTTTCTGTTCCAACAATTATAGGTGTAATTCTTGTTCTAAAATTATTGTGTTGGGCACTGTTAATATTGTTGTTGCTGCTACAATTTACTAGCCGGCAAATACAGCATAGTGCAAATAAAATCTTTAAAGGGGAATAAATTTTTGGAGTGTTTTTCTGAGATATTTGATTTTGTTCTGGTTTTCTTATATTCTGATTTTCTCTGATTTTCTGATTTTTTCTGATTTTTTTAAATTTTTAATTTAAATTTTACCATTATTTTTGAAAACATTCTAAAAATTCCAAAATTTTCTGTTAAATAAGTCATTGTTATTGTAGTGAATGAAAGTGTTAATGTATTTAATAATATAATATTTTTATTTCGACTGCCTCTAAAAAAATGAGTCGGCGACGGAGGACCCTGGAAAATTAATTAAGAATTTGTTGTGTTTTTAGTTAATTTTTCCGGAAAAAATGTGTTTCTATAAATTTCCGGAAAATTTACGTTAAATTCTGGTTCATGTGTTTTTATGCGATTATTATTTTCCGGAAAGAATATAATAAAATTCTGGAAATTATATCATTATAATTTCTGTATTTTCCGGAAAGAATGTGTTTCTATAAGATTCTGAAAAAGCTTAAAAATAAATTCTGATTTGTTCATGTGTTTTTAATATTTTCCGGAAAGAATAGATTTAATTATAAATTCCGGAAATTATACCATTATAATTTCTTATTGCGTTTTTACTTTAATGTATTTTCCGGAAAGAATGTATTTTTTGTAAAACACATTTTTAAGAAATTTTTCCTGAAAGGGAACTATTATATTTTTTCGCGTGTTAAAATTATTTTTTTTGGGCTGCCAAAAAATGGGAATAATGTTAAAGAATTTGCCAGGTATTTATATACAAGGTGGCGATTATTAAAAGGCGTGAAAATAAAAATAAATATTCCTTCCTTTTCAAAAAAACAATGAGAAAAGGGAATTAGAAAGAGATACCACTCATGCATATCCCTTCCGGAATTGACAGACAAATTTTTGAATAATTTTTTTAAAGAAATTTGTCCTTTGTATTTTTGGTTATTGAAATTTATTGCGTAGATAGTTTTCTACGTTTTTAAGTGTTTGATAGAGCATAAAATCAGAATAATGCAAAAATACGTAAATCACCAGAGAAATAAATACTTGTATTTTTCAGAATTTAAAGAAAAATACAAGCGTTCCGGAAAGTTATAATAATTAAAAAATAAAATCAGAATTTATTTTATAGTTCTTCCGGAATTTATAACAGAAATAAACTTTTTCCGGAAAGTTATAATTAAAATCAGAATTTATTTAGAGTTCTTTCGGAATTTATAACAAGAATAAACTTTTTCCGGAAAGTTATATTAAAATCAGAATTTATTTAGAGTTCTTTCGGAATTTATAACGAGAATAAACTTTTTCCGGAAGGTTATAATTAAAATCAGAATTTATTTTATAGTTCTTCCGGAAAGTTTATAACATGAATAAACTTTTTCCGGAAAAGTTATAATTAAAATCAGAATTTATTTTATAGTTCTTCCGGAATTTATAGCAGCAATAAACTTTTTCCGGAAAGTTATAATTAAAATCAGAATTTATTTTATAGTTCTTCCGGAATTTATAACAGAAATAAACTTTTTCCGGAAAGTTATATTAAAATCAGAATTTATTTTTATAGTTCTTCCGGAATTTATAACAAAAATAAACTTTTTTCGGAAAGTTATAATTAAAATCAGAATTTATTTTATAGTTCTTCCGGAATTAATACATATTTTCCGGAAATTATTTTTCCGGAATGGAAAACACATTTATATATTTTTAGCTGTCAAATATATATTTTTGATATGTATTTTTCCGGAATTTAGTTATAAGAAAGGAAAAAGTGCTTGTCTAAAAATGTGTGGGTGTCAAGAAAGTGTCAAAAATTATGAATTTAAATGTCCTTTAATTTAAATAAAGAAAATTATGATTAAAAAAATTGCGCAGACTATTAGGAGATAATATTTGACGAAAGTGAGAAGTATTACCCAAGGGAAATTTGCCAAAAAATATTTAAATAATGGGGGTGGTCGGTGGATAAATTAAAGGAAAGGTTGGGGGAGTGTGTTAAAATTAAAAAATGTTGACGGATTATTTTTAAAAAATGAAAATGTCAAAAAATAAGAGGAATTGGAGAAAAGAATGACCGGAAATTGGGAATAATATTTTTGTATTTTTAACCGCTAGAAAATGTCAACAATTGTGTTTTCGTTTTTATTAATTTTTCGGGAAGAATGTATTTCTAATGTATTTCTAATGTAAATTCCGGAATAAATTCTGATTGTGTGTATTTTTATGTGTATTTTTCCGAATGAATGTATTTTTATAAATTCCGGAAATTATACTGCTTATATAATTCTGGTTGTGTTTTTAATATTTTCCGGAAGGAATATGTATATTCTGGTGTGTTTTAAATTTTGATTCTGTTTTAATTCTGATTGTGTTTTAAAAAATATGTGTGTTATTCTAGAACTCTTAATTGTGTGTTTATTATAATTTATTTTCCGGAATGAATGTATGTATTTGTACTGGATGTGTTTTATATAAATATAATTAAATGACAAATTAATAATAATGAAAAAATTTTGTTAATGAGTTAGGGAAAATTTTTTTTGTTAAAAACATTTTGACTGTTTTTTGCACTTTTCTGAGAATAAGAACCGAACGGAACTGTCAAAAAAAATAAAAACAAAAGTATTATATAATAATTGATGCAAATGCCCTTTTTATGCCACAAAATAAGGAAAAATTAATTCCCTAGAGAAGTTGCCTAAATAATATATTAGTTGAATTAGTTTTATTATTTTTTTAAAAAACTGGTGTTAATATTTAATGGTTGTATATTTGCTTCTCATTTATAGGGGTTAATGTGTTTTTGTTTTTATAACCGGAGAATAAATTAAATATAATTTTCCGGAAAGAATATAATTTTCAGGAATGTATTTTATTAAATAGATGTGTGTGTTTTCCGGAAAGAATGTATGTGTTTTCCGGAGAAAATATAACTCAGAAATGTTTGTGTTTTTTCCGGAAAGTATATGGTAGTGTGTGTTTTAAATTAATTCCGGTTGTATTTTATTGTGTTTTAATTTAATTGTGATTGTGTTTTTCCGGAAAGAGTATAATTTAAGAAATTGATTTGTGTTTTATTAAATCAGAAAAATGTGTGTGTGTTTTCCGGAAATATATGTGTGTGTGTGTTTTCCGGAAAAAGTTTATCTGTATTTTTGTTTTAAATGATGATGTTTCTATAGTCAAAAGAAAATACATTTTTTTGTTTATTGTCAATTCCGGAATGTTTTTCTTGTGTGTTAATTTTGTAACTGAAAAAAACTTAAAATATTCCTTAACCTTTTTATAGATATTATTATTTTTCTCACATCATTTTCAACCCACAAAAAATTAAAAAAAATAAAAGCTAAATAAGGCCTCAAAATAAGGAACAATTTTAAACACCGAAAAAAAATTTTTTGTGAGCATCCTAGCATTATTAATTGGCCTAAAATGGCGATTTAATTTTCTTTTCTTGTGTTGCGTGGTTAAAAGAAGGAAAGAAAAAAAATAAATTTTTTAAACAAAAAAAATTATATTTTTATAATTTAGGTAAAGGGTATATTTATAAAATAAGGCGTTGCAGGCATTAATAAAAAAAATAAAGAAATAGGAGCAAATTTACCGGAAATGAACAAAACGTGCTTTAGCGTCAAGAAAAAAATCATTCATCCGATAAAAACAAAAAAAATTTTTTTTTGGTTGAAAAAAATTTTTAAGCCGAGAAAATGCCTAGAGAAAAAGTACTTTATTCCTAGAATATTTTTTATTCTTGCAGACAAAAATAAAATAAAAAAATAATTTTTTAAAAAAAGCTAATGAAGCAAATACAAAATTAGTATAGTTTACGTGTAAATATATTTTAAGAAAATACTAAATAAGTAGAATTTGTGTGTGTTTTTCCGGAAAGAATACTTTAAATATAAAAATAATTGTGTTTTCTGAAAAATAAACTTGAAAATGTTATGGAACGAATGTGTGTTTTTCCGGAAGAATATAATTTCAGAATTTATTTTCAGAAAAATAAACTTTTTCCGGAAAGAATTTATTTTCAGAATTTATTTAATGTGTATTTTTCCGGAAAGATTATAATTTCAAAATTTTGTGTTTTCCGGAAAGAATTTATTTTCAGAATTTATTTTCAGAATTTTGTGTTTTTCCTGAAGAAATATGATTTCAGAATTTATTTTCAGAATTTTGTGTTTTTCCTGAAGAAATATAATTTCAGAATTTATTTTCAGAATTTTGTGTTTTTCCTGAAGAAATATAATTTCAGAATTTATTTTCAGAATTTTGTGTTTTTCCTGAAGAAATATAATTTCAGAATTTATTTTCAGAATTTTGTGTTTTTCCTGAAGAAATATAATTTCAGAATTTTGTGTTTTTCCTGAAGAAATATAATTTCAGAATTTATTTTCAGAATTTTGTGTTTTTCCTGAAGAAATATAATTTCAGAATTTATTTTCAGAATTTTGTGTTTTTCCTGAAGAAATATAATTTCAGAATTTATTTTCAGAATTTTGTGTTTTTCCTGAAGAAATATAATTTCAGAATTTATTTTCAGAATTTTGTGTTTTTCCTGAAGAAATATAATTTCAGAATTTATTTTCAGAATTTTGTGTTTTTCCTGAAGAAATATAATTTCAGAATTTATTTTCAGAATTTTGTGTTTTTCCTGAAGAAATATAATTTCAGAATTTATTTTCAGAATTTTGTGTTTTTCCGGAAAGAATATAATTTCAGAATTTATTTTCAGAATGTGTATTTTCCGGAAAGAGTTTAATTTCATTTTGTGTTTTGTTAATTCTGTTAAATAAACTTGCTGTGTTTTCTTTTTAAAACCACACATTCTGAAATTATTTTCTTTCCGGAAAAATTGAGGATGTGTTTATCTTGAAATTAATCTTATGGGTAGTATTTATATTTAATGTGTTGATTTTAATTGTTTTATTAATGAATTAAATTCAAATATGGGCCAAAAACCAGACCATCTTTACGTAGAATAAAGCCTCTAGCAGTTTATTTAAATCCCCATTTCCGGCAAATTAGGCCAATTTATAAAATTTTTGCGACTTTGGTCTTGTTTTTTTATTTTTCCCATGTTCGCCGCTTTACCTAATAATTAAAATAATTTTTTGCAAGTGTGCCTTTAGGCTGTTAAATGGTAATTTTTGAATTGAAAATTTTGTAAAAGCTTTTTGACAAAAATGAATCGACTAGACTAACTTTAATGACTCTAGTCTAAAAAATTGGAGTAACCTCTCGAAAAAATAATTTCAACATCTATACTGATAAATTAGTAGCTTAGGGATATTTCCGGTATTATAAAAATTATTTAAAAAATAATTCTTTAAATAAAAATTATTTTCCCCTAGAAGGGTTCGAACCCACGACCCCTATGAACCCAAAACAAAATGTTTTCCCACTACACCAAAAAATTGCGAGTAATAGGATATCTTGACTAGAGTTGGGCGGGATCGGGATCCCGACGTAAAATCGGGATCGGGATTTTGGAATGATGATCCCGATCCCGGTCCCGATCCCGACTGCGGGATCGGGATTGGACGAAATCGGGATCGGGATTCGGAATAATGATCCCGATCCCGGTCCCGATCCCGACTCGGGATCGGGATTGAAAAATCGGGATCGGGATTTAGTTAAAAAAAATTTTCAAAATTTAAATTTTTATTTACATTGCATATACCTCAATATAATTCCATAATTTTCATCTGCTGTGCTGAAATAATTGCTTTCTTTTCAGCTCATTAATTTATATTTTCATTAATTTATAAAATCCCGATTTCATCGGGATCCGATTGCTAATCCCGATCCCGGCTCGGGATCGGGATCGGCCAAAACCGGGATCGGGATTTGTCTTTCGGGTTCGGGATCAGAAAAATCGGGATCGGGATTCAAAAAAACCGGGATAATCCCGCCCGATCCCGACCGGGATCCCGATCCCGCCCAACTCTAATCTTGACGATGAAGCTACTAAACTTTTTTGGGCAAGAAAGAAACGTTTCTAATAATGCGGACAGTCCGCAAAAAAAAAGGAATTTAATTTTTGGAAAAATTGAAAAATTTTTTTTATAATTTTTTTATTCCAAATTTGAATCAACAAAACAATAGAACAGTCACCAAACATAGAAAAAAACACTTCCTTTTTTCTCTTATACCAAAAAATATATTTATTTTTATATTTTTTATTCTCTTCTCTTTTTCTTTTTTTATATTCTTCTCCTTTAATTATTTTTTAGATCAACTCCCCAATTTCAGCCGTTTCTTCAATTTGGGTTGAATAGTATGACTCAAGTTCTTTAAGCATTTGTTGATCCTATTAAGAGGGGGGGGGGAAATTTTATTTAAAAAAATCAAGAAAAAATTTTTCTTTCAAAAAGACTCACATTTTTGGTGACGAAATTGATTGCAACTCCTTTACGTCCAAAACGTCCAGAACGACCAATACTGAGAAAAAAAATATTTTTAGAGGACTTGAAATAATTTTTCTGTTAGTCAGGAAAATTGTTTCTTATATTTTAAGTGATTTTTTCAAAAATAAAAATGAATTTCCCCAAAAAGGGTTCGAACCCATGACCCCTATATACTCAAAACAAAGCATTTTCCCACTACACCAAAAAATGAAAAATACCGATGGATATAGTTCTCTCGATTTCCAGGCAGATCATAGTTTATCACAACAGAAACTTGTTGAACATCAATTCCTCGTGCCAACAAATCGGTAGTAATTAATACACGGGAAGAGCCAGATCGGAACTCGCGCATAATCAAATCTCGTTCAGATTGCTCCATCTCTCCATGCTGAAAAAATATTATTTGAAGAATTTAAAAAATGGGATGAGAGAAAACTGGTTCTTTTAGGTTATTTTACTAAAATAGAAATTTTTTTTCCACGAGAGGGTTCGAACCAACGACCTCTATACACCCAAAACAAAACATTATCCCACTACACCAAAAATTAAAAAATAAGGTGAATATGGTCCTCCCATTTTTTGACAACTCAAACACCAGTAACAGCGCAGGTTACCCAGAACTTTTCTTTTCGAAAATCCCAACCCACACTTTTCCTTAGGTGATGGTCTTCTTAAATGTTTTGGAGGAAAAAAGGGTATAAAATATTAAAAAAAAGTTTTTTTTTGCAAACCATAAAAGAAACTGTAAACTTCTTATTTGTCATATTACGAGCCAACTCTTCAACCTTTCTACGTGTATTAGCAAAAATCACAGCTTGGGTTATATTCACCGTATCGTACAAGTCACAAAGAGTCTCAAACTTCCATTCCTTTAAAATTTTTTTAAAATTTTTCGAAAATTTTTTATCAAAAAAAACCTCTCTTTCAATATAAATAAAGAACTGACGAATTCCCTCAAGTGTAAGTTCTTCCTTTTTAATCAAAATTTGGATTGGATTACGCATAAACTTTTTGGTGACTTCCAAAACATCGTTTGGCATGGTAGCAGACAGAAGAACAACCTAAAAATTTTTTATAAAAAATTCTAAAAATTTTTTAGAGGTGGCAAGAGCATGCGAATGCCTAATTAAATGTTCTCTAAGCCATTTATTTGTTTTTCCCCTAAAAGGGTTCGAACCCACGACCTCTATATACACAAAACAAAAATTTTCCCACTACACCAAAAAAGCATTTTTTCCAAAAAACGTCCTTCCAGACCTCCACCCCGTCTTAAAAAAAGAAAGGAAAAAAGAAAACCTGAACATCATTAGGCAAACTCTTAAAAACATCATAGATTTGATCCTTAAAACCACGAGAAAGCATTTCATCAGCCTCGTCCAAAACAAACATTTTTATGTTTTTGGTCTCTAAAAGTTAGAAAATTTTAATTAAAAAAAAAGTTATTTTTTAAAGTTTACTTAGCGATTCTCGTTGGATCATGTCATTAACACGTCCAGGTGTTCCAACAATAACCTGAATTCCTCCTTGAAGTTTGCGTTGATCGTCCTATTAAAGTAGAAGGGTTTAAATATTAGGAGAAAAGCAGAGGAAAGTCTAAAGCCTGGACCCATTAATTTTCTGAGCTTCCCGAATTTTTCCTGGAATAGTTTTGTTGAAATCCAAGTTCGGAGTAGACTTTATACCTCCCCCCCCCCAAAAAAAAGACAAGTACAACTCTTTAAAACTTTAATTTCATGTTAAAATTTTTTTCTAAGATATGGAAAAATAGTACTACTATAAAAGAACCTGAACAGAAGTTCCACCAATACAAAGATGAAATTTAACCTCCAAATATTCACCCAAAGCGCGCATAACAAGCATAATCTTTTTAAAAAAATTAAATTTATTTTCCAGGCTTTCACTCACATTATGTCGTAGTTTCCGACCCTTTTCGAAAAATTATACCCGGGCATGTCGGGTTTTTGAGACAAGACCCGGTCGGAAATTCCAACCTAACCCCCAGGAAAACATGATATTATACAGATACCCGGTTCCTGAGCTATTTAATCCCTTTCAAAAAAACCTGTTGTGCCAATTCACGAGTTGGTGCCATAACCAAAGCCTGAACATTTGGATCTTTATCATCAACACGTTGAAGAACTGAAACAGAAAATGTTGCAGTTTTTCCAGTTCCCGATTGTGCTTGGGCAATAACATCTCTTCCAGTACAACAAGGAACAATTGCACGTTGTTGGATAGCTGAAGGCTTTTCAAATCCAAAAGAATATATTCCTCTAAGCAAAAGTTCTTTAAGGTTCATATTATCAAAAGACTCAATGACTTCATTGGTATTTGACTTGAAAAAAAATTTTTTTTTATGTTAGAAGGGGATGAGATAATAGAAGGCTTTTTGACATATAAAAAGGTGGAGAAGTACTTATTATTGGGCGTTTTGTGGCCCAGCTACAACATTTTTTGACTCATTGCTCCAACACTACGTATTTAAAATTCTTGACATCTTTTTCAAAATTTTAGCTTCTCGGTGTCGGAGACATAACCAGCATTAGAGTGGGAGTTTTGTTTGTATGGATTCCCGAGCTCAATTCTTCTAAATCCCCCAATTTAAATAATAATCTCTTGAAATAGCTAGAAAAAGTGAGAGAGACACTCAGCTCGATTTCTCTAAATATGACTTGGGCTTTGTCCAAAAAACTGAATTTTTGTTTTATCCGGAGTTGTACCCAGCTATTTTCTAAGTTTTTTTTATCGAGGATTAAAAGCCCAAACTTTACAAGGAGGTCCAAAACTCCTCGAAAATAATTTTAAAAAACTAGAGAAACCTGTATGGTATACCCATCATCCATCTGTTGAGAAGTAGACCCATTAGGTGTCACCGCAACAGGAATATTTTCTTCACTTTTTACTTCATCTTTTTTCCTTTAAAATTGAAGAGATTTTTAAAAAATTTAAAGAAAAACAAACTGTAATTTGGCATCACTCATGCCTATATATTTGTAGATTATATTAGGTTTTTTAGAGCGTTAGAAAAAAAATTTGCGTAAGATTAATCTCTCTGAAAAATAAAATGAAATTTAAATTTAAAAAAGAGGTGTGAAGCGTTAAAGAGATCAATATAAAAATTATAAGAGCTGAGGAGAGAGGTGGGTCGGAATAGTCAGAGGTGTCGGAAATAGGAAGAGCCGCAAATCGGAAATGGCTCAAAAGTCGGAACTTGGAACTCGGAAATAAAAAAAATTTTCGGAAATCGGAAGGAAAAGACGTCGAAGATCGGAATTTCGACCCACCTTTAGAAGCTTATGTTAGGAGAATCTAAAAGTTCTGTCACTTTTATATAGACCCAAAAATGAAAGAAGGGATCTCCTGTAAGGCAATTTTCCCTGTATTTTCCAAAATCCTAGTTGTATTTCGAATTAACCCCACGGGATAGCATACAAATTATCCTAAAATAAAGAAAAAGGACCGGAAAGGACTACAATAGAAAGAGCGTCTACGTCATTTTTCTAATCATTTATTACCTCCCAAAAAGTTTTCATAAAATTAAATTGAATAAAAATAATGACGTAAAAATTAGTAAGTAAAAAAAGATTACAGGTGGAACCACTGAACCAAATTTTTTGGACGAAAATTTAGGGTAGAGGACGATTAGAGGTTGATACAAAGGAGCAGTTTTTGGACCATAACTTTTTTTAGAATTTTTAGATCAACTCAGTCCAGTTACCAAAAAGATGCAGAATTTCAATACCTTTCGAATGGTATAAGAATTATTCGAATCCGACGAAAACTAAAAAAGTTATGGGCCTACAAAGTGAAACAAATTGGTGGCGATGAAAAAACTGGCAATGAAACGACCTTTAAAATTTTTTAAAACGAAATTTCAAAGTGTCAACAAGAAAAAATGGTAAATTTAGAAAACACCATGTAGTAGAAAATTAGACAAAAGATCTAAAGAATTTTTTGGCGTCTACTTTTTCCGAAAAATTTTTTTTAATTTTCAGGTCTTTTTATTCAACTTTTCTTTGTGTTTTTAAGCTAACTTGAAGTGACTATAATTCTTCTCTTCAATAAAAGATGAATAATACAAATACAAATAATAATTTATTGTCTCCTATACAAGTTGTAGCTAAATATAAATTTGAAGGAAGAAATAATGATGAAGTAAAGAATTAAATTTTTTTAAATTAAAAATAATTTTTTCTTTCAAGCTTTCTTTCTCCAAAAATGATATTATAACAGTTACACAACAATTGGATGGTGGTTGGTAGGTTTTTTTGAAAAAATTTTTTTTGAAAATTTAGAAGAAAAATTGGACTAGAATAAATTAGAATTTTTTACAAATAAATAGTCCGTTAATTTATATATTTAAATTATTCCCCTTAAATTGATTCTCAAGGAGATTAATTTTTTTAAATTTCTTTTTTGATTTTTGCCCTCTTGCAAAATTAATTTTTAGGTAAATTAGGTTGTTGTTTGGAGTTATTGTGTAGCTAAGTTGGGTAGTGACTAAGTTGGGGGTGGTGGGTTCGAATCCTTATGGGTCCATTGATTTTATTAAAGTTTGTAGATGCTTGTTTTTTCTTTTTTTGTGTTTATTTATTAATTCTGTTTAAAGAAAATTTTTTTTTCAATTTTTAAATATTTTTTTCATAGGTGGGAAGGCTCTTTAGATGGCCGTGTTGGTTGGTTCCCAACAGATTTTGTCAATTTAATCAAAAATTGTGATGACCAACAAAACGCCAAAAAATCTGTCAAAACAACCAAAAATCGTTTAGAAATTGATTTATCAAAATTAGAAATAAGCAAAGCTTCTTTTCGTGTTCAATTGGTGCAAGAATTTTTAATTAAAGAAAATTCAAAATTGGAAATAATTGAAAGGACTTTGGATACAATTAAATTTTTAATGAATGAAGTGAAGGAATTGTGAGTTTTTTTTTAAGCTGAGGTTTTTTTTGAAAATTTTTTTTTGGGGAAATTTTGGGATTTTAATAAACTTGGGTTGGATTAGAATTAAATAGTAGTAACCGGACCGGACTCAGGTCGGATTTGCCGCAGTCCGGGTTCCAAATCCGGGTTTTTTCGCGTCCTTGTTTTAAAACCGGACCGGATTATTCGGCCTGATCCGATCAGGCATGAATATGGAATCAAAAATCCGGTTTACGTGTCCAGAAAAATGATTTTGCCGGTCACTATTAAATAGGAATGGTTTCCAGGCCGTTCTGGGTCGTGATACGGAATTATAGTTGAGAGAATGTTGGGGTCATGGTCCATATTTTTGGGTATACATTTTTATAATGTCTGGGTGTGTTTTGGGTTTATGTTTATACATAAACCCAAAACGTTTACTGAATCCCTGCTAGGTAAACTCTAAGGGAAATCCAAACTATAAAGAAATTCCAAGTTCGTTCCAGGAAGCTTTTAAGTACCATTTTGTTAGTATAACAGGAAAGGAAAAAACATTGAAAGTGTTTGTCCGCACAATTATTTCCTTAAACAAATTTTATACATGGGCGTCTTCTATTGGGTTTAATAAACTTTTTTAAAAATGCCCAAGAAATTCTTAATTGTCTAACAATAAATTTATATTTTTACTCTTTAAAAGATTCTCTAATAATCCATTAATTTTTTAAAGCTCTTCAGATGATTTATTCAATTTTTCAATTTCAAAATTGACAGAATTTATAAATTTTAAAAAGAATTTTTTTAAACGTTTTGAGGAAGAATTGAGGTTTTTTAGATTAAAATATAAATTTTCAAAGTTTTTTTCCTTTAGAAAGCCAATAACAAATCAATATATTGGAGATTTATTATTAAATGTTGCTCCAGGTTTAAGTTCAATTTTGCGTTGTTATTGTGAAAAATATTGTGATTTATTGGAAAAGATTAATACACAAAGGTTTTTTTTTGAAAATCTTTTTTGGAGAGTTTTTTTTGGAATTTTTTTAGATTTGGAATTTTGACCAGAAGAGTAATTTAAGGGGAGAGGAGGCTAGAATGGAGTGTGCTCCAATTCTTTTTCCTTTTTTCTCATTTAATGGAGTGGAGGGAGAGAGGTTGTAGCTGCCCGTTTTTCCTCTCCATTTTCTGTCCTTTTTCCGTTTTTTCCCGTCTTTCTTGTGGATAATGTTAAAGGAATTTCTCAAAAAATGTTTTTTTAAGTTTTCGATTTTTTCATTCTTTGATTTTCTCAATTTTAGTGCCAAAGTCTCTAAACTACTTGAAAATGGAAATATGGATTTAAAATCTCTTATTCTTGGGTTAAGTCTAGTATTTCGACATGTTCAAAAATATTCAAGTACTTTACAAGAAATTGAGAGGAATACATTGGTTTGTGTTTGTTTTATAAAATATTTGTTTCGAAAATATTGGCCTTGAGCGTCCATCCAGATCTCTCTAATTTTTGTTTCCCTAACGATCAGACTTTAATTTTGCCTTAATCCGTTGCTCTAAAGGAATGATAATCGACTTGACTTCCTAATTGTTGATGGTTTTTCTTGAGATATGGTTGAATAAGTCCTCGAAAAAAATTATAAAAAATCTGTTTACCTTAGATTATTCTGTCTGATTTTCTAAGAAAATTCTGAAAGTCTCATTTAACTAAATTTTTTCTAGGAAAATCACCCAGACCGTGGAAATTTACAAAGAGCTGCTCTTTTCTATTCTGATTTGCTTGTAAATTTTTTTTTATTTTTAATAAAACAATTTTTCTTTTAAAGGAAGATTGTGAAATGTTAAGAAAACAAAGAGAAGCCCAATTAGATTTTTTACAAACAAAATTTTTTGAAGAAAAATTTGGAGGAAAAAATAATTATGAATCATCAAAATTGGGAAAATTGTTATATATTGGAAAAGTTAGTTTGTCTTTAGAAGGTAGCAATAATAAAAATAATTTGGAAGAAAAGGAAAGAATTAATTCACCAGTGGAGTTGGACAGGTTTTTAATTTTATAAGTTTTTAGGGATTTTAACGCTTAAAATAAGGTTTAAATAATTTTTTGAAAGATTGTAAATATTTTAGAAATTATTTTAAAGCTTTCAAGTTGAATTCTATATTTTGAATAAATTAAAAAACCCTAAGCGGGTTCGAACCTTCGTCGTTTTTCCTCACTCAACCCAGCACAATCCAACTTAACCACAAAAATTAATTTACTTACAATAAATTGGGGTTTTTGTTGATTAATTTGCCAATGAAAATTTTTTGCATCTTTTTATTTAAAAATAATTTTAAAAACCTCAAGAGGGTTTGAACCTTAGTCCTCTCCCTCACCAAACATAACACAAACCAACTTAACCACAAAAAATTTTTTTGAAAAAAATTTCTAATTCTATAAAAACTCCACTTTTTATCAAAAATAAATTTAAATTTTTTCTAGAACAATAGTAATATTTGCAAATAATATACTTTTATTGGATATGCAAACAACTTCTGGCCAATATTCACTTTGTTATAATTTTCCAATTATTGATTTAAATATAACACAATTAACTGATGTTAGAAATACTTTACAATTGTTTAAAAAAGGTTTGTTATTTAATTAATTTTTTGTGTATTAATTAAAAATTCAAAAATCCTTAGAGGTTTGAACCAGCGTCCCTTTCTTTTTCAACCAACGTTAACAAATTTATACCTAAAATTTTTTTTCCTTTTGATTTATAACGTATTTGGTGTCATCTTTTGTCTATTTTTATGTGGATATTAGATTAGTGGAATGAGTATTTTTTAAAATAAAAGTTGACATTCTTTTTAAAGGATCCGTTAACTCATCCCTATGTCCCACTTTTTTTAATTTTATAAAATTTTTTGCGGAAGGGATTCTTGTGTGTTAATAAGACGTGGTAAATAAAGGGTTAGAGGTTGATGCCGACATGACAAAAACTTTCTTTAAAAATTTTTTTATCAATTTTCAGGCGAAAACTTATTTACTTTACAATGTTTTAGCAGCAAAGATTTTGTCAATTTATTAAATTCTTTACGTTCAATTAATATTAAAATAACAACAACAACAAGCTCAACAACAAATACAACTAAAAATGCTCATCAAACACTTAGGACAAGACATAATTTTGAAGAAAATGGAAGAAAAATCGAAAAAGGAAATAAGCAACAGAACAATAATGACCATCATCAACAACAACAAAATTTAATTTATTCAAATAACAATTTAAAAATTAATCATCAATTAGAAATGATTTATCCTGATGGAATTGATGATGTTGATAATAATGTTAATGATGAAAATTTTAATAATAATAAAAGATATACTTCTGGCCTTTCTACATCAGAAAATTTGTCTAATAATGGGGGTTGTTTTTCAGGTTTTTTAGAATTTTTTGTTGTTTTTCGATTTTTGAGTTTTAAAAAAATTCTAGGAGGTTAAAAAGGTTTAAAAATTATTTTAAGACTTTGAAATTGAATTCTTCAATTAAAAATTAATTGAAAACTCCAAGCGGGTTCGAACCTTCGTCCTTTTCCTCACCCAGCCCAATGCGAACCAACTTAACCATAAAATGATTTTTCCACAGAAATTTTTTTGTTGTTAATTTTCAAGGAAAACTTTATTTTTTGGGTTTTTTGTTAAAAAATTAATTTAAAAACCTTAAACGGATTCGAACCCTCGTTCTTTTCCTTACCCAAATCAAACACAAACCAACTTAACCAAAAAATTCAATTTTTCTAAAAATTAAAAAAATCTTTTTTGGTTAATTTGGCTAGGAAAACTTCATAAGAATTTTTTGAAATTAATTAAATAAAAATAAATTTTTAAATTTTAGGCTCTTCAGTTTGTGGAAATCGTGAAAGCAGACCTTTTTCTGGATTATCTTTAAGACCTTTACCTCCTAGAAGAAGTGAATGGTTTTCAAATAATAACAATACTTCACAACAAATTAAATTGAGGAAAGGATGTTAGTTGTAATTTTTTAATTTTATTTAAATAAGTCAAAAATAGTTTGTTCTATTATTTATAGGATTTAAATTGTCCGCAAATTTCAGTCCGCAAAATTAAAAAATTTTTCTGATTTTATGGTGAATTTTTGATTTTTTTCTGATAAATTCTGATTTTTCCCTAATTCTGAAAAATTGAGAATTCTGATTTTTAACATTTGAATTCTGACTTTTTCTGATTTTTTAGGATCAGAAATTCTGATTTTTTATTTTTTTTTAAAGTAACTCCAGAAGAACAAGAAGACGCTTTATTATTAAAAATAGTGGAAGGTTATTGTTTAAGTAGTAATTGTTTGGCAACTTCCTCAATAAATAATCATCAACATAAACAACAACAACAATGTTGTCCTCATTATTATCGTCAAAAACAAAGAAACTCGGCAGAATCTCAACATAACTATAATTCTTGTGGGGGAGGTTTGTGTTCAGAGATTTTTTTGAGATTTCTGATTTTATAAAATCAGAATTTTGTTTTTAAGATCAGAATTTCGGATTTTTGATTTTTTAAACAAAAATTCTGCTATTAAAATCAGAACAAAAATCTGAAGTTCTAATTTTAAAAAATCGGAAGTTCTGATTTATTAAGATCAAAATTCTGATTTTTATTCTGATTTTTTAGAATAAGAAATTCTGGTCTTAAAATCAGAACGAAAAATCAGAATTTCTGTTTTTAAAAATCAGAATAAAAATCAGAAATTTTGATTTTCTGATTTTTTTACAGGCCCAATTAGAAGAGCAGCTTCATATCCAGACAAAAACGAAATGGCTACAACAACAACATTAACTAGACCTCAATTAATTGTTGCTGAAAATGAAAAAATTTTTGTAGAAGAAATGGAAGGGGATCAAATTGTTTTAAAAGAAAGAAGTTTAGTGGATACTGTTTATACGTTAAAAGACAATTTATCAGCACTAACAAAGGTTTTTTTTAAATTCTGATTTTTCAGAATATTTTTTTTCTGATTTATTTTCGTTTTTTTTATGTCAGAATTTTTGTCTGTGGAATACGAAGTTCTGATTTTTAAATTAGAATTTCTGATTTTAAAATAAGTTCTGATTCTCTAAACAATTCTGACTTCTCATTCTGATTTTCTGATTATAGATTTTGATCTAGAAAATCAGAACTTCTGATTTTTTAAATTAGAATTCAGATTTTTAATATAAGTTCTGATTTTCTAGGCCTAAATTCTGATTTTAAAAACATCCGATTTTTTGATTTTATAATACCAGAATTCGTGTCTGGAGATTAGAAATTCTGATTTTTAGTCAGAACTTCTGATTTTTAAAATAAGTCCTGTTTTTTATATCAGAATTCTGAATCAGAATTTTGATTTTTAAAATTAATTTTTTAGCAAGTTGCCGAACTTTCCAAAAGCCTTGAACAAGAGCAACGTTCCCGACGTCGATTAGAAGAATTAGTTAGGCAAACAATTCCATCAACTACATCAACTTCTTTAATTGATCAACAAACACAACAATTAGAAGCATCTTAAATTAAAAAAGAGAATCTCTCACCGTAAAAGAATCTAAAAAATTTTTTTTTATATAAATCTGAAATTCTGGCATTTTTTCTGATTTTTTAAAATTAGAATTCTGATTTTATTTCTGATTTTTCAAATCAGAATTTTTTATTTTTTCTGATTTTTTAAAAACAGAAATTCTGATTTTTTATTTTGATTTTTCAAAAAATAATTTTTATTTTGTTCTGATTTTATCGATTTTTTTTTGAAAATCAGAAATTCTGATTTGAAAAAATCAGAAAAATTTTTTTCTGATTTTTTTTAATTTTCTGAATAAAAATAAATTTATTTTTTTATACTTTTAAAAAAAGTTTTTAAATAACATTTTAATTTTTTAAAATTATTAAAAAATTAATAAAAAAACATTTTTTAGATGATTTTTCTCTTTATTTGTGGATTCTTTTTTGGAATTATATTTATTATATTTTTATTCGGAATTTATTTCTTTAATATATTTGGAAGAACAACAACAACAAATTTTAATAATAATAAGTGTTCAATACAAGCAGCAGATAAAGCTAGAATTCCCCCTGTAAGTTTTGATTTTTTTAAATAATCAGAATTGGTGAAAAATCAGAATTTAAAAATCAGAACAAAAATGACAAGGACCTCAGAAAAGAAAATCAGAAAAGAAATTCTGGTTTTTAAAAATCAGAATCTTTATAAAAATATAAAACCAGAACAAAAATTATAACAGAACTTTTAACAGAAAATCAGAATTTTTTAAATCAGAAGGTAAATTCTGATTTTTAAAAATCAGAATTTAATTAGAAAATTAAAATTAGAACAGAAAAACAACAAAAAATCAGAATTAAAATTTTGATAATTTTTCATAATTATTTTTTAATAAAAATATATTTTAGGAAATCAAAGCATTTTTGAACTCTTCAAAAGATGGAAATGGCGGTTCAGAATGGGAATCTTGTTCTTCATTTAGTTTACTTCTTCACTTTTTATTTCAAGAAATTAAAGATACAAGACAGTTTAGAAGGTTATTAAATTTTAAATAAATCAAAATTTTAAAAATCAGAACAGACCAGAATTTTTAAAACAAATTCTGATTTTTTAAACCAGGATTATGAATTAAAATCAGAATTTCTGATTTTAAAAACCACAAATTCTAAATCAGAACAAACAAAAATTTTATCAGATATCAGAATAAAATCAGAATTAATAAGAATTTTAAAAATCAGAAAATACCAGAATTTTGCACACTTAAAATTATTTAAATAATTTATTTTTTAAAGGTGGCTTTACAAAAAACTTCAATTAGAATTAAACGATGCAACAGCGAGAAGTTCTACTGCTGGAAGGATAATTCAGGTTTTTTATTTAACTTGAGAAATTTTTTTCTGTTCTGAAATATCAGAATTAAAATCAGAATTTTGATTTTAAAAATTTAGAAAAATCAGAAATTCTGACTTTGAAAATCAGAATTAAAATCGAATTTCTTTCTTAAAAATTGAAGAAAATTAGAATTCTGATTTTAAAAATCAGAACAAAAATTGGAATTCTGATTTTAAAATAGGCATTTTTTCACCTTCCTTGGTTTTTCCTGTACTACAGGGTTTTAGAAAAATCAGAAATTCTGACCTTGAAAATCAAAATTAAAATCACAAAATTTCTTTCTTAAAAATTGAAGAAAATCAGAATTTCTGATTTTAAAAATAGAACAAAATCAGAAATTTCCTGTCTAAAATTTTTTTCCCTCTTATAGGACATTCAAATTCGTGATTTGGAAATTGGAACACACCCACCTATGATTAAAGACATTAAAGTTTCAGAATTTAAATTGAATGAGTCTGATCCAGATATGTTTGATGAATTGGTTTTGATGTTAAATTTGGATTATAAAGGGGGGTTTCAAATGTCTGTAGATGCTTTGATGGCTTTTGGAAAGTTTGCACAATTATCTGTTAAGGTTCGTGAAGAATTATTTTTTGAGGGTTAGGTAATTTATAATAGAGATCGAGCTGGGCCTGGACAAAGGTCTGGGGTTTTTTCTGTATCCAGAGTACAGACCCAGGCATTTTTGACCTTACTGGGTTTTCCTGGACTACAGGCCCGGGATCCATCCCAGGTCAATAAATCAAACCCTAAAGTTCAGGAACAAGTCCAGACTTTTCAAAAATCTCGGTCTCTAATTTATAATGGGGTAAATGACACAAAATCGTCCCTACACAAATCCTAAAGCATCCCTTTAGGCCATATACGGCTCATAACTTTTTTTGATTCTTCCCTAATTCAAATAATCAGTATATCATTCGAAAGCTCTAAACATGAAAAGTATATTTTATCTAATAGGGACAATTTGATAAGATCATCCTGTCAAAAGTTACAGTTGGGTAAGTACGCGTAATCGTGATTTTGGATAAATTATGAGCCATAACTTTTTTTAATTTTCATCCGTTTTAAATATTTCTTGTGCCAATCGAAAGCTCTAAAAACATTTTTTTAGTTGTTGGAACTTAAAGGAAAAGCTAGACTTACAATAACTCGACAACCTTTTGCTCATTGGAGTATTTGTTTTGTAGAAAATCCTCAAATGAATTTAAAAATTGATTCTCAGGTTTCTTTTGGACTAAAATTTTCACAAAAAAATATTTTTTAAGTTTCAAGGCAGAAATCTTCGACATTTAATCCCTTTAATTACAACAGCTTTTCGTAAACTTGTTCAGCTTAAACATGTTTGGCCTAATTATAAAATTCGTTTTCGACCATTTTTTCAAAATCCGTTGTTTAATATTTCTCCAAATATTGGTTTGAAATTTTTTTTTTAATTAAAAAAAATTTTCTTTTCAGAAGCACTTGATCACATTCATTTTTCTGGCTCGGGTTTAGAAGTTACCGTTTTATGCTCATCTCGTTTAAATATTTCACTTCGTCATGGAGGACAACATCTTTTTTGCAAAGTATTTTTAGGTTTGGAAATATTTTTAAATTAAAAAAAATTAATTTCAAAAGTTGGGGACAAAACAGTAAATTTTTTTAAATTTGGAAAATTGGTGATTTCTAACAGCCACATAGCCATGAAAATTTTTGAAAAAAATGCAAATTTATCGCGATTTTAAAGTTCATCATTTACAAAAATAATTTCCACTTTCTTCTTCTCCCTAAGGAAAAAATTTTTTCTTGTCCTTTTTCGTGCCCTTTCTCACAATTTTCAATAATATTTTTTTTAATTTTGTTCGTACCTTTAAATTTAATTTTTAAATAAAATTTTAATCTCGTTTAGAAAAACGCCCCTTTGGTTGTTCTTCATTTAACAAACTTAAAGGAACTACAACTAATCAAATATCCTCAAATGAAGAATTACATTTACAAAGTTTAATGTTGTCTTTTTCAAGGAAAGGAATTAATGATAAAATTGGTTTGACGTTGGGAATGAAGGTTTGTAAAAATTACAAAATTAATTAAAGGATATAAAGGAGTTGTCTTTATTTTTAGGGGGATTTTAAAGTTGTTTTTACAATTGTAAAAAACCTTGTAAAAATGACAGATTTGAAAAACAAGTCTTTACGAAGGATGGCGGTTCTTGGGAAATCTCCGGATATCCGGAACCGATATCCGAACCGGAATTTTCGGATATCCGAGGTTTTTTCGATTCCGGATACCCGGAACTGCCAAGTCTTTACAATTTAAAGCCAAATTGTATAAACGAGTTTCTATATCTAATTTGTAAAAACTTGTTTTTGCTGTTTTAGAAATAAATAAAATATTAATTAATTATTTAATTAAAATTAATTTTTTCAGAACGGAAAAGACGTTTCTGTTGAAAAAGTCGAAACAAATTCAAATGCAGAAAAAAGCGGTTTCAAAGTTGGAGATATTTTAATTGCTGTAAACAATATAGCTGTTAGAAGTGAAAGACAAGCTATTCGATTATTATCTGGGACATGTAGCGATTTATTAATTTTAGTGGAAAGAAAATTGGAAGAGAAGAAAAATAATAATTGTTCATCTTCATTACAAAAACCTTCAAAATCTGTTGATGATTTTATTTTACTTGGGGCACAACCTATAGAATTTAGAGCTGAGGATTTGCCTGAATTTAATGAAGAAGAAAAGGAGGAAGAAAAAAATAGTGGAAGTAAGGAGGAATTATTTTTAAATTAATTTTAAAAAATATTTAATTTTTTCAGAATGTTTATTTAAATCTGCCTCAGACTCTATTGAACTCCTTTTGCCTTCTTCACAAACATCAAAGAGGGGGTCAGTTGATTATTCCAGTCCCAACATTAATTTAAACATGGAGGAAAAACAAAAGTGCGAAGAACAAGAAAAACAAATTGTAAAACAAGTTGCTAAACAACATGCAAAACAAGTTGGGGAAATTGTTGGGAAACAAGTTGGAAATAAAATAGGGGAACAAGTTGGAGAAAATGTTGGGAAGAAAGTTGAAGAACAAGTTGTAAAACAAGTTGGGGAAAAAATTGTAAAAAATGTTGGGAAACAAGTTGGAGATAAAAATGTTGAGGAGAAAGTTGGAGAAAATACTGAAAAACATGTTGTTAATAAAGGTGAAAAACAAGTTGTAAAACAAGTTAGAGAAAATGTTGGGAAACAAGTTGGTGAAGATGTTGGGAAACAAGTTGGAGATAAAAATGAAAAACAAGTTGGAGAAAAAGTTGCAAAACAAGTTGGAAATAAAAATGAAGAAAAACTAGGAGAGAGTGTTGCAAAACAAGTTGGAGGAAAACTTGAAAGAAATGAAGGAAGTTTTCGTCTTTCTAGTATTAAAAAGAAGAAACAAACATTGAGACGTTCAAGATCCGAATCAAGTTTGTCACCAACCCCAACAACAACAAATAATTCAAGAAAAACATCAACGATTTTACAAAATGTTGTTCAAAACAATGAAGAAAATACAAATTGTAAATCAAGTTTGGATGTTTGTGTAGACGATACAAGTTCAATTACAAGTTGTAAAAAACCAGAAAATGTGAAATCTAAAAGGGAAAGATTGCATGTTTGTTTTGATTTTCATTTAATTCTTTAAGTAAGAGTTTAGCCATCGGGCAGGAATCCTGCGAGACCTTCCGATTAATTACTGGGCTGTTCTTTCACTTTCTTGGCCTTTCCATGTTCTTTACACTCTATGGGTAGTGTGAATAAATTTTTTTTGAAGAATCCATTTATGTTCCTTTCGAACTATGGGTAGTGTGAAGGGAACATCATTTATGTTCCTTTCGAACTATGGGTAGTGTGAAGAGAACATCATTTATGTTCCTTTCGAACTATGGGTAGTGTGAAGGGAACATCCAAAAATAAATTTTTTTTGAAAAATTCATCTATGTTCCTTTCGCACTATGGGTAGTGTGAAGGGAACATCCAAATAAATATTTTTGTTAATTTAAAGGCAAAAGCAAACGAAATGGCAAAACATTGGCAAGCGGGTAGATCAAAAATAAATGAATTATGGAATAGAAGAAAACCTTCAGAATTAGCTATAGAAGTAAACGATGATATGGAAATTAATGAACATTTTAATGTGGATAGGTTGGGTACTCCTACTAGAGAAGAGAATAAATTATTTAAGAAAAAATTGTGAGTTTTTTTTGGATTTTTTATGAGAAAATTTTTTGAAAATTTTTTAAAAATTGAAAAATCATTGGGATGGTTGAGTCTGACATATTTTTGAATTTTACTATTTTAAAAAATAAAAAAAAATTTGAGGATCTTTTTAATTTAATGGGCCGTTTTAATTTTAAAATCTTTGAAAAAAAATTGAGGAAAAAATGGAGAAATTTTCAAATTTTTTCTCAGAAAGTCGTTTTAGTTTTACATTTTTAAATTCTGAAATTAATTTAAAAAAATTTTTAAAATTTAATTTATTTTTTTTTTAAAAAAAAAGGTCTCCTTCCCCTTCTTGTGGCAAAAATGTATTAAATGATGGAGAAAAGAGAGAGACAACAACAACAAAATCTGAAGCATTTCTTCAAGATGTAAATATACAAAAAACAAAGCAAATACCTTTAACTAAGGTTTTTTTTTAATTCTTTTAATTATTAATTGGGGAAGTTTTGGTGAATCAATTAAGAGAATTATTTTTTCTTTTATTTGGGCCTGACAAAATCTTTGGATATTAGAGACTGAGCAGGAAAAACAAACGAAAATCCTCGTTTTTCAGTTCGGTCTTGTATAAGATTTTTTTGAACGTTACAGTGGGTTGGGAGTATCGTAGAAAAATTGATATCGATATTTAAAAAAATTTTTTTCGTAAAGAAAAGATTTTTTGTTCGAAATCACGTATAGGTCCAATCTCTAGTCTGAAATTGAAATTTTATAATCAATTTTTAAATTTAATTTTTTAAAAGGATCCTTTGTGGGGACAATCTCTTCATTTTACCTTGCAAAACGAGTCATTATATTTAAATGTGTTGGTTTGTGCTGATGCTGAAGGAAATGAAAAAGATTCTTGTGAACTTGTTGGTTTTGTATGTTTTTTTTAATGAAAATTTTTTTTTGATTAAAAAAATTTTTTTAAGACAAGTATTTATGTCCCTCGAATTATCGATGACTGCATGGTTAATTTTTTTCTTAAATAATCTTTAAATAATTTTATTTTTAAAGTTGACTCTTTCAAATAGTCATCGAGAACGTTTTCATTTGAAAGGACCTAAAGAAAGGTTTTTTACTAGAATTAAAAAAATTTTTTTTAAAATAAAATTGAAATTAATTTTTTAAAATTAAATGAAAATTCAGTTGATTAATTTAATTTAAAATTTATTTTTAAATTAAAAAAAAATTTTTTTCAGAGAAAATATTCTTCCACAAGAATTTGAAGAATTATTTAAACATAATGGTTTTGGTATGTGAATAAATTTGAATTTTTAATTATAAAAAATATTTTTTTATTAGATCCCCGTTTATGTTTTGGTGATATAATTCTTGGTTTTCGATTTTTCCCTGATGGCCTTCCAAATTCATTAATTCAACAAAACGATTTATTAAAAAGGGAAGAAGAAGAAAACAAAGAAGAAAAACAACAAAAAGAAAATTTAAATCAACAACAACAATCAAATAATAATGAACATAAATGGATTAATTTACAACCTAAACATGGTACTAAAAAATTTTTAAAATTTATTTTTTGAGATTTTTGGGCATAAATTTATTTTTATTTATTTTTGATACCCTAATAGTATTCGCAGAATATTTGTTTGGAATCTCGTTTTGACAATCCCATTTAAATCCCATTTATAATCGAACAAGTTTCACAATTAAGTTTTTAGTTTATAAACAAGAAAAAGGTTTTAAAACATGTTGTTGTGTTTTTATACTTTTTAAAGCAATTGTAAAACTTGTTTGGTATGTTTCCTTTAATTTGGTCAACAAGTTTTACAATCAAGTTTTTTTAAAAACAAGTTGCAAATAATTGTAAAAACAAGTTTTCCAACTTTTTTTCTAACCTTTTCTTTATCAACTTTTTTTAAAACTTTTTTTACAAATTGTAAAATATAATTCCAACTTGTTTTACAATTTCTTCCCCAAACAAAAACAAGTTTAATTTAAATTTAATTTTTAAAAAGGTTTACATTTTTCTTGTTTTATTTGTTCTGGCAAAATTTGGTTAAAGGGTGGTAGTCGTTGTGAAAAATGTTTAATAATTTGTCATACAAATAATAAATGTTTGGATAAAGCAAAGGCTTGTGAATGTAATAAAATAATAAATCCTTCAAATTTTAATGATGATGAAGCTTTTGAAGAATTGGTTGATTTTAATGTTGAATCCCCTACAAGAAAAGAGGCAACAAACTGTTCAGGTAGTTCTGATTTTTTCTTGATTTATTCTGATTTTTTTCTGGTCTTGTTTCGATTTTTTGGGATTTTTGAGGGATTTTTGGTCTTACCAATTTGTGTTTTTAATTTTTTTTGAATTCTTTGAGTTATTCTGATTTTTAGTTTTCTGGTTTTTCTTGCATCTTCTGATTTTCTGTGTTATTCTGATTTTTGTTTTCAATTTATTTTGATTTTTTTCTGATCTAGTTTTGATTATTTTGGAGTTTTTCTCGTTCTGACCTATTTGATTTTGTTTTTGGTTTTTTTTCCTTTTCTGTTATTTATTCTGATTTTTTCTGATTTTTCTGTTATATTTTTGATTTTCCAAGTTATTCTTTTTAATTTTCTAATATACATTATTTCTATTTATTTAATTTTTTAGAAGAACAAAAAATTCTTTTAACAACAACAAATCCTCTACTAAATCAACAACCAAATATATTACTCGATATAGATAATAAAATAGGTAGTGGATGTAGAAGAAGACGAATAGCAGAAAAACTCCAAACAACAATGTCTACTTTAAAACAAGTTGGAGGAGGAATTAGAAAAAGAAGAGGAGGAGGTAATATTTCAGAAATTACAACAACGCCTAGAGAAGAAATAGAATCAACATCGAGAATGTCTACTGGTAATGTTTTGTTTTGTTGTTGTTTTTCTTAATGTTTAATGCTCAAGTTTATTATTTTTCTAAACATGTTTTTATTAAGTTTTTTAAAATTGTTTTACAATTCCAACTTGTTTTTGTACAAATTGTAATTTTTAATTTGTAAAACTAGTTTTGCAAAGAGTTAGTTGAGAGAAAAATGTTTCGAGAAAATTGTAATAAGTTTATAAACATTCTCTAGATTCTAAAACATTCTTAAAAACATTTTTAAAATCAACAAAAATATTTATAAGAAAAAGTTTTTCTAAACATGTTTTTAAATGTTGTTTTAAATTGTTTTACAATTCCAACTTGTTTTACAAAACTATTATTTATATTTTACAATTTTCTTCTTTAAAACTTTTTCTTCTCTCACCTCCTATTTATTAAAGAAATAATTTTAATTTTAATTTTTTTCAGAACCTCCAGAATCTCCACCACCCTCACAATCATCCCTATCTTTACAAAATAGTCAAGGAGAATCTCAAATATTTATTGCTATTTCGGTAATTTTTAAATTTTTTTTTGATTTCTAAAACCTTTTCAGGATGTTCTCGACCGGGAATTTTTTAATTCATTGGAAGGTTTTCCAAAAGAAATAAATATTGATGAATTACGTTTTGAACCTGGAAATGCTTATAATCCTCAAGTTATTTGTGAAACTAAAACTAAAGGAAAATTAGTTTTTGGAAATCTACCGGCTAGTGAAAGAAAATTAAAAATTAATTCTCAAGTAAGAAGAAAAAATTTTTTTAATTAAAAACCCTCATTATAAATTACACCCAAAAATTAAATTTACCTTAAGATACGATTTAAAATTTTGTTTTGTTACTGAATGGGGGAAGGGGGGTGTAGGTTATTTAAATCGATATCCCTCAATTTAACATACCCCTCATTATAAGAGACGATTTTTTAACCCTAAGGGATTAGAATTTTAAAATTTAAAATTTAATTAATTTAAAAAGATTGATAGAGTACAAACAATGATTGAACGGGTAACTCGTGAAAGGCGTTCTTTACCTTGTAAAAATGATGAAGATTTTGATATTGTCGATAACCGGTTACAAGCTTTAGCCTTAGTTATGCTTTTATATTGTTCTGGACTTTCGGTAAAAATTAATTTTGAAAAAAATTTTTTTAATTTTTAAAGGATTGTATGGACAAAGAAGAAGCAGAAACAACAAACCCAAAAAATTTATCAAATAAAGGAGAAGAAATTGATTAAAAAATAAATTGTGCAATAAATTTATATATTTTTTAAAAATAATTAATTAATTAGAGAATAATTCGAGGTGTGGTTTTTATTTTATTTTTTTAAATTTAATAATTTAATTTACATATCACTTTTTTGATATTTTTTCTCCTATTTTTAGAGAAATAAAATTTATATAAAAAAAAATTTTTTAAATTTTTTTGCAAGACTTCTTTCTCCTCTTCTATTTTTAAAATAATCTTTTATTTAAAAAATATGGGGTTTGCAAAATTAAATCAAAAACAACACACTTTTTAGACAGCTGCTTAATATTAGTTTTTATTTATTTCTGATCAATATTTTTACTTTAAAGTATTAATTTCCGGATAGATACCAAGGTGTATTTTCTTTCCGGAAAATACAAATTTATTTTCTGGGAGTAATTGTACTATATTTCCTTCTTCCGGAATGTTTAAGTGTTTTCTTTTTCTTTTCCGGAATTTTCAAAATTGTGTTTTTCCTTTCCAGAATCGTGTATTTTTATTAATTTTCCGGAACATTATCTTTCCGGAATTGTATTTTTGCTTCAATTTTTCGCGCGTTTTTCGGACTGTGTTTTATTCTTTCCTTAATAGTATTTTTGTTTCGGAACATGCGTTTCATTCTATTAGGTAATTTTTAATTTATTTATATGGGATTAATAATTTTTTATTTTTAAGTTCTCATTTCTATATTTTTTGCTTTGCCCGTCTTGACCAGTAGAAATGTCAATTACGATTATCAACTTTATGAGGATTTAATGTAACTTAAAAATTTTTAATTTTAATTATTATTTTTATTTTTTTAGGTATTTTTACAATAAAAATGTGCGTCCTGTTAAAAACAGTACTCAACAGGGGTGTGCCGAAACAGATTTTAAAAAGCGAAAGACGAAAGGCGAAAAGGCGAAAGTCGATTTAAAAGGCGAAACACGAAAGACGAAAAGGCGAAAGTCATTTTAAAAAGCGAAAGACGAAAGGCGAAAGACGAAACACCAAAAAAGACGAAAATAAGGCGAAAGACGAAAGGCGAAAGACGAAACAACTGTAATGAGGAAAAATCTCTAGATATCGGTTAAACTAAAGCTTTGGTTAATTACCTACTTTCAAATCTTCTATCAAATTCTCCAAATCTTGCGATTTCCTTCTTAACCACTAAATTATGGATATCAGAGGATTTAGAGTGATTAAGGAGGATATCAGAGGATGTGTATGGAAAAATTCAAATTTAAATTTTTATTTTTTCCTATCATTGGAAATCGACCATCGTTAATTGTGAATATAGTTAAAAGATTTTGGGAAATCCCAGGATATCCAAATCCGTTGTCCGAACAAGAATTTCGATATCCGGATCCGTAACCAAAATTTTTAATAAAATACTGAGGCTTACCCAAGTAGAGAAGTATCCCCTTTATCAGCGCCGCAGGCGAAAATTTTGAGAATTTTGAAGGTCCTTAAGTCAGATTTCTTCCCTTTTTGCGCCGCAATAAATACCACTATGCTGGAAAATAACCTGTATTAACTTTTTAAGCGCCGCAGGCAAAGATTTTGAAAATATAAGGTGTCTAAGGCACGGAAAATTCACTTTTTAAATTAAAAAAATAATTTTTTCATAGAAAAATTATAATTATTCTATTCATAATATATAAATAAAAATCTTGTCCCTAAATTTGGTCCGAACCTAACAATAATAAAATGGTCGCTAGTCGGAGTCAAACAACTTACCACTCAACCATCAATTACTTTATTAAGTTAAAAGAAAATTATATATTTATCCCCACTCGTCCTTAGTTTTTCTCTTTCTTTTCTTCTCCCAATTACCAACTTTTCCTCACATACCATCATTAGGGGTGTATAATATTTTCGCCTTTCGCCCAAAAAAGCGAAAGACGAAAGGCGAAAAGGCGAAAGTCATTTTAAAAAGCGAAAGACGAAAGGCGAAAGACGAAACACCAAAAAAGACGAAAATAAGGCGAAAGACGAAAGGCGAAAGACGAAACGGCACACCCCTGGTACTCAACCTTTGGATGTAAAATTTGGTGCTAGTTTAATCCGTATAATTGATGTGGTGGGTTTTTAAATTTTTAATCAATTAAAAATTAATTTAGAAAATTGTTAAAAGTTTTACGGAAAAAATAAAAATATCCTATTCTCTCCACAATTGTCTAATTTAAAGATTAATTGTATTTTTCCGGAAATTTTTTTCTCTGTTTTTATTCTTCTTTATCTCTGAAAATTTATTTTTTTTAATTATTTTCCGGAAACGGGCTGAATATATTTTTATTATTTAACTTTCCGGAAATGTATTTTCCGGATCTAAACATGTGTATTTTTAAAATTAACTTTCCGGAAATGTGTATTTTCTTTCCGGAAATGTGTATTTTCTTTCCGGAAATGTGTATTTTCTTTCCGGAAATGTGTATTTTCTTTCCGGAAATGTGTATTTTCTTTCCGGAAATGTGTATTTTCTTTCCGGAAATGTGTATTTTCTTTCCGGAAATGTGTATTTTCTTTCCGGAAATGTGTATTCTCTTTCCGGAAATGTGTATTTTCTTTCCGGAAATGTGTATTTTCTTTTCCGGAATCATTATTTTCTTTAATTGTATTTTCTTTTCCGGAAAATACAATGTATTTTCTTCTTTTAAACACGTTGAGCATTATATCCCCCATTAGGATGTCTTTCTTCAACTATCTTAACTCGTTTTCTTCCCACATTTTTTTCAATTTTGTAATTGTTAGTCCCCAAAACTTTATTATTATTTCTCTTTTTTGTTGTCTTCTTTTTAATATTATTTTTATTTATTTCTTCTTTTGTATTATATCCAACAGTTTTTTCAAATTCTGGTACTTTTATGTGTGAAACACCACAATCTGTTGGACAATACATTGAAGGCATTCCTTCAAAAAATTTTTTCTAAAATTATTTTTTGACTTGAAACACTCACCCGGCTCTCCCACAAGTCCCATTAATCCTTGTGCTCCTTCAGCACCACTTTGCCCCTGCGGCCCTTGTTGCCCTACACTTCCTGCTACGCCTGGAAAGCCTTGTCGCATGTTCGATTTTCCTGCCATTCCAACCATTCCCATTGAACCAGCAGGGCCAGGAGGACCTTTTGGTCCTTTCTGTCCTATTCCTGCTATAACGTTATCTCCAATACTTCCAGGATATCCATTCTTTCCTTTTGGTCCTTGTTTGCCTGGAGGGCCTGCATCTCCTCTAGGGCCTTCTTTCCCTGCCTCAGCATCTGTCCCACTTTCCCCTACCAATCCAACAATTCCTGTCTGTCCTCTTTCGCCTTGACTTCCTCTTTAAACGAATTATTTAAGGTAACTTCTCTTTATATTCACCTCATCCCAGGCGGTCCAGCTGGACAGATTGCGCAGCTCTGTTCTTGTTCAGGCCCAAGTTCAATATCATATCCATCAATTCCTGGTTCGCCAGGCATTCCTGGCTCTCCTGGAGGGTTGTCTTCTCCTGCTGGGCCTGGAAGACCTATCGGTCCGGGTGGGCATGTCAACGATTTACATCCTGTGTGTTTTTAAATTTATTTATTTCCGTAATGGTGTATTTTTTCTTTTAGGAATTAATTCCTTTTGTATTTTTGTATTTTCCTTTTACAATTTTATTTTTCTCCATTATGGAAAAATATTATTTTATTTTCCGGAAGCAGCCTCTGTATTTTTCTTTCCGGAATTCTATTTGCTATTAATGACTTCTTTTCCGGAATTGTATTTTTGTATTTTTTCTTTCCGGAAAATTTGTATTTTCTTTGTATTTTCCTTTCCGGAATTTATTTTTTTGTATTTTCCTTTCCGGAAATTTGTATTTTTTGTATTTTTCCCTATAATTTCTACCTGAACATATTCCTCCTACATTTAACACTGCTCGTTTCTTTCTCTCATTTTCTCCACTATTTCTCTCCAAATTCTGATAATTAGTATTAGTCCATATTCTTTCTGAATTTTCCTTTAAAAAATTAATTTTTTTTAATTTTTTAATTAAATAAATACTCTAAATTGTTTAGCTTTTAACACAATAAATTCATTTTCTTCATCAATTTGTATATAAATTAAAGGAATACAAACAGCTAATAATATTACACTAGCTAATGAAGCAATACACGAAGAAATTGCTAAAATTCGAAAAAATTCCCATTGTTTTTGGGGCATTTTATTAAAATATTTTTAAAAAGATCTGTGTTTTTACTTATCAGAGACTGTTCTTTTATATTTTTTAATTGACCTTTTCTTCGCTCTAATCTCTTCCTTTTATTTTTTTAGACACGCCAAAACGTGTTTAAACTTTTTTAAATTATTTTTTTTATCATTCTCGAAAGAAACAAGATTAAAAAATTTTTTTTTGTTTGAAAGGATGGAATACTTTTAATTATTTTGATCTTTATTTTTAAAGGATAAAATATAGTACTAAAAATCCAGTTTTATTAAAGAAAAGGTGTTAAGATTAATTAATTGATTTTAATTAATTTTGATTTTTAAAAATAAATAATGGAAAATTAAAAAAAAAATTTAAATTTAATTTTTAGGATGAAGTCAATCAAGTATTAACAACCTCTTTGTGGCTTGAATTGGTATTAAAATTAATTTATTTTGATTTTTTACAAAATTTATTTTTTAGCAATGGTATGATTACAAATTTGTTTGGCAAGTTTATTTCTTTTTCTTATTTTTCTTTATACGAGATAGGATGAGAAAAACTGCTGGTCTTGAGGACATATTTTAGGCAATATCTTTTTTGATTTTCTTAACCTATTGAAATAATTATTATAACAATTGCAAGCTCTAAATGTGAGGATTATTTTATCTAACAGGATTGATTTGATCAGAACATCCTACAAATGTTACATTTCGTTGAGTACGTGCAATCGTGATTTTTTATCTTTATTCCGCTGTAACTTCTTATATATTTGTCTGATTAAATTAAACTGTTAGATAGAATAATCCACACATCAAGAGGCTTTCGATTGATATAAAAAATATTTAAAGCTGGCAGAAATAAAAAAGTTATGGCCAAAAGTATGGCCTCATGTCTGAAATTGTCTTTACATCTTTTCTTTCATTTTTTTATTTTAATTTTATTTTTCTTTCATTTTTTTCTAATTTTTATTTTTTAAGGGACCCATCAAAATTTAGTGGAATAAAAAAGCTACATATTCCTTCAGATTTAATATGGATACCAGATATAGTTCTATATAACAATGCTGACGGAGAACCTCACATTTCAATTGTTTCTGACGCCATAATTTATTTCAATGGATTAGTTGTTTGGAAACCCCCAAGCATTTACAAATCTTTTTGTAATATTGAAATTGAATATTTCCCTTTTGATACACAAGAATGTTTAATGAAATTCGGGGGATGGACTTATAATGGATTTTTGATGAATATATCACAAATACCTGTAAATTATTTAAATTATAATTTTAATTTAAGGTGTAAAATGAAATACAAAAATTATAAGGAAAAATACATACAATTATTAAATATTTTCCGGAAAACACAATATGTATATAATATTTTTATTAAATATTAAACATTCCGGAAAATACAAATAGTATATTATTCTTACCTTTCCGAAAGTTAATCATATTGTTTTTCCGGAAATTTTGTATTTTCCGGAAATTCTGTATTTTCCGAAAACTGTATTTTCGGTAAAATGAATTTTCCGGGTGCTTTGTATTTCCCGGAAAATACCGATTTTATTTTTTTAAAAATCAATTAATTTCTGTTTACTTTTAAAGGTAGGCCCAGATGACAAACCCCAAGCACTTAGTTACCCTGATGGTAGAGAATACAAATATCTTAAAATTGGGATGGATCTGTCTGCTTACCATCCGTATAATTTAAATTAATTTTAAAAAATAAAAGAAATTTTAATTTTAGAAGTCTTGAATGGGATTTGATGTCAGTTAGTAGTAGTAGGTATGGATTACTTAAAAATACAAAAAAAATACAGTAAAATTAAATAATTATTTTTTCTGGAAACTATGAAAAGGATTAGAATTTAATGACGTTAAAATTCCGGAAAATACATAAATAATATTATTTTCCGGAAAATACAAAAATTCTGATTTTTCCTAAAATACAAATTATATTTTAATTTTCCGGAAAGATAAAAAAATTTTCTATTTATTAGACATGAACAACTTTATCCTGGTTGTTGTGGTCAGGTAATTTATTTAAAATCAAAAAAAAAATACCAGAAATAAATTCTTCCCCAATTTCCTCTAAATTTTAAATTTTCCAGGATTTTTACATTGACATAACCTTTCGACTTGTTATTCGACGCAAAACTTTATTTTTTATTGTTAATTTGGTTATTCCTTGCATGCTACTCGGTCAGAAAATTTATTTTGAATTTTAAAGACTAAAAAATTATGTTTCTAGCAATTTTAACTGTTTTTGTTTTTTATATTCCTGCATGTGAACACAAAATGACTTATTCTAGTGAGTTTATTTTTTATTTATATATTGTTTAAAGGTTCCGGAAAATACAATATAAAAAGTATTCCGGAAATAAAATACAAAAGTTTCCGGAAAATAATATCGTTTATATACAATTTCCGGAAAAGAATTATTTCTGAAAAATACAAATTATTATTCCTGAAAACACTTACGGAAAATACATTTCCGGAAAATACAATTCCGGAAAATATAATTCTCTCCGCTGTATAATATTATTTTTCCGGAAAATACAATAAAATACAATATTTTATTTTAGTTTTCCGGAAAACACAAATATTCCCCTTTCCATAAATTTAATATTCTTTTCTAAAATACAAAAATACATTTTTGTATTTTCCGGAATAAATTATATATTTTTAGTTTCTGTATTGGTAACCTTAACTGTATTTTACCTTATTCTAATTGAATTAATTCCCCCAACTTCAATGGTTATTCCATTAATTGGTCGTTATCTACTCTTTACAATGTTTCTAGTTTCCTTTTCTATTGCAATTTCTGTTGTTACTCTGAATTTTCATAGACGGTAATTTAAAAAATAATTTTTTTAAATAAATTTTAATTAGTGACGGAACCCTTCACACAATGCCTCGATGGATTTATCGTCTTTTTATTCGTCTACTACCCAAACTTTTATTGATGAATCCACCGGAGGAGGATGCCCAGTCAGAGAATGACGAGTCTACCACTATATCTGACACACAAGCCCCTTCATTTTGTGCTGGTTCCAGGAGGCCAAGTCCCTTTTTTGTTTCTTCCACAATCCCTGAGGGGGAATTGAGGCTTTCACAACTTGCACAGATGAGAGGGCTGGGCCCTGATGTGCTCAGGAGAATGTTGGACAATGTGCATTTTATTGCTGATTATTTTAGAGCAAAACAGAAACGCGACAAGGCAAGTTTTTTTCCAAAATGCGCAATTTTCATAATGTCAAATTATTTAAAGGTATCAGAAAATTGGTCATATGTTGCATTTGTCCTCGACAGACTCCTACTAATAATATTTTCAACTACTCTACTTGTTGGAACAATTTTAATATTGTCAAGCTCGCCCCCAGCTACAAGAGAATGGGGAGAACCATTAACTACAATGAGGCCAACAAAGCCCCTAAGTGGAGATACTTTTGAATTTGAATTGAGAGGGGAGACGGAAGTTGATAAAATACTTTAAATTATCGGACGTCGACTTATTTCTTGACGTTTTTGAATTATTTGATATTTTGGGGAGGTGATCTTTTGGGTAATTTTCAAAAATCCAAAAAGTGCTCCAAATTTTATTAAAATATTAAAAATGTTATTATTTGTTGTGTTAATTTAAAAAAAATTAATAATAAATTCCCATCAATATTTTCTTAATTGCAGCCTTTAGAGATTCATTGTATTTATCATTCTGAAATATTTATGTTTATTAAGTTAAAAATTAGAGGAAAAATCAGAATTGTTCTAATTTTTCTAATACCGATTTAATTTAATTCTGATTTAATTCTGAAATAATTCGAAAAAATTTTGAAATAATTCTGACCTTTCTGATTTAAATCAGAATTATTTTCAAATAAAAATAAAGGAAGAAATCAGAAATTAATTCAGAATTATTTCATAAACAAATCAAAATTTTTTCAAATAAAATCAGAATTATTTCAGAAACAAATCAGAATTTTTCAGAATTAAATCAGAATAAGATCAGAAAAATTCTGATTTGTTTCTGAAATAATTCTGATTAAATTTCTGATTTCTTCCTCCCCTCCCCCTTTATTCACTGACCGTATTTTCTCTAATTTTCATTTTTCTAGCACTTTTAATTAAATAATTTCTTCTTAAAAGCATTTGCATTTTTTGTTTCCATTCTGTTGAATATTTTAATTCTTTTCCAAGTTGAAAAATATCTGGAGAAGTTTCAAAATTATTTTTATTAATTAAAAGAAATTTTTGTTTAAGTTTTTGTTGTTGTTGTTGACATTTTATTGGGGGAATTATTATTAAATTTAAAAGAAATTGAAGAAAAACACAAAAATAACAACTGTGAAATTAAAAAAAATTTTTTTTTTAATTAATTAAGCATTCAAAAAGAATTTTTTTAAATCCAAAAAAGAATTTATCTAGCACAAGTTTAGTCCCGGGCAGGCATCGAACCTTTCCTTATGTCATTTATTGTTAGAGGAGCTTTCGCTACCACGTACTTGTGATCTTCTACTGACAGAGCGCCCTTCCTAAAACTTAAATTTTTTTTCTAAACAAGTCTTAAGGGTCTAAATTATGGAAATTGGAAAGACAGTGTCCTAAAGTTAATCTAACGAAAAAAAAAATTCAAAAAAAGCTTTTTTTTCTGTGCTGTTCAACACCCTAAGACTTTTAAATTAAAAAAATCCTCACAATTTAAATACATTCGAAGACATAATTTTTAATTTATTTTTAATTTTTGAATAATACCATAAAAACACACAATATATATTTATTTAGAAAAGAATTTATATCTAAAAAATTGGGAAAATTAATTTAAATTTTTAATTAAAAAGTAGTTGATTTTAATTAATTATTTTAAGGAATTTTTTAAATTACCAAATTAATAAGGAATTAATTTTGTTAGGGAGAAAATTGTTTAGGGATAAATTTAAAAAAAATTAAAAACAGGTTGCCAACAATCCTAAAAATATTTAAATTTTCTATTACTATTTTGGGAGAAAACACAAATGTTTAAAAAAGAAGATTACTTATTTTTCTTATTAAAAAATTCAAAAAAAGTTATGGAAATTAGAAAAAAATTTTTTGCTAAAAAACTGTAACAAAATTGGCATTTTTTCATAATATTTCATCAGAAAAATTTTATTTAAAAAAAGAGAAATTTTTTTGATTAAAAAAATAGAAGAGTGAGGGGATGTTTAGCTCAAAACAACTCAAAACTATAAAAAAATATTTTTAAAACAAAATTAATATTATTAAATAGAAAATTAAATTTGTTACAGAATCCGAATTGAAAAAAAATTTTTTTAGGCTAATAAAAATTTAAAAAAATTTTTTACCCAAAAAAATAAGGACAAAAAATCCCCACACCTATAATTTTTAATTTTTTTCTCAAATTTTTTTTCTGGGAATCTAAAAATTGTGTGTGGTTAATGAATCAAATTTTTATTGCCAATTTAATTATTTACCATCTAAAAAAATCCCCAAAAATAAAAAAAAAACAATTACAAAAATAATTTAAAAATTCTAGTAATTAAAAAATATGTTTCTCTTGAATTTTAATTTGGTTTCTTAAGAAAAAAATTTTTTAAGAAAATAAAAATTAAGAAAAGACAACTAATAAAATCCTAGAGGTACAAAAAAGTGACATAATATAAAAATATTTTAAAAAATAATTATTAAATAATTGCCCTATAAAACAAATAAAATGAAAAAAAAATTATTTTTTGGCCTATATAAAAAGAAAGAAAAAATTATTATTTTCTTCGTGTTTTAAATTCAAAAAAAAAAATAAAATAATTTTTAAAAAATAAAAAGAAAATAAAGAATGGCTTTTTTAATTACTCCAACAATTTATTTATTTGTTATTTTAATAAATTTTTTATTTATTAATGGAGAAGAAATGTTAATGGGTGGTGGTGGTGAAGAACAATTTAACAATAATAATAATGTAAGAAAATAATAATAAATGTAAGAAAACAATAATAATAATGAATAGAAGAAATATGTTTCAGATTTAATGAAGCAAGACTATAATTTTGCTTCAGTTTTAATAAAAATGTTTCTCGCTAATTTTTAGAAGCACGTTTCAAGTTAAGTAAGACATGCTTCCAGATTAGTGGAACATGCTTCTGATCTAAAGATACTTCTAAAAAACTGAAACATAATTTGAAGCATGCTTCAACAATCTGGAAAACATGTTTCAGGTTTAACAGAAAAATTTTTCGATTGTTGAAGCATCCTTAAAATAATTAAAAACATGTTTCTAATTTTTGGAAACATGTTACTAATAAAAAAGAGAAGATGAAGCATGCTGCAAATGTTTCAAAACATGTTTAATTAACCTTTAAAATTTGCTTCAAATTTCTAAAAATTTTTAAAAATAATTTTACAAATGTAAAAATGCTTCGAAAAAAATCTGAAGCATGCTTCAACTTTAATTTAAAAATCAAAAAAAAAATTTAGGGTATGGGAGGAATGCATCCAACACATATACCTAATATTGAAGAAAATAAGATGCCAAAAAATGATGAAAAATTTGTTGGGGAATTAAAAATGCCAACAAAAATGATGGGAGAAAATAAAAGTAATAACAAAACAATGGAGATGATGAAAGAGTAAAAAAGAAACTTGAAGCAAAAGAAAATATAAAGGAGAATAAAAATAAAACTTGAATTAGAGAAAGAAAAATAAACTTTAAATAAATAAAGTTTGTATGATATTCTGAAAAATCAGAATAAAAAATTAAACTTGAATTATAGAGAAAATAAACTTGTTTTGGTAAAAACAGGCGGAATTTAAAAATAAAATTTGAAAGAAAATAAACTTTAATTAAAGCTTATTGTTAGAATAACATAACCAGGCGGAATAAAAACAGGCGGAATTTGTAAAAAATAAACTTGAATTAAATAAAAATAAACTTGTTTTGGTAAACAGGCGTAATAAACTTAAACTTAATTATAAAAACAGGCGGAATTAAAAATTAAATTAAACTTTAAAAATAAACCTACCAAGTTTAAACCGTGCGTATGTTTTTGCATTGTAATAACAATAAAAAGTGAAGCAAGTAGCAAATAAATATTAATCAAAATAAAATTCTTTTAAAAAATTTCTGACATCATTTGAATTTTTTAGACAATTAAAAATATTTCTTTTTACTTTGGGCAATGAGGACCTTTAATTAAAACAAATTTTTTTGAGCATCTTCAAAAATCTGAAACATGCTTCAGAAAACCTGAAGCATGCTTTTTAAAAAATCAGAAGCATGTTTCAAACTTTTTTGCAGCATGCTTCATATTTTATGAAACATGCTTCACAAAATCTGAAGCATGCTTCAAAAAAATTTCCAAAAAATTTTCCTATGCAACTAACCTCAACATAAAAACCAAAATTTGATGAAAATATTCAAAAGACAAATTTTCTTCCTTCTCCATTTCCAACCAATTTAAAACACATTGTTTTGGTGTTTTTAAATAGCCAACAAACATAGCAGGATTTTCTAATAAACCATTTGCGGCCATTACACCATCAGCTTTTGTTAATTTTGATATGTTTAAGGCTTCTAAACGTGTTTTACAGTTACCTTAAAATTATTTTTTTAATTAAAAAAATTGTGAAACATAAAACAAAAAAAAACTTTTAAAAAAAACTTGAAGCATGCTTCAAAAAATTAGAAGCAAGTTTCACAAAAGACCTAAAGCATGCTTCAGCAAACCTGAAGCAAGTTTGGAAAAAAATTGAAGCATGCTTCTAAAGATTAGAAGCAAATTTTAAAAAATCTGAAACTTGCTTCCGAAAATCAAAAGCACGTTTTAAAAAATATGAAGCAGGAAGCATGCTTCAATTTCTATATTTAAAAAATAAAAAAAAATACCATTAGCGAATACAGGGATATTTAACGCTTGTTTAATTGTTGCAATCGAATCATAATTGGGTGGCTCATTTCTTTGTTCAACAGTTCTAGCATGAACAGTAATGTGTGAAATACCGGCATATTCTGCCTAAAATTAAATTCTTTTTAATCAAGAAAAATTAAAAAATCGGAAGCAGTTTTATGAAATTTGCTTCAGTAAATCTGAAAAAAGTTTCAGAAAACCTGAAGCAAATTTCAGAAAACCTGAAACAAGTTTCAGAAAACCTGAAACAAGTTTCAAAAAACCTGAAACAAGTTTCAAAAAACCTGAAACAAGTTTCAGAAAACCTGAAACAAGTTTCAGAAAACCTGAAACAAGTTTCAAAAAACCTGAAACAAGTTTAAAAAACCTGAAACAAGTTTCAGAAAACCTGAAACAAGTTTCAGAAAACCTGAAACAAGTTTCAAAAAACCTGAAACAAGTTTCAGAAAACCTGAAGCATGTTTCAGAAAACCCGAAGCAAGTTCCAGAAAACCTGAGACATGCTTCACCTCCTAAAATAAAAAATAATAAACCTTTCTACACAAATCCACAGTTTCTTCCAACGATTTTTTTAGTCTTATTTTTATTGAAATTGAAAAGTTTTCGTCTGATATTCTTCTTCTACATTGTCTAACAATATCAAATATTAGTTGGGGATCATCCAAAAGTTTAGAACCAAAACCTTCTGAGCGGACATCTCTTTTAGGACAGCCACAATTTAAATCGATTCCTTGACAGTGACTAATGGAAAAAAAAATTATTTTTTTTGCAGACAAGTTTTGCGGACAAAAAAATTTTACGGACAAGACTTGCGGACAGAATTTTAAATTTCCTACAGATAATTTTAAAATAAATTAACGGAAAAAATTGACTAACCCATAAACTAATTCTGCAGCACCAGCAAAATCTTCAGCATTTTTAGCAGCAAATTGAACAATAGGAAAGTCTCCTTCACTTGGTACAAATTCAACAGCTCTACACTTTTCAGATTTAATAAAACAATCTGCATAAATCATTGGAGTATAAACAATATCACAGCCATAGTTTTTGACCAGTCGTCTGAATGGCAATCTTAAAAAAATTTTTGATTAAAAAAATAAATCCGCAAAATAAGTCCGCAAAAAATTTTTTTTGTCCGCAAAATTTTTGCGGACAAAGTTTGAATTTTCTAAGAAAAAGACTGGGTAAAGTTACTAGCTGGGCTAAACCTAAAGGCCATAGACCGTAGCACCCCCTGGCTACGCCTTTGATTTCTTACGCATGAACTTATTGCTGACGTTAACTTTCAAGAAGATAACAGCCTTGAAACCCGAAAAAAATAAATTGAACAAACTTTGAATATCGAACCATTGGAGCAGCTATAAATAAAGGTACGCATTGCTGTTGATCAAAATCATCGTTGTTTTCATAATCTTCACGGCTCATTACAAGTATATAAATTCACAAAATAAAATTAAAAGAAATTTCATTAAAAAAATAAAATTTTGCGGACAAACATTTGCGGACAAAAAGTAAAAAAAACTTTTTTTTTATTTTTAAAGGAAAAAAAGAATTATATAATAATTAAACAAAATAATCACACTTTCTAATTTTTATTCTTTTTTAATGTTCAAAAATTTCTCCAATTCTTTTACTCGAACGAAGATCGCTCTTAATTAAAAATAATTATTTTTATTTTTAATCAATTTTTAAAAATAATCAAGAAAAAGTCTGCAACTTTTATCATACGCCAAGAATTTTTCATAGCACGGGGGAGGTCGGGGAATAGAAAAAACCACGAATGGGGAGGAAAAACCTAGACTTATTTTTCTATCAAAGTAAATTTGAGAAAACTTGCGGACAAAATTTGCGGACATTTAAGAGTTTATCCCTGGGTCTAAGAAAAACTAAATTTTTTGCGGACAATAGTTGCGGACATTTTTGTATGCAAAATCCAAATAAAATAAAAACAAACCAATCTAATAGGATTTACATTATACGAATTCTTTCCAATACAATTAAAAGCAATTTTTGATGCAGAAACAAAATCTATACCAAAACCAACAGAAACATAAAAAGCCTTTTTTGACGATTTTGTGTGGATAACAGCCAAACTTGGCAATTTTATTGAACCATTATTTTCATTTTTCTTATTCCAATTTAAGTAAAACATTGTTGCTGATCCTTCAGAGTCATCACATTTTTCACAAATTTCCTGAAAAAAATTTATTAAAAAAAATAAATTTGCGGACAAGTTTTGCGGACAAAAAGAAAATTTGCGGACAACCCGGAAAAATAGGATAAAAATAATTAAGTATAAGATCGGCTTTTCGTCTTTTAAAAAACAGGCTGCGAATACCCATAAAAGCAATACCCAACACAAAAAAGAACTTAATGGTAAAGGAGGAAAATCCGCAAAAAATGTCCGCAAAAAAACAAAAAATTAACCGAATTAATCTCCGCCAAATCCTCACGTGTACAATATCCAGAATACAAAAGTGGAGCTTCATTAAGTTTTTTGGCAACTCCAATTGTAGGAATGCCCAATTCATAACCAATATGACAAGCCAAACCACAACCTTTATAAAAATTTATTTTTTAAATTGTTGTTTTTGCGGACTATATTTGCAGATTTTTTTCGGTAAATTATTTTTTAAGAATTTGTTTGGAAATAACAAGAGATGAGTGTTTCCTTTACAAATTAAATAACAAAAAATTGTTCCTAAAATAGAAGAAAAGGAAAAGTCCGCAGAAAAAAAGTCCGCAAAAAATCCGCAGAAAAGATCCGCAAAACTTAAAAGTCCGCAAAACTCATTTTTTTGAAATTTTCAATAAAAACCCGAAAAAAATTAAAAACAAATAATAAACAAACAAAAAATAAACCTCTAGAATGCCATTTCCCATTTGCATCAACAAAAATCAAATCAATTTTTGGACAATTTTTTAAATGACGTCGAACTACACGAAGTAAAGGCTTCGCTTCTCTAATAGCAAAATATTCGGGTAAATAAGGCATTACACCTCCTAAAGCACTTAGAAGAACTGGTTCATCAGCACAATAAACAACCTTTTAAATTGAAAAAACTTTTTAACTTGAAAGAAAAATTATTTTAAAATCCGCAAAAAATGTCCGCAAAAAATTTTTAATTTGCGGACAACCTTTGCGGACAAAAAATTTTTTCATTTTTTGAAGACCAAGTTCGATACCTGCTAGGTCGTAATCCCAACTTTTTCCCCCAAACTCTTAACTACATAACATCTTTAACTAAAAAATATAAAAACCTTCATACTAGGATAAGCCAAAACAGTCAATCCAACAACCCCAAATGATGGGTGATTTGTAGATGCAGAAAGATCAATACCTGCAATGTATCTTATTGAACGTTCATCAAATTCTGTCGTTTCAGGTAAAGAAAGAATTTTTGCCTAAAAAGTAAAAATGAGATTTTGTCCGCAAAAGTTGTCCGCAAAAATTAAATTTGCGGACAATTTTTGCGGACAAAAAATTTTTAATTAAAAAAAATACAAACCTCTTTTCTATACAATTTCATCTTAGCAATTTTTATACCAAAATCAATTCCAAAAACACCAAGTAAAATACCAATATAAGAGTATATAACCGCTAAAGAACAAATTACTGATGTAACCATAATTGGAAGAAAATCGTATTCAGTAGAAGAAAATAGCAACTTAAAAAATTAAAGAATTATTAAAAGTAGATTTTAAGTTGAAATTAAGGTTACGGAAATCAGGAGAAATATGAGGAGGATGAATAGAGATATTTAAGGATTTGCGGACAACTTTTGCGGATAATGCAAATTTGCGGACAAAACCCCCTATATAATGAGTGTCTGCAAATATTTGTCCGCAAATTTAAAAAAAAATTAAAAAACTTTTCCTTACTTTATGACCAATTAAAGAATAAAATTCAGCCAATAAAACCATTCTAGACAACAAAAAAGCAACTGGACATCTAATTAATTCTGATGGACTAATTTGCCACAAATAATTAAATACAAATATTCCAACAGCAAAAATTCCAAAAATAAAGCTAATTTTAATTAAATAATGTTCTATTGGGGTAAATAACAAATTAAATTGAGCAAATGTTGAAATTAAAAACATTAATGAAAATGGCTCCATAAAACGAGAATCCTTTAAAAAAAGAATAAATTAAAATTATTATTTTTTGGTATGTTAAAAAATAGTCCGCAACCTATTATCCGCAAATAAAAAAATTTTTTTCTTAAAAAAAGAAAATCTGCAAAAATTTGCGGACTTTCTTTAAAAATTTTTTTGCGGACTTATTCAATTTTAATCAAAAACCTGGGGATAAAATTTTTTTATTTCTCAAAAAAACGTATGATATTTTTGGGGACATAAAATTCTTTTAAAAAATTCTTGAAAAAATTCTTTTGATCAAAACTAAATTTCTAAAATAATAAAATAAAGTTTTAAATAAATAAAAAGAACAAAAAGAAAATATTGAGCCTGGAGAGGAATCGAACCTCAGTGGGAAAAATGTATAGGCTAGAACACTAACCACAACACCAACCCAATTTATACACTAATAAATTCGAATATGTTACTATAATAAAAGCAAAAAATAGACTAAATTAAAGAAATTCAAAACAATCACCACTCTTGTAAAAATTTTAAAAATCTCTAAAAATTACGAAAAATTTTTTTTGTAATTTTCAATTAAAAAAATAATTTAAAAAAATAAAAACAAACTTTAATTGAAAGTATAGCCAAAGGAAAAAATAACATTAAAATAGCCTTTTCGTGTACATGCCATCCAAAAAGAAAAAATGGGTAAGCAGACAACAACATTGAAATTAATAAAAAATCTGTGTGGGAATATTCCTTTAAAATTAATTAAAAAAATAAAATAAAAAATAAAATTAAAAAAAACCTCAATATCTTTAAAACGCCAAAACGAAGCAATTAAAATTACAAAAATTATAATTAATGTAATTATAGGTGAAATATCAGGCAAAATTGAATGAGAATATTCCTGAAAAAAAGAAAAAAAATTTTTAATGCAAAAAATTAAAAGTCTAGGAACATTTGTAAGCCTAATAGGGATTAAATTTTTTAAAATAAATTTTTTTTAAATTAAATTTTTCCCCACTTTTTTAATTTTAAAAATCAAAATTTTTAAAATTAAAAAAATAAACCAACGGCTAGCCCCAACCCCCAAAACCTAGTCTTACACAAGTCTCGACAATGAATTTTTATGGAATCTAAAAACTACCATTAGACTCAAGTTGAAAATGGGGAAAAACAAACAGAAAATTATTATAAATCATCTTTGACATTTTTAAATAAAAAATGCCATGTCATTCACGACATTTATCACAAAAATGTCATTTGTGTCATAAAAATTTCATTATGTCAAAAAATGTCAGATAAATGCCTTAATGTCATAAAAATTGTCATAAAATGCCTTAATGTCATATAAATGTCATTTCTGACATTTTCAACTAAAAATGTCATGTCATTTACGACATTTACCAGAAATAATGTCAGTTGTGTCATAAAAATTCCATTATGTCAAAAAATGTCAAATAAACATGTCATAAAATGTCTTAATGCCATATAAATGTCATTTCTGACATCTGACATTTTTAACTGAAAAATGTCATTTTATTACCCAAACTACCCCCTACCTTTAAAATAAAAAATAAATTAAAAAAATACCCCAACAATTCCTTTTGTAAATTCAGATGTTGGCGGACACTTTTTAAGTAAAATTGAAGCCATACCAGCCGAACAATCTTTTCCAGAAAAATAAAAAATAATTTTAGCCAGCCCAGCATCAACAAAATTATACAAAGCCCAAAAGTTTGGTGCCCAATTTGCGTGTGTTAATCCTCTTTTGAATGGAAAAAGACGTGATAATATTTGGCCTATTGAAGAACGAATACCATCTAAAAAATATGAAGAAAATTTTTTTTTTAATTTTTTAAATTAGAAAATGTCAATTTGTCTAATTTTTTCGTAGCTTTATTGGCAAGGATCCCAGAACTGCTTAGGACCGAGAAACTCATTTTAACTTTTTTAAATTTTTAATGGAACCAAGAAAACTTGTTTTTAAGGAGCATGAAAATAGTCAGAATATGTCGAAAAACTCGGTTAAGCACACTTAAAAACCTTCCAAAACCCTTATAAACCTTTAAAAACTAAATTTACTATTTTTAAATACCCAAAATACATTTTTACATTTAAATATAAATAAAAATTAATTTTATTAGCATTTCCAGCGCCTTTGAAGACACAAGAAAATTTTTCTCCAAATTTCAAGATCTTTTTTAAAAGGTCGACCCAAATAAAAAATGGACCAAATGAGAAAACCCCCAAAAAAGTTTTTTATTCACAAAAAAACTTCCAATTAAAAATTCCTCGCAAACCTTTAAAATTAAAAGCCGCAATTCCTTCAATCAAAAAAGGGCCAAATGAAAGTGAAAAAATTCCAACCAAAATTGCCATTAAAGAAAATACTCTCCCACCAGATTCTTCCCAATAAAGATACCAAGACAAATAAAAAATAATAAATGCTGGGGCATAATATAAATATAAATGTTTGAAGTTTAATAGAATTGCGTAAAATAGAGCACCCTAAAAATTAAAAAAAATTAAATTAAAAAATTTTTTGACAACATTTTTGGATGGGTTTTAAAACAAAACAGGCTGTTTTCCCTTCTAATTTTTTTGGTCAGTGTCTGGTTATAGACTAGAGAGCAAATCAATATCTCGAAAAATATTCAAGTTGATGACAGAGCTTTTAGTTCAAGATCACGTCCCGGTTCGATCTCTAGTTTGGACCCCGTTTTTGAATCGATCTCAAAAATACCAACAAAAATACCAACAACACAATAGGGTCTAGTGTTTCAATTTCTAGGTAGGTACAAAACAGGAATATCTCAAATAGAAAAAGACAATAAGATCCCGAATGGGGTAAACTTTCCTGAGTGAATAAATTTTAAATCCAAAAATTGTCTGGGTTTTTGATTTTGAGTATCAGATAATTCATGACATCCCTGGCCCCAAAACATGTTAAAAAATATTTGAAAACTCAAAACGTCCAAACACCAAAAATAATCAAAAAAAATATTCAAAACCTTCAAAAAATCCCCTCTAGCAATTGACCCAATCGATAAAAGAAGAAAACCATACAAAAATCCATTATATTGAAAATGAATATTATCCAAAATTATAAGAGCCTAAAAATAAAATAAATTTAAAAAATTATTCAAAAATTAACCGGATTTAACATTAAAAGAGTAAAAAGACACAATTTTGCTCTAGCCATAAACTTCTCTCCGACAGCCCATTCTGTGGAAACAAATGAAGAAGAAACGCTAGCACAACCCAGAAACTGTTTTTAAAACAAAAAAGTTAAGATAATCAATTAAAAAATTTTGTCCGCAAAAATTTGCGGTACTTTTCCGTTATGACGTAACCCCCTAATTTAATGTTCAAAATGTCATATATAGGGTAGAAAAAGGTGCTGAGTCGAACGGTACCACTCTTTTTTTCACGGAGATGCCTGTGGACCGAGATATAGGGCTCGAAATGGTCAAAAACCATAAGGGGAGTAAGCTAAATTTTGGGGTGAAAAATTCGATTTTTTGAATAATAGCTTATTCGAAAGAGCTCCTCGAGCTGAGTCAAATGACACCAAAATCAGCTCGAAATCTTGATTTGAGACGAGATGAACAAGCTCAAACTGGTCAACGTAAACCTATGGGGCGTAGGCGAGACGCACTCCCCCCTGTGGTTTTTGACCATTTCGAGCCCTATATCTCGGTCCACAGGCATCTCCGTGAAAAAAAAGAGTGGTACCGTTCGACCCAGCACCTTATTCTAGCCTATATATGATATTCTGAACATTAATTTAGAGGGTTACGTCATAACGGAAAAGTACCAAAAGTCCGCAAAAATTTGCGGACAAAAAAATGTCCGCAACAAATTTGCGGACACAAAAAAAGTCATAATATTTAAAAAACCTCCTCTTACATAAATAAAATCGGCCATTATAACACTAATTCTTTGAAAATAAAGTGTAGATGTCGAAAAATATCCATCTTTTCCAAGAGTTAAAATATTTGGGTCAATAAAAGAAGCGAGTTTAGCCAACACCCATTCAAAATAAGCAAAGAAAGGAGGATAGTCCAACGTCCATTTTGAAATTTTTGAATGATACCAATGCCCGAGAGGTAAATTGTAGACTATAGACATCCAATTACGATGGACCTTTAAAAGAAAGGAAAGAAATTATGATTTTTGGGGGGAGATGACATTTGATCCCAGGTAGACAAACTTGATTAAAAATCAAAACCTCATAGCCATAATGAAAGGCAATAGAAGAAACTGAGTATCATCGTTCAAAATACAAGAGGCAGAAAGGTTTATGATTATATCCAACCTTTTTGTATACCTGGGATCAAGTGTCATCTTTTTCAAAATAAAGATAAGCAGTTTAGCCAACAAAGAGAAATCGAAGAAGCGCCCTCTAGAAGTCCGGGTGACCGTTTGGGATACAGGAACGAAGATTACAGGGTTCTGAATTCGATCTATTGACAAAGGAAGGATCACGGGCCGAGGAAAAACTAAAGGAAACTAAAAATGCAGGGGTACGTGAAAACCCCAATCCAAAAAATAATTAAAAAAAAAAACCTCAAAATCAGTAGAATGATAGCTGTTGATCAACATAAATTTAACAGAGACAACAAATCCAAAAATAAGCCAAACCCTCGAATCACCCAACATTGAAAAACATCCATTTCCTTGAGTATTTGTTATACCCATTTTCTCTAAAATATTAAAAAAAATCTCTAAACAATTTTAAGGGGACGTTAATTTTAAATCAGAAAAATTTTAAGTAAAGCAACACGTTTAAAAATAAAAAAAAATTTGGGGGAAAATAGAAAGAAATAAATTAATTTTATGTCTATTCCGGAAATGTCTCTCTTAACAACACATACTCTCTCATCTTTGTGACTGTCTAAATTAACAGGAAAAAGAAAATGATAATAAAGTGCATTTAGAGTCTGAGATTAATTTTTCCTGATAAATTTTCTCTTTTATTAATTAATTTCCTGTCTGTTCCGGAAATGTCTCTCTCTTAACAACACACACTCTCTCATTTTTGTGACTGTCTAAATGAACAAGAAAAATCTAGAAAAAGCTGATAAAGTGAAATTAGAGTCTGAGATTAATTTTCCTGTTAAATTTTCTCTTTTCTTACTTAATTTCGTGTCTGTTCCGGAATTGTCTCTCTTGGTAACACATTATCTTTTTACGGTTCTTTTACTTTTTTTTAAGTTTTCTGATTAATTTTAAATTTTTATTTTTAATTTTCCCAAAATAGAAAAAATAAAATGTCTGTTTTTGGACTTATTATAGCTGGTAGATTGGTTCAGACTGATTTTACTGCTCTTAAAGAAATGGAATATATGATTGAAATACAGGATGCTGAAAGGTTGGTGATTTTTTTAAGTTAATTTTTCTACTTGGGATCAAATGTCACCTGTTTAAAAATTTTGCTGAAATCGGTGAAAGGGTTTTTTGAAACCGCCAATCATCAAGGAATTTATTTCAGTCTATTCCGGGGCCCATTTCTTGAAAAAAAACTTAAAAATTAAATTTAAAATATGTTTGGGATCAAATGTCACCCCCTTCAAAAATGCTTTTAAAAATCTAAAAATTAATAACAAAGAGTTTTCAAGGATGCCAATTACGAATTTTACATTTATTTAGGCCTTTTCTAGCCAAGAAAATCCCCACAATTTTTTTAAAAAATGTCAAAAAATATTTTTCCAGCATTAACCACCTTGTAATCTTCCTTACCGGACTTTCACCTCTTCCAGTCAATTATGGAGGATCTAGTCAGTTGTATTTTTTATTGCTTAAATTTATTAAAGAATTAATTTTTTTATTAGTTTACATGAGTTGGACACCAATTGACGGAGGGGAAAGGCAATGGAATTATCTTGGATTTATTAGCAATGAGAAACCTAGCGCTTTATTTAAAATTGGACAGGTTTAAATTTGTAAAAATTTTTATAAAAATCAAATTGGGTTAAATGTGTGTAAGGGAACCTTTCAATCTCTAGGCCATTTTTGGGCATAACTTTTTTGTTTCTTAACCGAATTAAATAATTATAATATCATTCGAAAGCTCTAAATGTAGGGATAATTTTATCTAAAAGGATTGATTTGGTCAGACCATTCTACAAAATGTTATGTTTGAATAAGTACGCGCATCGTGATTTTTGACATTTACTTGGCTGTATATTCTAGTAGAATGATTTGACCAAATCGATCCTGTTAGATAAAATAATCCTCACAGCACACCCTTCCAAAAATCCCAAAAATCTAATTTTCTAATTTAAAAAATTAATTTAATTTTTTAAGCTAACTAAACATACACAACAACAAAACCCTCAAAATTTTTCTTTTAATGCTTCCAATATGAATACAAACATTTTCAATAATTCAGCAGTTCATAGTGCATTAATAGGTTTTTTTTTAATTTAAGATATTCTGTTTTAATTTTTTAGGCGTTAAAGTTGAACCAATGATTGAAATTTTGAGAAGAAATGAAAATGAAACAACTTCAACTAGTGAACAAGTTTGTATTTTTGTTATTTAAATTGTGTTTTACATTAAGTTTTGTATTTTTCTGTATTTTTTCCAAGTTTATTTTTTTGTATTTTTCAAGTTTATTTTATTTTTGGGGTTAGTTTGTGTTTTTCTAAGTTTGTATTTTTCTGTATTTTTCCAAGTTTATTTTAAAGTTTATTTTTAGGGTATTTTTATAATTCAAGTTTATTTTTGTATTATCTCCAAGTTTAATATTCTGTATTTTTCTGTATTTTTTCCAAGTTTATTTTAAAGTTTATTTTTAGGGTATTTTTATAATTCAAGTTTATTTTATTTTAGGGGTTATTTTGTGTTTTTCTAAGTTTAAGTTTTGTATTTTTCCGTATTTTTTCCAAGTTTATTTTTTGTATTTTTTCTAGGTTTATTATATTCTATAGTCCAAGTTTATTTTATTCCAAGTTTATTTTTTTCCATTTTTATAGCTCAAATTTATTTTTAAATAATTCAAGTTTATTTTTCTAGTTATCTTCCCTAGCTCTCTTCCCAGAGAAAATGTTGCGCAACTTTGTCAATTTTATGCATTCTTTTGCCGTCTCCTTTCCTAAACCCAACACTACCCAATATGAGGAATACGTTCCTGCTAAAAGTGTAACTGAATGGTATACTAATTTTAAAAGAAGGCTTGAAGCAAATCCGAATTTTTGGAAAACATTGCCTTGAAATTCAAAATTATGCGACATTTGCGAACCAAAATTTGAGGACAACCACGGGGGTTTGTTCTGATTATAGGAATAATTGTGGGGTATTTTAAAGAAAGTCCCACTATTTGGGGTATCATTTTGGAGCAGTTAAGCCCAACCAATTTTGTTCTAATTTCAGTAAACTCTTTCATTTTTGTTCGCAAATGTCTGTTGGTTATATTTAACATTTTTAATAATTTTTAAAATAATTTAACAAACAAAATTAAATTTTTTTTTAATTTTGGGTTAAAAATGAACAACAAATTTTTATTAATTTTTGGAGAATATGACTTTAAAACCTTCCAACTTTGGGCCAATAATTATTTTAAGAGGGGAGGGGGCATTATTAATTATTTTTTTTTTGTACAAAAATTGGAAAACTTCCCCTAATTTTTATATTTTTGGGTATATTTTCTTTTAAAAATATTGCTTTTTAAATTTAACTGATTTCTTCTCTCCCTTTCAATTTTTTTCATAGTCCATTGCTAACAGATATTATTTGTGTTATCCCCAGGCGAAGCTTCACTAGCTGGTGATCGTTCTTTTGCACACTTTGGGCCGTTCATCTTTAATTAAAAAAATATTTTTTTAAATGAAAAAATTTTTATTTTTAAACGCCAAAAAATTTTTTTTAATTTAAAAAATTTTTTTATAAAACGCCAAAAAATTTGCGCACACCCAAAAAATTTAAATTATTACAACTTGGATGTCGGAAGAGTTTTGTTGTCCACTTGCTTCTCCATTATTACTTGCTTCTCTTCCAGGCTTTAATTAAAATTTAATTTTAAAAATATTTATAAAAGTGATTTTACCACAGAATTGACATTGGGAGTAAATAAACCAATTCGTTCGCGATCTTGTTGAAAAGCATCGTATTCATCGCTTCCCAATATCTAATATAAATATTTCATGTTTAATTTTCTGTATTTCAGGCTTAATTATTGTTTCCTTGGAATATATTAAATAAACTTGGAATATAAAAAATAAACTTGAAATACTAAAATAAACTTAGAAAAGCAAAAATAAACTTGAGAATATAAATATAAAGTTTAATTATTGTATTTCAGGTTTATTTTTTATGGTTCAAGTTTATTTTTAGTATTCCAAGTTTATTTAATATTCCCAAGTTTAATTATTATATTAAAGTTTAATTATTGTATTCCAAGTTTATTTTTATAGCTCAGGTTTATTTATTATAGGCCAAGTTTATTTTTATTGTATTTTACAAATATAAACACCGTTTGTATCTCCTGTAACATAAAAGTCCAAGGCTGGCTGGAGTTGGCTAGAGGACATTTTTCACCAGATGGGCAGTGAACATCCTTAATACATATTTTTAAATTAGAAGCATTTTAGGCTTAGAATACCTGTGAATTCCATTGCCTTTTAATACTTTTCCTTGAACAAGGGAAGCAAAATTTGTGTCCATTAACAGACGGGCATTGAACAAAGTGTGTATCTTCCAATCGTTCCTGACAGCCTGTACAACGCAAAGTCTGTTGTTGCTGTTGTTGGGCAGCAGCGGCAAGTTGAGCTGCAGCTGCTTGTTGAGCTGCAGCCATAGCCAATGAATTGTTTGAAGAATTTATTCCTTGGAAGAGGGAACGGCGTTTACTGTTATGCTCGTTCTGTTGGTGTGGAGGATGGTGTAAAGTCTGTTCAGGGCTGTTAGTTGAAGTTGGAGAGATTGAAGTGCTGCTTTGGGCATCCCCTCGTTGGACTTTATTTGAAACCGTCTCCTTCGCCCCCTCATTTTCTAATTCTCTTTTACGCCCATTTATTGAACTAACTCCATTTTGTGTCGATGAAGGTAATAAACTTGCAGCTAATCCAGTTAGGGCAGCTGCTGAATTCATTGGGAATAATTGATGGGCGTTAAAAAAGGGGTAAATTGCGCGTAGTTGGTGTAGTTGTAACTAAAATGTATTTCCAAGTTTATTATATTATATTCCAAGTTTATTTTTTTAATTCAAGTTTAATTAATGTATTTTCAAGTTTATTTTAGTAATCCAAGTTTATTTTATATTCCAAGTTTATTTTTTCTCTGCCAAGTTTATTTTATTGTATGTCAAGTTTATTTTTCCAATTCTAGGTTTATTTATTTTTTCCAAGTTTATTATATTGTATTCAGGCTTTTTTTTTTATATTTTCAAGTTTATTTTCATAGCTTCCTTATTTTTATAGTATTCCAAGTTTATTTTTTAAATTCAAGTTTAATTAATGTATTTTCAAGTTTATTTTATATTCCAAGTTTATTTTATATTCTAAGTTTATTTTTCCCCTGTCAAGTTTATTTTATTGTATGTCAAGTTTATTTTTCCAATTCTAGGTTTATTTATTTTTTCCAAGTTTATTATATTGTATTCAAGCTTTTTTTTATATTTTCAAGTTTATTTTCATAGCTTCCTTATTTTTATAGTATTCCAAGTTTATTTTTTAAATTCAAGTTTAATTTTTTCTCTAGCTATACTACCTCATCCAACACTGGTCCCATTAAAGCAGCTCTTCCATTTCCCCCATTTAGCAAAGCTCTCTGTTGCTGCTGTTGTTGAATGCTTTCTAACAAACTTGCGGGTATATTGTTGTTGTTTCCATTTAAGTGTGCAGCAACCAAGTTTAACGGGGAAGTGCCATTTTGTTGAACTTGAACGTTTTGTTGTTGTTGAGGACCATTTAAACTTCGAGGACTAAAACGATTGTTTAATCCGTTAGCAGCTGCTGAAGCAGAAACTGCTGCTGTTGTTGTTGATGTAGCTGTATTAGTGTTGTTATGGCCATTGGATTGGTTTGAGGTTTTGTTTTGGTGGATATTTGTTGCATTTAAGAGTTCCAATGGAAGGGATGGGGCTGTTGTAGAGCTAGAAGAGGGGGCACCACTTATAAGGCCAGAAGATAGAGCTGCATGTACTTGTTTCAAACGACGGGCGCTTTCAATAACAGCTTCGATTCTGTAGAGAATAGAAAAAATTAAAAAGGAATCCCCTTGTATTCAACCAGTGCTGGGTATTGCACGTCTAGTGGCCGAGGCCCCGAAGCTAGCTTCAAGAGTTCCATTGGAATGAATGTTAGACGGAGGAGGTGAGTCAGAGCTAGCTCCCGGAACCGTACCCAGCACCATTTCAAACTCACTTCTCAGCCCCTTCATAATTTACACATCCCCTGCATACAGGCTCTGCATAATCATGCACAATAGCCCAGGGCATTCTCGGCAGATCACAGAGAAAACAATTGCTTTTAGTAAAGCGCATTAATAGAGAATTGGTAGCAGATGCTATGTTGCCTGTAGAGGCTTGATGAGGTAGTGAAATCCCTCCTCCATTCAATTGCTGCAAGTTGTTGTTGTTGTTGTTATGGATAGATGAGGGTACCCCTCCAGTAACTCCTCCAGGGATTCTTTTATTAACCCCAACAGATTGACTGGAAACGGGAGGAGGTCCCCCTAGAGAAGACACAACAGAATTAGAAACTCCTCCAACTACATTTGCCGCGGCAACTGCGGCGGCTTGCTGCAAGTTGTTTAGAACAGCCAGTTCATTTGCAGAAATTGACTGCATTTTTTATTTATTTTTGTAGGTGTATTAATTAATTTTAAATTGAAGAAAATAAAAGTATCTAAAAAAGAAAGTTTAAATAAACAAGAAGATAAATGAGGAAAAAAATCATGAGGGAAAAATAGGAGGGACATTTTAAAATAGAAAAAAGTACATGGAAATATTTAATATTGGAGAGAGTGTGCGCCAAAAAAGTTTCGTGGCAATAGAAACGCCAGAGATCAAAATACAAAAATAAACTTAAAATATAGAAAATCAAACTTGAAAACTTGAAATATAAAAATAAACTTGGAATACAGAAAATTAAACCTGGAATGTTAAAATAAACTTAAAAATAAACTTGAAATATAAAAATAAACTTGAAAAATAAAATAAACTTGGAATGCAAAAATAAACTTGGAATACACAAAAATAATTCAAACATGGTAGAATAAAGGAATCTCAACGGCCCGGCCTGGTGCATAAAATAAAAAAGATGCGCGGCATTTGGATGGGGTAAAAAAATGTCAAAAGAGTGCGTGGAACTTCTCACAGTCACTCTTTCAAATACTGGGTTGGAGCCAGCTGCAGACAAGCACCAAGGTCATCATTGCAAAAGCATCAAGATCTTCAACTAGGTATGTGTAAAGGACGCCGGAAAGGGACGAGGAGAAAAATCAAGTGAGAGCGCGAACGGGTTTTTTTCTCATTAATTCCAATTTGGAGAGAAAAAGATTGGAAAGTTTAAATGAAATAAATAATAAAAAAAGGAAAATAATTATTTATTATCACGTAGTTTTTGATTACAACTTATATTTTGCAATTCAAGTTTATTTTACAAATTAAAGTTTATTTAAAGTTGTTTTTACAAATAAAAGGTTTATTTTTGTAATTAGAAAGTTTGTTGGAAATAATATTAATTAAATTACAATTAAGTTTAGTTGTTGTAAAACAAGTTGGAATTATACATAAGGGTAAAAATAATGTTTTTACAATTCAGGTTTATTTTACAATTAGTTACAACTTTGATTGTAAAACAAAGTTTAATTAAAAAATAAACATGTTTTACAATTCAAGTTTATTGAAAATTTATTTTTACAATCAAAGTTTGTTTTTACAATTAAATTCAAGTTTATTTTTAGAATTAAACATTAATTGTAAAACAAGGCTTAATTATTAAATAAACTTGTTTGTTACTACAATTCAAGTTTATTTTACAATTGAACTTGAATTTAAAGTTTATTTTTCGAATTTAAGTTTATCTAAAGTTTATTTTCACAAAATTAAACTTTGTTTTACAATTTCGCAATTCCAAGTTTATTTTTTCATAAAAACATGTTCGTAGCTTAAAGCGCCTTTAAAAACAAAAAATACTATAAAAAGCAGGCTAACACAACAATGCATTCAATAATATCTACAATTTTTGCCTCTCTCAGTCATTCACTCATTATTTATTCACTCACATTTTAAATATTCACCCGGTCAGTCAACACTACTCTCAACAAAACAACAAATACAAACACTAGGCCCAATGAATAATTAATATTTTTTTTGGACGGGAATTTTTAAAAAATAAAAAAAAATGAGAGAGAGAATATGAGGGAGAGAATATTAAAAATATATGCAATTTAGAGGAAAAAAAAAAAAACGCCGTCACCTCATGAATAATTCATAAGGCCCCCTCTACCTTTTTAACAATACTAAAACAACTTGCCTCTCTCCCCCAAACACCCAAAGTAGTTTAAGTCTTTAAGAACCCTAAATATCAAATAAGGAAAGGTCACCTATTGTTTTTAGAATACCCAAAAGATCACTAAAAAGGAAATCAACTAGAAATGACAAAATGCCCACAAGGGTAAAAACACTCATTTGGTCGCAGATGGCCCAGACTCTATCTACATTCTGATTTTAATTCTGAGATTCTGATTTTCGTTCTGGTGTTTTAGTTTTATGTTAGTCCTATGTTCTGGTTTTATTTTAGTCCTATGTTCTGTTATTATCAGAATATTCTGATTTTTGTTCTGATTTTCAAAATTCTAATTTTAAATTCTGACTTTAAAATTCTGATTTTTAATTCCGATTTTTAATTCTGATTTTTACTTCTGATTTTTAATATCAGAACAAACCAGAATAATCCTTCCTTCCTTATTCCTCTAGTGATCTTCTGGGTTCTTTTACAGTAACCTATTTACATAAAAATGTATTCTCACTGAATTTGCATTTTTCGTGCTTCTGTCCGGCAAATCATTTTGCAAATATAAAAATATATTTTTAAAAAATAATTTTGGCCCTCACTAATATTAAGGCATTAAAATGCAAATAGTATAAATTTTGAATAAATTAAGGAAAAAAATTTTGTTTAGAAAAAAGCAATTTTGAGGGATTTATAGAGGGAATCTAAGGGGCGCAGCCGTTTCGGCGCGGGCTTATAAAATAGCCTAAAGAGCACTTGGAGTCTTGAAATTTTGCATGGATATACTCAAAAGTGTTATTTACCTTGTCTAAAAATTTCAGAATTTCTGGTTTATTATTTCAGAAGTTGTGGGCGAAAAAGTGTTGGAAGGTCAGAAAACGATAGTTTTTCGACCTTCCGGAAGTTTTTCAGCCATAACTTGGGAAATACAAATCCAAAAATTCTCAAATTTTTAGACAAGGTAACTAACACTCTTGACAACATCACTACAAAATTTCATGATTCTATGTTTTAATTTGACAATTTTATAAGGTTGGGATCTAACGGTGTCTCTCTCTCCTTCCCCAACTCCCCCAACTACTATAAACAGAAAATTAAATTATTTCTTTTTAAATTTTATTTAACGAACACCTCTCTTGTCTCTTTAAAACTGGAAATTTTGTAAAATGAGGAAATTAGAGAGATGAATTTATTTTTTAAATAAAGGTGAAAAAATTTTTTTTGAAAAAAACTGGTCGAGATTGAAAATATTTTTAATTTCTCTTCACTTTTTTTTTAAATTTTATTAATTCTCATTTAATTATAAAAAACGACACAGTTTTACAAACTTATATCCTTAGGTTTTAAAAATCCTATCTTGCGTTTATCTTAAATAAGAGATAATCCCCAAAAGATCACTACCCCCAAAAGATCACTGACAAAAAAATCAACTGGAAACGACAAAATGCCCACAAGAGGAAAATTACCCATTTGGTCACAAACGCCATCAATCTTTCAGAATTCTGATTTTTGTTCTGGTATTCTGATTTCTTTTTAGGCCTGTGTTCTGATAATATCAGAATATTCTGATGTTTGTTCTGACTTCGAAATTCTGATTTTTAAATTCTGATTTTAAAATTCTGATTTTTAATATCAGAACAACCTCCTCATTTCCCTTATCTTTTCCCTTCCCTCTTTCCAACCCTTCCCTATTTTTATCCAGGAATCAAAAATTCTGATTTTTGATAATAAACAACTAGAATATCGCAACTCCATTTTCCCTTCTCTTAAAAAAATTTTTTTCAAATCTCCCCTTTAATTTAATTTCCCTTAATTAATCAGCCAAATGAGCACCTAAAATCACACCCAAATAAACACAAAAATTATCAGCCTGATTAAAAAAATTTTTTTTTCTTTTTTTGAATTCTTCTACAAGTTTCAAACCTGTTTCTTCCCTTAAAAACTTTTTTTCCCTCTTTGTTTGTTCCATTAACTCCCCCAAAGGGAGAGTTACTCTACCGCTGCAACACTCCTTTTGAACAGAACAAAAATACTCTAACATTTTCTCTAAAATTATTTTTTGAAAAAACCAGTTTTTTAAAAGGCCTTTTTAACCTTTCCAATTTTCACAAAATTTCCCCCTTAAAATATACACAATTTACCCCTAAAACAGCCAAAAGACAACCCCACCCAAAAGATCACCACTAAAATAAAGTGTACCGTAGTGGTGATCTTCTGGACTAGGCTTCTTTTAAAGGTAGTTGTTAAAAATTGTGTTTGTTGCTCTCGTCGCACACAACTAAATATATATTTTATATAATATTGCGAAGGTCGTCGCGTCACAGAAGAGGAAAGGAGAGAAAATTAAGAGAGAAAAAAAAAATTAAAAAAAAAGGTGAAAAACTGGCCCGGTAGAGACTGGCACGAACCAACAAAAATACAATTTTTTAAATAAATTTTTGCGCCAAAAAAATTTTATTTATTTGTTGTATGTATTTTTACAAGTCTAAAGAACAGTAAAAAGAGTGATTTTTAAGTAGAACATTTTTAAAAAAAAATTTTTAAATTATTAATACACCTTAATTTTCACTTTAATTTCCTCCTACACCTTAATTTCCCTTACATAAGAAAAATTAAAAAATAAATTGAAAAATTTTTTTTTCAAAATATCTAAAAGACAAAAATCCTTCAAAATGTATACCCCACTCAAAAAATATTTTAAAATACCCATCAGAAAATTTTTTAAAAAAGAAAAAGCGTCAAAACGCCCACTAGCCTTTCAAAGTCCAATAATGAAAATTTTCTCAAAATGTCCAGAAGAGAAAAATCTTGTAAAGAATCGGAAATAGGGATAATGATTTCATTGTCATAATAATCCTTCAAAAAATTTTTTTAGGAATATTAAAAAAAATTATTTGAAAAAACATCATCCTCCCAGCAAAGTTTGCTAAATTAAAAAATATATAAGTTGCAAATAAATTTTAAAAAATTTAAAAGAATTAAATAAAAATTAAATTAAAAATAATGAAAAATGGCAAAAAAATTCTTTAGAGAACTGGATTTTTCTCTAAAAAATTTTTTTCTTCTAAATTTTTCCAATTTTAAAAGGGGGCATAATATTATGATGATGATTGGTGTTGGAAAAAAAATTAAGAAAAAAATATTAATATTGGGGAGAAGTACAAACCTTAAAACAAACTAAAAAAATAAATAAAATAAAAGGTTTCTGCAGCTGTTTAAATAAATTTTGAAATTTTTAAAAAATTAAATGATTCAAGTAAATGACTACACAAAAAATACTAGTCATTTACTTGAGGTGTTTTAATCAAAAAAATCCCCCTCTATCAACACAACATTTAAAATAACCCCCACACAACCTTTTAAATTTATCAGAAAAAAATTATTTTTTTTAAGGGTATTAAAGTTTGTTTAATATGTAAGTCACCCATTTCCTCGAGGTATCCCTGTTGGCATTGAAACTCCTCAACTGCTCTCCTTTAAAAAATAGAGGGAAAAAAGGTGGGTCGAAATTTTGCCCACATAAGAAGGAAGTGACGGAAAGAGTTTGGACGTCAAAGCAGACCAAAAACATCCTCCGGATCGGGTTGACTAATGGTTCTTTCATAATGAAAGCTCTCTTTAAGGACGTCCACTCCCAAGCGTCCCAAGTGTGGGCACGTTATAGAGAGCTTATAATAGGATGGGAAATGACATAGGATAGAATGCCGAAGAGGGCCAGAAAGTCTTGGGACCTTGAGGGGGCTTGGAAGAGGAGACGTTGGAAGAACAGCCAGTAACATCCTTGGGACAGGATTGAGAGGACCTGGAAAAGGATAGTGTTGGGAAAGGACGTAAGGGGGAGTATAGGAGAGGAAGTGACATAGGAGGGAATGCCGAAGAAGATCAGAAACAGCCTTGGGACTGAATTGAGAAGGTTTGGGAAAGGGAGGCGTTGGAAGGGATGAAAGGGAGTTACCTAAGAGGAGATGACGTTGCTTCCAACTAAAAATTTTCTCTAAAAATGAAAATTATATAAAAATAAATTTTCTACTACCAAAAAGGGATGACACAGAAAAATATAAAAATAAAATGAAAGATGAGAAAAGCACAGAATTTTTCAACCAGTTTTTTTTCTGAAAGCATTTTATTTTAATTTTTTAATAAACGAAAAATAAGGGCAATTGCCCCACAAGAAAAAATTAAAAAAAACTTTTTGCGCAACCGAAAAAAAAATATTTGGGTCATCAGAGCGCCGCGGAGGGATAAAAATTGGGGCAGTCATTTTAATTTTTTTTTCTGAAAAAAAATTTTTTTTCAATCTTCAAAAAGTAGCTAGTTACGAGAAAAAAGAGAAGATCTCCTCTCTCTTTGGATTCTCTTTGACGAATGACCCTCTTTTTTAGTTAGCACTACTAACTACCCAAATAAAAACCCCCTAAATTTGCTTCTCTTTGTCCATCAAAAGCAAATCTTCCCTTCCTCGTCAAAATTATATAAGAGGATAAATAGGGTTACCCATAAGATCAAGATCCCCAAAAAATATTTTTAAAGTGAAGCAAAAGAAGAAGCAAAATTAAAAGTGAAGCAAATTAAAAACTTGAAGCAAAAACAAAAATTTGAAGCAAAACGAAAATTTGAAGCAAGACAAGGGGTAAAAATTGAAGCAGAAATGAAGCTTGAAAGGGTATGAAAGCATGTTCAGAAGTATGGAGACATGCTTCACATGTATAAGTATAAGCATGCTTCAAAAGTATAAAAGCACGTTTGTAAATATGGAAGCATGCTTCGGAAGTGTAAGAGTATGCTTCAGAATTATAGAAACATGCTTCAAGAATATAAAGCAAATCTTAGAAATATAGAAGCATCTTTCAGAACACAATAAACTTAAAGAAACATGCTTCAGAATCAATTTACAATTGTTGAAGCAATTTCTGAAGCAGAAGCAATTTTTAGAAACATTTTGTTGCCTTCGGAATGCTTCTGAATGCTTCTGAAGCAATCTGCTAAATATCGTGTCATATTTTTAATTGATGTTTTAAACATTGACCTTTTGGATATATCAAATCCCCCTTTAAAAAATACGTGCGGAGATTAAGGGAAGAAGCACACAAAGTATAAGGGTCAAAATAACACACAAAACTAGCGCAGATTGTTGTGTAACCAAAAGGGCGTTGTTCTCTTCTCCACAAAATTCAACGGAAATATCTTCCCTTATTTTTTTCAATCCAAAATCTCTCTTGACTAATTCAAAAAGCTTTTTAATAAATAAAAAAATAAAAATCGTGACCAGTAAATAAAAATAAATTTTCTTCCTTATTTTTTGGGAAGATTACTAAAGAGAAAGAAAGGGGAGGGTGTTTATTTAATTTCTCAACAAAACAAAGAATTTAGGAGTAATGTGGATGTTTTGAAAACTAATAAAAACAATTTAAAACACAAACAAAGGAAAAATAAATGAATAAAACATTGTGAGAGAAAAACAGAGAGAAAAACATTCAACAAAACATTGAACAAAACATCAAACATGTTTTTAGAAAAAGGAAATGTTTTGAACAAACAAGATTAATAAAAACAAACATGTTTTGTAAGTTGTAAAGGAAATGTTTTGAATGTTTTAAAAATGTTTTGTTTGGAAGAATAAGTTTTACAAAAGAGAAACATGTTTTAATAAATGTTTGTGAAAGAATGTTGGAAGTTTGTAAAAAAGTTGGTAAAAATCACAACAAAACAAGTTGTTCTAATTTAATGTTTCAATGTTTTTGTTTGGATGTTTAAGTTTAGATGTTTTGAAGGATGGTTTTATTATGGAAATAAAATGTTTGTAAAAGAAATGTTTTGATATTCGAAAAAACATTGTTTTGTAAACAATGTTGTGCGAAACTCTTAAACATGTTTTTGAAAGGATAAACTGAGAAAAACATTTAAAACATACAAAACAAATTCTTTTCCAAAACAACACACATACCCAACAAATATGTGAAACAAACCAACAAATGGTAAATGAGGTAAAAAATAAATTAACAGGTTTGCGTTGATTATTAAAATAAAAATATACAATTAAGTGAGACGAAAAAATAAAAATTTAAATACAAAAATAATTTAAATTAGTATTAAGGGAAAATAAAAAAATATTTTTTAAATAAAAAAAATCCAAAAAAAACTCCCCAAAAATGAACTAAAAATTAATCAAAACAGCTTTCGCTATTCAAGCTTTATTATTATTTTTATTATTTATTGAGAGAGAGAAAATGAGGGGGGGGGGGCAGGATGAGACTGCTTGCTAACTACTCCTTTCAGCATTTTTTTTCTGCTTGTTATAATCATGTATAAGCAGCTGTTAGCTGTAGCTGTTATTATATGTGTGTTGGCAGGCTGCCTCTGGGCCGATAAAAACAAGTTTCTTGTTTAGAAATTATCTTTGGGGAAATGTGCGCAAAAATAAAAGTTTAGTGAGGAAAAACGCCAAAAATGTTTAAAGTTGCGTTGTAGCATTTTGGTTATAATTATGCCAAATGAGAAGGTTAAAGTTCTCAAAATTCGTAAGGATGCCTCAAAGAGTGTTAACTAAGCCTACTAAAAATTTGGGAATTTTTGGTTGGGTATAACAAAAGTTATGGGTAAAAAACTAGCAAGAGGTAAGCATTTTCTGACTGTACAAACATTTTAGTCCATATCATTCCTAAAAATAAACCAAAAATTCTGAAATTTTTAAAGAGCTTAGCTGAGAGCATTATGGATATCCTTGCAAAATTTCAGATCTCTAAGTGCTCAACTAACAGTTTTATAAGCGATCGCGCAAGCTCTGTCAAGCCCTAAAAATTTCTCACCCTCCCATGAAAGTTGCCAAACCATAACTTACCAAATAATAGACCAAAAATTCTGAAATTTTTTTAGATGCTAGCTAAGACTATTGGAGATAATCTTCCAAAATTTTAGGTCCCTAAGTGCTCAACTAACAATTTTATAAGCGATCGCGCAAGCTCTATCAACCCCTAAAAATGTCTCACCCTCCCATGAAAGTTGCCAAACCATAACTTACCAAATAATAAACCTAAAATTCTGGAATTTTTAAAGATACTAGATAAGACAATTAGGGATATCCTTGCAAAATTTCATGTCTACAAGTGCTCAACTAACAATTTTATAAACGATCGCGCAAGCACTATCAACCCCTAAAAGTCTCCCAGAGAGTAAAATGTTTTTGCGCACAACTTAATTAAATTAATATTTTTCCCAAAAACATGTTTTTGGGGATGTTTGTTGTTTTGGTTGTTAAAGTAGAAAAGTAAAGTGTTTGTTTGAAAAGTGTTGTGTGTGTGTTAAATAAAAAGGAAAAATAAATATATATAAATAAAAATATATAAAAACAAAACCAGTCATTGAAGAACACAACAACAACAAAACAGGAATTTATTTATAAATAATATCAACAACAAAACTGCGAGGAGAAGAGAGAGAAAAAGTTTGTGGGATAAAAAAGAAGGGAGAAATAAAAATACCGGTTTTTATGTTTTGTTGATTTCAAGTGAAAAGGACGATATGACAAAAAAAAGAGGAGGGGGATTTACTTGATAGAAGAAGAAAATGTTGTTTGTTTCTACTGTTTTTAGGTAACCCTGAATATCAACCATTGGATCTATGATTTAAACTTGGCCTCCCAAACATATAAATAGCAAAAACATTTAAATATTGGAAACATTCAAACATCTAAACAGTCAAAAAAACATTCAAACATCAAAACATTCGAACATCAAAACATTCAAACATCTAAACATTCAAGCATCAAAACATTCGAACATCAAAATATTCAAACATCAAAACATTCAAACATCAAAACATTCAAACATCTAAACATTCAAAAAAATTACAAAAACATATTCGCGTGTTCAAATATTCATTAAAACATGTTTCCAAACAAACAAAACCTCTGCTTATATAATAAAACATTCAAAACATAACATCAAACATTATAAAGTTTAAAAACAAGTATTTAAGTTGTAATGAGAAAAAGTTGTAATAAATGTTTAGAATAGAATGTTGGAAGTTTGTAAAAAAAGTTTGTTGTTGTCAACTTTTTACAACATCCAACATTCTTTCACAAACATTTAAACATCACGAACATTTATTACAACCTTTACTCTTTTGTAAAACTTGTTTTGTCAAATATTCCAAACGAACAAAACATTATGTTTAAAACATTCTAAACATTTTTAGAAACATTCTAAAAACTTGAAACAAACGGAAATGTTTTAGTGTGTATTAGGGACTCAAAATGAAAACTTGCTTATCTTTAAGAAGGGAAATAAATTTGGAAGCATAAAAGATGAAAAATGAAGGATTATTTAAATTAAATTTTTGAGACGTGTAAAATAAAAAAAAATTTTTTTAATTAATCAACATCATAATCACTCACATCATTTAATACGTGGAGAAGCAATTTTTGTAGTTTATAAAAAGCAAAAAATTTTTTTTAATTTTTTAAAATTTTTTGCAAATTTCCACGTTGAGAATGATGCTTAGTTTTTAGTTTATTTTATTTTAAAATTATTTATATAAATATTTTACGTCAATTTAAATGAACCAAATTAGGCCCCAAAAATAAATTTGAAAAAAATTTTTTTCTGAATACCGACTAAATTTTTTTCATTGCAAAAAGCTGGGGAAACTGGGAAGGGAATCCGGGGAATTATAAATATTAATATGTAAAAAGATTATAGGGAAATTAAGGAAAAAGTTATCTTATTACGAGCTTTTTGGCACCACTTAAAACAACATAGATTTGCTGAGCTCCCCAAAATTTTTGATCTTTTGGATTAATCAAAAAATTTTTTCTGCACTGTAATTGAAGTAAATATATATTTAAATACATATCAGGTGTGAGAGGGCCAGTTTTCCACTGTTTTTCGCTAAACAACATTTTTTAAAAAGGCAGTGGGTGTTTTTCTCTCTCTCAACAGCGATCAAACGATGATGAGCGAAAGCGAAGCAAAATTTTTAAGAGGGAAGAAAAAAGAAGAAAATTTACTAAAAAACTTGTTTCAGATACTATTTCTGGAAGCAAACAATTGAGGAAGAAATTGGGGGAAGGCAAATAAAGGAAGGAGGGAGAGAAACAACAAAGAGATGAAATGGGTATAGGTTGAGTCTAAGCTTGATAACTTTAGAACGGGGAAACTTTTTGGAAATATTTTGATATGGGTAGATAGAGAATTAAATTAGCTACAAAATGAGATAAAACTCTAAATTTTAAATTAATAACCAAAAAAGTTATGTGAATGAAAAAGTAGACTAAGACAGGGTCTGTGAGGGGATGCGCCAGTTCACAAACCATAACTCAACTTAAAAATTTCATGGGAAGACAATGTTGATATGATTAGATAGAAAATTAAATTATCTACAAAATGAGATAAAACTCTAAATTTTAAAATAGGGATCAAAAAATTTTGAGGAGCTCAGCTAATCTATGTTGCTTCAAATGGTGGCAAAAAGCTCGTCGTCGTAACTCAACTTAAAAATGTTGTAGGAAGACGATTTTGGTGTCATTCAACGCAGCTTGAAGAGATACGTTTAAACATGCCAAAATTGTCTAGATTAGAATATAAGTCAGACTTTTAAGGCTCGAAGTAGGCAGATAAAGTATTTGAGTGCTTACAGGGCACCCAAAAATTTTTTCTTTAATTGTTCCCAAAACTCCCCCATATTTTCATCAAAAAATATACAAAACAATGCTTTTTTATATATAAATATACTGCAACTGCTTGTTATTTTTTTGTTCATCCTTCCAAACCAGTTTTTACTCGCTCCTTCCTTCTCTTTTCACTTCTGCCAGTTCCCCCTTGTCTTCTACCTATTGTTCAACGCCTACAAAAAAAATTTTTTCTGTTCCGTCTTTTTTGTATATTTTTATTTTTATTTCTTCTATTTTTTCCTCACTTTGCTCTTTTTATACCTCTTCAACACTTTTTATATTTATTTTTATTTATGCTATTTTTGGGCTTTTGTTTGCAGTTCTTCTCCCTCCCGTTGTTTTGGTTAATTGCTTTGATTGTCTTTTTTTGTTTTGTTTTTGGGATTTTATTATGAGGAAAAATAAGTAGAAAATTAAAAAAGAGAATGAATGGGAAAAATAAAAATATTAAATGAAAATAAAAATTAAAAAAATTCTAATTAGGAAGAAAATTAATAAAATTGGTAGGAGCGTTAAAGGCGTGAACGACGTTTGCGCGCAGCGTTATAACTCGGCCAAGGGTAAAGGTAATGACTTGAAATTTTGTTCAGACATTTCCAAGAGGCTTATCTATCACTCCTAAAAATTTGAGAAATTTTGGAGAAATCTAATTGAGAAGGAAAATTAATAAAAAGTTGGAGTGACATAGGCGTGAAGAGGCTGAATAACGTTTGCGCGCAGCTTCATAACTCGGTCAGAAGTGAAGTTATAGACTTGAAAATTTGCAAAGATATCTCCAAGAGTCTTATCTAACACTCCTAAAAATTTGAGAATTTTCAGAAAAATATTATTCAAGTTCTGACACTCACAACTATGGTGACACTGCAATTTTATCATGACATCAATTTAAAAATCTCTCTTTGAAAAATAATTATTTTTTTAAAATTTATTTTAGCTTCTTAAAAAATAAGAAATTTGATCGTCTATTTATTTTTGAAAATTTCAAAAAAAAGTTTTTTTTGTAAATAAAAACAAAGGCAACAAAAATTTACTTTTTTTACTTAAAATTTTTTTATTTTAAATTTTAAAAGCTTCAATTAAAAATAGTAAAAAAGAAGTGTTTTAAAAGGTCCTTAAAATGCCCACGTATCAAATTAACAAAAATTTTAGAAAATTTTTTCCACTAAAATTTATTTATCACGCAATAAGCAACACAAACGCTAAAGTATACTTTTTAGTGTATTAAAATGTTTATTTGAGACATTTCCGGAAAATTCCTGAAAGGATATAAAAATGTTCATAAGAGGCTATTTAATGGATAGATGAAACAAATTTGTTCCTTGGCCTTTTAAAATAGAATATATAAATGAACATTTTAATGTGTTTTAAAACATCATTTGTTAAAGCAGAAAATTATTTTTGCATAAAACATTTGTATGAAACATTAAGCTACAAAATGTTTTCCGGAAATGTTTTAATAAACATGTTCCCAATATAGACATGTTCCGAACTTGAACATGTTCCCAACATATTTCTAACAGGTTTCCAACAAGTTTTTTTGTTCTCACGAACATTTATAAGTTTACACAAACATGTTTTTCGACTACAAATAATTTTGTTTTTCCGGTAATAATTTGCAAAATGTTTTCCGGAAATGTTTTAATAAACATGTTTAAAATAAACTTTGAACAACAACTTAAATGTTTGTTAACAATGTTGTGTTCATGTTTAATAATTTAATGTTTGAGTAACATAAAAACAAATTTAAACATAAGTTTTTTAAAATTAACGGTTATTTTTGGATTTTGTATCACAAAGAGGATAAGAAAATTAAATTGTTTTTGTTATTATTTTATTTTTTTTATAATTTTTGTACTGAAAAATTTAAAAATAGAAGGGCAAATTTAATTTAAGGGATTTTTATAAAACTAAATTGGCACTATTTATTAAATTAAATAAAAGATTTAGAAGAAATATACTTCCTTATTTTTCTTTTTGTTTTAGCATTTACAAATTGAATGTAAATTAAAAGAACAAAAATAGAAATCATATAAAATCCTGAATATTTTATAGAACTTAAATCCAAACATTTAAAACACTAAAACAAATATTAAAAACATCCAAAGTTAAATAAACATTTTGTTTTCCGGAAAGAATGTTACAAAATAAACATTTTATTTTTTTCTGAAAGTTGTATTCTGTTCATGAAATGTTTTACAAACATGTTTTACAAATGTTTTGCAACATGTTTTTGCTAATGTTTTGTTCATATTTTTTTATGTTCTACAAATATGTTTTTACTAATGTTTTGCTAACATGTTTTACACACATGTTTTACACACATGTTTTACTAGCATGTTTTATAACATGTTTCTACTAATGTTTTGTTAATATTTTATTTATTATTCATGTTTTACAAACATTCTATTTTTTCAAAAACATGTCCGGAAATAATGTCATAAACATTTTTAATTAATTCTCTGAAACATCTAATATATTTTCCGGAAATGTTTCAACAGGAAATGTTTCAAACATCCCTTTAATAAAATGTTTCAAACATCTATAATGTTTATATACCCATAAATAGAAACATTCTCTTTTTACTTTAAGCTTTACCCTTCTCAATATTAATTAATATTATTCATTTGCTGTCTATCAAATTGAGTGAGAAGGGAGTTTAATTAAATATCCTCAATAATGTTGCCGTCTTTTTCCTTTATTTAATATCCTCCCCCATTTTTTCTTCCTTTTTTAAATTTTTTATTCGCATCACTTTTTCATCAAATGTTTCAAATAAAATTTTTTAAGAAAATAGAGCTAATTTTAAGAAAATGGAGTCAAAATAATGTAGTCAAAAAATATTGCTCAATTATTTATATAAAACATAAAGGATCATGTTACCGGAAAAATGTTTTCCGGAAAAGTTTTTACAAACAAAAGTTTCCAACATTCCTCCCAACAAACATGTTTCTCATGTTTACACAAACATGTTTTTCTGGGGTGAATAAAACAAAAAACATCAACAAAACAAATTTACAAACATAAAACTAACTAAGGAAACATCTAAGGAAAAATCATTTTAAAAAATGTTTCTAGACTAAATTTTGATCTTTTATGTTTTGAACTTTATAAAAAATAATCCTCTCTCATTTAAGCAAATTCTCCCAAAAATAAGCTTCATGGTTTTTGGTCTACTTAATTAAATATTCGTCCAAACCTTTTCTTTTCATTTTTGCTTGCAAATTAGTCTTAGAGTGATGTTATTTACTTATTTTTATTTTCATTATTTTTCCAAAATTAAAAAAAATTTCAACCTTTTTTAACTATTTTGTGCCAATATCAGCTGCTTTCTACCCTTTTAAAATTCTATAACAGCTGAAAAAATTTTTTTTCAAAAATTTTTTGGTGTTATTAAATAGAGAATTTAATTCTCTACAAAATACAATCAAAACTATAATTTTCATAGTTTATATGAAATTAGTTACAAACAAAAAACAAACATTACCTCAAGTTTATAGAGTGTGTGACCATCCTAGCGCCAAAATTTTTAACTTTCCAACCAATAAATTGTCAAAAATTGTTTTGATGTCATTTAATAGAGAATTAAATTCTCTACAAAATACATTCAAAATCTTAATTTTCTTTAGCCAAGAAAAAAAGTTATGGCCAAAAAACTAAGCTAAGTTTGAAAGTTTATCCAGTGGGCGACCATCTTAACGCTAAAATTTTTTAACTTTTCAACCAAAAAATTTTCAGAAATCGTTTTAATGTCATTTAATAGAGAATTAAATTTGCTACAAGATACACTTTAAATCTAAATTTTCTTTTGCCTAGAAAAAAAAGTTATGGTCCAAAAACTAAGCGAAACTTGACAATTTTCTCTAGAGACCTTTCCTTCTTCCTCTTATTTTTCATTTTTTCACTTTAATATTTTATTTTTAATTTTTTTCTATACAAAATTTCCTCCTCTATCCAAAAATAAAAAAATAAACTCAATTAGCTAATTTATTCAAAAGCCAAACCCCATAGACTCAAGTGTGTCTAAACTTAGCTTAATTGCTCTTTCCACCCATTCCATATTTACCACATTTTTCATAAGGCTTTTTAGCCTTTTTTAAATGCCACACAAGCTGCTTTTTTAATGGATAAAATGGGGGAAAAACGTTGGAAGGAGGAGGAATTATTATTAGTAGTAGAAGACGACTGCAATAAAAATAAAGTTTATTTTTAAAAATGGGAGGAAAATATAAATAAAATATAGCAGAAAATTTGTCATCTAATAAAATATATTCTCTTTTATTAAAAAAAATTTTTTTGTGATTTTTTAAAAATATTTAAAAAAATTTTCGAGTGAGTTTATCTCATTTCTCCACGTAATTTTTAAATTTCGCTTTGAAATTAGAAAAAAATTTTTTTTTAATTTTCATTTTTAAATTACAAAAAATACAATATCTCAATAATCAACTTAATCTAAAATTCATTCTATATGCCATTCTAAAATTAAAAAGCAAAAATCCCCCAAGCATGATAAAGTTTACACTTGAATGCAATAAGAGTAAAACATAATAATAATTATTAACAATAGAAACATGTACACAAACTTCGGAAACATTTCATAAAAACACATCATGTTTTCTTTAGTATTAATAAAACGAACATATTTTTTGTTTCTTAAAACATTTGTTTTCCGGAAAATAATTGTTCGTTTTCAAAACATTGTTCGTCAAACTTAAAAAAGTTTCATCAAAACAAACATTGTTTCCTGTATTTTTTCCGGAAAACATCCTTTCCAGAAAATATTCATAAAAACATTTGTAGGAATAAACTGAAGCATAATCCGGAAACATTTTCCGGAAACACTTTCCGGAAAAAACTCTAACCTATTGTTCTGTTTAGATAAGTCAGAAGAGAGAGAAAGTTAACATTAAGTCGTTCAGATTTTGACAAAAAAATTTTTTCTAAAAATATTTAATTAAGTATCGGTACCAATATATTTTTTAAGAATTACAAAATATAATCCACTCATTCTATTCAATTTTTAGTTTATCCCCAAAAAGGCTTCATAAAACAACTGTTGTTTAAATAAACTGTAAAGCCTTAAAATTCCCTTTATTTTCCATAAAAAGAAATTTATACACGTAAATACTCATTTTCTATAATCTTTTTATTTATTTATTTCAAATACGTGGTAGAAATCTTAAATGTTTCTTTTAAATTTTATTTTATGTCCGCTTACTCAATTTAGTCCTTTTCTTTTTTTATTCGGATATACTCATGTTTTCCGGAAAATGTTTTAAATGAATGTTTTATATACAAATGTTTTAAGGTTGCGAATATTCTTTCCGGAAAATGTTTGAGGAGAAAAGTTTCCGGAAAATGTTTTGATGAAAACTAAAGAGAATGTTTTTTGAAAAAATGTTTTTGTTTAATTTTGATCAAAACATTTTCCGGAAAGAATGTTCGCAAACAAACATTTATTTTCTCCCCAACAAATGTTTGTCTAAACATTCCGGAAAATATTAAAACAACACAAAAACTTTCTTCTTATCTTTAAATGTTTTGTTTAATCTTCTATTTTTTTCTACGTCTTTTGTTTCCGGAAGACAACATTTTGTTTAAACAAACATTTTTATTAAGAAAACATTTTATTAAAACATTAACATTTTAAATGCCTTTTTTAATTTTTTGCCTGTTTTAATTTTAATTAATTCTTTAAAAAATTTCTCAAATTAAAATTTCATTTTTCAAATAATGCCATATTAAGGCTTCGTTTACTTCCAAAATGCCATATTTTTCTTTCTCCCAGTCTTATTTTATTCACAAAGAGCTGTGCGAACAGACCACCCCCAGAACATTTAAACACAATTTATTTTAAAATTTTCTCTCACACCCCTCATAAAAATTATAAAAAAATATTAATATTTTTGGTTACTTTCAAAAACATTTTTTACTTAAAAGAAATAAAAAGCTGTTTAATGCCCAAGGCATAAAGGAAGAACAATAAAAGCAACCCCCCACACATTGTGTTAAACTTTAATTATCCTTTTATTCTCACGCCCATAAAATAAATATTTTTATTGTTTTTGTTTTTATTAAATTCCTCAATTTAAGAATATATTTAATTATCAAGTTTAAGAGAACAACAAACACAAAAACAAATTAAAACTTTAATTAACAAAACATGCCTATTTTTATTCAACCAGAATAAAATGTTTGCAATAATACAAACATTTCAAATGTTTTTCCGAAAGGAAAAAATTGTTTTCCGGAAAGAAAATTTTAAAAACACAAACATTTCTTTAAGCTTTAGATAAAAAAACATATTCCGGAATGTTCATCAAAACATTTTCCGGAAATGTTCGTCAAACATATAAATGTTGGTTAAGAGAATATAGACTAGAAAAACATGTTTAGATGTTTTCCGGAATGTTTCTTTCGACTATGTTTTAGAAGAAATGTTTGTGTTTTTAAATTTAAAAACATGATTATAAGATGTTTTTAAGTAGATGTTTCAGCGGTGTTTTAAGGCCTAAAAATTTTTCAAAGGAAACTTGAAGCAAATTAAAATTTTTTTTTTAATTTTCTAGCCATTAAAAAACTTTAAAAAATGATATGAATGAAATAACAATAGAAAACATTAATAACACCAGCAATACTATCTACAACAACATTAATACTCAACAACAGCAAAGTAATGCTTTCGAACTCGACGAACAAGGAGGGATTGCTAGGCCGGAAATGGTGTTTTTATTAAAAATTAATTTTAAAAATTTTTTTTAATTAAAGTTGGCAGCAGATTGGGTTGAATTATTACTTTTAGGGTTACTTTTAATTTTTGGCCTTCCTTTAAATGCTGTTGCCCTCAGCAAACAACTTGGAGGGACTAATTCTTCCTTTCTCAATCCAAGAAAATGTTCCTCAAGAATTTCGAGGGTAATTTGTTTGTTTTTTGATTTAGTCCGGAATGTTTTGTAAACACTTTCCGGAAAATGTTTATAAAACATGAAACTTTCCGGAAAATGTTTGAATGTTTTATAAAAATGTTTTATAGGAAATGTTTTATTAACTTTTCCGGAAAACATCTGTGTTTTGGAAGAAAACATTTCCGGAAAATGTTTTTAACATTTCCGGAAAACGTTTGGTGTTTAGAAAGATGTTTTAAAACATTTCCAGAAAATGTTTTTAAGATGTTTTTGTTTTATAAACATTTACGGAAAACATTTGTTGTTTTGGAAGATGTTTTAAAACATTTCCGGAAAATGTTTTTAAAATTTTTTTTTTTTTTTATTTATTTGAGCAAACCACTAGCGCATTTGCGCAATTATAGTGGTGAAAAAAATACAAATGAAGGTAATACAAAATTAAAAAAAAGTCATACAAAATAAATATTTCCGGAAAACGTTTGGTGTTTTTTTTTTTTTTTTTTAAATGTTTTTGTTTTATAAACATTTCCGGAAAAACATGTTTTAGAGAAAGTTGAACGTTGTTTCTGTTCAATCTTTCAACAAACTTCAATGTAAAATTTCCTTATTTTGTAGCAAGAAGTTACCCGAACCAATTTTCTATGGTTAAAGCTACATTTGACTGTTGTTGACTTGCTAGTCATCCTCTGTTACTGTCCCTCACATATTGCTTGGTTAGTTGGTTACACTTGGAGTGCCGGGGAGTTTCTCTGCAAAGCAATGCAGTACAGCTGGTATTTTTGAAATTTCGTATTTTTCTCGAAATTTCGTTTTAAATTTTTCCAGGGATTTTTGCTTCCATTTAATGTCTTTTGGCGTTCTCAGCATAGCCTTAGACCGGCTTAGAACAGTTTACGGACTTATGAGAATGGAAAAAACAGGAAAAATGGCTGGAGCTGTTGCTTCTAGACAAATACGTTTTGTTAAGGTAAATGAATTTGTTTCTAGGGGCCGGTCCATTTATTTATATCCTGCTTGCAGCGACTCACCATCATAATCTTTCAGCGTCTAATTCTGCTTTCTTATGTTGGTGCTGCTCTAGTTTCTGTTCCTCAATGGTTTGTGTGGACTACAATAGATATGCGAACATGGTAAAAAATACAAAAACGGTTCCATAAAAAATAGAAAAAATTTTATCAGGTCACAATGCACTACTATTTGGCATAAAATACGTGCAATTGAATACATTCATGGGGGCGAACCAACAGTGAGTTTTCTGTTGTGAACATTCCGGAAAATGTTTACATAAAAGTTTCCGGAAAATGTTTGTTGCTCTGAAAAACTGTTTTTGCAAACATTCCGGAAAATTTAAATTTTCCGGAAAATGTTTTATAAACTTTCCGGAAAATGTTTGGTGTCTTGTAAAATGTTTTACAAACAATTCCGGAAAATGTTTTTATAGAAGTTTCCGGAAAATGTTTGGTTCGTAAAATGTTTAATGAACATTGTTTATAAACATTTCCGGAAGAACATGTTTTAAGAAATCTGAACATTGTTTCTATCGATTTGGACATTCTTAAAATGTTTCGTAAACTTAAATACAAACAAACTTGTTTTCCGGAAAATAATAAAACTCATTAAAGGAAAGCTTCACCGGAGAAAAGATTTACACCTTGCTTCATTTACTCACCGTATTTTGGCTGCCCTTTCTAGCAATTCTCGCTGCTTATGTTTACATTGTTTTATTTTTGTTTCTGTACTCCCTAAGGCCTAGCACCGCTCGACCTTCAGCTGCTTCACTTTATTCTACCACAACTACAGGAGCAGGAGCACCATCCTCCGTGTTTTCTAGGCCATCTTTTGACCAACACCCTTTAAATAGCGTACATTTAAATCGAAGCAGCATCAGTAAAAACAACGAAAATTACAACAGCACACTTTTAGTTGTCCCAAACATGTGTAATGAAAAGTGTGTTAAGATTAATTAAAATTTATTTAAATAATTTATTCAGTTCAAGTATTTGGCCTAGCACGACTTTAGAATCTTCTGTTTCACCAGCATGTCAGTTAAGTGGGGGTGATTCGACGTTAGCTAATGCTAACCTTCTTTGTGCTCAACCATCAAAAAAACTTAGTAAGAGAAAAGATTCAGGAAATTCCGGAAGATGTTTATTTATTTTTTCGAAGGTTGTAATCCTTCCGGAACATGTTCAGATCGTTGTTTTTAGGAGAAGAAATGTTTTTCCCTTCCGGAAGATGTTCAGATCGTTATTTTTAAAAGAAAAATGTTTTTCCCTTTCCGGAAGATGTTCATATTGTTCTTTTTAAGGGAAAAATGTTTTTAAACTTCCTTCCGGAAAGATGTTTTAAACTCTTCCGGAAAATGTTTTTCTAATTTAATTTTAAAAAAACTTTTTCTCAAATATTGTAGAAGTACCCGCCTGGAGACTAGAAATGCGTTCTCGTATATTTCAAACAACTATTCATGTAATAGCTGCATATTTGATATGTTGGTTACCTTATAATGGTTTTTATTAAATTAAAAATAAAATTAATAATTTTTTTAAAGTTTTGGCATTAGCTACCTTTTTCTCACGAGACTTGCAAATTACAATTTCTGTACATTTGGAATTGGTGAGAATAAAAAAAATTTTTTTCAGAAAAAATTAAAAAAAAATTTTTCGATAAAAAAATAGTCAAAAATCTATAAGCAGTTTAAAATAAAAAAATAAAAAAAATTTTTTCAAGATGCGTATTTGTGTTCTTCTCAACACCCTACTCAACCCCTTCATTTACGGTTCTTTTTTTATTTTTAAAAATTCTAAAACAAATTTCTTTTGTTTTAAAGGCTTTAAAAAAGGACAGCCATGACACCCTAAACTCAACATATCAACACAACACTCCTTCCCTTGCTCCTCCAATTTTCCTCCTTTAACAACCGATATTGAGCAGACAGACCATTTGCGGAGATACACCCACTTGAAGGGTGAAAAGCTGAAGAGAAAAATTTTTTGAGAAAAGTGAAGCAAAAAATGAGAAAATAAATAAAAGAATAAATCCGGGTCTCGAAGAATTTAATAAGAAAAATTTTTTTAGAAAATGTCTTTCATCTCCAAAATAATTAATTTTATAAGTACAAAAATATTTAATTTTTTTTTGTGAATTATTTATAATCTTCTAGTCAAAGTATTACAGTCAATTAAAGCCGCCTTTCTAAAATAAATACTGGGAGAACAAGCCAGAAAATAGGGGAAGCCTAATTGAAGGGATTTGCTGCTTGTAAACAACCATCCAGAATATTTTTGTCTGTTACATTCAATAGGTTTTGTAGAGTTTGAACCAAATTTAAGGAGAGCGTAATCATAGAAGATAAAATGTTGGGGAGAGCGTTGTTGAGTGTAGTTGGAAATGAAGTGGGTACTGACCTGAGAAAGGGAGAAAAACATGTTTTTGAAAGGAAATAAACATGATCCGGAAAATCAGAATTTCTTTAAAAACATTTTAGGAAAATCAGAATTTTTTAGAAACATTTTCCAGAAAAATCAGAATTTCTTTAAAAACATTTTAGGAAAATCAGAATTTTTTAGAAACATTTTCCAGAAAAATCAGAATTTTTAGAAACATTTTCCGGAAAAATCAGAATTTCTTAAAAACATTTCCGGAAAAAATCAGAATTTTTTAAAAACATTTTCCGGAAAATCAGAATTTTTTAAACTCCGGAAAAGTCAGAATTTTTTAAAATCATTTTCCGGAATAAATAATTATCACAAAAACATGTTTCCGGAAACTCTTAAATTTATTATTTTAATTTCTGAAAACAAAAAATGTTCCGGAAATCAAAATTATTTTGATAAACTTATTCCGGAAAAACTTAAGTTTCTTATTTTAATTCCGGAAAAATAAATATTTTTTATTAAATTTCTCAATATAAACAACTAACAGCAAGCATAAGGCTTCCATCAACTTTCAAAGGTATTCGAGCTTGCCATTGCCCAGGAATCCTTCTAGCCATCCCCAGTGTCCATTTTGAGGTTAAAGGTAAAGGATGGGGATAATCCCATAAAGATTTGCATTGTGACGGCAATTTATTATTTAATGTTGTTGAAAAAGGTAATAAAAGTGAAGTTTGTTCAGGCAATAAAATAGGGTGGATTAATTGACGATTTTGGTCGATTGAAAGGCAAAGCTGAAGGAAAATGGAAAAATATGGAATTTTTAATAAAAGCTTACTCTACTAATTTCTGGAGGCCAATTATTTGGACCAAATAAATGAACAGAAGACAATAAAATTAAATTTGTGAAAATTAGGCCAATACTAAAAAATAGAGAGGAGACCAAAACAATATAGTGGAAGGCACTAAAATATTAAAAAAAATTATTTAAAATTTAAAAAATTTGAAAAATACAAAGAGCAACGCCTAACAAGTGATTTAGCCAGATTGTCACGCTTAGAAAGACTGTTAGCACGGCAAAAGTAAAAATAAAGGCAAGGAGTACACCCAAGTAATAAATATCCAGTGAATAAAATTAATGAAGTAAAAATGCAGAGAATTCGGCGACTGAGGGAAAAAAGTAATCCGGTGACCTTTAAAAAATTTTTTACCAAAAATTACTAAAAAAATTTTTACTCAAAAATTACCCTAAAGAAGAAACAACTCAACCAAAACCCGCAACAAACACTTAAAAATCTTTTTTCTCCAGGGTCTTGTTCATATAAATAAATTGTTTTCTGTTTTGTTTTACACTTAAAGCAAAAACATCCCTCTTGTTTTGTTGTTCCGTAAAACAAGGCAGAAGACAATTTAATAGGACAATGTTCGTCAGAAATGTTGTTATTATTTGTTGTTTCTAGAGAAGTTTGAATGTTTTGTTCGTTTAGTATTTGATTTCTGAATGATTGAGTACGCGAAGGAAAACCAGAATTGTTGGAATGTTTAGAAGGAAACAAAAGACGAGAGTAAGCGAAATATAAGAGAACAAGCCTCCAAATTAGAGATAAAGTTGTTCCAAACACAGAAAGGAATAATGGCCATCGCAACACCTTTATTAAATAAACATCAGAATATTAATCAGAATATGAAATAAACATGTTTTTGAAGGAAAGAAACATGTTCTGGAAAATCAGAATTTTTTAAAAAAATGTTTGGGAAAATCAGAATTCTTTAAAAACATGTTTGGGAAAATCAGAATTCTTTAAAAACATGTTTGGGAAAATCAGAATTCTTTAAAAACATGTTTGGGAAAATCAGAATTTTTTAGAAACATGTTTGGGAAAATCAGAATTCTTTAAAAACATGTTCCGGAAAGGTAATTTATTTTGGAAAACATGTTCCGGAAATCAATTATTTTTATAAACTTTTTCCGGAAAAACTAGAGTTTATTATTTTAAATTCCGGAAGATGTTTTTTCTCTCTTACTTGTGGTCCACCGCACCGACAAGCACTTAATAAGAAAAAATTGGCTAAAGAAATGGGTACATCGTGAAGTGCCATGAAGAGAAAACTAACACGAAAGTTGTTGAAGCCTTGTAGCCATTCAGAAAATGCCTTTATTTTGTTTAAATTAAATTTTAAAATTTTTGGAATTTTTTAAAAAATCTTTGGAAATACCTCCCAAATAAAGGCTAATCCATTTTTGTGTTCAGCAACATCCAAGCGATGAACAAAGGCATTTTCTACACAAAGCATCTAATTAAAATTATAAGCAGAATAACATGTTTTTAGTAACATGTTTTAGAAGGGAAAGAAACATGTTTTCCGGAAAAATCAGAATTTATTAAAAACATTTTCCGGAAAGGTTGATTATTACAAAACAGAAGTTTTGGAAAAAAGTTCAGGAATAAATAATGACCTTAAAAATGTTTTCCGGAAAAACTTTAGAGTTTATTGTTTAAACTCCGGAAAACAAAAACAGAATTTTTTAATTGTTTAAAACATGTTCATGAAAAACAAAAACATGTTCAGGAAAAACATGTTTTAAGAAAAATGTTCTGGATGTATATTTTCATAAACTTCTTCCGGAAAAACAAAATTATTTTAAATTCCGGAAAACAAATAGTTTTTCCAAACCTACCACAAGTAAAATAATCAACATAGAACCAGAAACAATAGCAACTACCAAAACAAGAACAAACCAAAAATGAAGGGAAAAGGATGTCAAAAATCCTTGCAAAAGGTTGTAAAGATATAACCAATTGAATAACGAGTTTATAGAATAAATTAACAAAGAAATGGCATAAAGTGTATGCATTGTAAGTGAGGTAAGCATTGGAATTGTTGGGGAGGCGGAGGATGAAGCAAACCCTGAGGTGTAGAGATCGAGCAGTACAAGGACGTTTCCAGAACGGGCTGTGTTGCTGGTTGAGGACATTTAGGAGGTAGTGTGATCTTGCTGAATTTTATAAAAATTTATAGTTGACTTAAAAAATAGCAAAAAATAACTTTAGAATTTAAAAATCTTTAAAAAGAAGAGCAAATGTAAGTCTTTCCTCCTAAAATCTTAAAAAATCTTGTATAGTTTGCATACTATTTAGCACGCTATTTGGGAATTTGTGTACTAATAGAATAAAATGCCGGAAGAAACTAGGAAATAAAATAAAAGAGGGAGAGATTAAGGCCGCCTAGTTTTGTCTGTTTGATTAATTCTGTTTTTCTTCTGTTTTGTGTTTTATTTTGAAAGAAGAAACATGTTCCGGAAAAATCAGAATTTCTTAAAAACATGTTCAGGAAAATCAGAATTTTTTAAAAACATTCTGAAAAAACCAGAATTTTTTAAAAACACGTTTAGGAAAAACCAGAATTTTTTAAAAACACGTTCCGGAAAAGTAATTTATTATTGAAAACATATTCCGGAAAACAATTATTTTTATAAACTTTTTCCGGAAAAACACAAGTTTATTAATTTAAATTCCGGAAAACATTTGTTTCAACCCTTAAGAAAAGAGTTAACCTAGTTTTTAAATAAATTTAATTTTTTTTTATTTTTGTCAAAAATCTAGAAACACAAAAACAAGCAAAATAAATAAAAACAACAAAAATTTCAATTTAATTTTACAGACTTTCCACCTCCCAAACAAACTGGAGCCTTTTCTTGTTCTTTCCCATCCCACTCATTTGGAGTTTTTGCTTCAATTCTTAAAGCATGAATTGTCTGATTTTTTAATTCTTCAGCCAAAATTTTGTTTATCATTCTTTGCCTTTGAATTTGTGTTAAACCTTCAAATTTGTCAGAACATATTTGGACACGGAAATGTTTTTCAGTTCCTTTGGGGACATTATGAAATTGACTCTCGCATTCAACTTGGATATGTTGAGGCTACAAAAATCATATAATTAGAACTTTTCGGAAACTAATATTTATTCCAATACATTCCGGAATTTTGTTTTCACGTTCCGGAATTTTTTATTACTTACGGAATACCTTCTGGTTTTATTTCCGGATTTTCTTTCCGGATTTTTTCTGAAACTTTTTTCCTGAACTTTGTTTCGGATTTTCTTTTCAGGAATTTTATTTCTTCTTTTCCGGAAACCCGACTTATTTTTGATTGGTTCCGGAAACTATCCCCCTATTTCCGGAAAACCTTTCCTGAAACCTTTAAAATCATTTTTAATTTTTCCTTTATTTTTTAATTTTAATAAAGAAGCACCTTAAAAAATTCTGTCAATTTATTTTTGAGAGTTGAAGTAACTGGTCCAGCATTATCAACAGTTGAATACATCATTTTTGCTGTTACAATTCTTGGAATCATTCAAAATTTATTTTTTTATAAATTACTTGACCGGAAAATTAAAAAATAATTTTTAAAAATTTTTAAAAAATTTTGAGAGATTTTTAAAAATTCAAAAAAAAAGATAAAAAAGGAAAAAAACAAGTTTTTTTATTGGCGACAGATTAAAATTTGAGAGTGCTCTGTCCATAGTATTAGTGGCTGTCAACAACCAGTCAAAAGTGGTAGTAAAATCGATTTATAAATGCATTTGTGTAAAGAGATTGAAAAGAAAGTGTTGAACATATTTATTAAAAATAAAAGTGGGTATTTGTTTATACCTTTAAAATTTATTTTAGATGGCTATTTTCCGGAAAACTCTCCATTTCCTTCCGGAATTTATTTTATTTATTTTCTGAAAATGTATTTTCCGGAACTAAAATACTATTCTCTTTAAGATTCCGGAAATTATATTCCTTTCCGGAAACTTTATATTTTCTTTCCGGTTAATACATATATTCTTTCCGGAAATATAGAACCGGAAAAATATGTTTTTAATTTCCGGAAATTTAATTTTATTTCCTTTCCGGAAATTATATTCCGGAATTTTTATTTTCTTTACAACTAATACATATATGTATTCTTTCCGGAAAAAAATAAAATAAATATATTCTTTCCGGAAATATATAACCGGAAAATGTTTATTTACTCGAAAAAGTTTTAATTTCCGGAAATTTAATTCTATTTCCTTTCCGGAAAGTATGTATATTTTTCCGGAATTTTATTAATCCCGGAAAATACATTCTTTCCGGAAAACTATTTATATTTACTGGCTCAGGAAAATTCCGGAAACTTCTATAATTTTAATAAGCTTTACATAATTTAATTCCTAGAGCCTAAACACCAAATAAAATGCCTAAACAAGAATTTGATGCTATTGATATGATGGGACCGGTTGTAGCAGCGCTAATTTTTGCAGTCGTCGTTTTTGTGCGTTTCTCCAAAAGGATTTTAAAAAATAATATTTTCCAGTTAATTTCATTTACAATAATCAATTGGTATTGTATCACAAAAAAGGACGATTTGACAGTTTTTGAAAAGGTAAAAAAGAGAAAATATTAGTCGGATCTCGATAATACGTGTCACCATCTGTGACCGAATGAGACGACGTCTTAATGAAAGTGAGTGATATCTAGGGGGAAGACCTCGCTAAAACACCTCCCCCCTCCCGTCTCTGGACCGTCCCTGTGGACTGTCGTAGTAAAGAAAGTGACGTGCTAATGAGGTAATGTGTTGTCGAGATTTGACTGATTTAGAGGGAAGATCACTAAAATACTCCCTCTTAGATGGGCGCAAAAATCAACGTTCGTTTGGGACCTCATACAATGATGCAAATCAAAAGAGGAGGTTATGTCAGTACTTATGCTAGAGAGGAAGAAGAACAACACAGAAAAATGACCTTATCTATCGATAAACAACAAGCAGAACGTTTATTAAAAAATAGTGAAAATAATATGGCTGATGGTGAAGCTATTAAACATTAGAAAAAATAAAAGAAAAATTTTTTGAAAAAAAAGATATATTGATTAAATTAATAATCTTAATACTCTAATTGTTACCAAACATTTTTAATCTAAACTTGCCAAAAAAATTTTTTTAGAAAATTAAAAGAAAATAAAAATTTTATAAGGATTACGAAATTTAGTGCCAGCCTTGTTGACATTATGTCAAATTTTGTTCTTATGGGCATTTCGTCCAGTACATATTTTGAATTTTTTGTTTTATTTTTTAAAGAGACTTTTGAGAAGAAATAGTAGGGGAGAGGAGGTTAAAGAAAGAGGTCTAAGCGTCAATGTTTCCAATATTCTGCCACAACATATTTTGCCAATAAGGCTGAAAATTTACATTTTGTCAACACGGCCTTGTTGACAAAACGTCAATTTTTAGCCTTATTGGCAAAATATGGCCTTTTTAGCCTTGTTGACATTATTGACATTATGACATTTGACGTTATGTCAAATTTTGTTCTTATGGGCATTTTGTCCAGTATATATTTCGAATTTTTGTTTTATTTTTTAAAGAGACATTTTATTCTTTTTGGAAGAAATAGTAGGGGAGAGGAAGTTAGAGAAAAAGATTTAAGCGTCAATGTTACAATATTCTGACAAAACATATTTTGCCAATAAGGCTGAAAACTTACATTTTGTCACAGTGGCCTTATTGGCAAAATGAGAGTTTTTAGCCTTATTGGCAAAATATGGTCTTTTTATTTTTTCGTTTTTTCATTTTATTTTGGTTTAATTCTTGATTAAATTTAAATTATTTTTGAAATTTCGGAAAATGTCTGCAAACGAACAAATTAAAAAACGAAAACTGTCAACTACAGAAAATGAAGATGAGGGTGGTGAACCTCCGTTACCTAAAGGATGGGAGAAACGTTTAAGCAGATCTTCAGGTTTCTTTGTTTAAATTGAACATTTTTTGGGATAATTTCAAGTTTAGTTCCCCTCACCTTTCTGTTCTTGGGTCAACCTATAAGATAAACTCCTCAGAGATTTAGAGTCATTTGCTCACAAGGGATTGTCCTCTAAAGGCGTTAGTCTTGTACGATTGACTCTATTTTTTTCTGGAGATGAGTATCAGGGTAGGGGGCTTGAAAAAAATCCTGGCTACGGGTTTGATGAGTATAATGGCCGGACTTTCTTCCTTCAATTTCCCAATTTTTCATTAACATATTCGAATGATTGACTGACCTCCTAAATATATTGACTGATTATAAACCACGGATTTTATGTAAATCAAGGAAAAAATAGGATGAGGAGGGCTGGGACTTGGGATTACTCTTCATTAACTTTTATTTTTTTCAGACCGTGAATATTATTTCAACGTTTTAACACAAAAAAGTCAATGGGACAGGCCAATTAAAGATGCTCAAGAACTTGCTAAAGAACCCACAAAAGTTAGATGTTTCCATATTTTGGTCAAACACGAAGGCTCGAGAAATCCTAGCAGTTGGAGAAGTGAAAAAATTATCCGATCGAAGGAAGATGCGAAAACTACTCTTGAAGGTTTATTTTTAAAAGTTTTTGGCGGAAAATTGGGTGGAGTTTGACTTGGGGTGGGTGAGGTAGTTGAGTTTTTGAACAAGGTAGGATAGGTTTCCTTTGTTTATCTTTTATGAATTTGGGATTGAATTTTCCTCTTGGATTTTTTAACTCGATCAAAAATTGTTGATTAAAGTAAGTTTGTCGGATAAGTTTCGATTAACTGAGAAATTTGGTGAGCCGACAACTTTAGTCTTCAAAAAACATTTTTAGTCACAGCTCTCATTTTATTTAGGTCATACCCAATTTTTTTTTAGAAATTTCCCTGGATTTTTGGAATAAAATTAATAAAACGGATAGAATGTTTAAGCTGCTCATTTTTTCAACCTTTCCTTCAAAAAATTTTTTTTCAATTTCCAGCTTATCGTGACGAATTGTTAAAATTATCAGAAGATGGAGGAGGAAAATTTTCGCGTTTCAAAAAAATTGCAAAAGAATATAGTGATTGTAGTTCTGCAAAGAGGGAAGGAGATTTGGGATTTTTTGGCCGAAAACAAATGCAAAAACCTTTTGAAGATGCTTCGTTTGCTTTAAAAGTTGGGGAAATGTCTGACATTGTAAGGGGGAATTTTTTTAGAATTTTTTGAATTAAAAAAAAATTTTTTCAAGGTGGAGACTGATTCTGGACTTCATTTAATTTATCGAATGGCTTGAACGTAAAATTTGACACAAGTTTGAATATTTTTGCCTTTAAAAAATTTTTTGGTTTTAATTTTGTTTGGAAACTATTGGCTTATAGGAGGTTTAAATGAGATGCCCATATATTTTTTCTTGAAGTAGGACAACAAAAATGTTAAAAATTTGTTTTCGGACTAGTTTTAAGCTTCTGGGTTATTTTTAAATTTCAATGTCTTCTAAAAAATCCCCTACACTAAATATTAATTTAAAAATATTTATCTCTAGCCAAGCCAAAAACCAAAGATTTGTGCTAAATGCTCGGAAAGTGCCCGTGTCATGAATTGGTTGGGGCTGAGTAGTAGCATGTTTGCACAAATGCATCAACATTTTTGGCACAAATGAAGGAAAAGAATAGGGAGAGGCTAAAACAATAGAAGCTAAAGCTAACACACCACTGTGTCTTTGAATTCATTGTTTGGAAGAAGAAACGAGGATTGCAATACAAGTTCCCCAATATTTTTCATATTCTTGAGGTAATTTTGACAAATGTTGTTTCAATCATCCGTTTAACACTTTGTTACGCTTTTGAAATTTCCATAATTTTGAGCCACAAATCATTCCAGCAGTTATTTCAGCTGCTAATTTTTGACTACTTTCCTTTAAAATATTATAAAAAAAAACAATTTTCCGGAAAAACAGAATCAGAAAAAACGTAATATTTAAATGTTTTTCCGAAGAAACCATAATTGAAAAAATGTAATTTTGGTTTTCCGGAAAATTGTTTTTTTTTATAATATTTTAAAGGAAAGTAGTCAAAAATTAGCAGCTGAAATAACTGCTGGAATCAGGCCCGTAACCAGGGGGGGGTGAGGGGGGGAATTCCCCCCCCCCCCGAAATGGGAAAAAGGAAAAAATTTGGGGAAGGGCTGGGGCAAAAAAGTGAATTTTTTTGGCCTACGGCCTTCGAAATTTTCAAAATTTTCGCCTGCGGCGCTAAAAAAGGACGAAATCTGGCTTCTTGAGGTCCAAAATTCAAAAAATTTTCGCCTGCGGCGCTGAAAATCAAATTTTTGGCGCCTGCGGCGCCGAAAAAGTGAATTTTTTTGGCCTACGGCCTTCTAAAATTAAAAAAATTTTCGCCTGCGGCGCTGAAAATAAAAATTTTTGGCGCCTTCGGCGCCAAAAATTTGGCGCAAGCAAATTTCCCCCCCTCGAAAAAAAATCCTAGTTACGGGCCTGGCTGGAATGATTTGTGGCTCAAAATTATGGAAATTTCAAAAGCGTAACAAAGTGTTAAACGGATGATTGAAACAACATTTGTCAAAATTACCTCAAGAATATGAAAAATATTGGGGAACTTGTATTGCAATCCTCGTTTCTTCTTCCAAACAATGAATTCAAAGACACAGTGGTGTGTTAGCTTTAGCTTCTATTGTTTTAGCCTCTCCCTATTCTTTTCCTTCATTTGTGCCAAAAATGTTGATGCATTTGTGCAAACATGCTACTCAGCCCCAACCAATTCATGACACGGGCACTTTCCGAGCATTTAGCACAAATCTTTGGTTTTTGGCTTGGCTAGAGATAAATATTTTTAAATTAATATTTGTTGTAGGGGATTTTTTAGAAGATATTGGGGAGGGGGGGGGAGGGTAATACAAGTTCTTTTGCTTCCAAACAATTTTTATTTGATTATTTATTTTTTTCAATATTTTTCTTTATTGAAAAATAATTTATTTTAACTGATTAAATTTTAAAAAAATTTATTTTTTAACTTCAATTTTATACAAAAAAATTAAAATTATTTGTTTAAGTGTTAAGATATAGGTTGTGTACGTATCTGTACATTTCCAAATATTTTGTGACAAACAACAAATGCTCTCTGTTCTTTAATTAAACTGTTAAAAGGTAGTGACCAATAACTTAAAAAATAAAAAAAAAAATTTTTTTATTATTTTTAAAAATATTTTTGTGCTTACACGTCGGGAGGGAGAGGTTCATCTTTAAAAAGCGATTTTTTAGACTTTCTGTAAACATTCTCAACTTTTTGTTGTGTTTGCATTAATTTTCTTACATCCCTTTAAAAATAAAATCAAATGTTTTAAGTTTTTACAATTTGTAAACTTCAAACTTTTTTAAATCCAAGTTTTAAACTTAAGTTTACAATTGTAAATTTATAAAAATTCAAGTTTTATAATTTCTGTTTAAAATTCAAGTTTTAAGTTTATTTTTAAGTTTGCTTAAGTTTACAATTACTATAAACTTTAATTTGTAAAAACATTATATTTAAATGTTTTTAAAATTTACAATTGTAAAACAAGTTTTGGAAATCAAGTTTTATTATTTCTTTAAGTTCAAGTTTTAAGTTTTAGTTTCTAAGTTTTATGTTTATATTGTAAAACTTGTTTTTGTAAAAACAAAAAACAAAGTTTATTTAATTCCCTTACCTATCAAAAACATAAATAGTAGCAAAAACACCAAGTGAATGAACATTGTTTCCTCCATCCTTTTATTTTAAAATATTAGAAAAATTCTTCTCCAAATTTTACCTCAGATTGTATTAAACTCTTAAATGTTTCTTTAGTCAATCCCTGACTTTTCAACATTTCATCTGCATTTGGGAGACAAAAAGCTAATTCCATATTTTCATATATTCCAGGTTTAACTCCTTCCCCACAACTTAAAGGCTTTCCATCTAGTAAAAGTTGTGCTTTGAGTTCTTTGTTTGTTTCGAGTGTTTGACAGGCATCGCAATAAAGACTTGAAAATTAATTAAAATTAAATTGAAACTTTAAAAAATTACCATGAACCAAACCCTCCACACCCATCTTCTCTACGGTTATTGCACTGTTCAGGGACTTGCTTAAAAATTGATAAAGTAAAAACATTTTAAAAACATTAAAACACTTGGAGAAACATTAAAAAAACATCGAAAAGAATTAAACATTTAAAAACATTATAAAAATGTTTAAAAACATTAAAAAAACATTCTTTAAAACATTTGTTGTTTCTCTAGTGTATGTTTGGTAAACAAACAAACATTTTAACAAACTTTGTTTTTAAGTTTGTAGTTTAAGTTTGTACTGAAAAGTTTAAACAAGTTTGTAATGTTTGTGTTTTAAGTTTAACAAAATTTAAGGAATGTTTGTTGTGTTTTGTTTTTCACATTAAGTTTAATCTTGTTTTATTTTCAAGTTTGGAAAGTATGTTTAAGGTGGTGAGTGTTTAAAAATTCAAATTTTTATATTTTGTAGCTTACAATTTGCAATTCATCTACCTTTTTATTTGCTGAGCTACGCAATTCCAAATAAATGCTGAATTCTCCTTTAAATTCACTATAAACAGTAACTTTACCACCAATTGAATAACACTTTATAATTTTACAAAATTAATTAAAAAAATAATTTTTTTAAGGGTTACATTAGTTTCATTCGGTCTCGGAATCAGTTTCGGCCCTTCCTTTTCATTCCCCCCTTCAAACTCTACTTTTCTTTCCCATTTGCTTTTGTCTTGTCTAAAACCACAGGGTTGGTGCTTTATCAACTGTAAATTTAATTCAAACTCGTCATTGTCAAATTTCAATTGAATTGAAGGAAATATCAAAAATATTGAGGCAAATAAATAAAAATAAATATAAAATTGAGACGAATAAAAATGTAGCCAAGATTGTGTTGTTGAATGTTTTTGTTGGGGCATTTAAGTTAAAACCAACTTGAACAAATTAAAACAAACTTTAGTAAAAACAAGAATAATATGTAAAACAACGAAACAAACAAAGAACATTGTAATAATAAAAATCAAACAAAACAAACTTGAAGACAAGCAACATTTTAAAAATAATGAATTTACAAACTTGCAAAACAAACATGAATTAAACATTACAAACACAACAACAATTAAGTTAGAAAAACAAACAAAACACAAACTTGAAAACAAACAAACATAAACTCGAAATAAAAACAAACAACCAAACATAAACATTTATTTTATTTGAGTAAGACGAACAAAACACAAGACTACAACAAACCTTAAAACCAACAAATTAAACATTACAAACTTGAACATGAATGAAAACGAAACAAAAACATTAAACTTACAAACTTAACAAACATTACAAACTTGAAAATAAACAAATACAAAAACATGACTTAAAATTAAATTTGTAAAACATTATTAAAAACATTGACTATAGAAACATTGACAAACATTGTTTCTATTAAAATAAATGTATGAGATTAATATTTATGAAAAAAGGTAAGAAGATTAAAAATATATTATATATTATAAAGCAAATGATTATCGGGGAATTTAGTTTATAGCAAAGGATTCATCACACTACTAATTTTTGATATCATTCATACAACAAATCTTTAACGTTATTCTTCCACAATTTAATATCCCCCCGCTTCTCCACAAACTCCCTTCTCTTCCTTCTTCCTTCCTTCTTTCCCCTTATTTTAGCGTTTTATATGATTTTGGGAGATTTTTGTATAATAAACCGGTCTATTTAAACATAGATGAAGGGAGATGTTGTTAGCTAAAAAGGAGATTGTGGTGGTGCAGAAAAATCGAATAGATTTTCTTCCATAAATATTTTTATTTATTAGCAATTTTGCGACGTCGTGAACATTGAATTTGGTTTTTTTTATATTTTTATATATTTAGGACAACCTAAATTTAGCTGATCTTTAAATGTTTAAATTTTAATATAGGTAAATATTTCTGGGGGCAAAAAGCTCGTCTTTATCAGAAAGCAAAACGCTCGTTGCTTTTGAGGGGCCAAAAAGCTCGTCACTAAACTCGTCTTTTAATAGCGGCCAAAAAGCTTGTCTTTATTTTAAAATTTTGTATAATGTCCTAGATTTATCCTGAGATAGGTCCTTTGTAGGAAGGATTCTCATTAAGTATATTATCTTTTCTTCACTTCTCAAACTCTATTATACATACACGTCTGGGAGGTTTGACCTTTCTATTAACTTTTCGTCCATCATTAATTTTATAAATGACACTTTTTAGGTTCTATTTTTTTTATTCGACTGTCAATAGTATAAAAGTGGGGGAAAGACAAAGATTCATTATTTTGATTGCGCAGCAACTTTTTTTAAAGAGTTCCCGTGTGATCTTTTTATTAGTTAACCTTTGTAGCTAATAATTATACCAATGTTATCAACTATTAATTAATTATGTAAAAATTAAACTAAAGTTGTTGCTAAAGGTTATAGGGAGAGAGCTGGAAAGGTTAAGGGATAAAAGTATGTAATAAGCTTGGCTAAAAGCTCGAGAGATGAGTGGTGGCAAAAAGCTCGTCAAAAATTCGTGAGCTGAAAAGGATGAAATAAGCTCGGCAAAACACTCGTGACCTGAAAGGTGGCAAAAAGCTCGTCAAAAAGCTCATTAATAGATTTCTTTCTAATAAATGACGTCAATCACAAAATAGAGGACATCGGCAATAATATCTCTACAATTGACATAAAAAGAGCTTTTTGTTCAAATATTTAAAGAATGCATCGGCTGAAAGATAAAAAACTATTCTAAAAACCCTCCCAATTGTGAATACCTTCCTTTATTCCTTCAATTAAGTTTTACTCTTGCCTTTTTAAATAGTCATGTCATTTCTACCTCTCCATACAAACCTCCATAAAATAGGTAGATCGACGTCGACGTCAATTAATTTTTTCCCTCCTCGGCCCTCGCCCTTCCAATCACACACAAAAAAAGTTGATTTCTGCGCAATTTTCTACATTATTACACACACACATACACAACTCTTTTTTACATTAATTTCAAGGTTTTGGATATTTTTTGTGTGCATTTTATTTTTTATAAAAACCTCATTACTCTAAGAAGGGAGTTCCATCACAAAAATACATGTAGAAATCACAATATTTTTATTTTTCTGTTATTTTTGTTGCTCACAGTGATTTTGAAAACAAAATTTTCTAGGCGAAAAAAATAAAATAAAATTACGCCTCTTGCCTTCTTAATTTTACAGACTGTTGATTTTTATTGTTTTATTCATCATTCATTTAGCGCAACATACTAGAACCTTTTAATTATTGTTTAAAATATAATAGAAATTCTGTATTACTATATGTTGAATATATAATTCCGGAAAACATTATATTTGCTTCCGGAATGTTTTAATTATTTTCCGGAAATATTAAACTAATCACACGTCGTTTCCGGAAAACTCCGGAATATGTTTAATAAACTTAAGTTTCCGGAAACATGTTTAAAATTGTTTCCGGAAAATGCTTCACAAACTTAAGTTTTATATTAAAATATTTGACAAACTTAAGTTTCCGGAAACAATAATTAAAAATAAACTACACATTGTTTCCGGAAAAGTTTAATAAACTTAAGTTTTATATTAAACTTATAAACTTAAGTTTATAAACTTGATAAAATAAAACTTTACCCTCATAATTTTCCATACTATCTCCCCAATAAAAAATTATTATTCCAATTCATATTATATAGAAAAATGAAACAGGAAGGGAAAAGGAAAAGCATTATTTCCACAACTGAAAATTCTGCTAACACCTCACCACATTTCTCTCCAAAACGGAGAACAACAACAAAAATGGCTTTTAATCGGCTGATATTCCTGCAAACAATTTTATTGTTCATCATATCAACCGGTCTCCTACCTTCTTTTGTAGATGCCGATATAGCCGTTAAAATTGAAAGACATTTTCCTTGTTCTCCTTCTTCCGGTTTGGATTAGTCTACTTAAAAACCAATTTTTTTAACTAAAATAACAGGCCCAAACAAGAACAATATGCTCATAAAGTTTCCAAGTTACAAGTCTACTGGAGTCAATTTTAAGGAGGAAACAGACAGTTCAGGTCATAAATGCTTCCAAATGAGTGGAGGGAAAGTGGAGGTATCTTAGAGGGAATTTCTTAAGTATCTTCCTTGTCTAGGTAAACCAACCAGGCTTGGACGGCTCCAAAAAATATTATGTCCATGTTGAGACAAGAATCGGCATTCACGGCAAGCCCGAACGCTGTGTTAATCCAGACAAAGACAATTGTGGGGGAATAGGTTCTTGGTGAGTTAAGATTTTAAAAATTTATTTTATTTGTTTTAATGTTTTCAGTGTCCACTGTGATATTTGTAAAACTATGGGAGGCTCGCTCAAAAGCTTTATTCAAATTTTCAAAGGAAACAAACCTGCTGAATGCAGTGCTCAAGGCATGAGGATTTGTTATTATTTCTTTTAAACTTTCCGGAAAGATTAAAATAAATTTTCCGGAAACAAAATAGTTTCTATTATTCACCTAAATATTTTTCCGGAAAATATATATTAAAATATAATATTTTCCGGAAAGTTTGTTCATTTTCCGGAACGAATATTTATTTTCCGGATAGTGGTATATTATTTTCCTGAACGAGTATTCTATTTTCCGGAAAATTAAATATACTACATATTTCCGGAAAGGAACTAAACTTTCGGGAAAATAAAATAGTACTTGTTTTCCGGAAAGTCTATTTCTTTTCCGGAAACATTATTTCCTTTAATTAATTTTCCGGAATTATTAAATACTTTTCCGGTTTGATTTTCATTTCCGGAATATTATATTGTGTTTCAAAAATATTAATTAAAAATTAAATTTAAGGATTGCCAGCCGGAACATATGATGACCTTTCCTTGCGTGTGTGCCTTCCAACAAAAGAAGAGCTTCTACCTTTTCTCGACCAGGCAAATGCTTCAATTTACTCAAATTGTAAAAAATTTATAATTTTATTTATTTTTACAATGTTAGAATTCGAGTAGAGCAGAGCAATTGTGGGATATTTTCATCAGTAGCAGAGCACGTTCTGGAGGGGTAAGAAAATAATTTTTTTCCGGAAAAAAATTTTTCGGAAATTTTCTTTCCGGAATTTTTTCAGGAAAAAAATGGGAGAAAAAATTTTTTTCCGGAAAGAAAATTTTTTCAGGAAATTTTCTTTCCGGAAAAAATTTCATTAAAAAATCTGGAAATTTTCCGGAAATAAAAAATTATTTTTAGGAAATTCCACTGGTTATAGCTGCACGTATTTTTGATCGTCCCATAAATAAATTGTCCATAAAAGAATTAAATGATGCTTTACATGGTAGCAAAAAAGGCATGATTGGGTAATTAAAAAATAAAATTATTTAAAAAAAATTTTTCTTTGAGATGTCATTGGATTTATGCAACAGTTAAAAGTGTTTGATAAGGAGAATTGGAAAATTTTTTATTTTATTTTGTTTAACTCAAAAAAAAACATTCTCTACTATTTTCTAAGATTTTTTTCTAGATTTAATTAAATATACAAGAATAAATTTGAATTTAAATAATTATTCTGTCAAGATTTCTACTAGTAATTTAACATTTTGAGGAAATACTGCAGACAATTTCAGGAAATATTTTAAATAGTCTTTTTCCGGATTATTTTAATTATTTTCCGGAGGAACTCTAATATTTTCCGGAATATTCTACTTCTTTTCTGTACAGCTCAGTTATTTTCCGGATCGTTTTTCTAGAGAAACATTTTCCGGAATGTTTTATTTATTTTCCGGAAAGCTTAATAGTTTACAGAAGGGTTTTAATTAGTTTCCGGAATTTTTAAATTATTTTCCGGAAAACTTTTAATTAATTTCCGGAATATTAGAATTATTTTCTTTTTCCGGAAATTGTTTTCCGGAAAACTTTTAATTATTCTCCTAATACTAAATATATTGTCTCATCTTTCCGGAAAACATTTTCCGGAAAATGTTTAATATGTATATAATACTGTCTCACTTTCCGGAATGTTTTACTTAATGTTTTACCGGAATGTTTTACAAACTTAAGTTTTATATTAACTATTATAAACTTTAAGTTTACAAAAATGCAAAAAAACTTTTCCTTCTCTATTACTAGGCAAAAATAATAATCTTTAATATTTTTCATTTTTAATTAAACCTGTTTTTCTCTTCGATATATTTTCTTCCAATCATTTTCTCTTCCCCCCAATTTATATTTATTTATTACTAAATTTTCCCTTGATTTTCTAAATATCTTCTTTATCCCTTTTATAGCTTCCGTCGGCTCCTTTTTTCGGCCCAACTCGTCATTTTACCCATCTCTCTCGACAGATCAAAAACCGCTGTTGTGCACAATAAATAAATAAATAAAAATATTTTTTTGTTGCGGCTATAATCCTCTAATAATTTATTTTTCCCTTATAAGCCTTAATCTCTGTGAAAGTGCATTTTCCTTTTTTTGAGTAAGGACAGTAAAAGTTTAAACCTTCATTTACCGTTTTTATTAATTAATTAAGTCTGTGATACAAAAAACGAGTTCAAGCTTGTAGTCTAACAATAAGTAAAGCATCTGGGCTATAGCTATCTTCAGTAGACCGGACTGATGTGTTAGCCATTACACCACGCCGCCTAGTGCACAGCCTTAGGAATTAATTAGCTATATGCTTTACATGAGTTTGGTCAGGATTTAATTAATCAAGTACCAATCAAGCTTAATCTCGAAAAATTTTTTATCTTGCTCTCTAAGATTTATAAACTAGATTTCATCGATTTGTTCACTAATTACCGTTATTTTTATCTTATTCTGATTTTATTCTGATTTTTCTATTTATTTATTATCTTTCTTTCTTTATGGAAATGATTTTTATTCTGATTTTTAATTCCAATTTTTAACTTAACTCGATCAGAACATCTCCCTCCTCATTCTCGACTAATTATGCGCCTTTAAAAACTCTTCGATAAATTTAAAAAAAAGTTTAGTAGAAGCTTGTTTTTCCCCAATCCCTCCAATTGTTTTACATTCCCAAACAATTAAAAAAGGGAAAATGGAGAGGATTAACCCAAATTTTTTTTATTTTTTTATTTTTCCATGCTTTGGATTATACTCTCTTTCCTTTTCAAGTACTTTTACTTTTTAGATATTTATTTGTTGCTTCAAGGTTGAAATAAAAAAATTTGAGTTAATTTTATTAATGTGCTTTTTCTCCTTCAGCTTTCTCTTTAGGATGTTCTCGACTTTTTTTGATGGGGATAGGAAAGGAACACAGAGGGGAATTATTAAACTTTCCGGCTCTAGGCGAAGGCGTATTTTCTCTCTAATTTTTAATCCTGATTTTTTTATTCTGACATTTATTTTGGAAGAGTCAAACACCCTCAGAACCACACTAACTGAAGCTTTGTGAGATATTATTGTAGGGGAACCCCTTGCTATGAGAAAGATAACCTCTTGTGTGTTTACGTTTGTTCTAAAGTATAAAAACTTTTCTTAAATAGGGTAATGTACTATCTAAGACCCTGTGGCCGTAGATCCCGAAATCAATTGGGTAACTGTTCGCATATAAATATCCCAATATGTCCGTCCCTATATGTCCGTAGCCTCCCTAACATTGTTCTGTATATATCAGGTGTGGGACGGGGCACTCAAACCTAAAATCCAACTCACGTTTTCTCTCAATCCGTTCTTTGGTATTTATCAAATATTTTTTTAACATTTTTTATAATCTCCCAATCTTTTAACTCTCCAATCCTGTTTTTTCTGGCCTTTTATTTTATTAAATCTGTAGGCGTCGACTTAATTGAAAGCTTTTTTCCCTTACTTTCCTTTAAAGCAATTTATTTTTACCTGCAATTTCCGCGCACTTTTCTAGAAAATTAATTTACTAAAGTAGCCCATTTTATAAAAAAATCATGTGATTATTTTTTAAGAGTTGGTTGGCTTTTGGGAAAGTTGAAAATAAAGTGAAGAAAAAAATATTTTTTTGCTTCGTTGTTCTCTGATGTGATTCTTACTGACATGAGAGGACGAAAATTGAGTTTTGGCTCCATATCTTATTAAAAAAATTTTTTTCGAAAAAAATTTTTTTTATTTTTAGATAGAGCATGAAATTCTCTACAAAATCAGATTAAAATAAAAATTTAAAATTTCTAAATAAAAAAGTTATTGAAGGAAATTTGACCTGAGTTCATCAGGTATAGACTTACTTCAATCGGTATAACTCGTCAGGGATTAAACCAATTAATTTTATTTAAAGACCATTAGATAGAGCTTAAAATTCTCTACAAAATGGACTTTGAATGGTAAAATTATTTTTTTCCTTAAAAAATTTGTGAGCGAAAAACTAACAAAAATCAGCATATTTTTACTGTTTTCTCCAATAAAACAATAAAAAAAAATTAAAAAAAAACTCAAAAATTTTTCTTCCTCCATATTTCATTTTAAGTCGTTTCGTCTCTTTTAAATAATGACGGCCAAAATAAATTTAAATTAGCACCTTCTTAAACAATATTTTTATTTTATTATTATTTTCTTCTCCCCTTATTATCAATTTTCTTTTATTTTTTTTTAAATTTTCCCCCAAAAACATCCAAAAATTTTTTTTCTTTTTTAGTGAATAAATAAGCCAGAAATTAACAAGTTTTTGAGCAAATGATGCAATTTAAGAATTATATAAGGATATATTTATTAAATAATTCTCCCCCTCTCCTTATTTTTTCTTCCTCTTAAGCTTTTACACTTTTCTTTTATTTTTTCTTTTGATCGCGCAATCCAAAGAATTATTTTTTTATTTTTTTCACGTGGCTAAAGCTTTAATTTTATTATTTTTTTAAATTATTGAGTCAATTTTTAAGAGAAATATTTTTTTTTAAAAATCCTTTACAATTAACTCTTACACTAGAATTTACATAAAAGGTAAGTTCAAATTAAATAAAAAGTCTAGTAAAGTACAAACTTAAGTTTTCAAGTTTTAATTTTCAAGTTTACCAACTTTTTAAGTTTGCTTAATGTTTTTAAGTTTACCAACTTGTTTAACCTACTATTTGTTGTTCAGCAGGCGTTAAGTTTTATTTACAAAATTCAAGTTTATATAAACTTTTACAAACTTAAGTTGCTTGTTTTATATTATCACAAACTTAAAGTTTGTTTTAAGTTTACCAACTTGTTTTTTCTATTTTCGTCTAAACTATAAACAAAATTGTTTAGAAACAATTTAAACTTATTTTTGCAATTTACAATTCTTTTTAATTTAAAAATTAAAATATTGCCTGAGGGCATAAAGATAAATAATTGCAATTTTGTTAAAGTTTAAATAAATTAATTTTTTTATTTTTCTCCTTTGTTGCAAATTTAATTTTTAATCTAATATTGTGTTTCGAATAAATGTTTTTTCAAAAGTTTCAATTTTATTTAAATTTGCAAACTCAAGTTTTACATTATCAAAAACATGAACATGTTTAATTTTTAAGTTTACCAACTTTTTAAGTCAGCCTAATGTTTTTAAGTTTGCCAACTTGTTTGGTAAAATATTTATTTGTTGTTCGTTAAGTTTTATTTACAAAAGTCAAGTTTATATCAACATTTACAAACTTAAATTTTTCAAGTTTTATATTATCACAAACTTAAAGTTTGTTTTAAGTTTACCAACTTGTTTTTCCTTGTTTATTTGAATAAACTTAAGTTTGTATTTTTAAGTCTAAACTTAAATAAGTTTTAAACTCCAATATTATTTTATAAGTTTTTATTTCCCTTCAATCATCAAAATTACCCTTTTACGTAAATTTGGCAATAGAAATAAAGATCAATTTTACTTGCTAAAAAATGTAAAAAGAAAAAGAATTAATTTTAAATTAATTAAAAAAAGTATCCGTTCATTGCGGGATTTTTAAGAATTTTTTCCTCAAAAACCGGTCTAGTAAAAAATTTTTTTCTGAAAAAAATTTTTTTCTTATATATATATTTCTCTCATAAATATATATTTATATGGGGCCATCATTTTTTAGTCTCCAAACCACAACAGCATTTTTCTGCAGTAAAACAGAAACATTAATTTGCCTGCGCGGAAACCTTCTTCCCTTCTTCTCCTTTCCCCCTTCTTCTCTCTATTGCCGCCTTTATTTTTTTTGCTTTTTATAATTTTTACCCAACTTTTCTTCATTTTAATAAAATATAAATATTCCCGTCTTATTTTAGTTAAAGTCCTCTTACTAAATTTATTTTTATTTTTCTTTTTGAAATTGTGCCACTTCATTTTTCTCTTCTTTGTAGGCGCTAAGTTGGTCAAGTTTTGTTTTGAAGCAGGCGCTAAGTTTTATTTTAAATGAACATTGTTTTAGTTCCTTGTTTTGTTTTTAAAACTGTTTTTAAAACATGTTGTTTGTCTAGTTGTTTTGTTCAACAAGCATGTTTTACTAAAGTCAAGTTTATATAAACTTCTAAAAACATTGTTTTAGTTCCTTGTTTTGTTTTTAAAACTTGTTTTTAAAAACATGTTTTGTTATGTTTTAATTTTTGAAGTCAACAAGTTTTAAAAACATTGTTTGCCTAAATGTTTTGTTCAACAAGCATGTTTTACTAAAGTCAAGTTTATATAAACTCTTACAAACTTAAGTTTCTAAGTTTTATATTAGCGCAAACTTAAGAAAAGTTTTAATTTACCTATCAGCAAGCGTTAAGTTTTATTCCAAGTTTATTTAAATTTTGCAAACTTAAGATTATATTTTCACAAACTTAAGCAAAGTTTTTAAGTTTACCAACTTGTTTTTCTCTTTGTTTATTATAAACTTAAGTTTTAAACAAGTTTTAATGTAAACATTAGTTATTAAAGACTAGCGGTGTATGTCCATGCCGATTGACGCTGGCCAACAACAACCGCCACCTTTACTACGCCAAATAAAAATTGAACCCGAACCCGACAACAAAAATTTATTGTCACCAATTTCTTCTTCTAGTTCCTCCCTTTCAAATAATTATTTTATAGAATCCCCACCAATTATTGATACTTCTACACCTGAAAGTTTAGAACGAGATTTCACCGCTTGGATGAAGGTGGGGGAAAAATTAAATTTTTTATGGGTGAAAAAAACTTAATGTTAGTATAGGTAGGTATTCCCCTCTCTAATTAACGGCCATTTTATTTTTAATTTTTGCCCTTCTTTTTACACTCTTAATTTTTTTTCTCATTTTTGCCAGCCATTAATTAATTTTATTTATTCCCTCTAAAAGAATAAAAAAATATTTTAGTAATTTTGCCTAAAAATTATTAAAACCTCCCCAAAATGGCCATTAATCACTCAAAAATGTGTATTCAAAGAGAAAAACACTTACACAATTCGGCAAGTTGTAAAAACAAAAACAACATTTTTCCCCTTTCTCTTTTTTTAATTTACAGCATTTTTGTTTATTAAATTGTAAAACAACAAACATAGACAATTAGAAACATCAAAAACATGTATTCCCTTTTTTTGAAAAATGTCTGTGCGCAAGAAAAAAGTTTTTTTTTTCGAGTTTTACACTCTTGTTTTTGCGCGCAACAGGCGTCAAGTTTTATTTTTCTTTTTATAAGCATTCCAGCATTTCTTATATGAAACGAACATTAAGTTTGTAAAACAGGCGCTAAATTGCACTGTTTGTTGTAAAATAAACTTAGCGCCTGTTTTACAAACTTAATGTTTGTTTCATACAAAAACATGCGTTAACTTTACAAAACAAACATTAGGTAAGTTTGTAAAACAGGCGTTATTTCAAGATATTTTGCGCACACCCCAACTTTTATGATTTCCAACTTTTTTTCAAAAATAATAAAAAAAAGTTCGTCAGCAAGAATGTTGTGTTTTGCACTGTTTATTTGTTTTTACAATTTAGACTAAAAAAATTAATGAAAGAATGAGAAAAGTTTAATAAGAGTAAAGATAGAGGTTTTTATTTTTTTGTAGTAAACCACAGCAGGAAATAAAATATATAAATTATATATTTTGCTTATAATTTTTGAGGGGGAAACAGGAATTTATAAAAATATTTTACAGTAATTAATTAATTAAATTATTTTGCTTATTTTTTAAGTTCTTTGGTCAAAATTAAATTTTTTTTTCAAGTCAAAAAAAATTTTTTTCAAGTCAAAAAATTAAAAAAATATTTTTCAGGGTGAATTGAAGGGAAGAAAGAATTGTTTTACATCACTAGAGCCAGTCAGTATGTACCTGAGTCCTTTAAAAGGAGAATTAGTTAATAATACAACAACACAAACATGCCTACTTCCCTCCTTGAATGACCGCTATTCCCCTCCACATTATTATACAACACTCCAACCTTTGTTACCTTTATCCAACGAAGAGAGGCGGTTTTCTTTGCCTTCTTTGAGTTTTAAGGTTTTTTTTAATGTTTTACAATTTGTAAATAATTAAAATTGTAAAACAAATAAACTTGGAATTAATAAAACAACTTAAGTTTACAAACTTAAGTTTATAAACAAATATTAAATATATAACCTTGGAATAAAAAAACATGTTTCGCAAACTTAGATGTTTAATACAACAAATAAACTTTAAATAAAACTTATTTTACAAATTTAAGTTTATATGTAAATAAATAAACGGATTTAATAAAACTTGAAATTAAATGTTTTTGTTAAGAAAAACATGATTAAAACATTGTTTTACAATTATACACAAAAACATCCAAACATTCAACAAAACATTTCTCTTTTTCCCTTTAAAGACAAACCAAACATCAGACATTTGTTGTTTTGCTTTACCATCGGCAGGACAGAGTCCTTCAAGTTCCACTCATTCTTCTTCATCTGAAGGATCCCCTCAAA